AAAAATTTGTAATAAATAATAATTTATAATTAATTTACAGGATAAAAAGAATTATCTATCCCTTTTTATCATAAATCTCATAGACATACAAAATATTTATACAAGTATAATTTAAATATTTATATAAGTATACTTTATTTATATAAAATATTTAGAAATGGAGAAGGCAAAAAACTTATTTCTTGTGTCCAACAATGTTGTAAGCTAATAGTTCGTTTAAGTAAATATATTAATTTTGACAGAGAAAAAAAAGAAAAGCATTCGAATAAAACTTATTCCTTTTTAAGGTAAAAAACAAAATCCTATTACTTAATAAATTTTACAGCAAAGAGGATTGCAGCATAGCATAGTTAAGAAAACTAGGAAGCGAGTTACCTGGAAAGTAAGAAAATGTAAAACTTGGAACGAACGAGTGGGAGAATTTGGTGGAGTAAAGTGTATTATTTATCTGAATCTCAGCGTATGTAATCTTTTGAGTATTATAAATATCTAATCCCCAACGTTAGTAAATTCAAACGTTAAAGAGCGTTCAAAGGCATGTTGGAGAACAGCTTTGACTTTGTATAATATTAAATCTCATAAAAACAGAGAGAAGTGCTGGGACATTTGTACTACGTATTACATTGACTTCGCTTATCCCACGGTTTGATTGTTTCAAATAATGCGTCTACTAAAGTGGGGCATATCTTCATCTTCCTAATGTGACAGCGTATAACATTGAACCCAGCTGGTTCTAAGGGGCATTCTCCAATAGCTATGGCACTTTCAAAAGTGATTTCCCTTCTCTGTCTCCTTGTTATACTCATATACCATACCGCCGCCCAGCCAAGTTTCCTGTACCATTTCTGCGAGAATGATAAAGGCAACTATACTGCAGACAGTGCCTACCAGACCAACCTCAACACCCTTTTATCCACTTTGTCTTCCGACACACAAATTGATTTTGGCTTCTACAATTTCTCTCAGGGCCAAAACTCTGACAAAGTTAATGCAATTGGGTTGTGTAGAGGAGATGTTAAGGCAGATGCATGCCGCAGTTGCCTCAATGATTCAAGAGTCCTTCTCACACAGCGTTGTCCAAACCAAAAAGAAGCAATTGGGTGGTATGACAATTGCATGCTGCGTTACTCAAACCGCTCAATATTTGGAACCATGGAACTTGACCCTACGTACTTTCTATGGACCCAAAATAATGCAACTGATATGGACCAGTTCAATGAAGCGCTCAGGGGCTTAGTGGACAGCCTCAGAAGCAAAGCTGCATCTGGTGATTCGCTTAAGAAGTATGCTGCAGGAAGTGCAACAGGTCCAAGCTTTCAAACTATATTTGCTCTTCTACAATGCACACCTGATTTATCTGGGCAACAGTGCAATGATTGTTTGGTTAGGGCCATCTCAGATATCCCAAGTTGTTGTGCTGGCAAGACAAGTGGCAGAATTGGAAAACCAAGCTGTAATCTTAGATTTGATACATCACCTTTCTATGACCCCTCAGCTGATGCCCCTCCAACTTCGCCATCACAAGTGCCTCCTCCTCCAGTCAACAACAATACTTCCACACAAGGTATCTGTGATGTTCTTAGTTAAGGAGTGCATTACTGCTTTGCTAAACTTCAACCTCTCTGAAGGGTCTTTGGGTTTTAAATTTTTAATAAACATAAATAAGTATTTATTCTCCGAAAATGTCATGGTTTTTACCCTAGTCTGTACAAAGAAAATTAATTTTTTGTTCTAATCTTTAACAAAAAAATCTTTGTCAGTTATCAACATGGAGTTCTAGTTTTTGCAGGAAACAGCAACACAACACGAATTGTCGTTGCCGTGGTTGTACCAATTGTTGCCATCGCTGTTCTTGTCATCTCTGTGTGCATCTTCTTAAGAGCGAGAAAGCAACGGAAAAATGTTGATACTGAAAGTAAGACAAAATATAGTTTTCTTGTTATGTTTTATTGACAAATAGACAAAAGTTTCGGCATTGACATGATAAAATTCAACTTTCCGCATTAATCAAAATAGAAATAATAAAATACGACTAAGATGTGTTGTTTTTACATCAACAGAAGGTATTGAATTAGTCAAAGAAACGAGAACTTTATCTTTAGCCATCATGTTTTATATTGACTTGCTGCTGTCAATCAATCTTAAATAACCTTTCAAGAACTAAAATTGATTGAACTACTTTCCTATGCGTAGCTGAAGTTGACAACGAAATTGAACCTACTGAGACATTGCAATTCAACTTTGACGTCATAAAAATTGCTACAAATAACTTTTCTGAGACAAATATGCTAGGACGAGGAGGCTTCGGACCTGTTTACAAGGTAAGAATATGCGGTTACATTTTAGACAAATAATATTTTTCCTCTTGTCGTATTTACTAATAATTGACCCAATTTACATGTTCCTAACTCTGATATATATTCAGGGTAAGCTTTCCAATGGACAAGAAGTTGCTGTCAAAAGATTGTCAGTGAATTCGGGACAAGGAGATGTAGAATTTAAGAACGAAGTGCAGTTAGTGGCCAAACTACAACACCGAAACTTAGTAAGGCTACTTGGTTTCAGTTTGGAAAGACAAGAAAGGTTACTAATCTATGAGTTTGTTCCCAATAAAAGCCTTGATTACTTCATATTTGGTAAGTTAGAATGGATAATTTAGTTTTTCTTAATGGTAAGTGATAATTATTTTAGACATGGTTTAAAAGGTTGTCCCTTGATCGGGGTTTGTAGATCCAATTAAGCGTGCACATTTGGATTGGGAAAGGAGGTATAAAATTATAGGAGGCATTGCTAGAGGCCTTCTTTACCTTCATGAGGATTCAAGATTGCGTATTATTCATCGTGATCTTAAAGCAAGCAACATTCTGCTAGACGCAGAAATGAATCCTAAGATATCAGATTTTGGCATGGCAAGATTGTTTGTTGTGGATCAAACTCAAGGAAACACAAGCAGAGTTGTTGGAACTTAGTAAGTGACATAATATGAAAGGGTTAATAAATTGTTTCGCTTAGTCCTTACCAACCAAAATGTAGGAAAATTGTATGCTAATTGAACTTGATGATATTGACATGCAGTGGATACATGGCACCTGAGTATATAATGCAAGGACAATTCTCTGTAAAGTCAGATGTGTTCAGTTTTGGTGTACTGGTTCTAGAGATAGTAAGTGGCCAGAAAAATAATGGCTTCCGTAGTGGAGAACATGTAGAGGATCTTATAAGCTTTGTAAGTCTCTTTCTTCATTGTCTTTTTGAAACATTAGTTAGAATGCAAGTCTAGTTCTTAACATTTTCTTCAATTGTGCAAATCCTTGTAGGCTTGGAAAAGCTGGCGGGAGGGAACAGCATCAAATATTATAGATCCCACATTAAATACAGGTTCAAGAAATGAAATAATGAGATGCATACATATTGGTTTACTCTGTGTTCAGGAAAATTTAGCTGATAGACCAACCATGGCTTCTGTTGCACTCATGCTTAATAGCAACTCTCACACACTTCCTGTACCTTCAGAGCCTGCATTTTTTATGCACAGTAGAGGTTTTTCAGAAACTCGGTCATGGGAGAATAATTCAGGAACCACAGAGTCAAGCAAATCAAAAAGGAAATCTGCCAATACTTATTCAAGTGAGGTCTCAACTGATGAACCTTCCCCTCGATAGAAACATTCAAGTGCACCCTCCTCTTTTTTTTCCAGGGGGGTAGTAACATATGGGTCTTTTTTCTTCTTGTAATTTAATTAATGTTTATACGTTCCTATCATTATCATTTTATTATTAGTTTCTCATCTCTTACAAAAAAATATTATTAGAACATTGTTATAATCAAATTTTAATAAAATATGAAGTTTTAATAATGATAATCTATTATCTAAAGAAAAATATACGCATTTAGAGATTTAAAGATAAGATAATCAAGCTTTAATTTTATTCCTTGATTTATTTTTAAGAATTTGAAAATTATATACTCCCACTGGCATATGGTACTGGAGGATGAAGTACCGTAGTAACAGGTTGCATCTTGTATGCATACATTATAATTAGAATAATATATTATGGATCGATATATTGAAATGATAAATTGGTATCCCCTGTAAGAGTTTTGGGCGGAATATTTTTTGCATGGATTGTAGATTTTTTTTTTATTTTTATTTTTTAATGTAATTCTATAGATGACTTTAGAATTCGAATTTTAATAATGTATATAAATTTGTCTAGATCCAAATTCCAATCTTATCTAGTATCTGCTACAACCAATAATACTCGTTAAATCGATAATGTTAAAAAGTTATATACATTAAAAATTAAAATCTATTTGTTTTCAAATCGGAATGCAATAAATTACTACAATGGATGGTTTTTAACTGAGGGTTGATTTATAAAACTGCAACCTTTGTAATGTGTGGCATATTAAAAAGTTGTTTCAAGTTGCATTCGGAAACAAGAAAGAAATGACGGGGAAAGCTCGTAATATGTACCACTTGTGTATATCCTCGTGTCTGTGCACTCCAGTCACATCACACTCATCCACGTTTCCCTAGACAACGATTTGTTCAAAGTCCATAAGAAGCTTCCGAGGTCAATTGAGTAGTTAAACTTTGCTTTTTAAAATCCAAAAGTGGTAATAATTTGTAAAGTGGATTTAGAGCTTTCGTTTTTCAACCAAGTGGAATATTCCAGTCTTAAATGTTACAAGGGTCCATGCATGGCCATCACTATCGATTCCTTCCCATTGGTTTGTAACATGGATGCTGGTTTTGGCCCTCTTCTTTTCAGTGAAGTTTCTTATTTACAATATAAAAATAAATAGTGTTAATCACTGTTTCAAGGCAATAATGCAACGACCTAAGTTAGAAAATGTTCATAGCTTTCCCACTTGTTGAATTGGACGCGGAAGTTTTAGTCATGAACTGCATATATCTACCTATGCTTCGAAGACAACAACAAGAGTTGAATCACTTTGCATTTCACCACCAATAAGCTTTTTTCCTAACCTTCAATATGGCCATGGTTTCAAAAATGCCTATATTTCTTTGTCTCCTTTTCATACTCATATTCATATCTCAAACCAACGCCCAGCCAAAATTCCTATACTATTTTTGTATCGATGACAATGGTAATTACACTGCTAACAGTACTTACCAGAACAACCTGAACACCCTTTTGTCCAACTTTTCTTCCAACACACAGATTGACTATGGTTTCTACAATTTTTCTTATGGCCATGACAGTGACAAAGTAAACGCAATTGGGTTGTGCAGAGGAGATGTTAAGCCAAATGATTGCCGTAGCTGCTTCAATGATTCCAAAGTTCTTCTCACAAAACTGTGTCCAAATCAGAAGGAGGCAATTGGGTGGTATGACAATTGCATGCTACGTTACTCCAACCGCTCAATATTTAACAGAAATGAAAATTCTCCTGGTTTCTATATGAGAAATAATGGTAATGCAACAGATGTTAATCAATTCAACCAAGTGCTGAGAGACCTGCTAGGTAGCCTCATAAGCAAAGCTTCATCAGGGGACTCCAAGCGTAAGTTTGCTGCAGCAAATATGACAGGACCAGGGTTTCAAACTATATATGGTCTTGTTCAGTGTACACCTGACTTGTCTGAGCAACAATGCAGTTCATGCTTGGTTGGGGCTATGTCAGAAATTCCACAATGTTGTGATAGCAAGAAAGGTGGTAGAATTGGAAGACCCAGTTGTAACTTCAGATACGAGATATACCCTTTCTATGATCTCACCAATGTTGAAATACTACAAGCACCAGCACCAACAGTGTTTGCTCTTAGTCCTTCATCAACAGATGCCTTGTCAACCAAAGGTACATGTCAGATCCTGCTTGAAATATAAAATAACGAAATGTCAACTAATAATTGAAGGAACTAATTAACTCTGGGAATTAGTGATTATACTTGTTGAGAATTATTCTTTAACCTAGAAATGTATTAATCAGATTAAAGTTACTATTCTATATCAGGGAAAAGCAAGACATCACGTAATGTAATATTAATAGTGGTGTCAATCGTTGCCTTTGTCACACTAGTCGTCCTTGTCTGCATCTATTTAAGAAAGAGGAGATCATGGAAACATATTGGAGGTAAGCTAACATCTGATTTTCTTTTTATGTGTAATTTGTTGATTTAGGCCTTCTCTGGACTTTGGTTGCTACCCTCAGAAATATGAATTTAGACTTTAGAGTAATTTCTCATAATTCTAGTTACTAAGGATTCAGCAGAACAATAAATTATGAAAGGTTCAATTACAATCAGGAAGAAGTAAAACGATATAAAATTCACTTGCTTGAAGTTTATAAGCAATGTTCGTATAATAAAGTGCGTTTTGCAAGAGTTGAAGAAAAATCTCAACAATAGCTTGGTATAAATAATAATTCGTTGTATAATGCATTTGATTGACAGTCATAACGAAAAAACTTGAAGTCATAACAATTAGAAAAATAATCTCATAAATTGCTTTCTCGGGTTCTATCTAGTACCCAAAAGGTTATTACTATCATTAATGAAAACAAATAAGCATTTCTAATCAGAAGATAATCCAAATGAACTAGAATTCCATTTGGAGAACTGATTTGTTCAACTTATTCCCAGATGATGGTAAAAATGGTGGCGAAATTAGATCAACTGAGACATTGCAATTGGACTTTGCCACCATTATGGCAGCTACCAACAACTTTTCTGATGCATGGAAGCTAGGACAAGGAGGATTTGGATCAGTTTACAAGGTAAACATAACAGTGTCACATGAAAATATAAATCACATCATATGAAGTGTGGTATACCAGATAAGCTGATAGTGGGCCCTGATTTACATTTATCAAACTCAAATTTTCAGGGTATGCTTTCCAATGGTCAGGAAGTTGCAGTGAAAAGGTTATCCAGGAATTCCATTCAAGGAGACATAGAGTTTAAGAATGAAGTGCTGTTAGTAGCCAAGCTTCAACACCGAAATTTGGTTAAGCTACTAGGATTTTGTTTGGAAAGAAGAGAAAGGGTACTGGTCTATGAATTTGTTCCCAATAAAAGCTTAGATTTCTTCATTTTTGGTAAGGCAAAACTTTTGGTTGGTTGGACTAAACATCTGTTACATAATTTCTACCACGTAGTTAACTGTATAAGCGTTCTGATTGTTTAGAATATTATATTTTGGCTTTGGGATGTAGATCAAACCAAATGTGCTCAATTGGATTGGGAAAGGAGGTACAAAATCATAGGTGGCATTGCTAGAGGCCTTCTTTACCTTCATGAAGATTCACGTTTGAGGATTATTCACCGTGATCTGAAGGCAAGCAACATTCTATTGGATGCAGAGATGAACCCTAAGATATCAGATTTTGGCATGGCAAGATTATTTGAAATGGATCAAACTCAGGGCAATACAAATAGAATTGTCGGAACCTAGTAAGTAATAATAGAATGTTTCATGGCTAATAAGTTGCACTAATCACCGTCTTCAATCAAAATAAAGAAATCTTCAATGTGAGCTTAAGAGAGTTGTTAATATTGCATGTAATTGAGGTCGTCCATGTTGACATGCAGTGGATATATGGCACCTGAGTATGCTATTCATGGACTATTCTCAGCAAAGTCTGATGTTTTTAGTTTTGGAGTATTGGTTCTGGAGATTGTTAGTGGCCAGAAAAATAGTTGTGTACGAAGAGGGGAGAATCTAGAGGATCTTCTAACCTCTGTAAGTAAACCTTATTTTAATCACATATTTGCCTTGTCTTTGAAGATTTGATACTTAGGTTCAATTGGTACATATGGATTGTAAAACGTTTTTTCTAACGTGTGCACTAGACATATATTAAATACTTTATCATAAAAAATATACTGTTTTGTAAAATGTAAGTCTAGCTAAATCGATTTTATTTTTACCATTGAGCAACTCTATGCAGGCATGGAGAAATTGGAGGGAAGGGACAGCCTCAAGCATTGTTGATCCCACAATTAATAATGGTTCAACAAATGAAATAATGAGATGTATCCACATTGCGTTGCTTTGTGTTCAGGAAAATGTAGCTGATAGACCAACCATGGCTTCTGTTGTTCTAATGCTTAACAGCTATTCTATTACTCTTCCATTGCCCTCACAGCCTGCTTTCTTTACTGATAGTACAAGTCTATCAGTGATTGAATCAGATGAGCATGATCCAGTGACTGGAAGATCAGATGAAACGAATATTCACTCTGTTCAAGGATCAGTAAACGAGGCTTCTATCACTGAGCCGTTTCCTCGCTAGAGTTCACTGATAAAAGTGAAACTTGTAGACTAAATTTACCAGTTTCTTCTTATTTTTTTATTGTACCCGCCACACTGAATAACCTTGATGTTAAGATTCTGAGTTTTATAAACAAGCTTAGTTCAGTCGCATAAAGAAAATCAAATAAAGAAGAAATGAAAGGTGGTTAAATCAAGACAGGTTCAACTTTACTATTATTTTACAGCACCTGTTGTGATGTTTATTTATTTGATTTTTCTGAAGTGAACTCAAAAGGCTCATAGTACCATATTAACAAATGATATTTTTTTATTAAAAATTATAGTGCTTATTTTTTTATAAGTTTATGTAGAAGAAAATTAATTTAAATTATTTATTATGACATTAATTACTACAAAATTCTTAACATGAAAAAGGGTTTAAATTCTTTTTTCTTTACCGTAACTCCTAATTAAATTGACATTTTCGATTTATCTTTCCTTTTTGTACGAAAGAAATTGTGATTGGTTTTCTAACTTCCCCGGACCCCGGTTTATTGCAACACTAAATTAAATCAATATTTCGCCTTTTTTTACAAAAATAATTGTGAATTTCAAAATATAATATTAATACAGTAAGTTGAAGAGTAAAAACAATAAATATTTTCTAAAATTAAACAACTCTTCAAATATTTATTTTTAAAATTATTGTTATCCATATTTTAATAGGATTAGATGGAAATGACATAAACTGTGATGAATTTATCAATCAGATATTTAACTTACTAACAATGAAGGTCAATAAAAAAATATAATGCAAATAATTTTTAAATAAATAGCTTTATATATATTCTACTTCATTCTGGGATATAAATTATTCCTGAGCTCTTCGAACGACCTTTTTGCTTCTAATGCATTAAATAGCTTGGATCTTACTAAAATATGCACTTTAAGATCAACTCACTTGTCTAAACTCTCTCTCTCTCCACCGACTCCATTATGCTTTGTTTGGATTAGAATATTTAAGAAAAACATAATTAGGAAGGAGGAAAGTAGAGAGAAAAAATATATATATAGTTTAGATGGAACAAAACAAGATAAGACATTTTTTTTAGTGAAACGTACCGGTAAAAAAAAAAACTTTCAATTTGAGGGAAAGGAAGAAAAAAAAAAGAGGGGAAAATTTTTTTTCCTTTTAATTTTTGTTTATTTTATTATTGTAATACTAATATATTTTTTGTAGGATGTTACTATTTTCAAAATATATAATTTATTGATAAAAAGTATTATAATAAAAAATTTGAATTTTTATTTAATTTAAATGCTATGATTATTTTAAATTAATTTTCCCTTATTTATTTATTTAAATAAATAAAGATTTTTTTTATTTTAACTCATTTAAATAATTCTTTTTATTTTTCTATTTTATCTGGTCCAAATAGAGCATTATATTTGGAGCAGTAAAACAAGTGAGATTCGTGTATTATTTAGAGGTATTTTTTTCCCAATAAAAGAATGGAGCTTGATGCGCATGTGTTGATTAAAATATTTAAGTATACCATAAATCATTGGTCCATTTTTGAAATGAAGAAATGTGAATGGTGAGCACAGAGCAGCAGCCAGCAGATTGAAGCACCTTGAAATGGACCGTGGAATAAATTTCAAAGTTGCATGGAAATCATCATTGCCGTCTACACTGTTTTGTCCTGTCGTCAACGAAGATGATAATAAAAGAAAAGAAAAGCCATCATCATTTTTTTAATCTTTAGCAGCCCTACAAATGATTTAGATTTTGGATAAATATCATAACAATATTAATAATACTTAAAAAGTTACACTTAAATTTTTGTTATTAATAAGTTTTTTTTATCTATTTTCATCCGTGTATTTATAATAACTCTTATTTATGCATTATAAAATTTTATTTATGATTTTTTTATTAAAAATAATAAAATATTATAAATTTTAATTTATTAATAATATTAATACTATAATTTTTAATGAAAGAATGGATAACAAAGTTATCGAAGTTGCAGGATTTTAACAGCTAATCAAATTTTTGCCTTTTGGATTGAGGTATCTTTAATGGAGGCAATTTTGTTAGATCGGTATAGACATCTCAAATGAATTATAACTCCTCGTTCGCCCTGTAACTCTGTATAGCATTGCACAGTTTTTAATCTCTCATCTTTTATGTATGTTCTGAATGTCAAAATTTGTGAAAACTGTCGTTAACAATCTCTCTATCAACTTTAAAGACGCAACTACTAATTCTTCAAAATTTCAGTCTAAAGTTCGAACGAATAAGGAACACATTATTAGCAGCGTTTCTGCACCCTCCAGACTTGCACAACACATTAAAATGTTAAAAAATATCAACCATGCAATTATTTGATGTCATTGGACCAATAGTTTACCTCAGCCCTGTACGATCTCCCCGCACCCCAAATGGATATATAATAATATGAAACTTTAAAGCTTTGATTTTTCAACTATGATATGAACTTTCGAAGAAATTAGAAGATTGGACCTACAGAGAGAAAGAATATTAGAAAACGAAGGATGTTTATACATTATAAAGGGGAAAAAAAAAAAAGAATCTCCAATCCATTAATCGGAGGCAGTCATCAATTTCTTTGTTACGTTCCATTGCTTGCATTTAGGATGGCTGCTATGGCCATAGTATCTGCAAAAGTGCTCTTATTTATTTTTTTCTCTGTCATTCTCGTGTTTCAAGCCACGGCCCAGCCAAGCTTCGTAAAATGTTTTTGTAATAATAAAAATGGCAACTACACTTCTAACAGTACTTTCCATGCCAACCTCAATGCCCTTTTGTCCAACCTCTCTTCCAACACTGAAATTGACTATGGCTTCTACAATTTTTCCATTGGCCAAAACTCTAACAAAGTTAACGCTATTGGGATGTGTAGAGGAGATGTTAAGTCAGAAGCTTGCCGTAGCTGCCTCAATAATTCAAGAGTCCTTCTCACGCAATTGTGTCCAAACCAGAAGGAGGCAATTGGGTGGTATGATGAGTGCATGTTGCGCTACTCTAACCGCTCAATATTTGGGACTATGGAAATTGAACCTTCTTGGAATATATGGAACAATAGGAATGCACCAAATGCGAATGAGTTCAATCAAGTTGTTGCTGAATTGCTGAGTAGTTTAGGAAGTAAAGCTGCTGCTGGTGATTCCCACCGTAAGTTTGCTGCAGCAAACAAAACAGGTCCAAGCTTTCAAACTATATTTGCTCATGTGCAGTGTACACCTGATTTGTCAGGGTTAGATTGCGGTCAGTGCTTGTTTGGAGCAATATCGTATATCCCAAACTGCTGTGCTGGTAAGGTACGAGTCAGAATGTTCAAACCAAGTTGTAATCTTAGATTTGACACCACCCCATACTATGATGATTCTATGATTGATGTGCCGCAATCCCTCGCACCGCAAGCTTTTCCTTCTACTCCTCCATCCGTCAATGCCACGTTCAGAAAAGGTTTGTTCCTATGGCTATCAAGACATGTTCTATGCTACTTAGCTCTTTTTTGTGATTTCATTAAAAATTACCTTCAGAGTCCTTCACCTTATTATTCTCAATATGCAATTGTGCAGGAAAGAGCGACTCATGGAAAATTGTCACTGCCATTATTGTGCCAATTGTCTCCTTTGTAATACTCCTTACCTTTGTTTGCATCCATTTAAAAGGAAAGAAACCACGGAAGTATTTGGAAAGTAAGTCCATTATCCTGTTCCTTATAACCGTTAACTTTTAAGTCAAGTACATAATAGAAATGAAATGTTCGTTAAACAAGTTTAACTCCATAGACAAACAATTGTTCGGGACTATTAATGTTGGAAATAACATAATTTATAATAGATTTTGTTTTTTAATCATATAGTTCTTACTATCAATTAAGTAAATAAAATTGTACTGTATGACATTCTTGGATATCATCGTTTAAAGATCTCTGTTAAATTCTCTTGAGATACCTTGACTTGAATTATGATATTACTAATTAACTATGATGATTACTGTGTCTCTTATGTTTCATCGGCTGTTATGATCAGCTGAGTCATCAAGTAAATTTTAAAAATTTATAAGACACTTTTCTTATATTGACAATAAATATATCTAAAACTATTCGTGGACTTGAGTCATTCACATGTTAATTTTGTGTGTTTCGCTTTTCTTTTTTATTACTTTTTTTGTATTTCTGTCGTCACAAATTCATTCCTCAGGTGAATCCGAAGTTGTCTATGAAATCGAGCCCACTGAGACATTACAATTTGATTTCCAAACCATCGTAGATGCTACAAATAACTTTTCAAATGCAAATAAGGTTGGGCAAGGTGGATTTGGATTAGTCTACAAGGTGAGATAACACTATAAGGATGAGCTAAATATAACCTCTTGGTCAAAACGTAGTTGGAATACGTATTTGGCAAAGATTTAACGTTTTAAAACTCTTGTATATTTTCAGGGTAGTCTTCTCAATGGCAAAGAAGTTGCTATCAAACGGTTATCCAGGAACTCTGGCCAAGGAGATATAGAATTTAAAAATGAATTGTTATTATTAGCAAAACTTCAGCACCGAAATTTAGTGAGGCTACTTGGCTTTTGTCTGGAAACAGGAGAAATGATATTAGTCTACGAATTTGTTCCCAATAAAAGCCTTGATTACTTCATATTTGGTAACATACAACTTCTGTTTTTTGCTGCACTTCACACTCTGAACATAATTGAAAACATTCTCTGTTTCCTTCTGCATGTAGATCCCATCAAGCGTTTACTTTTGGATTGGGAAAGGCGCTACAAGATTGTAGAAGGTATTGCTCGAGGTCTTCTTTATCTTCATGAAGATTCTCGACTACGCATTATTCACCGTGATCTCAAAGCAAGCAATATACTCTTAGATGAAGAAATGAATCCAAAGATATCAGATTTTGGCATGGCCAGACTATTTGATGCAGATCAAACTGCAGCAAATACACTGAGAGTTGTTGGAACCCAGTAAGTACCATAATATGCCGAAGGCAAATATTTTGTCTCTCTAATTGTAGCAACAAAAGGAGGAAAAACGAATCATATGCTAACTATCTAATTGAGTTTGTACATGTTGATATGCAGTGGATATATGCCACCGGAATATGCATTGCATGGACATTTTTCAGTGAAATCAGACGTTTTTAGTTTTGGGGTACTTGTTCTTGAGATTGTTACTGGACACAGAAACAATGATATCCATAATGGTGATTATGTAGAACATCTAATAAGCTTTGTAAGATTGCTGCTACCTTTAATCAACAATTTTCTTGGCCTTGAAATTCTTCATGACAGTGTTAAGATATATTCTTGTAGGCATGGAGAAACTGGAGGGAAGGGACTGCCTCAGACATTGTAGATCCAACACTGAACAATTATTCAAGAAATGAGATAATCAAATGCATCCATATTGGATTACTGTGTGTTCAAGAAAATGTAGCCAACAGACCAAATATGGCAACAATTGTAGTCATGCTTAACAGCTACTCTATGAGTCTTCCAGTACCCTCACAACCTGCATATTTTATGAGTGGCAGTAGTTCATCAGTTTCAAGGTCAGGTGAATCAAGAAATAACTCCATGCAAGCATCAGAAAATGAGGCTTCTATTAGTGAGCAAGATCCTCGCTAGATTTTAGTGATGTGATACTCAAAAGCATTACTAGCTGATTTTAATTCAGCTCCTATCGACGTACAAGCTCTCTAAATCAGATTTGATATGATCTTATTCAACTCAAATGTTGCTGTCTAGTAATAGACACTACAAAGAAAGTGTAACTTCCGCAGAATCTGATATCTTAGATTAATAAAATTATTTAATGTCGTTAACCGTAGAAATTAAATGTGGGTGATATGGTATACTTCCTAAGTCTTTCAAGTTGGTTCATGTTACTTTCACATTAATAACTGCTACAGGTCTTCTCTGACTACTTGTCTACGGCTCTCTTTAGAAGAAATGTGAAAAATAGAGAAAAATAAAATAAAATAGAATTAAAAATATTTAATATTTAAGTGACTTAAAATAAGAGTACAAAAATAATAAAATTTTATTTGTTTGAATAAGTAAAATAATTTAATATACTAAAAATAATTTTAAAAATTTAGATTATTTATGGTAAGATTCACTAACAAAACATTTCATTTCTCTTCTTCCTTTTCTCAACCAAACATAACAACTTTCTCTTTCTTCTGTCTCCTTCTCTTCATCTATTTTCATGGCATACAAACACAGTTATATAATGAATAATGTGATAAAAAAAAAGACAATAAAAAATAAAAATACGAGAAAGTAAATTAAACTTATAAAAAATTATTATAGAAATAATAAAAGTCTTAACAATACTTTTCTTTTCAATTGTTTTGACTGGTAAAAGCGTGTAACATTAATTTCTGAAGTGACAAGATCTTTCTTCGTATGTTTAGCTTCAATCTCGGGTTTGTTGCTTGGGAATCTCTGAGGATAACTACAATTTACAATGGGTGCTATTTCATTTCTTTGCTGTTTCTTTGCGATAATCATATCGCAAGGCAGCGCCCAGACTTGTGATAACGAGAAAGGAAACTACACAAGCGATAGCGCCTATCACGACAACCTCAAGGTCCTCCACACTCTTTTGTCCACCTTCACTTTCCTCCGAGATATTAACTATGGTTTCTACAATTTCTCGTACGGCGAACACACAGACAAAGTATACGTCATTGGCCTCTGTAGAGCTGATATTAACCCAGACACGTGCCTCAGTTGTCTCAGTAATTCGAGTGTGTCTCTCACACAGAACTGTCCAAACCAGAAAGAGGCAATCATGTGGACTGGAGAGTGCATGTTGCGCTACTCTCACCGCTCAATATTTGGGGTCCTGGAAAATGATCCAAAGACAATACTCTATTTTACAAAGAAAGTAACAGGATCGGTGGATGCATTCAATGAAGCGCTGGCGCAGTTGATGAGGAACCTAACAAAAGAAGCTGCATCAGGTGACTCTCGTCGTAAGTTTGCTTTAGGTACCTCGCCTGCTGGTTTTCAAACCATATACGGTAATGTGCAGTGTACGCCTGATTTGTCATCGGAAGAATGCAGTAACTGCTTGAGTGATGCTATCTCAGAAATCCCAGGTTGTTGTAGTGGTTATGCTGGAGTTAACGTTTTAAAACCCAGTTGTAGAATTAGATTTGACCCTTATAGCTACTTCGGTCCTTTGCCAAAATTAGACCCAGATGTACCACCATCGCCCCAACCTCAACTCTCCACCCGCAACCCTTCTACACAAGGTACTTTTCCACTTTTGCTTAATTGCTTTATATTAACACCTCTTTAGTATCTTTTATTTCTTTTTACCTCTTCTGCATCGTATCAAATAACATTTTCCTTTTACATGTATTAGCTGTGGAACTTGCTATATTTTGATGATATTAACAGTGCTTTCCCATTCAGGAAAGAGTAACTCGCCACTGACAGCCATCGCCATAGCAGTGGCCGTTGTTGTTGTTGTATTGGTGCTCTGTTTTATCTTTATTTATTTGAAAGTGAGGAGGCCAAGGGATATTTTTGAAAGTAAGTATGAGGCTTTAAAGTTTTTTTAAAGCAATGATTTACAGCCAGAAATTGGGTAGGATGCAATTACCTAGTCAATTTTAAAGTTTCGTTGATTCTTTGAGTATCCAATGTGGGACGGATGGAGAAGCCAGTAGCAATTTCCTTCTACTTAAGACATTATATCTATCAATGTTCTGTTTCGATTTATCACATTTGAAAAACTCACGAGTTATAACCCTGTTCCTCCTCATGTCCAGCTGAAGATGATGATGATGAAATTAAAACCCACGAGTCATTACAATTACAGTTTTATACAATACGAATTGCCACAAATGACTTCTCAGATTCTAATAAACTTGGACAAGGAGGATTTGGGGCTGTTTACAGGGTAAGATAACATTGTTTGTGCTACTCACGCTAAATGTCTCCTTTATCCCAATGTGGTACTCCGAGTTGTTCAGACGTGAAAGTATATTAACCAATTGATATACATTTTCAGGGTAGATTCTCCAATGGACGAGAGATTGCTGTCAAAAGATTGTCAAGGGATTCTCGCCAAGGAGATATTGAATTTAAGAATGAGGTGCTTCTAGTGGCCAAGCTTCAACACCGAAATTTAGTCAGACTACTTGGTTTTTGTCTCGAAGGAAGAGAAAAGCTACTTGTTTACGAGTTTGTTCCTAATAAAAGCCTTGATTATTTCATATTTGGTAGGTTTGTATATCTACTATTCAGTATAATTAGATTGTTACTATATTGGTCCTGGTTCAAGACAAAGACTAAGCATAAACAAAGTTGTAAAATTCATATGCTTGGTTGTATGTGCAGATGAAACCATGAAAACAGAATTGGCATGGCAAAACCGCTACAAAATAATTGGAGGTATTGCTCGTGGCATTCTTTACCTTCATGAGGATTCTCGATTGCGCGTTATTCATCGTGATATTAAAGCTAGCAACATTCTCTTAGACCAAGAGATGAATCCTAAGATAGCTGATTTTGGCATGGCAAGATTGTTTGGTCTGAATCAAATACATGGAGATACAAATAGAATTGTTGGAACCTAGTAAGTATTTGAATATACTAAACTTATTAATTACTATTAATATCATTGGGCTCAGCAACTAAAATTTGGGGGAAAAAACGAAGATGTCCGTGAAACGATTATGTTTAATATGTTTGTTCACATCATTTTGTAGTGGATATATGGCACCTGAGTATGCAATGCATGGACAGTTTTCAGTGAAGTCAGATGTCTTCAGTTTTGGGGTATTGGTTCTTGAGATTTTAAGTGGCCTAAAAAATCACGGTATTCGTCATGGGGAGAATGCTGAGGACCTACTGAGCTTCGTAAGTCATTACAAGTAGCGTTTTCCATTATTTAAAAAATTTATCTTTTTAAACATCTACACCTATATTTATATTTTATCACACTTACATATATATATATTTTTTCTTTTTTCTCGTATAACATCCAGACTTTAAAATGTGTGATCTCTTCCTTGGGTGTCCCATTGAAATGTCTCCCTCTGGGTGTCCCCACATTTTTAAATATGAATGTGACCTGAGGAAAGAAGAAAAAATATATAAATAATAGTGATAAACATAAAAGTAGGTGTAGATGTTACTATTATTGATCAAGTAGTAGAAGGATCAGAAGATTTTGTTTGACTAATTACCGTAGGAGAGTACAAATGGAATATATGAACCAATAATATCTAGAATTAAGCAAATTCATGCAGGCATGGCGAAAATGGAGGGAGGGAACAGCTTTGAATATTGTAGATCCCGTATTAAATAACGCTTTGCAAAGTGAAATAATGAGATGCATCCACATTGGGTTACTGTGTGTACAAGAAAATGTAGCTGCCAGACCAAACATGGTTGCCGTTGTACGGATGCTTAGTAATGATACTGACACTCTCCCAGTACCTTCAGAACCAGCATTTTATGTGGATAATACTACTGGAAACCTTTCTGGCATGCATCAATGGGAGTATAATTCAACGGCAACAAGATCAACCCAACAGTTAAATAGATCATCTCAAGAATCAGTCAATAAAATTTCAATTACTGAGTTATATCCTCGCTAGTTTTGATCCTAGTTGTGAAGTTCGTAACTCGTAGGCATAATTGATTCAAAATTAACGAATTCAATCCTGTAACTGATATACGATGTCATGGAACATGGGTAAAGCTTATCGTTTATTGTCTTGGTTAAAGTGAGACAGAAACCTGTAATGTGTGTTTTAATAATAAAATGTGTTGACCAATATATATTCGATGTATTTGACAATTTCTTGGGGGAAATCTCTAGCTTAAACTACGAGTCTACGATTAATCTTCCTCAATAATCTGAAACCCTATTTCTGAAGGCAGAAATTTTGCATATGAACAAGTTTCAATTTAGAATTTCTGGCATATTCCACCAGTGCTTTTGTTTAATATGATACAATTTATTATTAATACTAAATTTTTATTTCTTTAGTTATCTTGTCCAAGAATGGACACGTGTTGGATTTAAATCGGCAACATGACTAAGTGCCTTGTGAAAGTCTATGTCGAATATAATAAATATACGTAAATAAAATTTATAAAAATTAAAATAATTTTTATTTTAGGAACTAATTTTTGAATAGTTTTAATTTTGAAGTCTTAAGAAAGTGGATATGTTAAATATTTAAAAAGAGAATTTTCTTATTCATAATAATTTAATTTAATTTAAAGAAAATTATTTTGTAAAGGATATTTATGATCTAAAATTTAAAAAAATAAATTAGTCCTTAGTCCGAATTTAATATTGTATTTTACACATAATATTAGGTCACTTTTAACTAAAAAAATTTAGCCCATAAATTTTTTTTTAATCTTTTTTATAGACAGACATCTCTAACATTCACTTAAAAAAAAAAAACACCTAAATTAGTTTAAAAAATAGAAAAGAAAAAACATTTTCCTAAATTTATATACAAACAGGGCCGAAAAAATGAAGGACGCGTGCATGGAGTTTCCACGTCTCTTTATATGGACCTCAACAACCAGTTGGTCCTGTTGAAATATTCTCTTGAACGTTTCAAACACGGCATGAATAAATGGGAAAGCACTTAAGGCATCCCTCTCTCTGTAAGGGAAAAATGGTTGAGGTATGTATCAATAGTTTCGGCTAGTTGTGAAAGTAACCCAAAGTTATTAATCATATAAATAGTTATCGTATTTAAGTTGTGTTTTTTCTTTTTATATAGATATTAAATAATTGAGACTCTAAAAATTAATAATACGAAATATAGACACACATGATTTGCAATGAGCGTAATAATTAAGATCCAATCCCATTAAAATTTGTAAAACGTGTGGGAATATGTACAAGAGTGATATATGTTAATCCTCCTTTTGGATTTTTCATTGATTTAACTACACTAATTACGCTGCTTTCATCTGAAAATTAATCATCTCTCTAGAATTTGGAATTTGCTCGCTTTGTCATGCGCACTCTGGTCACACTCAGTTGTCGTGCAAGACATTTCTGTTTCCAATTCCATAAGACACGGCATATTTTCAAATATTTTAATTTTGACCTGCTGAAAATGCAAGAAATTTCACTTTGTTATCGTTTACTCATTTTAAAATTAAAAGATAATCTACATTTTTATATTATAAATTTAACTTTTTTTCAGTGATCGTATTTTTAAATTTTATTTTATCTTTGCAAAATTATCTTACTTTGCATGTATTGAATATTTAATCTTATTTATAATTTTTATTAGTTTTAAATACTCTTTCTTAATTTTAATTTTAACAATGTATCAAACTGAATATGATTTTCCTTTCTAGGTAAATTGAATTTTAATATTATTTTTATTTTTATATTTTGATATACCACGTCAAGAAAAATAAAATGTCCTAATTTTCATAATTTTTATCACCTTTAGAACTCTTTAATTGCTATAAAATAATAATAATAATAATAATAATAATAATATCTATCGTTCTGTTGAATTTGTTTTATTTAAATATAAAATATAAAATATTCATACTATGGAAATGTATATTTACTGAATTATTTTTAAATCATCAGTAGAAAAGTATATATTTTGTATGCTCTTTAGACGAATTACCTACATCGTTAAAAGAATTTTTATTAATGATATATAAATACAACATCACGTCATATTATAAAAACTTTTCACTAAATTGAAATTAATCATACAAATTATTTTAAAATAAAATTTACAAGTAAAACCAATTTAACGTTGACAAAAACATTTTCTATAATCAAAATACATCAAAATAAAAGCGGTATACTTATCAAAATTACACGGATTGAACAGTAAGAAATTGACTTCAAATAAATTTTGTTAAAAGAAAAATGTTAAAAATATTTTTTAACATTTTTTCTAATATATTTTATTTATTCATTAAAATTTATAAAAATATATGTAAGTTATATTTGAAATTTAATACGTTTATTCCATTTTATAATTTAAATAAATTTTAATCAAAATATTAAGTGTGCATGATATAAGTTACGACAGTACAGAGTATCCTTCTGCCATTGGAAGCTAATCAAAAGTGAAGGTTCAATTTCCCATTTGCTATTATGATTACAGAGAGGGAAATCACGATGACAGGTGTTTCTTACAGGTTTAATACCTTTGTGTGTTGCCTCCTTGTGATAATTTCATCTCTAACCAACGCCCAGCCAAACTTTTTATATAAATTCTGTATTGATCAACAAGGCAACTACACAGCAAACAGCACCTATCAGCACAACCTTAATACCCTTTTGTCCAATCTCTCTTCCAACACAGAAATTAAATACGGTTTCTACAATTTCTCGTATGGCCAAAACAGTGACAAGGTAAATGCCATAGGGCTATGCAGAGGAGACGTTAAACAAAATGAATGTCTCAGCTGCCTCAACAATTCAAGAGTGCTTCTCCCACGGCTTTGTCCAAACCAGAAAGAGGCAATTGGGTGGTACGACAATTGCATGTTGCGCTACTCCGACCGCTCAATATTTGGTCTCATGGAGGCTTCACCCTCGTTTTATATGTGGAACTTAAACAATGCAACAGATGTGGATCGGTTCAATGAAGTGTTGAGAAAGTTGTTGGAGAGCCTAAGAGACAAAGCTGCACCAGGTGATTCACGTAAGTTTGGTGTAGCAAACTTAGTCGGTCCAAGTTTTCAAACCATATATGGTCTTGTACAGTGTACACCTGATTTGTCTCAACAGGACTGCTACAACTGCTTGACTGGAGCTATCTCAGAAATCCCAAATTGTTGTAATAACAAAATAGGTGGTAGGGTTATTAGACCCAGTTGTAATTTCAGATATGAAAATTACCGCTTCTATGAACCTTCTGCAGAAGCATCACCACCGTCACCGCAGCCAATGCCTTCACCACCTTCACTCTCCTCCAATAATAACACTTCCTCTCAAGGTAAGCATCACATTTGCTTAATTTCTCACAGCGTAATAGTTACGACTGATCCATCAAGGCTGAAATGAGGACTTGACTTAATGATCCATTTTTCAGTTCGATTAATAATTAGTGAAGTAATTACTGAAATTTTGTTGTTCCCTTTTATGTAAGATTGTTTTTTACAAACCAGCTTTGAAATATTTTTTATGTATTTTTTAATACCCTTTTATTCTTTATACATTGAATATTAAATTAAAAAATAATATATTTTTTATTTTTTAAAATAAATTTCTCAAAAATTCTATATCATTCTCATATGCTCTCTCCCTTAGTAATTTGTTAAGTAAACTTACAGAAATAAAAAAATACGAAAAATTAGAATTATTCTGTCTGCTGGACTCAAAATAATAAGTGCCTATGCAAAGACAAAACAAGGTTTGCAGGATTTATGTGGTGATATAGTTCGAAAATCGTGTTTACGGTGGTGTGGTGACTTTTCTATGTGCTACTATTTATCTGTTGAACTTTGCAAAAATCTGTCCCACCGGCGATGATTCTGATTTGCGCAGGAAACAGCAACACAGCACGAACTGCCATCGCCATAGCTGTGCCAATTGCTGTTGTTTTGGTGCTCAGTACTTTTATCTGCATCTATTTAAGGGTGAGGAAGCCACGGGAAGTTTTTGCAAGTAAGTCTAAGTATATATCGTCACTTGTTCTTTTAGCTTACTCTATCAATATCATGACTGGCCTTTTTGTGGAAACCTTACTGTGCTTTCTATTAAATTAAAATATCAAATAATGGGTATTATTTTGCAGACTATAGATTATATATTATGATTTTTTAATATATAGCATGTATTAAAAATATTTGAAATATATTTTATTAAGTATTTTATAATAAAAAAATATGCATCAATATTTTTTAATAACTTTCAAATCATTATTATTATATTTTAAACTTTTTATTGTGTCCTTGTATAGTTGTATACCCGTTAAAAAATCGTGTATTATATATACTGTATACATACAAAAAATCTAGAAATATAGGTAAACCTGGAAATCAAGAACTAAGAAAATAATCTATCAGTAATCTACGTCGAGTGTGCTTATCTTAATTGAAAAGTTCACTACTTTAACCCCGTTGTCTGTGTCCTTCTGAAGATGAAAATGAAGATGAAGATGAAATTAAAACCAGGGAGTCATTGCAATTCCATTTTGATACCATAAGAGTCGCTACAGATGACTTCTCAGATTCTAATAAACTTGGACAAGGTGGATTTGGAGCTGTATACAGGGTAACTTACACTCCTTCGAACACATAAATGCTACCCGTTCGTCAAAACATGATATAATTGACCAGTTACTTGAGCAACAAAGAATTAACAATACTTGATTGTGACACTTTCAGGGTAGGCTATCAAATGGACAAGAGATTGCAGTTAAAAGGTTGTCGAGGGAATCTGGTCAAGGGGACGTGGAATTTAAGAATGAAGTGCTTTTAGTGGCCAAGCTCCAACACCGAAATTTAGTTAGGCTACTTGGTTTCTCTTTGGAAGGAAGTGAAAAGCTACTCGTCTATGAATTTGTTCCTAACAAAAGCCTTGATTACTTTATATTTGGTAGATCTGAATATTAACAATATATCTGCATAATTAAATTGTTACTCTATTACTTCAGTTTAGGTCCAAGACAAAGGTTAGCTACAAAGTACTAACATGTTTCATATGACGTTGGCATACATGTAGATCCAATCAAGAAAGTACAATTGGATTGGGAAATGCGCTACAAAATCATTGTAGGTATTGCTCGAGGCCTTGTATACCTTCACGAAGATTCCATACTGCGCATTATACATCGTGATCTTAAGCCAAGTAACATTCTCTTGGATGAAGAGATGAATCCAAAGATATCTGATTTTGGCATGGCAAGACTGTTTGTTGTGGATCAAACTCAAGGAAATACAAGTAAAATTGTTGGAACCTAGTAAGTATTTGAATATGCTAGAATTATGAATGTAAAAGTGAAAGATTGCAAAATTATGTGTGTGAAAAGACTAAGTAATATCTATGACTAATTAAGCTGGCCCATATTTACCTGCAGTGGATATATGGCACCTGAATATGCAATGCATGGACAATTTTCAGTAAAATCAGATGTCTTTAGTTTTGGTGTACTAGTTCTTGAGATTGTAAGTGGTCAAAAGAACACCGGCATTCGTCATGGGGAAAATATAGAGGATCTAATGAATTTCGTAAGTCCTTCTTTTCTTACTACTATTATTATATTGCACTAGAATGTGGATTAGAAGGTTACATGCTCTTAGACATTAATTTAGAAGTTGAATCAATCACTATTAGAGACCTAACAGTATCAGCAATTGAGCGAAAATTATTCTTGCAGGCATGGAGAAACTGGAGGGGCGGGACAGCCACAAACATTATAGACCCATCACTAAACAACGGTTCACAAAATGAAATGATGAGATGCATCCACATTGGTTTACTATGTGTTCAAGAAAATGTAGCTGATAGACCAACCATGGCTACCATTGCTCTCATGCTTAATAGCCATTCTCTTTCTCTTCCAGTGCCTTCCGAACCTGCTTTTTTTATGGACAGGGATGAGTATAGTTCAAGGCCAAGTGAATCGCCAATAAAATCAGATAAAGAATCAGTGAATGAGGTTTCAATTACTGAGCTGTATCCTCGCTAGATTTTGGTCGTAGCAGCAAAGTCATGGAACTGATCATAATTTTTGTGCCATGTCTTGTTTAAAAATTGACCACAGATTCTCTCTGTTTAATCCGAGACTGAAACCTGGAATGTGATATGTAGTTGGTGTTAGTGTAAGCTATGGCTATATAGCTAGCAGCTCCCTTACCCTTTGAATTTGAATAAGGGTATTACCTGTATTTCTTAACTTAAAATAAAATTTTCTAAATATATAAGTCGCATATTTATACACTTGAATTCATTATTTAACTATTTATTAATATTTCCGGTTTTATTTATAAAAAATAATTGTCAAAATTTTAAATTCTTAATTATAAAAAATAACGACTTATTTTTAAATATATTAATTATTAAATTCATTTTATATCCTTAATTTATTATAAAATTATGATAATTACGCATTTATCTATTTTTAATGAAGGCTACTGAATTAATTATTTAATATGTTGGACATTTTTGAAACAAAAATATATAATTATTTTTATTCATGATGATAAATTGGTTTGTCTTTTGAAAATAATAAGAAAGCAGGTAGTATTATCTTGGTTCTTTTAATTTAAAACTTACGTTAGACTGAGGAATTTAACGTGAAATTACGTTAGACTTGTCCGAATGAATTATTTGAACAATAGCAAGTGTGATGTGACTTTTTGGTTGATTGAGGCTTTCTTAATTCCATTTGAGAACCGCGTCTAGCACTGAATGCTTTAGCAGAAAAAGGTATCCATCTTCGGCACCCTCACAGTCATTTTATTTTTAAATATTATAATTTAAATTTAATCAACGTATTTTTATATTATAATTATGTTTAATTTCAACCTTATTTTATATTTTATTTCAACATCTGTATTGTTTAAATGAATAAAAAGACATATATAAAATTTATTTAAAAATTACAAAAGGGATATTAGAAAAGTTTTTGGGAAGGATAAAATTCGCCATGTTTCTTACAACACCTATCAAATTTACTGACAAATGATAAGAATATTGATTAAAAATTGAAAAGTGATTTTTTATCAAAGATGTAATACTATAGTTTTTTATAATTTTGAATGCATCTCAAGCATAATTATTTAAATTTAAAAAATTATGAAATTATGAAATTATTAAAAAATGTAGTACAGATATTTGCTCAAGACCAAGTAAAGAGGACCACGTAAAAAGTTATCCATCCCGTGGAAGACTGAAACGAAGGAATAGTCGTTCGTGCTGCAGCTTTACATCACTTTCACTTTTCCTTGCACCACAAAAAGCCACGTGCTACATGCTGTTGCATAGGAATGAATTGCAGCTTGCTTCAATTAAAATAGTTCCATATCTTGACAAAGGAGTTGGACAGTTCTACTTGACCAATCTTCCCGTGCTTTACACCGCCACTTGACAAGTTAAAAAGTAATCCAATTTTAATCAAAATTAAAATATAGAATACCAAAAAAATACTAAAAAAATGTTACCCACCAGTTTTATCATAAGTCAACTATAGACTATGGATGACAAAAAGTCCACATAAATAATTTTAAAAAATATATAAACATAAGATATTGACTAATATGACCTTTTCTTCCAGGAAAAAGAGTTTATAGTCAGTCACACAATACGTAAGGCTTCTCCCAGGTATAAAAGCTCCTTAAATTGTAAGGCCTCTCAGTCATTACTTGTGATTTGCAGAGGACAATTACAATGGCTGCACTTTCTTTTAGGCTCCTTTCCTTTCTTTCTTCTCTCTTCCTGATAATCATATCGCAAAGCAGCGCCCAGACCTGTGATAACGGAAAAGGAAACTACACTGCCAACAGCACCTATCACAAAAACCTCAACACCCTTTTATCCAGTTTTTCTTCCAACACACAAATTAATTACGGCTTTTACAATTTTTCATATGGCCAATACACAGACAAAGTATACGCCATTGGCCTCTGTCGAGGCGATATTGACCCATTCAAGTGCCGCAGTTGCCTAAACGACTCCAGAGTGTCCCTCACACGGAGCTGTCCAAACCAGAAAGAGGCAATCATGTGGACTGGAGAGTGCATGTTGCGCTACTCTCACCGCCCAATATTTGGGGTCCTGGAAAATGATCCAAGGACAATACTCTATTATCAAAAGAATGTAACAGGATCGGTGGATGCATTCAATGATGGGCTACAGAACTTGATGAGGAAACTAACAAATGAAGCTGCATCAGGTGACTCTCGTCTTAAGTATGCTCCAGGTACCACTCCTTCTCCGGATTTTCAAACCACATACGCTTACGTGCAGTGCACGCCTGATTTAACAACGGAAGAATGCAGTAACTGCTTGAATGATGCTATCTCAGAAATCCCAGGTTGTTGTACTGGCAAGGCTGGAGTTAACGTTTTAAAACCCAGTTGTAGAATTAGATTTGACCCTTATAGCTTCCTCGGTCCTACGCTGAAATTAGACCCAGATGCACCACCTCCATCCACATCACCCTCCTCCAACAACCCTCCTTCTCAAGGTACGTACTTGTCTTGTCACATTCTTTAAGTTAGTTGTTTTACTTCTTCATTTGTTGAAGGCAAAATAAGTGCTTCTGTTCTCGCCCTGCGGATTCTCTTTTCTGCAGGAAACACCAACACGTCACGAACTATCATCGCCATAGCAGTGCCAGTTGCTGGTGTTGTGTTGCTCCTTGGTTTTATCTGCATCTATCTAAGACTGAGGAAGCCAAGAAAACACTTTGAAAGTAAGTTTAAGGCTAACAAAGTCCCACATCATTTGGTTAACAAGTTAAAGACTTTATAATTCATGAATATTATCTTTTGACTGCGTTCATTGATCATGTCCGAATAACTGACTAATTCCTTTTACCCGGATTCTCATGCATGTGAAGTTCATAGAGAAGAAGATGATCATGAAGATGAAATTTCGATTGCTGAATCGTTGCAATTCAACTTTGACACCATACGGGTTGCTACAGATGACTTCTCTGATTCTAATAAACTTGGGCAAGGCGGGTTTGGAGCTGTTTACAGGGTAAGAATAAAATTACCCTTTCAATCAGATAAATATCACCTCTTCATCAAAGTATGCTATATATATCCGGTAACTTGGCCTAGAAAGATTCACTGCTCTTGATTTTGATATATTTTCAGGGTCAGTTTCCCAATGGAGAATTGATTGCTGTCAAAAGGTTGTCAAGGGATTCTGGTCAAGGAGATATAGAATTTAAAAATGAAGTGCTTTTAGTGGCCAAGCTTCAACACCGAAATTTAGTTAGGCTACTTGGTTTCTGTCTGGAAGGAAGAGAGAGGCTACTTGTCTACGAATTTGTTCCCAATAAGAGCCTTGATTACTTCATATTTGGTGAGTTCAAATGTGTATAATTAGAGTGTTATTCTATCACTTTAGTTCTGGCTCAGGACATATTGAAACTTGCTTTAAAATTCATATGGCTTCGGTGTACATATAGATCCAATAAAGAAAGCACAATTGGATTGGCAAAGGCGCTACAAAATAATTGGAGGTATTGCTCGAGGGCTTCTCTACCTCCATGAGGATTCTCGACTGCGTATTATACATCGTGACCTCAAAGCAAGCAACATTCTCTTAGACGAAGAGATGCACCCTAAGATCTCTGATTTTGGAATGGCAAGACTGGTTTTTGTGGATCAGACTCAAGCAAATACAAATAGAATCGTTGGAACCTTGTAAGTCCTAAGCTAGTAATTCTTGTAAGAGTTTTAAATTAAAAAATTTGATGTAATTATCGTTAGCCTTAGCGATTGAAAGAGAGTAAAAATTTAAGATCATGAAACTGAAAAGACTCAAAATTTATGACTAATTAAACTTGTCCATTATTGGCATGTAGTGGATATATGGCACCTGAGTATGCAATATATGGACAGTTTTCAGCGAAATCAGATGTGTTCAGTTTTGGGGTATTGGTTCTTGAAATTGTGAGTGGCCAGAAAAACAGTGGTAACATTCATCGTGGGGAGAATGTGGAGGATCTACTGAGCTTTGTAAGTCTATTTTCTTCTCACTATTTCTTCCTTTACATGACCGTATAAGGAAATGGAATCTATGAAAAACTAACGTGCAATTGATCAAATTCGTTTAGACATGGCGAAACTGGAGGGAGGGAAGAACTACAAATATTATGGATCCCACGTTAAACAACAGCTCACAAAATGAAATAATGAGATGCATCCACATTGGATTACTATGTGTTCAAGAAAATGTAGCTGCCCGACCAACCATGGCTTCAGTTGCACTAATGCTTAATAGCAATTCTCTGACTCTCCCAGTTCCTTCAGAACCTGCATTTGTTGTTGACAGTAGAACTGGAAGCGTTCCAGACATGCTGTCATCGGAGCATAATTCAAGGGAAACAAATAGATCAATTCAAGAATCGGTGAATGAGGCTTCAATTACTGAGCCATATCCTCGCTAGATCTTGCTATTACTGAAACAGAATGCAATCATGTCATGCCTTTTCTTCAATTAGTCAAATTGGTTGCTTTCTTTTTTTATTGGATTTCAATATTTGGTTTCCCATTCTAATTGTTCTATTATTCTATACATGCTCTGGATCTGAAACTGCAATGACTTTTTTTTTTTCTTCTTAATTTACGTGAACCACTTTCTTAGAATTATTCAGGATGTATTTGAGTCAGCGTTTATTACTTTGATTCTAAATAATCTTAATTTTATACAATTAATTTTGGTTGAAAATGTTTAAAATAAGATTATTTACGTTTCAAAATTCTTTATCTCAAATTTAAATAAGAAAAAATGAGCGGAATTTTCGGATAATTTAACATTTAATGATAAGTTATACAATTTATCAACCCAATCACTTTAACCTTTGTTAATAGAAGCTAAACTTTTTCTAAAAATTATCTTAAGTATTTTACAAATAAGAATTTTTTTAAGTTTCCCTAAACATATATTTCCTTCGTAAAATATTACAAATTTTGATGAAGTAAAAGATAACAATATCTTATACAAGTATACATTTACTAGTAATAGTATTGAATAAAAACTTCTATTAATGGATCAACAGGAAAAAACCTTTCCTTAGTACTTATAAAACTAATATCAACTCAAACACAACACTGAACTATATATAAATAAGTCCAATCGGTTTATAATTAAAAAATAATTTTTTTTATCTTATGTACTAAACATTTGTTTGCAAGTATAATTTAATTAAGTTTTTATTTAATAAATTATCATTACACAAAAAATTTCATAAAATTGATAACAAAATACATTAAAATAAAATTAGTTTATTTTGATTAATTATATTGAAATTTTATTAAAATAATTAAAAAACTTATAGAATTTTTAAGGACTTGTTTGAGAGAAGATATTTTGAACAAGAGAAAAAGAGAAGAAAAAAATTATTTTAAATATATTAAAATTTTAAAAGTTTTGAAGTTAAAGATATGAAATAGTTAATTAATTATGTAATTTTTTATTAAAAAAATAAAAAGTATGCGTCTTCCTTACTCTTCGCAATTTTTCTCCCAAACAACCTTTAATTTATTTCCATGAACTCTTTTAACGGACCCCTAAATATACAAGTCAAAAGAAAATGAAAATAATAAATGTTTTTCTGTTGATATGTATAATATTATTAAAAAATATTTATCAAATGGTAGATGCGTATACTTATTAATCTGATTATTTTCCTTGTTTTTTCTATCTTTCTTTTATTGATAAAAAAAAATACAACAGTTTTGTTTTAGTAATAACATTTCTTAAATACCAATAATGCATGGATATATCGTTTGAAACACTCAAATACGCGCCTTTCCCCTTGTGTCTAGGAAAATTCTCACAAAATACGTTGCGAGGAAATTCAATGCGAATAATTATGATTATTAATATTATATTAAATCCCTATAATAAATAGTAAAAAATTAATAATTTATTTTTAAAAAATATAATTATTTTTAAAATTTAAAATAATAATAATTCTTAATTTAAGAATAGTATAAAATAATTATTTTAAATTTATAAAAACATAACAAGTAACAAATTACAAAAGATGAATTTAAATATATCTATTTTAATATTTCTATGTTATTTTAAATAAAAAAATTAATTTAACAATGTATGATAATATTAAATATGAAATTTTTATTATAAATTATTATTACACAAAAATTTATGATACAAAATTGACAATGAAATTTATTAAAATAAATTAGTTTATTTTTAAAAAAATAATCTTAAGTTTTATAAAAATAAATTTGAAAAACTTATAAAATATTTAAAGAATTGTTTGAGAGAAAAAAAAATCTTAAAGAAAAGAAATAGAGAGTGAGACATTTTTATTTTAAATTATTTTTTTAATTTTTTAAATTAAACATATAAAATAATAAATTAATTTAAACATGATATATTAATTAATTAATTTTTATTGTCATGAATTTATATTTTTATTTTAAAAAAATCTCCTCTTTTATCTTTAAAACCCTTCTCTCAAATAATCTTCAAGTTATTTCTATAATTTTTCTATAAACTCTTATGACAAACTCTTAAATATACAAGTCAAAGGTACACAAAATTGATATATAAATGATTTTTTATATATAGTGTTAAAAATATGATTAATGTATTTTTATTACATTTTATAATATAATGTTTTATTTTAAATTTATATTTTTAGAGATCTAGTTAGCAAGATCTTTTATAATATGTATGATAGATAATAAGTTTATTAGCAAAAGTGTTAAATTTATGATGGCAGGACCGAATTTTCCGTACGTGACCAATGAGAAAGGCAAGACTTCAGTGAAGATTGAAGCGTGTGAATTACTACGAACAAATTGCATTGACCCTAGTTGACTTGCAAAATGTAACGCATTTTATGTTTTATTTAAGAGTTCATTTTAAGAGAGATGAATGTTTATTTGATAGTAATTTTTATAGCTTTTATAAATTTATATTTTTAAGTTTTTAAATTGACTGATTTTCTTTTATTAATTTTTTCTCTTTTTCTTTATCTCTTACACCTTTTTTTTTTTCTTTCTTCTGTTGAACTTTTAAATAAAACCTAACAATTATGCCAAAGAAATTGGATGTAAATAAATAATTTTCCTTTATTTTTACAACGGAGAGAGTCTGTCTCTAGGGAGCTTGACCAAAGTTGACGTGGAAAAATACATCGTAGCCAAAAGGAAAAAAAAAACATATTCTTAATAATATCGTAAGTTTAAATAGTTATTAATAATGAAATTTTATTAAAATATTTATTATGTTTTTATATTAAAAACATATTTTTAATATTTAAAAAATATTTAAACTCAAATTTAAACACATGATAAAATATATTGTAAATGTTCTCCTCCTCCAAGTGGTGGTCCAAATGACCCCATATCATAATGAGCGAAGGAAAAAACAAACTTTGACTGAGTTTGGCTCAGTTGACAAAGTCAATGCAGACCTAAGATTTCTTGTTCAGCATCGAAATTGCGGAGAAAAGGTTCTCTGTCTTCTCTCATTTTGCTCTTTGGATCATGTTTTGCTACCTAGCTTTTTTAATCTTAATTTATTAAATAAAAAACAATAGTACAATTTTATAATTTTAATATAACAAATATATAGTTTCATAAAGATATATTACTTTTAAATATTTAAAACAGAATTTTTAAAAATTTGATATTAATAAAATTCTTATTTTATCGCATGCCTTGAAGTCATCAATTACCGCATTATTTTTATATTTCATATTTGTCATTCAAATTAACATACAAAAATAAGTTTTGTTATCAATTTCACTTGTCTTAAATTTGATGATTAAAGAATTAATAATAAAAATAGTTAAACATAATGATATGATATATTAATTAATAATATTAAATATTATAATTTAAAAAATTTAAATTTTACAAAAATAAAAGCTAACTACAAATTAAAAACTTATAATTAACTTTAATTATACTTTTATGAATTAAAGACAGTTAAATAAAAAGAGACAATTATCTTTAAATATGGTAACCAAATAAAATTTCATTATAAAGGTAGCAGTTGTAGGATTTTTAGTCCGGTAATTTATTTTTGATTAAGTCGGAATTAAGATATGTCACATCACTATCTTTCTTTTTATACTTCATCTAATAATTGGATAAATCTCAGGGTAAGAAATTCGATTTTATTAATTTCAAAATTATCAAAAGAATAAAAAATAAAACTATAAAACATGATTAAACCAATTTGAAAATTGAAGAAAAAATAACACAAAACATAAACAATTAAATGTGTTTAAAAATTCATCGAAATTGAATCTAACGTAATTCGAAAGGCACCATAACTTTATTGAGTCACGTTAAATTCTATGTTGGCCTTTGGTATCCAAAGCCATATCCACTCACCTATGAAGATCACCATTCGTCAGAAGACAACCAACATGGCTTTTCTTTCTTTAAGGCCAATTTCCTTTCTTTGTTGTCTCCTTCCCATACTCATTGTCACACCTCCAACCAACGCCAATGAAAGTTCACATATTTATCAATACTTCTGTGATTTCAACCACAGAGGCAACTACACAATCAACAGCACCTACCACGCGAACCTCAACACCCTTTTATCCACTCTCACTTCCAACACACAAATTAACTATGGTTTCTACAATTTCACGTACGGCCAAAACACCGAGAAAGTAAACGCCATTGGGCTGTGCAGAGGAGACGTTAACCCAGGTGATTGTCGCAGATGCCTACAAGACACCAAAGCAAATCTCACACAACTTTGTCCAAACCAAAAGGAGGCAATTGGGTGGTACGAGGACGAGAAATGCATGTTGCGCTATTCAGATCGCTCAATATTTAGCCTCAGCGAAACGGGTCCTGCGTATTTTATGTGGAACCTTAACAATGCAACGCAAGTGGATCAGTTCAATAAAGTGGTCAATAACTTGCTGCATAGCCTAAAAAGCAAGGCTTCTTCTGGTGATTCTCGTTTTAAATACGCTACATCAAGTGCACAGGTTCCTGATAATAAAACCATTTATGGTCTCGTTCAGTGCACGCCCGATTTGTCTCAGCCACAGTGCGATAACTGCTTGAGTCGATCAATGAAATCCCGCATTGTTGTGGTAACAAAATAGGTGCTAGAGTTATTAGACCCAGTTGTAATCTGAGATACGAAACCTCATCCCTCTTCTATGGGCCTCCACCAGATGCACCCTCTCCAGCACCGCTATCATTGCCGCCACCGCTATCGTCGCCGCCACCTGCTTCTACACCCACTAACAGCACTTCCTCGGAAGGTACGTGTCGTATTATGCTTAATTAGTTGCTTAAACCAAATAATTGCAACTGAAGCCTCAAATTGATCTACGTGTGTTCCCATTCCTAACTTTTCATGTTAAACTTTTTTTTTTAACGTTAACTTTTATTATGCAGAGTAAAATTCTACATTTTTTTAAAAAAAATAATATAGTGTACTTAAGTTTTGTCTTTAAAAAAGCTCAGTTTCATCAGTTTTGTTAATATTAATTTTATTTTAAACATTAAAAATAATATATTTTTTATTTAATAAATATTTATTATATTTATCAACCGTTAAATTCAAATATTTTCTCAAATAAATTGAATCTAAAAAAGAATGATACAAATAAAAAATTAATTAATAGTTGATTGAACATCTTTATTTTTAATATTTAATATAATTTTTTAGAATATAAATAAATATTAATGATAAAATTATAATATCTTTAAGTGTCTAATTTCTTTAAAATCTAATATGTATAATTAATATAAATATATTATATTATATTATTTAAAGATTGAATTAATAAAATTTAATATTCATTATAACTTTATAATTATTGTAAAAATTTATTTTTATTTTTAGAATAATTTGACACTGCTCAATAATTATAAATCATACTATATATAATGTCAGGTTTTAATTCTTCAAATAACATAACTGTTTTGTGATAGCCATCAACAAAATATGAATATCAAGTCTACAGTGGTCTTCTACTCCGTGTTTCTTTCTTCTTAATTTTATGTCCTTTTTCTAGCTTCTTGTTTTGCTATCCATAATGAAGTAAAAGTCTCAGGGGACTAATTCTGGTTTTTGCAGATAAGGGCAACAATTCAGGAACAACCGTCACTATAGTGCCATTCCTGTTGCTGTTATTGTGTTCCTTTCTAGTTGCTTTCGTTTAAGAATGAGGAAGTCAAGGAAATTTTATTTTGAAAGCAATTCCAAGTAAGCACAGCTATCATCAGGAGAATCTCGATGCAACAACTATAAGCTGAGATTATTTTTTGTAATGTCATTTTAGATATAAAAGTTTCAACTTTGTGTGTGTAAACTTAGATTATCTTAATGTTGTTTAGAAATAAAATTTAAAATTTTGTGATTTACATTTGTATGCCTTTATTAAAATTACCAGCGATTAGAAAATTAACTATTTCCGTTTCTGAAACACAACTATATTATGCAAAGAGTAATATTATTTTAATTCTCAATTTCACTCTACCAGATATCTTACACAATTATTTAATTTATATAGAGTGTATACAAAACCAAAACATCATTACTCATTACGCAAATTAAATTATATTCAAAGAGAATGCAAAGTGAAAAGGCCAAAACAAAAAGCCGAAACCATTTATCCCTGATTTTGAGAGTCAATGAGAACGAGTCCAAGCTTTGCAGAGTAAAAAATATACTAAATAACCGAATTTTAAAAAAAATTATTCATACAAAGCTTGGCGGCGACAGATATGATCCTATATCTTATATAAAATAATTTTTTTACCTATTGTTGGGATGCTTTAACGTGTTATTAAATGAATAATATAATGCTAAGCAAGATATTATATTTTTAATTTATACCATTCTGTATCCTGTCACTGTATGCTTACCGTATTCACTATGCAAGACATATTTCTTATGTCATATTTATAAATAGTATATATTTACTTGTGCAAATTTTTTATCCATGAAACAGCGAAAAGATTTGTTTAGAATAATATATAATTTAAAAGAATTTTAAAAGGAAAACTAATATTGAGAGTCAATTAGAAAAATTCGAAAAGCTAATTGCATTAAAATCACTATTTTTCAGCAGAAATATGAGGAGCCAAGTTTAAAGAGGCACCATCCTTGATATGTACTCAAGGGTATCCTTTCAGCCAACAGCCTTAAACTAATTTCTTTGAGGCAAAGGAAATGATATAGTAAATTTTATCTCTTCCAATAATTGTTGTTACAATTTACAAATACAAGAACCTAATCATCATCAATTTATTTAAGAGATATAATTATCTTTTAGCTATTTTAAGCTTTATTGGTCTAATTTCTGTGATCACTGCAAGAAGGATACAATGAGTTTTATATTGTATGTATTGGTCGGATGAAAAAAAAAATGAAGGAAATATCTTTCAAAAGTTTAATTTTGTATTATTTATTTGAAGAAAATAAATGGAAATTTGAAAGTTTTTAAAGTTTTTTTTTTCATAATTTTATTTTTTTTTTCTTTTATTTGCTCTCGTATGAACAATAGAATAAGAAATTAGAACAGTGCTTGGTGAGCTTGGAGCAAGAGAATTTGATTAACACGTGATATATGGAAAGATTGAATAGAATTTCTCTCTGTGTAGTCTAAAAGAGCCCATTCAAGAACTTAATTGGAGTGACGCGCTTCTGCTTGTCCTTCCTTCGTGACTTCTTCAAAATCAGAACATGCGTAGAGTTGTATAGATGGAGATAAGTCTTTGGTCATAAATGAATTTAAAATATAACACACGAATTATTTCGCTATTTAATTTTATTTCATACGATGAAATGATTAACTACATGACCATCAGCAGAAATCTCTTCGTCGTTCACATCTAAAGCTTCAATTAATCTCTACCCTTCATCTTCATCTTCATCTTCATCTTCATCTTCATCCAAAACCAAACAAATACTTGCATCTTCCGCTTGTTACTTTTTATTTCGAAAGAACAACCAGGATTGATGTCTGTTTTTGCTTTAAGATTACTTTCATTTCTTTGTTGTCTCCTTTCCATAATCATTTTTATATCTCAAGTAAGCGCCGATAATACCACACAAAACTACCACTACTTCTGTAATTTTAACAACAGAGGTAATTACACACCCAACAGCTCCTATCACACGAATCTCAACACCCTTCTGTCCACTCTCATTTCCGACACACAAATTAACTATGGTTTCTACAATTTCTCATTCGGCCAAAGCACCGACAAAGTGAACGCCATTGGGCTATGTAGAGGAGATGTTAAGCCCGATGAATGCCGCAGTTGCCTCAACGGTTCAAGAGCCAATCTCACACAGCTTTGTCCAGACCAGAAGGAGGCAATTGGGTGGTACGAGGACGAGAAATGCATGTTGCGTTACTCAGACCGTTCAATATTTAACCTCGAGGAAACTGGTCCTGCGTACTATGCTAACAACATGAAAAATGCAACGGACTTGAATCAGTTCAATGAAGATGTAAGGACCTTGCTGGATAGCTTAAAAAGCACAGCTGCATTAGGTGATTCTAGATTTAAATATGCTGCAGGAAATAAATCTGGTCCCGATGATCAAGTCATATATGGTCTTGTTCAGTGCACTCCAGATTTGTCTGGCTCACAGTGCGATGATTGTTTGGTTCAGTCCATTGCACGCATCCCAATAGACTGTTGCAAAGACAAGATTGGCGGTAGAGTTGTTAGACCCAGTTGTTTTATGAGATTCGAAACCTCCTTTCTCTTCTATGGACCTGCAGCATATGTGCCACCCTCCTCCAACACCACTAACCCTCCCTCAAAAGGTACTTGTTACATAATCTTATTTTAACCGCTTCTAGTAAAATAAAATAATAAATTATAACTCAACCTGACTTCGGGGCGTGGTTTAAAGTTGAGTCGAATTGATTTTGATTAAATTGATCTTAAGCTGTTAAATGTTATTTAGATATGAGTATAAATTAATTTGAATTGCATCAGTAACATAATTTTGAACGATTTCTTCTTCGTTCGAATCGTGCGGTTTTGTTTTCCTTACTATTCATTTGATAGAGAAAAAACAATTTTTTGGTTGAAGTTTATCTTTAGGATCCGTACGATAACAAATTTTCAAAAATCGTGCTTAATATGACCTTAATGTTTAGTTGCTGGATTTGCTGATATTTTATAATCTTAATCTTTGGAATGGCCTGATGAAGATTCTGATCTGTGCAGGAAAGAGCAACACGGCTACCATTGCCATAGCAATAGCAGTTCCAGTTGTTGTTGTCACGGTGGTGGTGTTCATTTTTATCTGCATCTGTTTAAGAGCAAGCAAGTCAAGGACAAAGTTTGAAAGTAAGAGGAAGTAGTGGTTTACTTTGACCTGTTTTCTATTTGATAGACCTACATTTTTGCAATAAAACAGAAGAGGAAAACTCAACCTAACATCAACATCATAAAGAAAAGATCTCAATATATATATATATATATATATATATATTCCATTAAATAATGTGAAATAAACGGTCCATTTTGCAAAAATAAAATTAATAATTTCCGTAAGTAATTCAAACCTTGCTCTACTCAATTATTTCTAACAACGTTAGTTTCAAACTCTCTTGAATTTCTTATTCTCGTATACCATCTGAAAAACTTACTAGTTTAAATCCGTTTTCTCCGTGTGAAGTTCAACAAGAAGGATATGATGATGATGAAATTGACATTTCTGAGTCATTGCAATTCGACTTCAACACCATACGGGATGCTACAAATGACTTTTCTGATTCCAACAAACTTGGACAAGGTGGATTTGGGACTGTTTACAAGGTAAGATAACACTGTTGAACATACTTCATCAAAATAAGGTATACATTTACTTGCTGAAAGCTTACTATTCCTGGCTGTAATATATTTTCAGGGTAGGCTCTCCAATGGAAAAGAGATTGCCGTCAAAAGGTTGTCAATGCAATCTAGTCAGGGAGATGTAGAATTCAAGAATGAAGTGCTTTTAGTGGCAAAGCTTCAGCACCGAAATTTAGTTAGGTTACTTGGTTTCTGTCTGGAAGGAAGAGAAAGACTACTTGTTTATGAATATGTTCCTAATAAAAGCCTTGATTACTTCTTATTTGGTATGTTAAATTTGAATGTCTGTTTAATTGGAAATAACTCTATTAGATCAATTGTTGTTTAATACTAAGCTTAATTACATAGTTTTAATGTTTATATGGCTTGTTTGTGCATGTAGATCGAACCAAGAGAGCACAATTAGATTGGGAAAAGCGCTACAAAATCATTGTTGGTGCTGCTCGAGGCATTCTCTACCTCCATGAGGACTCTCAGTTGCGTGTTATCCATCGTGATCTCAAAGCAAGCAACATTCTCTTGGATGAAGAGATGAATCCTAAGATATCAGATTTTGGTTTGGCAAGAATGTTTATTGTGGACCAAACTCATGCAGATACAAGTAGAATTGTTGGAACCTAGTAAGTGTTGGAATTTATTGTAGCTTATTATTAGTCGATAATAATATTGATTCTGAAAAGTTAAAGATGATTGTGAAAAGATTTTACTTAAGCTTGTACCTATTGATTGTTATGTCTGCAGTGGATATATGGCCCCTGAGTATGCAATGCATGGACAATTTTCAATGAAATCAGATGTCTTTAGCTTTGGTGTATTAGTTCTTGAGCTTGTAAGTGGCCAGAGAAACACTGGCATTCAACATGGGGAGAGTATAGAGGATCTACTCAGTTTTGTAAGTCATCCTTTTCTTGCCATATATCTTCCTTGTTGTTAGAAGCATGAAATTAGAAAAAATTATGTTACTCTACGTTATTATTGAAGTGAAATCTAACTAATATCCGCAATTGAGCAAATTCATGCAGGCATGGAGAAACTGGAAGGATGGAAGAGCTGCAAACATTGTAGATCCCACATTAAACAGCAGTTCACAAAATGAAATAATGAGATGCATCCACATTGGGTTGCTATGTGTTCAAGAAAATTTAGCTGCCAGACCAACCATGGCTTCTGTTGTACTTGGACTTAATAGCCATTCTGTCACTCTCGCGGTACCTTCGGAACCTGCATTTTATGTGGATAATACTGCAAACCTTGAAGACATACAGTTATTGGACTCAGGTGCAACAAGATCAAGCGAACAAACTACTACTCAAGACTCGGTCAATGAGGCTTCCATTACTGAGCTATATCCTCGCTAGATTTTGATCATAGTGGTGGGAGTCATAAACATAATCTATTCAGAGTAACATTTAATTCTTCAACCCAAACGTATGAACTTCATTCACCTGTGACAAGCTTCATTCACCTGTGAACTTCAGTTTGTTTTAATTATAAAATGTATGCTATGGCGATTCTACTAGTATCACAGCTAGCCCTATGTGCTTTTTCTTCACCCTGCACCATTATATTGGACAAAATAGCCTGATATTTTGCATCTAAATAAGGGTCAACAAAGGGCAAAATATAGAATTTCTGCCATCCTCCACTTATAAGTGCTTCTGTTTGATAAGATCACCGTATCTGGAGTAGTCGGGATTAAATAACTGAGAATTTAATACTAAATTTCCATTTTCGTAGATAATTGTTATAATTAGTCACAGCTCATGGTAAATAATAATGTTTTGTTTCTTCTGTATTTTGACCTTTTTTTCCTCATTGACAGAGAAGAGGGAAAAATAAGCAAGAACGGCAAGTTAAACAATGCACGTATGCAATAATTTAAAAAGTCGGTAGATTTCTATAGAGAACCCTACGATAAAGCCAAGTAGCAAGTCCTGTTACTTTACTACCTGACAGCGGTCATAAATACATTGGTAGATTGAAATTTTTCTACTGTATTATAACATTGTTGTGGTCTGCTATTGTTCTATTCTCAACGCAGCTCATGCAGTATATTCCAACCCCAGATGTATAAATGCATTGTGACTGGTCGCAATCTCCTCAGTAACATAACTCTACTTCTCACAAACCCATTAGGCTCATGATAGCTCCACTATCCTTGGACGTTTTTTGGAATGACCATTTCCCTTTTGTTTTTCATGAATATTATCTTCACTGGAAATAGATTCTTGAGCAAGTGACAAAGGCTTTTCACCATCCTTTCCATTGTCATTGCCTTCAACCTCTTCATCACTTTCATCATCAGTACTACTTTCCTCTGAATCTGTTCCATTACCATCAGCAGCCAATGGAATTACAGGCTGACAATTAGAAATTGCAGATTCAGCAGCAGCCACCGCCTCAGGTGTATGAAGATCAGCAATACCAAGCATCAAATCCTGCAAGAAAATGAAACAAAAAATTACTAATTTAGTCCACTATTTGCAAGCCAGCAATATGAATATAGATATGTAGGCAGTGGGATTATCAATACACAGATATCGAAGAGTGACTGACCATTTCAATAACTTCAGATTCATTTCCAGTAATCTCTTCAATATCATAACTCTTGGGATTGTCCTACATGTATATGTGTGTATATATATATATAAACTATTAAGAAAATATAAAATGTAAAAAGGGAGAAAATAATTGCAAAGCAGTAAAAATAATGGTTTCGATCAGAAGTTTTAACCTTTGCATCATGTTCCAGCTTCTTATTTGCTTCTGACATTACTCCTAGGAAGTCTTTAACCTTCCCCAAAACTGCATCAACAAACACATCTTTATGTCAGGCAAAAGAGGGGTTCATTTTTATAAATTCATCTATTTGCACATCAACAAACACATCTTTAGAGTTCTGCTACATTCAAAGTTCAAACAATAACTCCTTCAATGCACATGACTAGAATATAACTAGGTAGTGTAATATTACGTTCAGTTTTCTTTTTCTTCAAATCAAAAGTTTAGCAATCATTGATTTCAGAATCTTAAAGGACCATTGGACCAACCTCATACAAAGATTGTCGCAGTAAAACAATACCAAAAATGCACGATTAGGCAGAGAAAACCCGACCAACAGCATCATGCACAGACAAATTAAAAAGGTTTTGTAGTCAAGGATTTGAACTTTGATTTCCCAGCTTAAACTATTTTGCTTGTAATAATAGCATCTAACATACAGCCAAGCTGTTTGGTATGCAAAAGCAGAAAAACACCCAGTGTCACACAAATCATGCCAATAGTAAGTCAAAAACCACATGAGACCCATTTTGAGGACTCCATTGGCGCAGAGGAGAACTGTTTCTGATCGAGATCCAAATTTGAGGGCAGCTGTGATTGATGGCAAGGAAGTACTATGGTCTAATATAGGTCCATCACACTAGCAGGGGAGATAATTGGGGGATACTCAGTAGGTTGTATAGATCTGGGTAAGAGTAACGGTACAGATACAGGTAAAGGGCACAACAAAATTTCTGAAGAGTACAAGCACAGCATGATATATCAGAGAGGCAGAGACAAAACCATAAACAGCAAAGCATTAAATCATAAGATAAATACAACATTCATAATCTTCTGACTCAAACTGGCAAACATAGATAATATTGAATTTGTCAAGTTATATACGGAATCATTGCAAGCAATAACAAACACACTCTCCCTCACAGGGAGGTTGGGGGGGGGGGGGGGGGAGAGGGAGGGGGAGAGGATGGTAAGATCAAAATGGAACACGAATAAGTTAAGGCAAATAATAACCAATACACTGGTTAAGGAATAACAGTATATATATTTTTTGTACGAAAACATTATTAATTCACCTCTCCCGTAATTCCAAATACAGTTTAACATAATTTTCATTAAAAAAATTACTTTTCAACTTCTTAACTAGTGCATGCAAGACCCATAAGTAAATACAACAACAATATCAATCAAACATTACAGAAAAAATAAAATAAATAAATAAATAACTTGGTTATAAGCACGGGTTCCTACTTCTCAAATTAAGAAAACGTAGTATTGGTAAAGTAGAGAAAGATGTAAAAGATAAAAAGTTAGGATGAATTTGAAAAGTACGTTGGCTCGGGGGAAGTGGGGCAGTAAGAGGCGTGGCATGAGGAGGGAGTCTCTTAGTTTGTGTGTCTGATTGTGTTTTATTATCACAAACAAGAAGGGCTGATTCTGCACAAACAAAGGAAACTTCATCATTAAAAGAAAATATGGAAGAGAATAAATTGCATTGAAGAGAGAGAGAGAGAGAGACCTAAAGATGAAAGGGGCGTGCCCTTGTGCTCAAACTGAAGAAGCTCTTTGCTTCTCTCTGCCATTTATTGGATTCTTGCTGTCAGTTCAGTTGTCTCCAAATCAAGAAAATGCAAACGCTGGACAGGAACTACGACTCTACGAACACGATGCATTATTTGGGGAGAAACAGCTAATTAAATACATTTTACTGCTCTTGGGCTTGGGCCTCGACTCACGACCAAAACAAAAACTGATTCCGGTACTAAAAAAATATGAGAAGATATTTTATATTTTTTTTAGATTAAAATATTTGTAATTCTTTTAATATCTTAAAAATAGAGAGGATTAACATTTTTTAACTAAATTATTAACTCATTATCTATTAACATAAAATTAAAAATATTAAACTCTCTTATTAATAAAAGGTATAGTAAATTTTATCAAACATAAAACAAAACTACTTTTAACACTATACAGACACAACTACTAATAAAACTGACCCAAAAAATAATATTAATAATAAAAAAAAAATTCCTTTTAAAAATTAAAAAAATTATGGTTAAACGAGAAAAAAAGAATTTGTAAGAGTGTGTTTATACAAAAAAACAGGAAGGATATGAACATTGATATATGGTTTTGATTAACTTGAGCTTAAACATCAAGTGCCAGAAGGTAAAGGATGAAAATATAAAGAAAAACATAAAAATGGAAAGCTCAGTAATGGTTAAAATATATCTTACATTGTAGAGTATTTTATAATTAGATAAATGCAGACACGGAGAGGCTTTCCTCTTCTTTTTTTTTAAATTTAATTATAGTTTTGTATTTTTATAATATATTTAATTATTTAAATTGGGCCATTTTTCTTAAAATTATATTTAATATTTAATAAAAATATAATAAAAGTATTATGTATCATTGACTCGCATAAATTAACAAACGATAAAATGTAGAAAATATTTAAATAAATAATATATAATGTAATGAAAGGTATTTTTTTATTTAAATAATTTATATATATTTTTATTAATCTATATAAATTAATGACATGCCATATATTATTATATTTTTATTAACTATTAAATAAATTTTAGAGACGAGAGATTTATTTAAAGTAAACCAAAAAGTATTTCTTTTTTCTATAATTTATCATTACACATGTCGTCATTTTTTATATTATTATTACAGGCTGAAATAAGTGATATGATTAATTATAAATTTAATATATTTGTCATATGTATATTATTATAAATAATATATAATTATTTTAATTTAAAATAAAAAATATATATAATTTTCTCACTTATTTTCCAAAAACCATCTCCAAAGATATCATGGGAATTAAATTTTAACTCTACAATATTCCAGAGGGGCTAAAAACCTTTCTAAAGATATTTCAGCTGCATGGTCGAATGCTTTCCCTTCAGAGGCTTAAAGAATGAATATACTCAGCAAATGAAATCTAGCTTTTAAATTGTAGCCATTAAACTTTCAGAACATTGTAACAGCATATCAGAGAAGTTAAAACCAAAAGGAAAAATAAAAGAAGCCGAAGCAATCATTCTCTTTTCTGATCAATATTTGGGAAGAGAACATTCCCTTGGAAGATTGTTTTGGAACCTTTCATTGTCCTGACAGTAATCATAAATCATGTGGTATTTCCTGACCCATTTGAACCACCTTCTTTGTGTGGATGTTAGTGTGTTAAAGCTATATTGGTTCCACCAATTGGCAGGGCTAGCTGCTCTACAAAACCTTGGGTTTCCTTTCCACACACAAGCATCAATCTTGTAATTTCTGAATGTAGCTATGAAGGGACCCTTTTTCCAATCAATCTTATCTTGGCCACCTCGTGTTGCCCAGCTATCACCATTCCACAATGTTGCTTTCAAACTCATTGGCTGCCATCTAGGAAATGGCACCCCCTTCTCTGCATGGTTTCTATACACTCTTACAGGAATCGTATCTACCATTAACCTGTAAAAGGCAGAACCAACTTTCACAGATAAACTTTTGGAGACGGTATTAACTAGACTTACATGGAACATAAAATTTAGAGAGAGAACATTTTCAAATTCAACAACTAAAGCAGATGAAACTTCTCAATTATGTATGTTTGTGCAGTTATAATGTTATATAAGTGCATTAATAAGATACACTTGTTTCCGTCAATATACTTAATTTATTGAAGCTGCTTCCTCTATCAACCTGATTCAACCAAGTACAAAAGTTTAAGCTATGAAGAGGTTTTGTTGATTGATTATAAGAGATAGGCTTACACAATCTGTTGCAGATTCCAAAACACAGAATAAGTATGGAAGTCCTTTGTAGGATCAAACCACAGATAAATCCTCTCCTCTCTATTGTCAGATCCATCTGCAAAAATATTTGTTTGAAGAATATATGGCTCCCCAGAGACATTGCCCAGAAACTCAAAGTCTACCTCATCTCGGTTCGGTTGATCTGAGGTAAGCTGAATTTCATTGCCAAACTATAATTTGTTTCTGTATTTTATAATTCAAAATAAACAAACAAAAAGAAAAGCGAAGAAATGCTTACATAATAGGCCAGGACTGTGCCTGCAGAATCACCTGGTACTAGTTTGATTTGCATGTCAATTTGCCCAAATAAAAACATCTGGTTTGAAGCAAAACCAGCCCCTGCAATAATAAACCAAACTCATAATTAAGAAAGGAGTCTTTATCTTTGATATTGCATGTAGTTAAATTATACTTAATAGTTAGTACCAGATTCTTGATCCAGTTTCAAACTTCTTGTTTGTCCATCAGCAGATGTGTTCACATGGGTAGGAGACCATATCACAAAGAAGTCCTTGTTGAAGTCTCCTGTTGAAACAACAGATGCAACTGAAACTTGAAACAAACTTGAGGAAACAAACCCAATGAGGAAGATAAGTGCTGTCTGGAGGTTTTTCATGGTTCTTATGAAAGAATGTCTTGGGGGTTGTAACTTGTTACTGATAATTAAAGTGGCTATATATAGGTATTGCATGGAATGGACAATGGCAGTTTTATTAAATTAAGAATATCTTTAGAAGGAAGCAAAGGAATTTTAGGCTGTCAGAATCTTCATTGTGCAAAAATATTTGCTAAGAGTTCACATTATAACATAAATAAATGTTTAAGGTACTCATAGAGTGATAAAAATCATTCTACTAATTGATGGCTACTGCAACATTAACTAGCTTAAATTGTTACCGGCCAACAAAGGAACACGTTGAAAGATGAATTCAAGAATGTTTGCATCCAAGAATCTTGATCCAAGGCAAGGAACTTATTTTGGTCACATTGAACAGAATAAGGATAATTAATAAAATATACGTGTCTTTGGACACACACTTGTGCTTTCTTAAGACAAGCCTTTTAAGGCTCTTCTTGACAGAAAGTCTACAAAAATGAGAAGCTGACAACAAATTTGCTTTCTTGCCTCCGGAGATTTTCTCTAAGGATAACTTGGTTTTAAAGATTCTATTTTTCTAAGGGGTTCTAAAATTTATTCCTTTCCTCCCTTTGTAGGGACGTTGTTGTGTCAGTTATATTTTTCTCTTTGCTTACCAAAGAGAATGCTTGAAAATTATAACACCCCCCCACCCCCCCAAAAAAATAGGTCCCCTCATCTTTTCTCACTTTTTTATATCACAAATTTTTGACCATTTCTTTTTATTACGTATATCCGATGCCGTGTAAAGGGGATGAGAATTTTTTGAAATTACTACTATGTAAAATTGTTATTTGTTAGACTTTGCTGCCCTTATATTTATGGTCTAACCTAGTTATTCTACATCGTCTGGGTTACAATCCCTTCATTTAGAAAGTTGATTTTAAAATCAATTTATCAAATTTTCAATGAAAATAGCACTAAGTGGACAAGCAATTTTCATTGGTTTGGCTGTTGCTCCTGATGACGGATATTACTGTAAGAAGACAAGGGTGATGGATATCATCAAATAAGGTGGATAGCTGCCAAGCCCACTATCTAAAAATTCCTGAAATTAGTTTGCCCGTTGTTGACCAGAAACACCTGCATATGTATTTATACTATTCTTACACGAAATGATTTTGGAAAGTTATTAAGAACATCAAATAAATCACGAAAAGTATCGTCTAAAAGTAAAATTATACTACTTATACGTTAGCTTTCACATAAGTATAGACATCAAAAGATTTATTTGGAAAAAACGATTCAAGTCGTAAAAATTGAAATATTCACATACTTTTTGGGTACATATACATAGAGTCACTTAAATTGTAAAAGTTTAGATTCTTGTTTAATAAAAATTCTTAACGCTGAAAACACATTTCCTAATTTATCTTTTTTTTTTCAACAATAATTTAATTGAAGTTAAAAATATTGATAGTATAATACGATTATTTTTAATAATTTTTTTATTTAGAAAATTAAATATCTACAAAGGAGTTTTATTTTAATCAATTCAGATTCTTTCCATACCGAAAGAGAACATAGAATTATTTTTAAAGTAAAATCTGTTGTACCTCGTTAAAAGAGTTTACTGTCTTCTCTTACATGCAAAAAATAATTGTTAAAAAAACGTTAATTTAAGATATTAGAAGAGTTAATCTAAAAAAATATAAAATATTATCTGAGCAAACACTTGATTTTAATCCGTTTAAAACATTTCGGGAAAACAAGAACGATGAAAAGGACAACGCTTTCTAATTTCTATGTTGAACCTAGCGAGTTGGGATTAAGGCTCCAATTGTGGTCAAAGGACAGAGCAGCATCCTTGTTTTAGATCGCAGTGTTTCCTCACTACCACTCACACACTCCAAATCAAAACTCTTTTTGACACCTAAATCCTAAATGTCACCACTTTTGTCTTAGCCTCACCTCACCGTCTCAACTTCTTCTCACTTATCGTTACTCCTTCCCTTTTATCTTCATTCGGGTAATTTTCTATCCTTTCTCTTTTTTTCTTTTATAGAACAAGGATTTGCTCCACTCATTTCTGGAACAAGAGTATGCTCAATCTCTATTCAAAATTCAATCTTTCTTCTTATTGTTGTCAGTAGATGCATACAAGACCCTATATCTGTATGCGTCTTCTTTTATGTTTTCAAAATGGCTGAGTTATGACCCTTCAAGCACGCTCTTATTGAAGAATGGGGTTTTACTGACATGACAAAATCTGATTGATCTGTCATGAACCTTTTACTGTTGGAATTTTCGGTTGATGGTTGTGGTGGGATTTTGGTTTTGCTTTTTCTTTTTTTTGTCCAGGGATTGTTTGTGGTTTCTTTTGTGTGTCTTCTTTGCATTTTGTTTCTCTGTGTGATTGTTTTCTTGAAACCCCGCAGTCACTGATTTTGCTCGTCTTCCAATTATATGGATTTTTGTTGTGGAAATGTAGAGTATAACACCTAAATGAACTATCATGCTCTTTTTTGGAGTTGATTTTCCTAGTACCATCAAACGATTGTCTCGATTGCCATAGAAGTTGAGAAATGAGAGTGTAAATCGGAACCGTATTTATGTGTTGTTTAATATGGTTTTGCTGAACATTGTTTTCTGGAATTGGAAAAGGCCCGATAAACAGTACCTTTAATTGACATGTTTTTTATATCAGCATTTGTAAACAAATTCATTTGGTATTGTCTGCGTTTTGAAAGAACTATTATATTTTAGAGTTTGTACTCATTGCCGCAAGCCAGAAAAAGTTTTGAACTGGAGCATAGATCTTGTTTGCTCCTTTTATTGTCTTTATTTTTTTGTTCACAATTCTTTATTTGAGGTCAGTGAGGGCTCTGTTAGGTATTTTCTAGATACAAACATTTGGAATATTTTGATCTTATTACAAGTAGTTTCTTTTCAAGAATTTCTTAACTTTAACTATCATAGGTACACAGATTCTTAACAATGCTTTGCCAATTCAAAGCAGGTTGCCTGCCCTTGCTATCTGGAAAAGACAAATCAGGAGTTTCCAGGTAGTTTAAGCATGATAAAACGGTTTCCAAGTAGAAACAATAGGTCCAAAGGCATCAAGGTAAAACATGTTCTCCAAATTATTCTGTTGGTTGGTGTTTGCTTCTGGTTGATCTTCCAGGTTAAGCACAATCATGATAAGAAGAAGGAATTTGACAAGAATGATGCAAAACTGTCAGTCAGAAGACAGACAGATGAGATTCTGAAACTTGGTAGAAGAGACCTTCATCCGGATAAGGTTGAGGTAAATCAGAATGAAAAGCGTGAGGAAGAAGAGGAGGATGAACATATTGAAGAGGATGAGGAAAATAAGCATGACCACAATGAAAGAGAAGAAGGAAACATGCATGATACTGAAGAGCATGAAGATAACAAGCATGAAGGGAGAGAACAAGAGGAAGAAGTTAAACATGGAGCAGAAGAACAGGAGGAAGATGAAAACAAAAGTGAAGATGCGGAAGATGAAGGAAGAAGAATAGGAGACGGTGAGATAGATGAAAATGATCAAGAGAAATCTGAGGTGGATACTGATCGTGATGATGAGTTCTTGGATGAAGAGAAAGAAAAAGAAGAAGAGGGTGATGAGAAGGATAACGAAAACGAGGATGAGGAGAAAGGGGGCTTTGTTGAAAACGACAACAATCATGAGGCTCGGGAGGAGCATTACAAGGGGGATGATGCTTCTAGTGCTGTGGCTCACGACACTCATGCAACTGGCACTGAAACCGAGACATTTAGTTTGGAAAACTCTGATGAAAACTTAGAAACAAATATTACAAAACCAGAAAACGAAAAAACTGATTCAGACAAAGGTAGCAAGAATCAAAATGATTCTGATTTGAAGGTTACAGAAGGTGAAGTGATAGACATGATTTCTTCAAATGCAACTGCTGGTAAAGAGACTGGAAATAAAAGTTTGTCCAACCCTGTGGATAGCTCATATCAAAATAAAACAGCAAACTATGACAGCAACTTGGAATCAAGCAGTAACCTGACAGTAACAATCGCTGAAACAAGCAATAACCTGACTGAAGCTGGTGCTAACACCTCAGGTTCATCTGAACAGAATAAATCAGTGATATTATCTGAAGCTGACCACACTCAAAATACCACGATGAACACAACAATCACTGGAGATGTCAAAAAAGTTCAAACAGAGGGACTAGAGCAGAGTGGCAATAGAATTTCTGAGGAAAGCCTGCCTGATACTGATTCAACAGTCTCTGTTAAAACTGAGAATGGAGATGCAGCTGCACAAGAATCTTATAATCTGGGGGCTGGTGAATTAGAGAAGACAAACAGATCTGTAGCTTCAAATGAAACTCAGAACACTTCCAGAAATGAGAGCTCGGATACTTCTGAAAGTGACGAGTCTAAAGGTGACTCTGAAATGAATGAAACAAATGAAACTCAGAATGTTGATGCCACAGAAGATGAGATGTTCAAAGGTGACACTAAAACAGGTGAAAGTGATGAAACATCAGACTCTTTCTTTGCCAATGAAACTTTGGATTCAGTTGAACATGATGCCATTGATTCTTCTGATACTCATATCCACGAGGATGTGGCTGAGGCTCAAACTGATCTTGATACATTGCCAGATATCAGGAATGAAGGAGATAATAGTGATGAAACTGCAGCAGAGTAAATTGGATAGAAAGCCGTTGAGTTCTTGAAAAGGGCTTTTCAGTTTTTCTTCCGATCCTGTTTACATGGAAGTTCGAGCTAGCTGTTAGAACCTGTTTGCTTGACTCAAAAATGTGTCAAGACTAGATCTTTAAAGGTATGGTGAACGTAGTTTAGTGGATATTTTTATGATTGTTTCAAGGTCTGGCTATGTATAATTTATTTCTACATTCATCTATCTACCACAATTGTTTCCCTTATTTGCATGTGAACTTCTGGTTTTTCTTTTTCTTTCCTTACTAGAGAGGAGTGCAAATGCCAAATAAGGTAAAATATTAATTGACTGAAAATTATAAAATGTTCTGTAGTGGATAACAATGAGAAGTAACAAGTATGATGTATAGAGGAAAATGTAAATTTGATGTATTGCTGTTGTTGTCATTGAATTTGTTGGAATGTTAAGAATTGGGCTTTGTTGACCGTATGTCGGTTTTTGTAGCAACACTTCTTGGGTAGATTGTGCGTTGTTTTGGGTGCATATGATTTACTGTAAAATTTAAACTGTGACATTGTTACACCCTTGAATACAGAAGCCACTATTTTTGAGTTGGCTCTTAGCTACTACTAGGATATATTTCAACTACTTTTTTTTTACCTGTCTGCACAATGCGAATCATTTATTTTCTTTTTTCGGGTTACAGGGATGTGGGGTTTTAAAACATCAAGCCTATAAGTTTTTTGGTCAATCAAACACCAAGCCTATCAATATCTGTGTATTTTGTAATCTTTTTCTTTAAGTTTTGAATGATGAGGTTTTCAATAACAATTTTTTTTCCAAATTCTCAATCCTCCTTTTCCAATGACCATAAAAATGATGAGGTCTTCAAAAATTATATTTTTCCGATGAGAGGATGTTATCTTGTGGATATGTTACAGCACGACCAAAAGAAAAGCACAGTATTACACAGTACTTATATGTATCTTCATATCTTAAAAAATTGTCTATATTTAAATTCATGATCGCATAAGTAGTAATTTTCATTTCTATTTCTATATTCTATTTATACTTGAGCTTGGTACCTGCATTCGAGTTAAATAAATATATTATTTGTATCTTAATTATAAAAATATACTAAAAATATTATTTATTTAAATTCAAAACAAATATGTTCCCTGTGTTAAATTACTTTAATTAATGAAATGTTATTTTAATCATAATTTATAAATACATCACGAAAATTATAGAGTACTTCCATTGTTTGATGATATTAATGCCTCTATTATCTGTACTAATTAGATTCAAACGTGTATATTATATATTCATGTCATATCTATGACTATTTTATTTTTAACTAGTCATGATTACCATACTTTGTATGGGTTATTTAAACATATTTATATAATATATACATATATAAAATTATTTTTAAATAATACAAATATAAAATAATTTTAACTTAAAATAAAGACTCGGGCAATCATAGAAAAATTAGAAACAACAACAGAGTAGTATCTAGATAATATTTAATATTGTTATTCTATTTTTATGCATATAGAATTTAATTTAATATTATATTAAAATATTATAATATTATTTTGAACATTAAAATAAAACATTTTATCACATTTTAAATCTTATTGTTTTTTATTATTTTGAAAATAAATTATTTCTATAAAAAAATTTGTTGATACTATAATATGTTAATGACATGATACCATATTTTAATATATATTCTATTTTTATAACATTAAAATATAATATTCCTTATTATGATATTATTTTTTTAAAATATGAATATAATATATACCCTATTTGAAATGTATACATGTAACAGTAGCACTAATGTTGAGCTAAGAAAATGTATATAATCTGGCTAAGGTTGCACTAGGTCATGTAACCATTTCCACTGTTTGTTCTAACTGTCGTTTTAGGCATCACAGTTAAACAATTACAGCAGAGACACTGAGAGAAAACCCAGGAATATTATGGTTGTTCATATTAGAATATTTAATTAAGTGTTTTAGCTTTTAATTCCAATACATATTTGCGATGGTGTGTCAAAACTTACCTAACAATGAGAGGACCAAACACAACGCAAAAAGCTGTCTGATGATTATGCAAATAGACCACGAATCCACAACTTATCTTCTGCCCTCTTAATTTATATGTCTTTGCTTATGTTTTAAAGTTATTTGTCAATGATGGTTACCTCAATTAGTATAATCGTCTAATAAAATTTAATAATATATTGAGTTCATTCCTAATACAGACCTGCCCAGTCCTAGGCAATTATTTTCTGACAAAAGATTACAAACATAATGTGATTCAAATGAGGATCAGGGGGAAAAAAAAAGATCCAAAGAAACCTTTAAAAAACAATAAAAAATAAACAAATGAATAAAAGCTTTTGTCTAATGCAAATCATTAAGAAAAAACCTTCCATCAAAATAAATAAAACTTCTATAACATCGCTAGCATCAGCATCAATTCACCTGCTCTTTCAGCCAATTTCCTTCTTAACTCATAAATGGACACCATAAACTGCTCCAATTGATCACCACTCATCTCATCAATGGACTCGTTCCACCAATCTACTCTATTCCAAACCTTAGCCAAAGTTTCAGTTTCAGCAAGCTTCCTTTTTTCTAACTCCAATTTCTTCATGGCTTCCTCATATTGCTTATTATGCTCTTCATAGGACACCGATTTGCCTCTTGACTTTGCAGCCTCAAACTCTGTGGTTCCTTTGAGATAACGGGTAATGATGGCATCAATGTTGGGTTCACCAAAACAGAAGAGTTTGTCAGCAGGAGAGAACACAATTATGGCTATATGAACATCGCATAAAATGCAGAGCTCGCTAGCTTTTTTGAACAACCCAGTTCGTCGTTTTGAGAATGTGACTTGCTTGTTACTATCCTTGTCAAGCTTCTTAATCTCAATCTTTTTGCGGCCTGTGGTTTTCTTCCTCTGCTCAAACATATCCATGGTTAGAGGAAAATCAACCTATGTTATGTATGGTCTAAATACTCCACAGTATTGGTTGTCGCCACAAAATATTGTAATTGAAATGATTTATTATATTGGAAAATCCGCGTTTGATTTATCCTTTTATTAAAATCCTATAATTTTGTCCTCTATATATTAGATTCTAATTAATCATAATTAATATTTAATATATTATAGTATAATTTTATAACAAAATTTTCTTACATCAGTATAAGTTTTACACTTCATCTAAATCTTTCATTTAACTTATATCTAACGAATTATAATTTATTATTTCACTTACCCTCAAATATATGTTAATTAAAAAATTCAGATCAATTACATGAATGTTTAGACTTACATGAGTCTCTTATAATTTAAACTTAATTATTATCTTCTAACATTTCCTTAAAGTAAATAAAATGAATATTAATTGAAAGATAATAGTTTTTTCTAATACAAGATACAATAATCTTAATTAATCTCTATGTTATAAATAATAATTTATTATTTAAAAATTAGAGCATTAAAAAAATTACTCTCCTTCACATTATATATTTTTATATTAAAATTGATTAAAAATATACATGAATTATACTTTTTAATATAATAATTTTACTTTGTGGTGAATTTACTCTAAATTTTGAAAATTTAAATTATTATTTAAATTTTTTATTAGTTTATATAAATTTTTATATTATTTGTAAATATTTATTTTATATTTATAAAAAATTATGTATTTTCAAATTTAGAATTTATTTTTATTTTATTATATATATTGACATTTAATTAAAGAAATTAATACTATATAATAAAATTATATTTTAAAGTTGTAATTTTTTTGTTAAATTTTTATTATTTTGATGCATATTATTTATAGTATAAAGTTAGTTTAATAATTTTTTAAAAACATATTGTTTACAATAATTTTATTATATATATATTGATTTATAAAATATTAAATCTTATTTTTTAATTATTAATTTATATGTATATTTATTTTAAAATAAAATATTTGTGTATTTATAAACTAGTATATGTAAGAGAAAGAGAAAAAAAATAATGAATGAGAAATAACTGTAAACACATATATTATATATAATGGAAGATGTATGTCTGATTTATTCTTATAATAAAATCCTACAATTTCGGCCTATCTTAGATTATAATTTTGAACATGGTTTCAATTAATGAAAGGTAAATTATAAAATTGATCTGAGATTTTGTTTTGTGAGAAATATTTGTGTTTATGGAAACCAAGTTGTGATTCCGTTTTTCTCTCCTTTCTGTAGGGGCGCTAATATATACATAAGGATTTAAAAGACTTGTTTAGTCAATTAATTTCTTCACATAAAGGTTGTTTAGCAATTATCCGTGGACAAATGATAATCAATGTGAGATTATTGAGTAGGAATCAATTTTAATTCTTATATTTTGGACGAACTTGGCATAAGATTAAAAAAAAAATCAATTCATATAATTTTTCTATGAGATTAAAATTATTAAAAAAATTATTAGATTTGTTATTTTTTTTATTGGACAACAATATAAATTTAGAACATATATTTTATATATGTTAAATGATTGGCGTCATGTAAAAAAATATGACAAACACAAATAAATTTATAAATTCAATATTTAAATTTTTTATGACTTCAAAATATTATATTTAATATTGATTTAATTCTTTAAATAAATATTAAGTCATTTGAGTATCAAAAGATGTAAAAAGAACATTTAAAATTATAACTTAATTAGTATCATTTGAAAAAGTTATTCGACATAAAAAATGCTTTAATATCCCAATTGATAATATTTTTTATATTTTAATAATTTATTTACAAAATATAGTTTAAAATAAATATTTTTAATATTATTATATTTTAAATAAATATAAATATAAAATGCTTGTACCATACGTGTAAAATCGGGTTTATGATTATCAAAGTATGAAGTTATGCATGTATATATAAACTTTTGCGTAATGACACTAACTAAATTAATCACCGAATGCAATATTAATGTTTACTTCTTTTTCAAAATAACTTCAAGATTAGGAAGTTATAAAATCTTTAATCTTAATGCATGATTACATGAAACCCCTATCTCCTTGTTGAGCATTATGAGAAGATTTTGACTTTTGAGAAACGTATCATACAATCTTTGGCTGTTTATGTTATTTAAAATTACGTTAGATTGAATCGATAATTGTCAAACAATTATATTTCCTAACAAAATAAACTACTTATACATCTAATTTTATATGTTCAAAAATAAAGTATTTAAGTAACTTTATTTATATATATTGAAATTAATATAATATATACTTCTCAAATAATTTTTTTATAATTTTTGTTTTAAAAATTTAATTAAATAATTAAAATAATATATAATTATATTTGATATCAAGTTATTGATGACTAAAAGTTTTTAATTTTGCACTGACCAATTTTGTATTACAAATTTTAAAAAAAAGAAAAAAGTGTGGGATAAATTAAGTATGTGTGTGTGTGTATATATATAACATCAGATGTTATAAAATATTATATCATAGCGTAATATAATATCTTTTTAGTACTTCTATTTGGTGATGGTTTTTGTCGGAACCTTAAATCCAAACCAGTCAATGATTGCCTAAAAAATATATAATTTTTTTTCAATATCTTAAAAATTTTAAAAATATTTATATTTTTTAAATAAATTACTAATTATTATTATATATTATACATATTTAATATAAAATTAATAATAATAGTTATTTCGAGAGGAAATGTAATGTCATCTTTACATTGGAATGAAAATACCAACATACTGCATATATACACAAGAAGAGGCGTAACCGTCCATGTCCCATATCTTTCAAAGCGGCCAAACTCAAACGTTGAAGCTCATCCTCACTTAATAGCGTTCCCTCTCTCACCTATTGTCTTTTAATTGCAGTGTGGTTAATCTATTTACACATAGTTAATACCTCGCTTATTGCTGAAAACAAAGGAATACAAGTCTGTAACTAACGTGTCCATTTTGCCCCAGACATGTCACCCAATCATTTAACAACAATACGATAATTCAAATCAGGGAAATATAAAAAAATTGAAGTACATTCTAATTGTGGATTATCTCATATTAATTTGGAGTCGATAACTTGTTCGAGTCACTTGAAACCATCATGCTATCAATGCACTAGAGTTAAAATATACCATATGTATCAACTATAAGCATTTATTTGAATAAAGAAATCTGTATGTACAAGAACAGCAACAAAAACAGTCTAGGAAAAAAAAAAGACGAAATTTCCTTCCCCAAGAGTCCTTGATGAAAGGGCAAATTATTTTCAACCGGTGTTCGCTCTTATTGAAAAAATAGGAAATAAACAACTCGTGGGGTACCAATTTGTGATCCACCTCTCTGGATCCAAAAGCATAACAAAAGTGACAAAAAAATAAGATCAGAGATACCCATTCCGAAAACCGAGATAATGAGCATTAGGAAGTGTTGAAGCAATATTAATCCCACCACCAGATTTGTTCTCAAAGGCATCATAATGTGCAAGTCCATTAGCCCCAACAATTGGTGAAGGTGATATATTAGATTGGTCCATCATGAATTTGGTAGCATGTTTTTCTATATTTTTCTTGAGCTCCTCAATTGAAGCCTTCACCTGTAGCAATTCATGCAATCCAAGCTCATCAATAGGACTCTCCCACCAAAACTGTCTCTGTCTAGCTTTCCTCACATGATCAAGCTCTTCCCCTCGCTTCTTTTCAATCTCCAAATGGTTAAAAAGCTGAGTCAATTGCATGTTGAGATCACGAACATTAGCATTTCGATGCGCCTCAACAAGTTGGTGAGCACTAGACTCTTGTGGAGGGTTTCGTGTCATGTAACGGTCGATGAGGGACTCAACTTCTGGATGGCCAAAAGAGAATGCCTTATCAGCTGGAGAGAAAACTACAATTGCAATCTCTACCCCACAAAGGGTGCAAAGTTCGCTAGCTTTCTTAAAGAGTCCTGAACGACGTTTAGAAAATGTAACTTGCAAATGACTTTTTTTGGGTATTTTCTCAATTGGGATCTTTTGGCGACCTAAGCTAGACTTCTTATTCTTCGACATGGTCGAAATGAAAAGAGAAAAAATAAGCAATGAGAGAGATAGAAGAAGATAAAAAAGAAGGCCAAATTATGCTTCTTTTGGCATTGGACTCCTGGAGTGGAAACTGACATCAGTATATATATTGCAAAATCTTTGGTTTACACATAACCCAATTAATTTTCCTTTTTATGTGTTTTATTTCTTTTTATTATTAGTCCAAAACTAGGAAGTTATATAATCTTTTGTCTTAATAAGTGATTAAATATTGTACGAAATTAGTTGGCATTATAAAAGATTTTTAACTTCTGCAATATTGCATCACAGTATTCATTTCTTCGTATTACATGCGTTTGTTTGTATACAAAACCCATCAATAATTTTTAAGACAATCTTTGTTATTAGATAAAATTTATATACAAAATCCATCAGTGTGAGGATCCACTTATCAGTTATGAATGGCAAGTCCTATGCTAGGAGTAGGAGATTTATAGGGTCTATGAACTGTATAATTACAGCAATCAACTTTTGTAGTATTATTATCAACTAATAGTATGAGTCTCGACTCTTGTATATTTAAAAAGTTTCACTTATTAGTTAATAAAATTCACTTGAATTTTACTTTTTCTACAAAACATGAACGTAATGTGTTAAAATTTAGTTGTTAGCTTTTCTCTTTTTCATTCACATATTAAGTATAAGTACAAGAATTTTTAAAGCAGTTTTAATAATTTTCAAAACTTGAAAAATTGGTTTGTAAAACTAGATATTTGAAATTTCTATAAAAGATATTCAAATAATTCATAAAATTATACCTAATTATGTTTAACATTCAAAATTTATTCTGCACAATTTTTTCTTTACTAGAATATTTTTTTTTCAGTGAAAAAAATAGGAGAGAGATGGATAACACATATTTCTTGGACTCTGGCAATGGTTTGCCCATAGGATATTGCTTCATAAAAGGGCAATAAATTTGAAGTCAATTTTTATAACATTTTTTTGTATGTAGGTTTATAGAACATATTTCAGTATAAATTTTATATAATTATTTTCATGAGATAAAATGTTTTCTTAGAAATTATTCTCAGTCACAATTTTTAGAAAGTGATTTACCGTCGTTTTTTAAATGTTTGATTTGTTAACTAAAATGGCTTTTTTCCTCTAAAAGGTTGTGAGCCAACAAAATAATTTCTGTTGATTCATATATCTATCTTTCGTTAATGTATTCAAGGGCTCATTCCAATTTTGCTATACAAATTACTATGAGGATTTTTGTAATCGAGGATTAATGTCAAGAGTTGTTTGTATATTTTATTTTTGTGTTTAGACAGTTGGCAACATGGATAGAAATTTTCTGTCCTATATTCGCGTTCCACCAATAAAAATCTTACACCTCAATTTTACAATTCATAGTGATGTAAATCTCCTCCTTTTCCTCTTAATGTCAAACTTTTTATGTTTCTCTGCATCCTCCTCTTCTCTACACACAGCTTTAGCATTTATTTATTTATTTAGTTACAGACTTGGAATTTGATTCAGATCACAATTCTCTTCTAATCCGCTCAAGCTTTTGAACCATCCTTGTTGCAAATGTATGCCTTGTTTCGAGCCACAGGTCCAATTCCCTAGTTTCTCCTTTGTTGCCTCTAATTTGATTCAACGTGTGTTATTAAATAGGATTTGATTTCGGTTTTAATTCTTATAATTTAAATCAAAGTGCGTTAATTTATAGAATATTGGTTTCATCACGTATATATGCTTGGAAAGTTTTTGATGAAATATCATACAAGAAAATGCTTTCGTGGTTATGAGAAATCCCAAGTTAATCAATGCTAATCTCAAGCTTGCTTTGTGAAAATAAAATTGTTTATAATGCAGAGACGATTAAGCGAATAAGTAAGATGGGATCTGAATAGAACTCCAAAAGCTTGCAATATGAAAACAAAATGCTGTACTGTATAAAGAAAAAGAGATGAGTGCACATAGGAAAAAACAAGCTATCGTTAACGGGGCAATAGTATAAAAGAGTAACGGTGTTAAGAATGAGCCATATGAATAAGAAGCTAATGTGTATACTCTAATTGAAGTGCAATATTTATATTGTTGAGACAAAATAACTTAAACATTAGGATTGTATTAGAGATGAATATTGAGAAGCAATGCATATCGAGTAATTTTTATTTATTTATTTATTTATAATTAAGAGATATATGAGAAAGGAAGATAGAGAAGTGTAAAATAAGATGAATAATATAATAAAAGGGAAAAATATCTTAAAAATAGAAAAAATACTAAATTTGAATTAATATTTAGTTTTGGAGAGAAGAAGAAAAAAAGATAAATTTTATGTTTTAAATGAATATATTTAAATTTAATATTTATTTAAAATAAAATATATAAATTAATACATTAACATAAATTTAATATATTGATCATATATTTATTACTGTAAATGATACATAATTGTTTTAATTTAAAATTAAAAATATACATTCCAATTTTTTTTTCTTCCAAAATTTCTTTCCAAACATAAAATAAAACCTAGAGATCATGTGGTGATTCAAATACAAACCCTAGAAGTCATCCTTTTGTTTTGTTGCGTTGAAGTGATTTTTGCACCACGAAATTCTAGAAATCTCCTCTACAGTAGTTTGTGTTCTACTTTTTAGTTTTTAAAATTATATAAATAAATAAGATGATACGCTAATTAACATTCATAATTAAATAAGATGTTATTTTTCTCTAAATACATATTCTATATATAGTATAAACTAAATAATTTCAATAACCATCGGTTTAGTAAAAGGGAATTTTAAAAATTAAAATTAATTAAAAATATTCTTAAAATTAATATTGTTGCAATAAAGTCTAAATGGATAACTTTATTTTTCATTAAAAAAATTTTAAATATGATAATTTATTATTTAATCAATACTTTTCATTTTAAAATGTCTGGATACTATTTGATAATTTATTATTTTAATTAATTTGAATGCTTTTTTTAAGAATTTTGTTTATCTTTGAAAAATATTCTTTATACATTCAAGGAGAAGTCTTGTGTGTATATATATACGACATAATGAAAAAATAATTAATTCTTAAAAAAATTTAAATAACTCTTAAAATGTTTTAATACAATTTATTTATAGAGAGATTAATATCTTCACCCATCATAACATCTTTGCAGGTGTTCGAAAAATTAAAATTTCAACAATATGAAATTGTACTACTACGTAAAAACTGAAGTACAAAGTTGACAAATTAAAATCTTAAAAAGTTTGTATAAAAAAATCTGAAAAAATTGACTATCAAATAAACCCCATCCAAATCTGCCATTTCTTTAATCAAACAAATTAATTAAAACGTCATACTTCACCTAAAAATACATCTACCTTTATATATTAAATATAAATCTTTAATTTTAACATACAATGATTTTAGAAATCATTTTAAATAAAAAAATTAAGACTTTTCTATTTCGTCATTTATCTTATTCAGTATTTAATTTTTTTTTATTCAATTTTAACTTGAGTTTTGAATTTCAATTTTTTCAAAACTATTTCTTAATTTTAAAAGATTGTCTGTTTAATTTAATTTTTTAATATAACTAGAGATATTACTGATAATCTGTCTCTATATATTAAATATAAGTTTTTGTTCTTAATAAAAAAAAAATAGTGTTTTAAGAACTATTATAAATGAAAATATTTTTTATAACCATTTTTTTCTCATTACATAATATTTTTTTTCTATATTAAGCACTTAATTTAAATTTTAAAATTTCAATTTTTTTTCAATGTTATTATTAATATCCATATATTATATATGCACTTCACAACAAATTTAATAATTCTATAATAATGTTTTAAAAACGAACCAAGGAATTAAAGTGATTGTTAACAATTAGCTAAATAAGTAGTCTCACTTTTTAACTTAACAATCAACTATTTTAAATCTTAACACAGTAATTAGATATTTTATATTTTTATGCTATTTGATTTTATTCCTTTATAAAAAAAATTAATCTCTAATTTTAACACTTTTAATTATTTATAATGATATAACTAATACTACAAATAAAAACCTCATAAAAATATATTTGATTTTTTTTTCTATCTGTCTCACATTACTTCTCTAATTTAGATATTAAATTTAGACGTTTATAATATGTAATAATTTTTATTTATAACATAAAAATGCTCCCCTAATAAAAAAAATATAAATATTTTTATCATTAACAATAAGTGTTAAATTTTGACACTTATGTATTATTTTACAATTTTTTTAAGATATATTAATTTATTGGTTATTTAAATTTTTTTTATCAACTTAATAAAATTTTATATAAAAATAAAATTAATAAATATTTTATTATTTTATTTTATTTTAATATATAATATATTTTTTAATTATAAAATAAATATTAAAATTTAAATAATATACTTATAAATATTTAAATTATATGAAATTTGATATATAAAAATTATAAGAATAATATAAAATAATTTAATGGTTGAAATGATAGTTTTGCGTATAATAAGTGATTAAATGGTGTGTGTGAGTCATGTCTTTGAAAAATGACTTAATTAAACGTTAAATGCAAATTATCTAACAAGTTTTGGCTGATTTAGCGTACATCGTCGTCGTTAAATCTAAATTAGAAGTATAGAAAACAGAAAAAGCAAAGTAGTATGTGAACGATTCAATCGTCTTGCAACGTGGACAATGGGTAAAATCACATGAAAATTAAAAAATAAATTGCATTAATTAGATGATAACATGTATAATTATATAAATAATCGGTTTTCCAATAAACACAGCTCTTTCGCACGAAAATTTAAGTTTTTTCATATAAAAAATAGAATAGTCATATCCGTTAGAAGACGACTTAGCAAGGGATCCATTCTATTTTTTTTCAAAGAAAAAATTACTTTTTGATTAGAAGATATGTTTGATAAAATTTGCAACAGTTATGTAACTTCTGAAAATAAAAATCACAAAAAATGTGAGTTAGTATCTCAAAAGTTGAAAATGAGACGTTTTAAAAAACTTTATGTGGATGAAGTATTGTAATTATTATATATTTTAAATTTTTATTAGTATATAATTTTATAAAAGGATAATCACTTTAAACTTCTTGGAGTAAAATGATAATTAAAATAAAATAAAATAAATATTTTTTACAAAATAAATAACTAATAAAAGTTATAAATTTTAAAAAAATTATATGCACGGCCCTTTGAGATTAATTTGGAGGTTTACTCATAAAAAATAATATTATAAAATTATTTTTTAATCAAAATTAAAAATTAACATTTAAAATAATTATCATTTAATAATTCTGACTAATTCTTGCACAAATCTTCTTCATTAGTTTGGGTTAAATAAAATGGCATATGAATGATTAAGTAAATGTATGTTTTGGTTGTATGCTTATTGATCATAAATTTACTTTTATTTTAACACTTTTAATCATAATTTTAACTTATCTTGTAGGGTGAATTACACACGCTAAGTCATTTTAATATGTGTTCAATTCTTATGTAATACTTTTATGTTTATCTTTTGTTCGTTTTATTTTAGCACATATCTTCCCCATTCTTTTCACCCCTTTATTTGCAGTTCGTAGATTGTTCAGATGAAGGAATTAAGTGAACTTGCTGAACATTAAAAGGATGTACTCTCAGAGAAATGTAAACCGTTTTTTTTTCCCAACAGGAAACTAACATTTAAAATCAATCTCATACATTATAACATGTTTTGATATAAAACCGATAATTGAGATTAATTTAAATATATTCTAATCACATGACAAAATTAAAACTTAATCATAATTAAGATGCCCTTTATTTAACTAATACTAATAAAACTACACCACTACAGTCCCAATTACATAACAAAGAAATGCACGAGAATACATTCTAACAATACATGATGACGATGGTTCAAAGACAATGAACATCCGAACCCTATTGATCAGTCATAACCATGTCATACACATGAAACTAGTTCACCCTGCCCTACATTGAAATAAATTAAAACATGAGTTTGAAAAGTAAACAGAGCATCACCATTATATATATCTCAACGGATCAATAGAAACCAGCAGGTCCAAACCCTCCCATGCCCATGCTATTATACGCATGGTAACGCATCATGCTTCCATCAAACATATGATTCGGAAACATCGATGGCTGAAGCATCTGAGGGGGAAACACCTGAGGTGGAGGTGGCTGATGAACAAGGTTGGAAGAAGACGCGCCGGTAAAATACTGAGCCGGGTTAGCCGCAGTCTGAACCAGGAGCCTGTCAGCGAGGCGCGCTACATGTTTCTTCAGCTCCTCCAACGCCCCTTTGAGCTCTTCCAGTTGGGCTCTGTTCATCTCCTCAAAGGGCTCGGCCCACCAGAACTGGGCCTGCGCCGCCTTTCTCATACGGCTCAGCTCCTCGCCGCGCTTCCTCTCGGTGTCGAGCTGGTTGTTGATCTGAGTGAGCTGCGCGTTGAGTTCACGCACGTTGGCGCTGCGGTGAGCCTCGATGAACTGCATGGTGCCCGAGTTTGGCGGTGGGGCGCGCGAGAGATAGCGATCTATGACGGCGTCCACGTTGGGGTGTCCGAAGGAGAACACCTTCTCGCCGGGTGAGAACACAACGAGAGCCACGTCAGCACCGCAGAGGGTGCAAAGCTCACTCGCTTTCTTGAAAAGCCCACTGCGACGCTTTGAGAACGTGACTTGAAGGTTGCTCTCATTGCTCATTTTCTTCATCTCAATCTTTTGGCGACCACGGCTTTTCCTTAAGCTCGACATGGCTCAACCAAAAATGAAAATTTGTGGTTACAAAAGTTTAAAAAAAATGGAGATGGGTTATATAATAAGCTTAGGCTATGTATATATCATGGCACATAGAAAGTGGCAGAGTGAAGGGCTCAATTTATAGGCATTGTTTGAGCGGATGCTTGATTCAATGCGCGCTTGTTGAGACACAAACACAGAGCAGAAGCCACACCCTTTCGTTGCATTCAAGTGGTTTCTGGATTGAGAGATTATGGAAATCCTCTCTGCATGCCATATATGGGAGGAAATTTAATGTTAAAAAAATCGAGGTCTCGGTGCATTTCGAATTATACTTTAGCTAATTCAGAATTTTTTTTTTTAGATAACATTTTTGCTGTTTTTTTTTTTCTGTAAATTACCATAAACGATCTTATTCTTATCGATTTTTGGAAAAACAAAAAGTTTAATATGGAGAATCTAGTTAAAAGGTATTTGTAATGTAGCAACCTAGCAGGCGACATCATATACCCAAAGAGATGCGATTAATTAAAGTTGTATCATTAAAAAGAAATTAACTTTTAAATAAACTGTTGCTGTGATAAAAGGAAGATGCTAGTTATTACAAAAATTTTGTTAGAAACACGCAAGTAAATTTTTTTTTTTATTTGTAATATCTTGTAGTTTGACAGAATATATTAATATTTTGTATAAGCAAAGTTATTTATTAATAGTATATATCATCATATTAACATAAATTTACAATATTTTTATTAATATTTATTAAAAATATATTAATGAAAATTAATTAAATTAAATTATCAATAAATGATATTTTTTTAAAAAGTGTAAGGCATAACATTTCCAGTTGTTAAATCAAAATACACACGTACCCAAAAGTGTAGAAATTAGACAGTAGTCTATTATAGTTATCTTGTAATTTTAGAAGGAATAATTAATGTTGTGAGATAAATGTGTTAAAGAAATCACCCATCAATATACAGAATGTATGAAAATTATTTATATATTAATTACTAAATACAAATAAATAAGATACATTATTGTTTGATGTTTATTATATTATTGCTGTTGTGATCGTGGTCTTTTAAATATACATTATTCCAATCGTTTTTATTCTTAATTTCCAATGAGTAAACTCAAAAAAATATTCCTACTTCGTTGCTGAAAAGTTGCATTCATCTAAGCTACTACTAGTTAAACTAATATTACTTACAGCTATCCTCGTTTTGTAATTAAACAGAAAATGATGTAACAACTCGTTCCCAGAAGGTGGATTTGTTCACGTTTTGATAATCTAAGTAATTGTGATAAGTAATCATAATTAAAACCAGAAAAACCCTAAAACAAAGAGAAAGCCGGATGCAATTATTTAATTAATTAAGACCCGATAATATGACAATCATGTTTAAGTTTTGTTTCCTATGTTATTCTCCCTTAAAATTAGCAAGTTTGGAACCCTCAATATCAAAAGTATTTGGAAAGTTAGCTTCAAATTTTGGAATAGGTAGAAAATAGAAGGACAAGTTAAAATTCTATTTGTGTGGAAAAAAAAAAACAAATAATTATTAAGACAGATTGTAAACGTAAACAACCAAAGGTTGAAAATCTGAAATTAGAAAGATATTATATATATATAATCAACGTGGCTTAAAGCCCAAATAGAAAGAGACTATAAAAGTTGGTTATGTATGCCATGTCAAGTGAGCAATTAATGAAAATTGTAATGTGAGAACACAAGTTAGCACAAGGAAAAGATCTAATAGAGCTAGGATTCTTGAAGTTACATGTCAGCGTTAAATATGTGCAAAGCATTCAAAAAATAATAATATTTTTTTATATTAAAAGTGATATTCTTTCTATTACAAAATAATTAGCATTTTCAAGTGTTATACAATAATAATTAATTAAAAATTAGGGGGGAAAAAGACCATTAGTCTAAATTAATTTTTTTATGATTGTATTTAATACTTCATCACTTGAAAAAAAAAACTAATTTTACAATTATTAAGATATATAGAATGTTTAAAGGATGATTAAAAATCATTATAATATATATATATATATATATATATATATATATATATATAAAAAGAGAACAATGTTGGAAAAAATATTAAACATTTTTAATATTATAAAAATGAAAATAATTTTAAAAATTATTAAACTAATAATAGTAATAAAATGGAGGGAAGTATGTAATGTTAGTAAAAAAAAACGAGGGCTAACGCAGACAAATATCCACTGCAAACTAATTATTATTTATTAATAATTTATATTAAAATAGTATCTGTTATAATAATTTTTTAATAAAATATGAATTATTAATATAAATAATTTGAATTTATACTAACGAACTAATAAACAAATTTATTTGTATTAGACATTGATATATAATATACTATACACTTTACTCACCAAAAGAAAAAGTATAGCACACTCTTCGTTAACATAGACTTTTAAAATTGTTATTAACAGATTAATTTTTGTAATATTATTAACGAGAGTTATTTTAACATTTAAAATTTTTTATATGTCAGAAAATGATTTTTTCAAAATAATTTTACTGTATTACAAACAAAAGTAATATCTTTTTCATACTCTTTTTATTTAAAAGTAAAATCCACCTAATTATTGTAAAGATGACTTGGTAGATAATTGTTCTAATATAATTAAATGTCTTGAGTTTAAGTATATTAAAATGCAGTTACATTATAATCTCAAAAAAAAAATTATCCATAATAATTTTATCCAATTTGAGCTAAAATGTCAAATGCATAACGTGATGTTCATAATAATACCATGTATTTTCTTACACTTTACATTCTTTAGGATTTTTTAACTCTTTTTTTTTCAAATTTTTTAGAAAGTCCTAGAAAATTTTTTCCAAAAATAAATTATTTTAAACGAACACATAATTGAATCATGGTTTGTGATTCTTGAATTTTTCTTCTTTCACTGGTATTATTTTAATAGTTTTTACTTGTGAGTTCTTTTTATTTGTTTATTATTATTATTATTTAATAAGCTATTAATTAGTTAAGATGGCATATATAGTTTTCATCATATAAAATAATTTTTAAAAAGCTTTAAAAAAACCAAAATAGTTCCTAAAAAATATTATAGTCAATTTTAATGGAAGAACTAGCATGTTTCATGAAAAAAAATAAAGACTAATGACTTTTGTTTTTTTAAAGACAATATTAGATCTTATGTTATCAGTGGATCGAGATTCTACTGTTTATCGTCTTAGATATCTGTTTGCATTTTTTGTACGTATTAAGATTAAACAGTAACTGAGTTAATGGTAGCCCTATTTGATGTGAGGAAGTGGAACTGAGAGAAGAAACTTGTACAAGAGCTTTTGCAAAAGAATCTTGGTGCATTATCTTGTGACTTTTTCTGTCTTTTGTCTTTGATTGAGTTGTTTGTTATTTGAACTTACGTTTCAAGCTTTTTCACTGTTAAGGATTAGATAGAAATGAAAATTAGTGATTATTGTTTGAGTATGAGGGAAAACAGAAAAGCGAAAGCTTAACGAGCTTCTCTTGTAAATTAGCGTTGTTCATTCGATTTAATTGTGTTTAACCTTATATACTGTGCATTTATTTATTTTTTAAAATAAAAAATTAATTCTTTCAAAGGTCAATATATTTTTCAGTAATAATATCACTAAAAAAATTTCCTCAAAATTAACTATATCTAATTGTAAATTCTCCATATTAATGATGAATCAGATTCTATAGTTATTGTTATCAATCATTGAGTAAATCAACTAGTTTCATTGTTCCAGTTTAAGTTATAATCTTGAGCTTCAGTCTAAACAATAAATATTCTACAGATTTTATTTTGGAAAATTATAGAATTAAAATATAATCCATAAATGTTATTTTGTATTTAGAAAATCATTAAATAAAATGATTTGATATTGAAATTATTGTAATTTCATTTGTCTGCATTTAGAAAATTATTTAAATAATTGGTTGAATTTGAATAAGTTGGATTGAATTTTAACTTTAAATTCATATCCTTATTTTTGTAATATTTTTCCAAATTTAAGTAAAATAAAAAAAATGAATTTATTTCATTTTAATGCATTCTAAATATAAATTTTGAACTTTAAAAAAATTCAAAAGTTAATTTTCTATAATAAACGAATCTATTAGAATTTATCAATAATGTAATTTTTGTTTATACTATTATTTGATCATAATATTTTATAAAACTAAAATAAATAATTTTTGCCATAATTATTTCCAAAATTATACTAGTACATTTTATAATACCTAGTGTAAAATTTTGTACATTAAAATTATTTAATTTTCTGATTTATTGTTTATATATTGTATCAAATAAATGTATTTATACCTAAAAAATATTATTTATTTAAATATATAATCCATTTCTATATATTAAGTTTAAATTTTTATTATTGAATAATATTATTTTTAAGAATTATTTACATTCTCATTATGCCAGAGGATTCTAACAATCAATATTTATTTTTATTCCTTATAAATGTTATTTTTCTATTTTAATTTAAAATTTAATTGGATTTAAATACTAATATTGACATACTTATCTAATTAAATCTATATTTCTTCCTTAGATCAATTGAACTTATTATATATATATATATATATATATATATATATATATATATAATCTTAATTTAACATTATTTTTAAATTTTGATATGCTGTATCAATAAAAATGGAAAAGTATTTTTTTAATCATGTCATGATTTGAAATTTAAAATTTTATCTTTTTTTTTAATTTTATTTTGTATAATAAAATATTTATTACTATTAATAAAATTATTATTATTCTCTCTAATTTACAGTTACTTGTATTTTTTCGAATTTAGAAATTTATGCAGTGCACAAAAAAACATTAATTCTATGATATCTGTCGGAGATATATAACTCCTTTAAAATAAGAGATTTAGTACATAGCGTAAAATAAAATAAAAGGTTATATAAATTATTTGGGAACTTAAATCAACAATAAAATTTTAAATAATGAGTATAATTTTAATAAATAGTCAATATAAACATTTTAAATTAAATATATTATGAATATGATTTATTTATATTAATTATTAAAAAATAATTATTACTTATATAATAATTTATAATGACTGTGTAAATTAAGTTATATTAATGATGGAAATTAAATTTTTAGCTTTATATATTAATATAATTTAATTTGAATACAATAACAGAATAATCCAATCATAAAATGTTATACTAGTAAAAAAGAAATTGATTTTTGTAATAAAAATATATAAAAAAATCATCAATATGTTTTTTTTATTTTGGCTATCGATGTAAAAAATTTTACAAAAATTGCATCCAAATTAAATTACACATATATCAATAGAAATTAAATTAAATTAAATTAAATTAAATCAATATAAATTATATCTAACATTTTTATTAAATGATTTAATCTTAAATTTAAGAGTTTCAATAAAATATTAAAGCCCAACTAACCCACAGAATATCTGGGCCAGTGGGCTTGAAGCCCTGAATGCGTTGCGGCCCGTCACGTTTGACCAATGACGTTAGTTTTCAGACTGAAAAAACAAAAACTTCAGCTTGGGGAAGGTATAATGCAAATGAATCTTTATGATTCATTACAAAACAATAAAAATATAAAATGTTTACACAAATTATGTAACACAGGAGCACCAAAATACTTAAGTTATAGTCATATTTAATGACATATAATATTAATTAAAGTTAAATATATTTTTCTTATGAATATAACTAAAATTATAAATTTTATTACTCATTTTTTTTAGTTTTATTTAATGACATTTTACTGTTCGCTATTAGTTCTACCTCAAGAATATACAATAGAAGTGTTACAATTTGTCAAATATCAATTGCATGGTCTGTTGGTCTTGCAGTTGCAGCATGATATGGTGCAAGTATAGGAACATTTTAACGCAATAAAATAAAAATTCTATAAAGGTAATATTCAAGCCATTCGGAATTTCTACAAAAGATATTTAGATCTTTGTAGTTATTTAGCATCGCCAAAATTTGCATTAATGGATGAGGGAGCATATATATATATATATATATATGTAACTTACAAGAGTGAGACAATGAGAGATTGGAGAGAGCCATCTTTCAACCATTTAGAACATTTTGGTGGGTTCATCATTGACATTGTAAGGGGTATAAATTTTCAAGAAAGCCAGAACCTGCTCAATGGATCCACTAACTTTCCTTTTATTTTAAGTAGGAAGTCTCTTATTACACTTGTTCTGCACTAGGCTAAGTAGAAAATCGGTAAATACGTGCTCATAGCCTGGCATTTTTCCATAACCTGCAGCACATAAAACCAAGAAACACATTTAAGAGAATGTCTACGACACAATTTATGCACTAACATGCAATCATAGTAAGTTGTACTGTTGTACTTGCCAGGAAAGTAGTTGATATCAATGACGTAAAACACATCCTTGGTTCCATATTCCCGAATCATATCTATGTTGAACATGCGGAGTCCCTGGAGATGGTGTGCAACTTAGTTTTAGTATATCATCTGAATATGAAAAAAAATGAATGCAAAAGAAAGTAACAAAAGAAATAATAATAATAAATACCAATCTATGGCGGAGCTCACTCGCAAGCCTCTCCAACAAAGGTCTTGGTGGATGTTCTGTTACAAAGTGTCAATAAGTTGAAATGAGGCACTAATTCCAGCCATTTACACCAAAGCAATTTGTAGCATGTACTCGCACAAATCACGTAACTACATACAAAGCCTCAAGAAAGGGAAGTTTTCCGAGTCTCACCGGCAACATTAGGATCTAGATCGGTGTCATCTGCGGAAGCTGCCGCACATGAAACTCTTGGGAAACGGAATACACCTGCAACTTTTGATAGCTCCAGTTTACTGATATTAGGAAGAGAGAAACGCTTCACAACCTTTATGGTTTCCCCAACAATATAAATCTTAAAGAGAAGACCACCTGCATTGTCAAGTCCCAAAACGAATAAAACACAAAAAGAAAAGAAAGAGGTTCGATAACAGCAAAAATTGAACACAAAAAGATCATGTTATATGGATTAGTTCACAAACCATGATTAACAAACTCTTGTAGAACCAGTGGAGGTTCAAGCTCTGAAAGAGAGAATTCATCATAAGCAAGAAATAGTTCATGTGACTTTGCACTGCCATCCACAACTAGTGGTTTTGCAACTGAAAATTAACCAAAAAAAAAAGGGAATAATTTTAATATACACGTATCTACACACAACAATTGAGACGGCAGTATATCTTAAACAACCTAACACAATCTTTCGCTAGAAAAACAAATACAACAGATACAAACAAGGTTCTTTGGAGCGCACTCAAATATACCCATCAATGCAGAGGTTGACTGAGTGCAGAAGATTAGACAAAGATACATACCTAATGGCAACTTCATCTCTGCTTTAGCGACTTCATAAGGGATAGTAGATGGGTCTTTCTCTTTTGTAATAACTAACTGACGTGGAATGCCAATCTTACCTGAAAACAACAGTAATTAATATATAGATGCAGATACTGGTATTGCAGAAGCCTAGTTTACCATGCATGAAATACAGATTCAAGTTAAGAAATTGAAAAGCCAATGCATTCTTCTAACATTCCATAAAAATAAAAAATAGTTGAATGAGTAGCTCAATACAAGAGCAAGATGTATGCTGATGATTCTAGTACTTCTGAATAAAGATTCATGTACTATCCTGAAACTTTCATATGGGGAGTTTTAATTTTTGTTGTTCTAGTAAATTGAAGTAAACAAGTTACCATGGCAGTCAGATAAGTTTAGATCCACCACATCTTGCAGCATGGATTGGCGGTTGTGTAAATGTTCAATTGCATCCGGAGGGTCAAGGACTGCTACCTCTGGATGTTTTTGCCTATAATCCTTCAAAAATAAGAGAGGAAGAAAAGGTCAAATTAGCCCCACAAAATACATACTTTACATACCATCTAGAAAGTATGAAACAATCACCAATTACATATTGTCAGCCAGCTCTAATCATTTTAGCAGAAGAAGACCAATATTGTAATTTATCATCTCATTAAACTGTCAAGCAAACCAGTTTTAGGAGATGAAAGAAACAAAAGATAAAATTTTCATAAAGTCAAATTGGTGAAAGAATTTAACTAGACTTCTCCTGCACTTAATGTATTATTAAACCAACTGTCAGAAAACTTCTCAACTCAACTCTTCTAAGCTGGTATCGTTATATTTATCTGGAAAATTTTTATATTATTACATTACCAGACACGGTTGCGTTTTGGGGTGTAGCATCATTGCCTTCTAACCTATAAGCTCAGCTAGCCTTGAACTTAAAGAAATTTGATCTCCATGCCATAATACTGTAATATTCACTATCAAAAGTATAACAGAAACAACACTTTCGTCTAAGAAGCAATGAACCAAATAATAGAGAGAAATAATAATTTGTTCTTTGTGCAACAAACTCCAGCCATGCCTAACCAAATTATTTACATTAATCACAGAAGTAAATCCTCACTTGTTTGAACACTTGGGGACTGATTTCAACTATCTGATCATGATTCATGATGAGGAGAGCATGAACTCTGCAAATTATGTCAGACAATAATAAGTTTTTAAGAATCCAGAAGATTTGGGTTGTCCAGCCCATCACCGCCATTTCATACTTAAGTCCTAGACTAAGGGTACTAACAATTTTCATGCAATGCCATGAATCTGTATTATTAAAGCAACACAACATTGCCACCACAATGTGAAAGTAGATGGAAGTGTCTGGAGTTCACAAACCTCAATAATCTCACGCCAGTCCTCCCCTGACATCTGGAAAAAACAAATAGCCAGAAAGGTTATAATAGAGAAGGAAACAGAAGTAAATCTTAAAATGCTAATAACCGGTCACTGAGCCAGAAATTCAGCAAAACCAAAAATGAAATCTAAAAAAAAAAGGCAGACACTTACGAAGAATTTCAAATGTCAATAATGATAAAATGCTGAAAGAAATGTCACACAAACCTTGTGCAAGATAATATCAAAAGGACCTTGTTCGGGTAATGGCTTGTTTAGATCAATGGCGACAAAGTATATCCCCTTGTTCCTGCATTATACATGATTTTTAAGCATTCCTATTGAGAGTGTCAAGGTGACTCACAAAATATAGTTGTTCGAAGATTTTTTTCAAGAAATATTTTGCCAGCCATTTATTTCAGAGTAATAATATGTGTATATATGCACACCATATGAATGGTCAAAATTGGTTTTACTTAAAACTAATCTTGACTGTTCAAGCAAGATTAAATGGTCAAGATTAACTCGTATTGCAACTTGTTTATATTTTCATATATATTTTTTTTTAACTATAAATCAAGCTAATCTTGATGTAAATCAATGAAGTGCTAAAAAATTCTTCGGTCAATTTAAATTTTATAAAATATAATCTATATGACAGAAACTTTAAATTATGAGAAGGCTTCTGATTATACTGGTGTAAGTCAATATTACTCATACACCTTTACATAATTTTTTACAGGATAATTTTATCAAAAAAAGCATACAGCAATTGCTTAGCACTTCGTTGATATATTGTCAAGATTAACACTCTTGAAATATACAAAAATAATAACAATGAAATTATACTTTTATTGTTGTTCAATTTTTACACATAAATAATCAATAATTCATGGTAGAATTGATAAAGATTACATTTAATGTAATGTTGAATGGAATAACAGACAAATTATATTTCCTCTAATGCAGATGCCCAGTTGGCATCAGTCTTTTCAGTGAACAGACAACATTGGTGGACAATAATGTAAATTTGACATTCCAGAGAAGCAAAGTAAATTAACTTAAATTATGAATAAAGAACAATGTACTAAGGTTTGACCTTGGGTTGTCAGTGTGGAAAAATCCAAAGGAAGTAGGGCATAAATGTTGGAATATTCTTATTTAAATTAGAACTGAGAAAAGACCAAGATATCATATACCAAGCAGCAAAATCGTTAAGTTCAAAAGAAATTTAGAAAGAAAACAAAAGGGAAAAAAAAAACACAGTTGCCCGGGTTCGACTGACGAAAGTGATAGCCATTAGACATGGTGCAAAATTGCTCAAACATTACATACAACACAGACAAAGACACGACGTGTGGCGTTGAACCCCACCACTGCAAAAGGCGCTTTAACGCTAAAGAAGCAAAACACGAAACAAATGAAAAGATCAAAATAAGAAAAAGAAACAAAACAAAAGAAAAAAGTCCCTTGCTTTGGAAAACCCATTTGTGGAAATTGAGAACATGAATATGCATGCAGATGAAGGTGAAAAGCAAATAATACCGTGCAAGGGCAGTGAAGCTTGGTTGAAGAAAGCTCTTCTTCTTCTTCGACGTTAAGGCGTAACCAACCACCACCTTCTGCCCCGAAAACGGGGTCGTTCCGGCTTGTTTCTCTTCTTCTTCTCCGCTTGAGATTTCTCCGTCAAGCCTCATCCTGGCACCCGCCACAAACCCCTTGATTCAAAGATCAAATCTTTTCCCCTTCTTTGCTTCAATTTTCCCGCGGCGGAGTTCTCAATCTCGAAATCAAAACGGAAACGAAATCTGCGAATCGCACAAGAAGGAACAGAGGAGGAAAACGATGGAAAAAGAATAGAGGAGGCCTAGAGAGAAATGTGTGTATGGGAAGAGGAATATTCAGTTTGCAGAAGAAGAAGAGAAAGATTGGATTTGGGTGTAATTGTGAAAGAATGGAGTGAGTGAAATGAGAAGCATATCTATATATTATATATAATTTAATATAATACAGTGCTGTGATAGTGCCAAGGTTGTTGAAATGAAACTCCTCCCCCTTTATCCTTTCTCAGTTTTACCCTTTGTCTGTCATATTTGTTTGTTTGTTTAGTATTTTTTGTAACGTAAGGTTGATAATAAAAAGCATTAATAAATAATTAAATCTTATTAAAAATTATAATATTTAATCTTATTAATGTATTAAATTTTTATATATTTTTAAATGAGTATTAAAATATTATTTATTTAATTGAATTGTTGGTTGGCCTACTCCGTAGAAGTCAAACGATTATAAACACCTGCTCTATGGGGTTGGGACTTTTGGGAGTGGGGTATATGATTATTTTTCTTTTTCTTGTTTTGCCAAATGGGATTCATGGTATTTGGTAAGAAAGCAGGGTAATCTTTTATCTTATCCATGTTATCTTTGTCATTATTAAAAGTGTCTTTTTTTATAATAGATAAAGTCTAATTTTAAAAGAGTGAAATTTATTATAATAATAAAAAATGTCTTTGTTTTATAATTTTTAGTAAAGTGGGTCCATTTTAAGTTCCCGTACTTAAAATCGGTTAGGATTAAAAACATTATTTTAATTATCTATTAAATATATAATCAATATTTGTTATAAATTGATTAACTTTATTATAAAAGTTGAATAAAATTTGTAACATTTTCTTAATTATAAAAACATGTCAAAGTGATGAATATATTTTTTAGAGTAGTGAAAAATAATAAACATTCCATTTTAATTATGCAGATAATTTTAAGATAAAAGGAGATTATCTAGAGCATTTCACACCATGCAAAAGGTTATTAAATAAATAAATATATATATATATATATATATATATATATCATGGAAAATGCTAAAAAAAACAAGAAAAAACAAATATTCAGAGAGCAGCTACACTACCGCGCGAATATACATATTTCCTCTCCCATGGTTTTAGATTTGAGAGATGACCATAAGAACCAGTTTTATCTTTCTAAGCTTTAGTTTATCGAACACTTAATATAACTTAAATGCATGGTCACATTTTTGGATATTGTGTAAAATTAACTGTTTGTTTGTTTTGAATTTATTTTAACGCCACTGCATACTAAAAAGAATAAAGAGCAAAGTCCGTTTGTCAAAAGCGCATTGGAACGCGGTATTTGGCACTGAGAAAGCACACAAATTCTCATTAAATGTATTATGAATGGTATCATTGGTCAAAACTCATCACAAGAGTGCAGATAGAGGAAAATTGAATCTTGATATCTCATTATCAAAGTAAATTTTATAAAGAAAAATGAAAATGTGAATTTTCTTAATTATTTTGTAGTAACAAAACACTACCTTTATAAACATTTAAGCTCTATACCCAATATACTTTGCGCGAAATATAAATTTCACTTATTATAAGCATTTGATACCTCTTAGTCTCTTACACGGACATTTCTTCTTTACTAAAGCTTTTAGTTTGTATTGCATGCATGCATCTCTACCCCTCGTATGTAGTCCTGTTTACCAGAAGAAAAAAAAAAGTGTCTCTGCTACTGAAAATAGAGAATTTTGATCATATGATATTTTCCTTTTACATAGAATAATAATATAAAATTAAAAAAATATGAATAAAATTTAAGATAAAATCTATGATACTTTGAATAAATGAGAAAGTTTGATAACTTTTTTTATACGCTAGAATAATTTTGACCGTTAATTTTATATGAATAGATAATAGTGGTAATGATATAATTAAAAAAATATGTTAATATCTTTTCATCTTTAACATATTAAAAAAAATACAATCGTTAATTTAGATGGTATAGAATATCTACTCAATTTATGAGTATCACATTGAGTACTAAAATTTAATGGTATTTTCCTACAATTCATTTTTAAACTCCAGGTAATCCGTAAATTAATGATCCTTATGAATTGTATTATTTTAGGATCGGAGATATCATTTCAGTTACCATAATGAAGCTTCACAGTAAATGTTTTGTCCAAATAGTCACTGTCTCTTTTTTTTCCACGGTTCTACCTTTCCATAAATTAAAATGATCCCAACTAAAGTGGGCAACTAGCCTATTTTTTATGGGGTTTAAATGACTTTAGTTTGTTATGACCTGTAATCAGATATCGCATTAAATATTTAAATAATTTGATTCGAAGTAGATTAAATAATCATAGATGATAGGATTTTCCTACTAAATTTTAATGAAATATTTTCATGTTGTTTAAATGACTTTTAGTTTGTCTATGATCTGTAATCTGATACCACATTAAATATTTAAATAAGTTGATTCGTAGTAGATAAAATTATTATAAGTTATAAAGTTTTTTTTATTAAATTTTAATTTTTTAAAGAGTTCCAATTCAAATTTACTAATTAAAATAAAACAGCTCTATCTATGCCAGCTGATTTACATATTCGATGGTAGGTTCAAATGTCATTTACCTACCTCTAGTTAATGTTCATTTTTCATATGCCAGCAATGAAGAATATTGCAGAGAGTCTGAGAATATGCTTAAAGTTGAACCAAGTTAATGCGAGATTTGGGGGCCAAACTCTTCATTGCCCACCACAAATTGACATTCAGAGTATAGGATTTGTGATGTTACGCCATCTAATTAAAATAAGGTGGTAACTAATCGGGCCTTGTAAAAGCGCCCCCTAAATATACGTGCTTAAGTTCAACATCAAGTCAATTCTTTCACGATGATATAATTATTATTTTTTTATTTCTTCTTTTGGGATTTTCTTTTAATCGAAGTTCCACATAGGACTGATGGCACTACAGGAGATTTGCAATCTTCTTGATTTTATGTTTTCAAACCTACCTATTTTGAGCTAAGAGATGTATACACCTAATGACATTAATTGCCTTGTCCTTGAAAGAGATATAAATTGAATTTTAGTACCCAAGGTTGCTCATACAATAACTCTCGGTTAGCTGTATTGATCATTCACTTCATTAATAATTTACATATTCAGGTGAGTTTGGATTTGCATTTGATCCATTACAAATTTACATTTATTTAATATTATTAATATAACTTTTGCATTGATACGATTTTTAAGTATGTTCAAACACTATTCCAAATTGACTAACTGTTCTAGCCTTTTGGAGATCTCATAGTAAAATAGTTGCATCAATATCACATCCTTTGTTCTTTTTGACGGAAAGATAAAAGCAGCAACGTGATTCATATTCCTCACATGCTCCAAATTTATCCTATTTATCGGTTGACTTATCAGCATATACTTTTTGCTCAAATTCCGTCATCCACTTTGTTCTTATTATTTAAAATAGTATTGTATCAAACTGTTGCATGGCATGTGACATCAATGCACTATACCCAATTATAAAATCTGGCTTTTGGATGAGTTTGAATCCCTCGTGACCTTACATTAGTCCAAGGAGCTGCACACTTGCAAGCATTTTAGACCTCCTTTGCTTTGACCCTTGTCGTTTGTGTTGATTGAGATGCGATGAATCATAGCTGATGCCTGATTAATTGGAGCTTTGGATTCTGTGATTCCCACCAAATTATCCACATAAAAAAACTGTAGAAGACTTCAATGATTTTGAGAAAAACAAGTATTATATAGTTCTTTCACATTAACAAAATTAGTTTCTGAGTAAATGACCAGTGTCATGAAATTGTTAATTATCACGGCTGCATGATGAATTAGGTTTGAAAGTGATGAAAAGATTCACCTCAATGTTTATTTAATAATTTATGATGAATTTATTCACCATCGTGGCTTTCAACATTGTAAGACTTGCGAAACTAAAACTAAACTCAACAGAAATAGGGATGAATGTATATTCGCAATTGGAATTAGTTCTTTAAGTAGCATCTTGCTCGTCACGTCTCGTAAGATATAATTTGAAACTGCATGTTGCCTGTACAGAATATTGATAGCTAGCATTTGTATCAACTAAATGGTCATCCAAAAACTTAGGCCATATTTGTCTTTACACAAGACATAGATGCTACTAGCCAAAGCAGTAAAACCAAATAATCGTAGATTAATTTGCAACATGATTCATGTATATATAATTTATGCTTCATTATACCTTGGATCATCTCAATTTCACCTTTGAATCTTCTCGTTTTAGTTGTTATAATATTATCGTCATAGTTTATAAATTTATAAAACTAAACACCATGCCATGTTTTATTTGTCGACGATGTCGCGTGGTCTATTGACACAACAAGGTCTTCCTGCGAATGGGAAAAATATGACAACGTCACCAGTTTCTTTAGGCCTGCGGAAACTTCACACTCATATCATATGCAACAATTCATACAAAAATGCAAATGGTATTGTTATCTTATCCACATGTGTTGGTATATATCCATATCTATATATAAAAAATCCTATCGGCCAGTGCGTAGGTAGGTGTAGAACTTCCTTAGAAGCGCACTGAATTTGCAGTTTTATATTTTGCCTTGTCAGTGTCATGTGGCCAAGTGGGGGGAACTTTATTGAAAGTTCAAATCCTTTGAGATGCTCTGTTGCAAATTACATACACTTTGTGCATAAGGCTCACGTGCTGCTATATATGTGTTTCAACACTTCGCTACGTCGAAGCTTCAATTATTATTATCTATCAGGTGCACATACCTGGACATATTAAAGGGGCACACAATAGTTGTGCAGAAACATCATGAAAAGAAAAATAGTTGTACAGAAACAGACACTGTATATCTTAAAAAAATGATACATTTGTAACAAAATTTGAAGACTTCTTTTATACAGATTAATTTTTTTATTGGATCCTCCTAACTATTATTTTAAGTGCATTTTTTTTGGTTAAAAATCCGGTTGAAAAATATTAAAAATCAAAGGAAGAGTGCATTTATACACTTTCCAATCAATAAATATTTTAAATTTCTTAATGAATAATTTAAAGATACTGAACAATATTTCTCTTCTTATTTTTTTATTTCTATCTATCATTTATTTAATTTAATGGTCTTCTTTCTTATATCCTAAGATTTGTTGTATATGAGTAGCATAACCCAACTTTTTTTCTTACAATGTCTTAACATTTTATTGTATTCTTTCCAATGGCTGCTTTGAATTGGGCTTTTCATCAGCCAGCCCAGTTTAATGACCTGTTGTTACTAAACATTGGGAGTTGATTCTGGCAAAAAAAAGAACATTACAGTTAATTGTAGCGGCCGAAAAACAAACAAAATGGATTGTATTCGGCCATGAAAACAAATAAACTCAATTTAATGTTTACAATATTTTTAAATGTATTTTCAAAATAATAAATTATAAGTTTGAAATTTAAAGTAATATACTTTGAAAATATAAGAATAGTTTTGTTAATATAAGTTTCTAGATGAAATTACACTTACGTAAGTTTATATCAACGTTTTAAATTATTAATAACATTATATAAACTATAATTTTCATTGATTTAACTTTTTATTTATATATGATCTTAATTATTTTTAAAATGTATAAAAATGAAAACTTAAATTTATAACTATTTTATTTTGATAAATTTAATGTAGATAATATAAGTGTCATGTACTTATATATTAAAATTAAATTAATAAAATTATTATATATTATTACAGACACTTTTTTTATTAAAATAAATACTAATTAGCTTTAATTCATAACTTTTAAAATTTTATAATCACGCAATTAAAATTATAAATTTTATTTAAATAATTTAATATTTTTATAAATGAAATTAAAATATTATTAAATGATTCACGTACTCGGTATGAAACTGGACCGAAAATGGAACTCCTCAAACAAGAGGACAGCAGAGGAATGCAGCCATAGAAATATAAAAAAGCCTTTCATGGAACACTGGTTTAAAAAGTATACCTTTTATATTATTTAAATATAATAAATTAATAATATTTAAATAATTACTGTATGTTAATTAAACGAAAAGTAATAAAAAATAATTTAAGATTAGAAACATTACAGGTAGAGTTATTTATTTCATTGAAAAATATTTTAAAAACTTTGAAACTTTAATCATAAATATAACAAATATCTTATACATGTGTGAATAAGATTAAGTACTGTAATATTTATATTGACGATTTATTCTCGACTAATATCCAAATAACTTTTTTGATGGGTCAAGACTTACTCAATGTGCGTATTTTGTATAAATACCCATTAAACTTGAATTTAATTGTCATTTTTGAAATTTTTAAAAGAGTAGATATATGATTTTATTTAACAAAGCAACTTCTATTAATTTGATTCTTGAAAGCTAGTCTATATGGAATTTAGTTCCTAACTTCACGACAAATCAATCTTTTCAACATGATTTCGATCAAATTTGGGTTAAAGTTGACAAAGAATAACTAATCTATCAGAAATAGTTTTGACGATTTGAGAGTTAAATTACATAGATACTAATTATCAAAAGCCAAATTAATATTGGCTGTTTGTCGACAATGAATTTATGTATTTATCGAAATGTGGTTTACATTTTCTTGTCCCACCGTTTTTATTTCCCCTTCAATATTGGGATTTTAAATAAAATTTCATTATTCCAAGACTATTAATTAATATATTTTTTTAGAAATTGTAGAAAAATTGTTAGATATTGACTAAAATATAAAAATATAAGCAGTTAAAAAACTGAGACATAAGAGAATTCAAATTCTTCACAAAAAATGTATATTTGTTAAATACATGTAATTATTTAAAAATAAACAAGAATTTTTATTGATGCGTTGCCTTTGATATAATATAATATAATATATTTTTACACTAATGCGGCGCTCAACTAGCATTTGTCTTTGAATTAAATAATCCCAACGCCTCCAAACCTACTTCTTCGTGGTAAACTCCCCGGTTACTTCTGCAACTAGAATCCAACACTGGGCGGAGTTTACAACAAAACCCTTTAAACCCCACCTCTAAACCTTCGTAAAGCTCAAAACTTTGGTGCCACATTTAGATTCACACCTAGATTTTCCCCGGAAGAAGCCTCTGTTAACCACTCTTTCTGGCAATGGTTTTGAAGTCAATGGTTGCTTCAGCGAGCGATCTAAGTCTTGTGAGGCAATCTAGTGTTGCAGGAAACCCTCCACTTGATTTGAAGAATCGGGTTTTTGGTGGCACAGTCATTAACGTCGGATTTGGTTTCAACAAAGAGAAATGGAAGAGAAATCATGGGGTTAAGGTTTATGCAGCTGTGCAAGTGGGTGTGGAAGAGACAAAGAGTAATGTTTTGGAGGAAACTTTTGGGTTGGATGTGGTTTCAGAGGGAGAGTTGACAGTAAAGGGGTTTGCGGGGATGAGGAAGACCAAGCTTGTGTGCACTGTTGGTCCTGCTTGCAGCTCATTGGAGGATCTTGAAAACTTAGCTTTGGGAGGCATGAATGTCGCCAGGCTCAACATGTGCCATGGCACTATGGAGTGGCACCGTGATGTCATTAGGAAGATCAAGAAGTTGAATGAGGAGAGAGGTTTCTGTGTTTCTCTGATGATTGACACTGAAGGTAGTCAGATTCATGTTGTTGATCATGGAGCTCCTTCTTCGGTTAAAGTGGAGGTAAGTTCTTAGCACGTGTTCTGTTAATTGACATGGTACTTCAAAATTGGCAATATATTCATATCGTACGAGATACTCGATGTGTGAATTTTATGGCTTCATTCATTGACTTATCTTGAAATCTTTTAATATGCAAATTTTCTTTAAATAATGAAATAATTAGTAGCATACCTTGAATGTAATATTTTATTTAAATTTGATTGTGATTATTCCTTTTCAATAATTTTTTATGAGGTTAAAGACTAGTAATAATACAATAATCAGTATAAGTATGTTTGGTACTCGATACTCGTACCAGGGCAACATAGTCTGCGGATGTGTTTCTATTATTGTGTGAAAGGCTTGTTTGTGCTTGCTAGTCCTCTGTAGTCGCACTTGTTAGGATTAGCCAAATTTGAATTTGGAAGTTGGAACCATTTACTGTTGTAATTTGTCTTCTTTTATTTCAATCTTAGGAAGATTCGGTTTGGCGGTTTACTGCTGAACATTTTGAGGGTTCTCGTCCATTCACCATTCAAGCAAACTATCAAGGTTTTTCTGAAGGTGATGATGTTTTGCTAAATAAGTGAAGAATCAACCCTCCTTTTCTTTCCCAATGATTTTCAGTCTTGGCAGCTTGATGTGTTATGAATTAAAGTGAATACTGAACTTAGTTATTAATGGCTGTCAGATATTGAAGTGGGTGACGAACTTGTTATTGACGGTGGAATGGCATGCTTTGAAGTCATTGAAAAGAATGGAAATGACTTGCAGATTAAATGCATAGATGCTGGTCTTTTCCTACCTGGAGCCAAATTTAGCTTCTGGAGAGATGGAAAGCTTGTGAGGAGGAATTACAAGCTCCCCACTCTATCAACAAAGGTATACAGTTTTTGTCTTTACAATGTCAGTATAATTATTCATACAAGTTTTGTCTGCATATTTATTCGAATAATAACTATAAATTGAAAATCTTTCTCTTATATGTTTTTTATTCCTCCTCCTGAATTCAAATTGTTTTTATCCGCAGGATTGGGCCAACATTGACTTTGGTATAGCTGAGGGAGTTGATTTTTTTGCCTTATCCTTTGTAAATCATGCTGACTCTGTTAAGGATCTGAAGAACTACCTATCTACCAAGTCAACCAAGTAAGCAAGCACAGATTCACAAAATAATCATTTATACGGTTTTATCAATATAATGTAACCTTTAACACCGACGAAAAGATGTTGGTATAATTTTTAGTGTAAAATGTCATGATAGTGACTAGGAATGTGGTAGGTAATACCGGTTATACCGCCAGAGCCATTACATCTAGATTTTTTCTTTGTTTTCCCTTAAACTGATATAACAACACTGGTGTGTATCACTTGGACTGCATCATGATGGAGCTGGCCAATTGGCCTTGTAAAACCAAGTCATTATCAACCTAGAAGTGTAATATTTTCATCTGTAATCTGCAATTATATAGGTAACAATCGTAAAAAAAAAATACATTTTACGTTGGGTTTTTCTTAAATCCTGTATGAAACAGGCACTTTCAGCCCATATTTCCTAGGTTACAATTGCATCTATTGTGATCGAAGAAATACAGATTGAACTATTGATTTGGGTGGTCAGCTTCCTCTCTGTCATTGCTGTATTGGAATAATGAAGTTGTGTGTTAAAAACATAATAATTGATAGTTGATTTACTCAATTTGTTTAAACACCAACCTTCTTGTGTCATAAGCAAGTGCTTTAATTCAAATTTGTTTTTAGCACAAATTATATGATTGTTTCAGATCCATAAAAGTTTTGGCAAAGATAGAAAGCTTAGAATCGCTTCATAAACTGGAGGAAATAGTGCAAGCTTCTGATGGCATCATGGTGGCTCGGGGTGACCTGGGAGTCGAAATACCACTTGAACAGATTCCTACAGTCCAAGAGGATATAATTTATGTTTGCAGACAACTAAACAAGCCAGTGATTGTAGCTTCTCAGCTTCTTGAATCAATGGTTGAGTATCCAACGCCAACACGCGCCGAGGTAAAATCAATTTGTACATCCAGAATGATCGTTATCAACTTGGATGACTGGACAGTATCTTAGATTGTAGTCGAGAAGTAATAATAGCATTCTAGGACAGAATTCCCATCTATGATGATATTTTTCCAGTTTCCCTATTGGAATGATACACTTACCTCTTATAAATATTTACTTTTATGCATTAGGTAGCCGATGTTTCTGAAGCTGTTCGACAGTATGCCGATGCTTTGATGTTGTCTGGTGAATCAGCTATTGGATCGTATGGACGTAAAGCTTTGGCTGTCTTGGACATGACTAGCAGTAGGATGGAATCATGGAGTAGGGAGGAAAACAGAGAGAGTCTTTTAAACCACCATCAACTTGGAGTATCATTGCCAGAATGCATCACTGAGCAAATATGCTATTGTGCTGTTGAAATGGGTACTTCATATTCTTCTTGCAACTTGAGACTTCATATATCCTACTATTATGAATTGTGCTTAGCATGGTGACAAAAGTGTAATTATCAAAACTTACTCATTTGTGCATGTCTGCAGCCAACAACCTTGGTGTGGATGCCATCTTTGTATACACAAAACATGGATACATGGCATCACTCCTATCACGCAACCGCCCAAATCCTCCCATCTTTGCTTTCACCAATGATGACAGTACCCGCATGGCTTTGAATTTGCAATGGGGTGTTGTACCCCTTCTGATTGATTTGTCAGATGATGCTGAATCTAACACCTCAAAGTCTGTCCAACTTATGAAATCTAAAGGATTGATCAGCCAAGGAGATGTTGTTCTTGTGGTCTCAGATGTTGCTCCAACTCGTGCCACTCCTATGGCCTTTCAATCAATTCAGGTGAAGACTATTATCTAAAATGCAACGCTGCAAAATTATTGAAGGACACGTGTCTGTGTATTTTCTAGGCTTGGGATAGGGTATTCTATTCTTAGGAGGTGTGTGATTTACTTTTGGTTTTTAGTTTTTAAAAACTATATTGTAAAACGATTTTCTGAAGACACAAAGTGAAGGAGAGTAAAAAATTAAAAGTTATAGTAACACATGGAAGAACATGACTATAAAAAAATGAAAATAGAAAACCAAAGCAGGTAAGGCTCAGTTCGGGCATACTTTAAAAAAATTTATAAGAGAAAAAAGAATTAGTATAAAAAATTAAATAAAACTTCTATTATAATTTAGAAATAGGTTATTTCTTAAAATTTTAAAATATTTAAATAAAAGAGCTTTTCAGTAGTAAAGAAATATATATTTTTTAATTTATTAGAGAAATTTTGCCTAAAACGTAAATTTATTTCAGTCTTTAAAACTAATAAAGAAATGTTATTGGTTTTTAAAGCATTTTTCATAAACTACTCTTATCAAACAATTTAAAAAAACACAGGTTCTTAAAAACAGGAAACAAACAAGGTCTGTCTTGTCATTGTTTAATAAAACAAAGTTTATAAATATTCATTTTTGGAACTCTAGCCAGTTTTGTCTTAATTCAGAACCATTTTCAAAAGATGATTATGAATTTACACTTGATGAAACAACCATTTTACACTATTAGTACTCATACGTCGCAATTACATTGGATATATCAACTTTGATTAAGATGAATGGAGTTGCCTGCCTTTAGCAACAACAGAATACTACAATATCAAGCTCCTCAGCTTACACGCAACTCAAATGCTTACGAAAAGCATCTCCCCTGATGACTCCGTGTCTCTTCTCTTGCCTGCTATATTTAGTTAAGCAATAGCACAGTAAGAATAAATTAAGCCTAACTAGGGCATGAAAAACATCCTACACACTTCCCCCTCGACAATAAATAACAAGAACTGAGAAAAAGTGGAAGATGATTAATATTTTCAGGGGTTAAAATTTCAGAACAAAAGGGTCATTCATAAGCAACTGCAAGATAATTTATTTTACAAGATTTGTTATAATTTGATTTGATTTCACCAACACAAAATATTTTACCTTTATTAATTCTAAATGGAGCTTTCATATTATTACAAGTAAATATATTTTTCTGTTTCATTGCTATTCAAGGGAGATTCATATTTTAGTTATTTTAACTATCGCCACGTGTTTTCCTTATATTATGACATGCATTTTATACTTTTTGATATTAAATTAAAGCGATGAGTTTTTATGTCTAATTTTTTTTAATTATTTTAACTATTTTAATTATTATTTAACATTTTTAAATAATATTAAATATTAGAAAATTTTAAGATTTTCCAAAGTAAAAAGTTTCAAATTTTCGTTTTTCATTGTTGAGAAATACACGCATTAATTGTCAATTTCCATTGTTTGGTTTTTTACTTATTCTCATGTTATTTTAATTTTACCGTTGAGAAAGCGGATAAACATGCTTCCAAAATTTGCCGAAAAAAGACAAACCGCATAGCATGAAAACCGGAAAAAGTTTACCATATTTTCGTGGAAGGAACAGAATTAGAATTTATGAGAATAAGTAAACAATTAAATAGTGAAGAAAATCTATTTGAGAAACAAAAATCATGATTGTTTTGTCTCTGTTGTCAGCAGCCTCGAACCGCAAATCCACGACTTGTTGGTTCTTTCTAGCCACAAACACAGACCAACCCCCCGCGCACATTAGCCACCGTTAGTTGTCTCACTCTAAACTACACTTCTCCAGCAGCTGCAGGCTCTGCTCCACTTGCTACTTCTCTAGAAGAAAATCTCTCTGCCACCAAACCCGTTTCGTTCACTTGGGTCTCTCTCTTTGAAGTTTGGTGTGTGTTAGTTATGGCTTCTTTGAGACCTACCCTCTCTCACCTTTCCCTTTCCCAACCCAATTTTCCTAGAAAATCCTCTTGGAATAACCATCTACACTGTTATTTCCACAAAAGGATCACAAAGTTGCAAACTTTCAACGCTTCTAAGCCTTCCACTTTCAGGGTCTGCTGTGATTCTCAAAATTCCAAGAACCAAAACAATGGCAAGTTTCTATTTTCTTATTTAAATTTTTGTTTGATTGCGTCATTCAATCAGAAGAATAATTGTCTCTTCGAATTGTAATGATTTTTGCTTGAGTAAGAATTATTGTAAATTTGAAATAATACAGAAAATACTGAAATTGTCTGAGCTCTGTTTGTTTGATTATGGATATTTGTGATATCTCTCTGTTTCCTCTGCAGATTACTAAAACCCTTTTTTTAACTGTTTCTTCTGCCAATTGAGTGTAGGATGTGAGTTCTTGTGCTTTCAGCTTGTTCATTGTGAAATAACGCATGACCCAGAATTGAAAGCAGTTGCTAAAATTGATAGCTTTTTATATCAGAGTCAGGGAGGCATTAGATTTTATAGGCACGTGAATATAAATACTCCTTAGATGAAATTTAATCAGTTCGTTTTCATTTGAATTGTATCATCTTAAGAGCACAGACAAGTAGGCCCTTACGGTTGGGCCTTCCATGTGTTGGTTAGCAAAAAAAACTGTATGTGATAATATTTCTAAAATTTTATTTTTGACTGAGCTTAATGGTGCGTGGGGTTGTGTGTGATCCATGTAGTTGACTTTACTTAGTATGATAAGGGTTGATGGTTTTGTTGTATTGTGTTTTGGCATGATAACTAGATTTCGTGGTGGATAACTACAAATGATTGAAGAGAACATCAGGTGACTAACTAAATCTTTTTGTGGTATTTTCAGGAGAGGAACCTCCAGAGTCATTATTTATGAAGGAATTGAAGAGGAGGGGTATGTCCCCTACATCATTGCTCGATGATTACAAGCAAAGCAACTACGGAAATGATGAAGAGGTGTATGTGAATGAAGAAGATGGAGGTTTCCCAAACAGAAATGCTGTCTCAACCAACGTTGAGAGGAGTCTGGCCAATCAAAGGGAACGATCTATGGCACTGAACAGTGAAGGTCTTGAGGTGGATTCATTGTCAAGATTCTTTTTCCTTTGAATAATCTATAAACGATCGTGATGTCGTTTCAAAGGTTTTGTTGACAGTAGTATGCCTGCATTAGCTAATGTTGAAGGAAAAAAATACTAATTCAAAGTTTTTTATTAATGAAAAACAAGAGATTGGAGAATGGGAAGACAGAGAAAGACCAAAGGGTGAACTAATGAAAACAAAAATTGAAATTCAGCTATATATGGCGACAAGAAATATTGAAATTCACAGTTCACCATCAAGTTTATGAAAAAGCCCTTATTTAATTAGAGCTTATTGAATAAATGCTTAATTAAATTGTTTACTCAAATATATCCTAAATTTGAGACAAGTTTGAAATCAGTGCTAGTAACTTGGAGAAAACATCATTAGGTAATCTGTTGTAATTATAACAAAGTATGTGTTAAGAAATTAACATGATGTCTATTATTGTATGCAATGGCTCTCTGCTTACCGGTGTAGAAATTGGTGCACTTTCTTTTGCATTCAATGTTACTATTTGAGCTTGTAGCAATTGCAGCACTGCATAATTTATGATCTTTTGACTGATAAATATGTACGTCACATCTATTCTATTCTGCAGAATAAAATGCCACTGAATCAGAACTGATAATGTATTGTATTGATGCGAGATTTGATAATCAGATCTGATTGAATTTATTTATTTTGGTGAAATCACCTGAAATAACTTATTTATACATCCATTTCAGGGCTTGATACCTCGTGCTAAACTTCTGTTGACTCTTGGAGGAACATTCTTCTTAGGATTTTGGCCATTGATCCTAATAACTGTTGCATCTTTTTCTGCTCTTTACTTTGTAAGCTCTTTACCTGGCAACTAATGTGATTTATGCATAATTTTTTTTTTATTTGTCCTATTTGACATGTTTACATGTTAACCAGTGTACGTAGTATAGTGGGAATCTTATCCGTACAATGGCAACATGTTTTTCCTCGCAAACCGTTAGCTTGTTTGTTATTAAAGCGAATAAGAATTTGATGGACAGAACACAACTTATTAAACTTGACAATTTAGAACCTGTAGGCTATATACTCAGCTTCCTTTTAAAAAAAAATAAAAGATCTCTTTTTCTGTAGTTTGTCATGTTAATAGTTATGGTTCACAGGCAATGTTGTAAATTCCATATATATATATATATATATATACACGGCATACTGATGAAACTCTCATAATGCAGTAATTCTTGGTTTGAAATGATTTACCCCGTTGAGAAATGAAACTTCAATGGAAATATATTTCCTCTTTGTGGCTTGTTGGTCTTACACTAACCTATGCTGTTTTTATTGTTGCCTCACTTTTGAATTCAGTCTGTTTGTAATGGATACATAGGAGATGATGTTTTTGAGAGTAGGCTTTGACTTTGAACCTTGGTTACTGTTGCAGTATTTTGGACCGACTTTTGTCCATGATGCTAGCACGATGGCTATTTCACCTCCACAATATGTGGATCCTTATGCGCTCCTAGAAGATGAAAGGATATCTCAGATAGCACCTGGGCTAAATTAAAGGCAAAGCTACACATACTTAGGAATCTAGTTACATGTATCAAATTTCTGTTTACTTAGCCTTGGTTAATTTAGTTCCATTGTAAAATATCATCCAGGATGAACATGTTATCTATTTTGCATTCATGGTTGACTCAATTCTTTACATGCCCTTTGCATTTTGCACAGATGCTTTGTATAATATATATCTAAATGAAAGTCCATCAGAAGCAGCATTGCTCATAATTCTTCATTTTCCTGTCAGAAGTTAAATTGCTCTTTCCTGGTCAAGTTGTTGATGAAATGTAGCCCATATACTTGGCGAAAAATAAAGGTTTTATACCGTCTAGAACATTAATAATAATAATAATAATGAGTCATCAAATGAGGATATGTTGATTTTGGTTAGTCTCGAACTTACCTTTTTTTTTTCTTTTACCCTTTTTTGATAAAACGATTCTCTTTTACTCATATTGTTAATGTTCTAACTTCTGTTCACAAATATATGACCTGATTTGTCATTTCTTAGATGGGCTATTGTACCACATTTCTTAAATGGGTTTCATAATTTATCATTAATTTTTAATTTTCATTTTTACTTTAACTTCTTTCAACGGCTAAATCTTACTCTCTCCTCTTCTCGGCCTCTCTCTTCTTCCTTCCCACTTTTTCACCCCCATAATGTCACTCTCTGCCTTCCCTTTGAAGACACCTATGGATGTCTTCTCAACGGTCTCTTCTCATCCTCAATCTTAAGCAGAAACGGTTACATATCTTGTGGGTCCAAACATGTACTATAACAATGGATAGAAAAAAGTTAAAATAAGCAAAAAAAATTTTTTATAAAACAAGGGGTGCACACGCGTCAGAGAAATCAATAAAAAAAGTACATGTATAATAAAAATACTTAAAAATTATCCAAATTACAACAAATGATGACCTAAACCATTGCTCTAAAGGATTGTTCATCCCGAGAGAGTACACAAACGATTCATTGAACAAAAGGAGCAAGAAGTGCACTAAATAGACTTGAATGGCTTATAGGTTTTAAGGTCTACGATGATTCCTTGAATTGATCCAGCTGCAGCAATAAGAGTGACAATCAAGCAAAACCCACTAAGCAATTTCATCCCTGTCCAAATCATAGAAAATTTGGGCACTTTAGCCTGTGTCAGGTACATCTCTGTTGGAAAATACACGGTCAAGGGCCAGAATGAAAATGCTCCTAATAAACCCACGATGCTGTTGAAGAAGGGTAGTATCATAGCAATCACCGTAGTGAATATCACGTACACTGTCCTCCATATCACCCTGAACGCATTCACTTTGAATATGCCAACCATTGGAATCCTCACTGGATATTCTTTTGCCATGAATTTGCTTTCTTCCCAACGCTTTCCACACCAATTTTCCACAAGAAGAAAAACGGGTTGTGCAAATACCTGTACACAGAAAAGCGCAAAATAATATCATTCCTTTCTTTACCAATAATATTTTAATTTGGTCTCTAAATTATCATTACTGGTCAATTTTATCATCATTACTAAAAAGGCTTCCTGAAATTGGCATTTAAAAAAAAGCAGAGAAAATTTAATCCTTAACTTTGACAAATTTTATTTAATTTGGTCTCTAATGCTCCCATGTCGGTGGGTATGAGTCAACTCAACATGTTACATTTGATACCAAAATTCACAATTATCAAAATTAAAATTAAAATTGACTGATTTATTAACATTATAAACTAATTTGATCAACAATTATCAACATCTAAAATTCAATTTAATTTTTCGTATATGTTTAACAGCAAAACTGACCTGTGAAACTAAGTACGAAACTTTTGTTCAAAAAAAAATTTACCTGGTAGGCGCCAACCAAATGAACAACAATGAAAGCATTGCCAAGGTCAACAAGCCAATATGGTTCATAAAAACCAAATCCTGTTAAGAAGTTACCAGGTGCCTTGTTCCCAAATGCTCCATAGCCTAGAAGCCCACATGACATATAAAATAGTGTGGTGATTGTGACTCCAGTGAGAGTTGCCTTCTTCATGGCTTGATTTTCTGGTGGGCTTGATTTTAATGTGTCCTATTGAGAAACAAAAAATGACATCAAGTTTTATCTTTCATCAAAAGCGATGAGAAGTGGTAAATGTTAACCAACAACACTGTAAGAGTATGAAATGAATAAAGGACTAATTTTGCTGATATAGCTTGCCTGTATCTCAACAATTACTACGCTGAAGGCATATGCAAAAGCTATGTTCCCAATTGCTTGAAAAGTATTCCATAGCTTCTGCTGGCTTGTAACGTCTTCTCCAACAATGAGCCCTGTAAGCCTTGTCTTGACATGGTTTCCTCCTTTTTATGTTCAACCATTCAAAACATTCCAATCCATGTTAGTTCAATGTTATGAATCAAATGTTCATTATAGGTTTTCTTTTTCTTGCTACAACATACTATTGATAAGATTATTACAATTAAATTATATAAAATAAGTGAAGTTATTACAACTAATTTTATTTAAAATTAATTTTATTATTATACTAATCATTAAAAAATTAAAAAATTCAATATTTATAAAGGATAAATATGAAAAAAAACGAAAAAAAAATATTTAGAAGTCTTGTCAAAAGAACTAAAGAAATTTGTGTTAGCTAAATGCAATGCCAAACCTGCAATTTTGGCTATGGATAGACCAATGCCTATGGAAGAATAGCCAAAAGACATGACAGCAGCAACAACAGAGAGCCCAGAAAGTTCATGGAAGTCAGGGATTTGGCTTAATAAAATCTGTACGACCGCAAAGATAATCATAAATGGGTAATTTGATTCATGACATTCCGCCTCGTGACCATACTTACGAAAGCAATTGGATCTTTTGATGGCCCTGTATAAGAAACAAGGAAAAATCTCTAATAAACATGTGCTTGCACTTCAATAACACAAGATCCAAATAGATTTCAATTAGTGTTGAAGAGTATATAATAAAAATTTATTATTGTGTATCCTTAAATACACATTTAAAAAAAAAATGATACATCATAATACATATTTATGCTTGGCTATCAGTACAATGCAAAAACATTATTTCCTTTCTCAACACTTCACAAATGGGTGGGATATTCATTAGATTCTTACACCATGCTAATGGTTGCGGTGATGGTGTATCCAATGCTTATTCCAACAAGATTTCCATACTGAGCCAATCCACAAAACCGGTATTGCATTCCTCCTGTAGAGAAAGAGACAGATTAAAATGCAATATTCAAATTCAAAAGAAAATGACTTGCATTAACAAGTTAACAATACTTGCAGCTGACCAAAAACCAAACTTGGTTCTTCTTGTTTAGGATCAAAGTGCATCTTCTTACACCCAACCATCAGCATGATTTGTTAGTCATGTTCAACTTTTGTAATAATATTGGCACATTTTCTTGAGGAAAACATACCCAAAAAAATAACAGAACTTGTTCTTTTTAAAAAAAATTCTTTCTTAAGCAATTGATTCTAAAAGCCACTAAAAGAGCTTATGATTCTTGTAATTTTGTAATCTTATTTTAATATATTTTGTTATAACTTATTAAATAAGTCAATTTAAACTTATCTTAACAATGTTTATTTTTAAATTTATGACATGAATTATCACTTTAAAAAATTATTAAAACAATAAAATAAATTATGTATTCAAGCACACCTTTTATTATTATTTTTATTTGGTCATATAAAATAGGAAGAGGAAGGATTCTGATTCTCATTTTACATAGTCTTTTCTTTAATTTTTTTTTTTTTTGAAAATGAGTCCTTGACTATTTTAATTGCTACAATAACGGCTTTCTATCATTTTTCTTAAAACTCTTCAATTCTTATTTTTTAAATTCTCTATGAATTAAATTATATATTTTAAATTATCTTCTAATAAAAAATACTGATCAAAACGTTATATTTCACCTAATATTAAAAAAATTCAAAGCATTCACTTTTTTAAAAACGCTTAACATCATATCATACAAACAAAAACAATTCAATTTTTATATATAAAAAATAAATGTTTCAGATCATTCTTATCTCTAATACTAAAATTTTAATTATTTTAGTAGAAAATAATTAATAGATAAACTAAATTGTAACAGTTTTAGGAGGTAGAAAATTAAATGCAAACAAAAATAATTAACAGATAAAAATTAAATATTAATTATCATAAAAAATATAATTATTTTTTTCATTAACTTATTTCTTAATAATATTTTATTATTTGACTACTCCACTGAAAATTTTAGTCACTGTTCTCTGTCTTCATGTCCAACTAACACTCTTAAGCAGGTGAGTGAAAATGAAATTCAAAGATTCGTGCGTATCAAATATTACTTGTTTGAGCATTTTAATCAAATATTACTCGTCTATGACGTAAAGGATTGGCAGAAAGACTCAAGAATGTGTATTAGAAAACCTTATAATTTGAAATTACCTAGAATATTCTTCACCATCTCCATATAGTTGTGGTTTCTCATTCCATGAACAGGGTCAGGGTATCTATAACAATCTGTGAGCAGAAAAGAAGTGAAGAAAGTGATGACTGAGAAGACCATCAGAATGGAAGGCCCAGCAATCCAGCCCAACTGAGACACGGCCCATGCCAAAGATAGCACCCCAGATCCAATAACAGCAGTCACAATGTGAGCACTCGCAGTAACCCATGTTCCTTCATGACCATAACATTACAAAAATTAATAAATCAAATGTTCATTGATTTGATGTATAGCATTTGTGTAAAGATACATACCTGTGCGTTTTAAGCGACCATCATCATCATGTTTAGAGCTAAACACGTCATTTCCTTGTGCTTCTATGGAGAGGTTTCTGTTACCTTGTAATGCCATGAACTTTCTCTTTTTCTTTGCCTATTCCTTCGTTAATTAGCAATAGCACAGCGACTTATCCCTCACCGGCACCTTATCTTCTTATAGACCAACATTGAAGAATGAAAAATGAAGCGTTTTTTGAATTTTAAAATTAACATCCCAATATGGTATTTCTAGGCACTCAAATATTTGACAAACTTACCATAAAGGTTTAGATACATTTTTGTTCCTTTTTCTTACCAATTGATTTTTATTTCATGTCCTTAGCAAGTATTAATTAATTGTGATTTCGATAAAATTTGGTTAGACTTTATTCGTTGTCGCTGAGTCCGTTTAGATTATGTGAATTGAGAACGTGTAAACAGAGGGCATGTCGTTTTGCTGTGCAGCCACAACCATTGGGGAATGTATGGATGGAACCACGCTAATTTTTGTTTACTTCTTTCATTTCTTCATCTTTCCTTGTTTAATTAAAATAATAACTATGCATATATGCGTTTGTATTTTTTTTTTAATTTTCATTTTAATGCACTTTCGACTAATTAAAATATATTATATATATGTTTATATATTAATTATTATATTAACTAATAATTACCGATATCATAATTTATAATCAGATGTTATACTATGTATTTAATTTAATTTTTTTATTTGTTTTACTTTTTTATTAAATTATCTATCATATTATTTATTTTCTATTTTTTATCTCTTTCTGACTCACATAATACTTATTTGTTAAGTGTAAAAAGTATAATAATTCATAATAAAAATTTATTATTTCACATTAAAAGTGTGAAGTAATAATTTTGGTCTAGTGTACTCATTCAACCAATTAACAATTAAGGAAAAGGACCTATTCCGTGGTGTAAAAATTTCAAAATTTTTTAAAGAAAAAAAATGATATAATAGATGTTTCTCATGCTTTGAGAGAGAGAAACGAGATTTTTTTTTATTGTAAAAAATTTGCAACAGTGATAGTTTATGAATAACCAAAAAAAATTATATTGATAAGCAAAAATAAAATAATTGATTATAAAATATTTAAATGAGAAGCCAATAATTATTATGATTTCTTTAAAAATATTCCTAATAATCTCATTAATAAGGAAAATTTTCAATTAAGAATAAAAACATCTCAATAGTATACATCCCTTAAGATAAAAATTAATTATTATGAGTTCTCATTTTATATGGAGGAACAATAAATACTACTATTTTAAGTTGCCTTCGTATTTTTCTCAGACAATTTTTTTTTTTTGCCAATACAATATTAATCAAGAAAAAAATTTAACTCAAATATTTTAAACACATCCAAAACTAGACATACGCGCTGAATGAGTATTAGATAGAAAATGTTATTATGTTTTAACATTTCGTCATATAATAATTTTAGAAAAAAAGTGATGGCTGAATATAATTTTGATACATTATTACTATAAATTTATACATCATTAACTAATTAGAATATAATATAGATCCGAAAATTATATGAATTAGAATTAATAGTTATTACTGATATGATAGTGTAAAATATGTTTACTTAAATTAAGGAAAATCCTAAAGTAAAATTTAGAGTATTAATTAGAAAAAATAATTTATTATATACAAACATAAAATTATTAAAACTTTCTTTTTTATTTATTTTAATAATTAATATTCAATGAATGGTCTTGAACCACTCCTTAAACACTCTTTTAATTTTATCCTTAAATTAAAAGCTGATGCACGTAAAATGTTTATCAATTCAGAATTATTTTACACCATATTAGTAAATATTTAACACGGTTATAACATTCTTAATATATAAATACCATTTAAATTTAATGCTTATTTTCCATAATTTTTAAAAAACCATGTGTATTATTTATTATGCTGGACGAGTTAATCAATAACATTTTTATCACACATACACAAAAAATTATATATATATAAGACTTTGTCAATAATATATATATATATAATATAATAAAACTGCAATATCTCACATTCTGAGTAGAGTTGGGTTATATAAATTGGGCCTTTCCAAATTTAAGCGCACATTCCACAGGTTAAATGGGTTAACATTGGTATGTATGGGCTAACAGAGTAATATAGACATTTTTTTCTTACATGTATTAACATAAAAAAAAAAAAAAAACTGCCTTAGGAACTTCATGTCTGCCTAATGTATCTTAACTCTGTCTCCCCCTCACTGTAGATAACAGTCAACCAGTCTTGAACCCGCGACCCCAACCATTGACGTTGCAAGACTTTTACTTCCTTCTGCATTTGCATCTCGCTTTGGATTAGTCGTACACACGCATATGCTCCGTCTAGCTTTTAAGTTAATCACATCACTACATTAAGCTTTCGCTTCTGGTTCGCGATATGCGTCAATACACAATTAAAAGCGAGTAACTTGAAAAGGTGATCAACATACATTGCAATTAAAAGTTTCGTTCAGGTGTGAAACATTTAAGAACCAACGAGTAACTTGAAAAACAAAGAAAGTGATCAACATACATTGCAATTAAAAGTTTCGTTCAGGTGTGAAAACCGACGAGGCATAAAAACACAAAGGCTAAGGCCATCTTCAAATACATTGATAGAAAACAAAGAACCACGAGAATGGATGATTTCTAGTAATCATCCATTTCCTCATCCCCACCCTCGCCGGACTCAGCACCCACTTCTTCATAATCTTTCTCAAGAGCAGCAAGATCCTCACGAGCTTCAGAAAATTCACCTTCTTCCATACCCTCACCAACGTACCAATGGACAAAAGCACGTTTGGCATACATGAGATCAAATTTGTGATCAATGCGACCGAACACCTCAGCCACACTGGTGGAGTTTGAAATCATGCAAACAGCCCTCTGCACTTTGGCAAGGTCACCTCCAGGAACAACAGTAGGCGGCTGATAGTTAATACCACACTTGAAACCTGTAGGGCACCAATCGACAAACTGAATGGTCCTCTTGGTTTTGATGGTGGCAACAGCAGCATTTACGTCCTTAGGCACTACATCACCACGGTACATCAGGCAACAGGCCATGTACTTTCCGTGGCGAGGATCACACTTTGCCATCATAGATGATGGCTCGAAAGCACTGTTGGTAATTTCAGCCACCGAAAGCTGTTCATGGTATGCCTTCTCAGCAGAGATAACTGGAGCATAGGAGGAAAGCATAAAATGGATTCTAGGATAGGGGACCAAGTTGGTCTGGAATTCAGTCACATCCACGTTGAGAGCACCATCAAACCTCAAGGAAGCAGTCAAGGATGAAATCACCTGAACCCCCCAAAAAAAAAAAAAAAAACAATAATCAATACATAAATCAAGTGCTAGACCCAACAACTGCTACAATATTTTAACACAAAAATCGCATTCATTCAAAACCGCAGCATTATGAGGAAATCAAGGGTTTATTTGACGAAAATTACCTGAGATACAAGACGGTTGAGGTTGGTGTAGGTGGGGCGCTCAATGTCAAGAGAGCGCCTGCAAATGTCATATATAGCCTCATTGTCCAACAGAACAGCAACATCAGTGTGCTCCAAGAGGGAGTGAGTAGAGAGGACACTGTTGTATGGCTCAACAACAGAGGTGGACACCTGAGGAGAGGGATATACGGTGAACCCAAGCTTAGATTTCTTGCCATAATCTACCGACAAACGCTCAAGCAGAAGGGAACCAAGCCCAGAACCAGTTCCTCCACCAACTGCATTGAACACCAAAAACCCTTGGAGACCAGTGCAGTTGTCAGCAAGCTTTCTGATGCGGTCCAAGCACAGATCAACGATCTCCTTCCCAACTGAAAGAAACGATATCAATTAAGCATCAGATACCCCAAAAAATTTTGGGAGTTAAGCGAAAACGGCATGTAACACTGTCACTTACTGGTATAATGACCACGGGCAAAGTTGTTGGCAGCATCCTCTTTGCCACTGATCAGCTGCTCCGGATGGAAAAGTTGGCGGTAAGTTCCGGTCCTTACCTCATCAATGACGGTGGCCTCTAGATCTACAAAAACGGCACGAGGAACGTGCTTTCCAGCACCAGTCTCACTGAAGAAGGTGTTGAAAGCATCATCACCACCACCAACAGTCTTGTCACTTGGCATTTGCCCATCAGGCTGCACAGGGATTTAAAATATCAGCGTCAATAAGTAAAAAGGAAAGGCAGACAACTCGTAGCAAAATCCCATAAAATTAACGCAAAGAATAAAAAACTAGAAATGAGTACACGTACAATTATTTGTATAGACTTGAATTGAAGATCACCAATTTACAAATGAGTTCCGATGAAACTTTACAAATAATTATTATATCTAACCACTAAACCGAACGATCTAATTGAACTAACTCGTGAACTTTCCAATGTAGATCGGATTATGGAAAACGATACTGAACTACAGCTCGAAACCAACATGCGCAAATAGACCAGTTAGTAGACATCGCAGATCTGCGAACGACTTCAAAAGTGCAATAACAATACAAAACAGATCTGACAAAATAAAGTAGAAATAATCAAATTTCGAACACAATGCCGGCAAGTTAAAAAAACCGAAAGGATCGGAGAGAAGCCGATAAACAGATAAAAATAGGAAAACAACGTTCAAAAATCGTTAGATCTGATAACTGAATACAAAAATCAACTACGAAACAGCACGAAACAAGGCTTCATGACACAGATCTGAATCTCGATCGAGTAAAAAAGCGAAAGGAGGCTTAGATCGAGTACTTACGCCGATGCCGTGCTCGAGGCAGTAGAGCTCCCAGCAAGCATTTCCGACCTGAATACCGGCCTGACCAATGTGGATTGAAATGCACTCTCTCATTTTGGTAGATGAAAAGAGAATAACGAAAACGAATTTGAATTCAAAGAGGAGGAGGAAAGGATAGAAAACGGAAAAGAAAGGCGTTTATGAAGACGCCTTCTTTCGAAAATGGATGTGAGAACCATTCGTATAGTTTGGGTTTGGTTTTATAGAAAGATATTTGGAGTGGGTGTACTGTCGTTATGTTTAACCAGGGTTGGTTCACGGTGCGTGAGCAATGGCTGAGCTGTTTCTTTCCAATGTAACCCAACTTGGGTAACCACGGTTACTTCCTATCTTTTCATTTTTTTCAAATTTTATTTTTTGCCGCCCTAGGCCCGTCAAAACCGGATTTGGCTGTGCCTTATGAGGAGTAACGGTATGAGGTTCAAAATATCGTTTTATGGCAAAGTGAAAAACGGTGCGTTTAGTGAAAAAAAATTTGCAATAAAGTTCATAAATAAATTTAACATTTTTATATTTTCAAACTACGAGAAATCAACGGCAAATATTCGGCTGTGCCGTTGGAGAGTACCAGAACATGTATATTTTCTGATTTTTAAAATATTATTTTTAAAAATTAAAATAGCAACAAACAACTCTTTAGAATTATATATTTTACAACTTAAAAATATTTAAAGTAATTAATAAGTTTTTACTGTTCAAAAGTATTATATATATATATATGAGTCATAATTCATTAATATCAATATCAAACTTAAATATTTCTATTTTTTAATAATTTTTCATATATTATGAGATTAATTAATTTAATAATTATTTCATAATTTTTTATTAAATAGACCATTTTATAAAAGTTTATTAATAAGTTAAAGTAATAAATATTTCATTACATTGTTTTATTTTAATGTGTAATATATTTTTAATAGTAAATATTAATTTTTGAGTTACATGTTTAGAAATATTTAAATAACGTGAAATTTGATATCCATCACGGTAGACATAATATAAAATAATTTAATAACTAAATTGGTTAATTTTATATTATATCAAAAAAATTTAAATAATATAAATATTAAATTTGATATCTGATGTATGAAGGAATCACGCCTTAAGTTACTAACAACAAAAATCAGAGAATTAAAATTAAATAAACAATAGTTTTAAGACTAATTACTAATCTTGCCTTGAGTTATTAAGAAAATTAATGCCAATTAATAACCTTTTTAAAAAAAATATATACTATATTTAAAGGAATTATTTATATAATACTAGATGAAATGTGATTTAAAATAATAAAATTTATAACCAACGAAAGTTGATTAGAGTGACAAATGACTCGATATCACTTAAGTAAAGGTTTGAGTTTAAGTTTTTGTATATGTAAAAAAAAATTAATAGTAAACCCACCTATTATATTCAAGTTCTTGACTCAGGTTAAATTTGAATTAAATTGGATAGAAAAAAAATGTATCTCATGAGTTAAAAATAATTTTTTTACAAAATAATTTTTTAATAACTAGAGAAGTATAAATTGTTTACAACTTATAAAATAAAAATTATTTATTATTTATTTTGATATTTTTCTTATAGTTACTTATCTGAAATTTTATCTTAGTTGGGCCAAACTAACTTGAAAGAATCACTAGTAGATGAAATAATTATACATTTTTAGGGCATGTTTGATGATTGTTTTAAAAACAGTTTAGTTTTTTAGTTTTGTAAAATCAAATCATTTATGTCTACTATTAATGTTTACAACCTCTTGCATAACTCGAATGGTAAAGTTAAGAGATTTATGAACTTTAAATGAATATTTGTACAATGTAATTTAGGAAAATATCACTCATTTATCTTCCTCAACCCTTTTCCTCTTACCCGCAAAATAAAAAGTTTTATGTTGCCACCAGTGCAACAAAGTACCTCCAAAACTTTAAAAACTCATAATTATGTGTGTTTGGTTCTCACTTGAGATTGCATATAAATGCATTTAAAATATAAAAGCTATTATTAAGTAGCTTAAAAAAATACAAGCGTCCAATACCTATGGATGCAGGACCAAATATGCCATTACATAGTAAACAAACATTTTTTTTATGTTCATATTTTGCAAAATAATTTACACAGTTAATCTAAAAAAGTAATTAAAGAATAATAGAATCAAACGGAACCTTGGTCACTGATTAATCGTGCCTTTAGTAACAAGAGCTGAAATGGTTTCGCGAGGAACAATTATTGTGCTGCGGTTAAATAATTTAAAGTTACACATGTTTGAAAGGCATTGGAAGAAATTCCAAGAACTGTTATTCATTGGATTAGCCAGTGAAACATTTATAGGCAACGCCAAGCAGTAGCGCAAATTAAAAACAAGATACAAAATAATTATGCAATTCGTAGACTCAACGTTCCATCGATTTACTATCTATACAGCTAGCAGACCATCTTATGAACTATGATTTTTAATTCTAAAAAATGGTTTCACCGTCTATCAAAACATGATAACTGAGCCTCAGCACAATTTCTTTCTCTCAATAGCCGTAACACACATCAAAGATGCACCCAGACGCGTAAGAAAGTTTCACATGCTACCATACCACTGGCACAACCATAAACGCTCTAAAGGTAGGCAAACTTGATAGTGGATTAGATTCTGTCATGTTACCAGTATGACAAGGTAATGTTATACAAAAAAGTATTAAAAGCATTACAGACCCGTAATTGTTTGGGTAAAGACCATTCAATTTGCCTAAATATCTTCGTCTCTCGAGTGATAAGATGACATTATTGTGTTGCCATATTAGTGAATAACGCAATAAGATCCAAATCCGTTCATATCAATAATGATAGTATAGGATATATCTTAGCCTGGTTAGTATGTACCCCAAATAAAAAAATTGCTTCCCTGCGTTATTCTGAAACAGTTTCATATACGCCGAAACAGAATTTGGTTCACTTAGGCAGAGACAGGAACCAAAGACCGTGCACAAAGATTGAATAACAACTATGCGAACAAATAACAACTATTCGGATCCTATTCAAAACGTATAATCAAAAGACTAAACAAATCAAATTGCCAAATAATTCTGAACACTAACCCAAATAAAAAGCTATAACCCACAAGCATTATTCACAGCCATCCATTTGTGATGTATTCACCCAAGCAACATCTTTTCCCACACATAGAAGAATAAATTAGAAGAAATATACCAAGGATTTAGTCCCAGCACAACACGTGGTTGATGAGGGTAATTAAGCACGCAGATCACTGATTAAATTCTCTCAGATGACACCGGGGAATGAAAGACCTCCTTGGTGGGTATCCGAGGGGTGTTACACCAAAAACAGGCTGCAAATCATACTCTCCACCCCAAATTGGAGGGAATCCAAGAGGGTTGGGGTGTCTCCTTGGGGTGTATCTTGTACTACCATGCCTAAAAGATCGAAGTGGAAGCCCTTTCTCTGACTTCTTCTTTGTTTCCCAATAAATAGCAAACAAATCCTTAAAAAACCTTCCTCGATTCCTTCCTATTCCAAACTCTTCCTCAAACTTCTTCTTCCACAACTCATTGCTGGAGGACAAATATTGCAACTCTGAGCAAGTGCAAGCTACTTTAGCCAGATCAACACCGGGAAGACACTCCAAAATCACGAGCTTAAGCTCCATGGGTAGGCGCATAAAACAAGGTGGAAGATCCAACCCAGCTTTCTCACAAAGATCAATTAACAGTGGCAATGCAAGCCTATCCTTCACCATTTTCCACAGTTCAAAAACTCCATTTCCCTCGTCATCAAAACTATCCTTAGATTCAGAATTAGCCAGCATCAACTCTAAAGGTCTAGCAAATTTACATTTATCCAAAAAAACCATATGCAACCTCGAACCGGAATCATCAGACAGTGAACCACAAACATTCACAAGATGCCCTAATGTCTGAAATTTCAAATTCACGCTATGAGAAGCACCATTAGTCATGATCTCAGGCAGAGTATACCACAAAGATAACATTGAAGACGAGTTTGAAGGCCAATCTTCAAGAAGATGAGAGCAACTAACCGCCATACCCGAAACGTGATCCACACGAACAAACCCAGATTCCAGAATAACAGCGTGAACAGCGAAGACTAGCAGCTTGAAATCGCTGACTTCATTTCCGAGAGCTTCTCTTAGAACCCTTTTCACAAACGAAGGCTCGGAATTGCTCCCCCCCAACACCGCCTCGTGATCAGATTCAGACCCATCAATCATATCCGAGGTTTCCGCTTCCGCAGCGCCCAGAGTCGGAGACTTTTCGGCGGCGGGAATAGAAGGAGCATCGCCGGAAACGATCTTCGGCGAGTCTTGAATTGTGGGTATGTCGCGAGAATTGGATTCTTCTTGAGGGGTGGGTTTGTGGAGAAGGGTTTCGAAGCAGAAGGCGTTGGGGTTGAGAGAGTAGAATATGAGGTCGCCGCCGGCTATGCCGAGGGAGTGGAGGGACTCGTGCGGCGAGGAAGCGTGGATTTCATCCTTCCTGTTGAGGGAGAGATGCAGAGATGAAGAAGAAGAGATTGCACAAGGGATGGTGTCTTTGAGTTCCTGCAAAGAACATGAATCGGGAACTTCGATTTTAAGGGTTTCTTTGGATTCCAAAGATCTGAGTCTCAACTTCATCGTGTTGATTCTAAATGGATTTCGATTCAACGGGAACCGCAAACAAGTAATTAACGTTTTTGGGGTTTCTGTGCCTCAATCGTTTAATGGACGCTGAAAATGTTCCATTATTTAACAAGTAAAATGTTCACACTTTCTCTCTGCATATTCAGAAAAATAAATAAATAAATAAATAATCATAAAAATATTGTGAAAATTAGTATTAAAATGTTTTTCTATATATAATTAAAAAATATTTATTAAAACTATATATTGTGAGAATTCATATTATAAATTTAATTTTAATATTTATTAAATAAATTAAAAACTTTCAAAATTTAGTAAGATTTATAATTTCATAAAAATAATAGTAATAATCATGTAATCATGCATAATAAAAATAATAAATTTATTATATGCTTCTAGTTGATTAATGGTATAAAAAAACTAGAACAACAGAATATTAAAATTTATTTTTTAATATATACGACAAATGGGATTATTTTTTCATTGATTTAATTATATGATAATCCATCGTAATAATAAAAAAGATGTTTTCTAAAAACTTAACAATTTTATTAGTATAGTGCATGTAATTAAATATTGTATAAAATGTAATATTTTAACTAATGATTATCCTGCACAATACATGTGTATTTATAAAAATGTAAAAGCAAATTTAAAAATATAATGTAAAATTAATTTAATTGTTAAAGATAAATTATTTAATATCGATGTATGCTAATTCAAGTAATTTGGGCATTAATTAATTAAAATATGGATGCAATTTTTTCATTTGAATAATTAAAAATATTATTAGTTTAATTTTAATCACAATACTAAGAATTGATCACTAGTATTATTTTATTTCATTTGATCATCATTAAAAATTATAAATAAATATTTTCATATTTTATTATTAATATTGACTAAAAATTTTTAAGTATTAATTAGTAAAATTGTTGAAAATTTACATTTTATCTAAATAAATAATAAATTAATCAAAAACTTGATTTTATTTAATTAATAAATTTTTAATCCATGCTATACCATATGAAAACCTCAGAGTATGTTTAGATAAGAGGTAGAATAAATAAATAAGAATAAATAACGAAAAAAATACAGTAAAAATGTATTATTATTATTTATGTTTAAATAAGCTAAAATAAGAAAAAAACATGTTTATTTAAATGAATAAAAATAAATTATATTGAAAATGTTTATAAAAAATATAAAATTCTTATAGATGTTGATTTGTTTCATGGTAACATATGTTATTTAGACGATCAAAAGTTATATTTAAATAATTATTTATTTAAGTGTTTACTCAATTTTGAAAATTAATAACATATAATTTTTTAGTAATTTTTTATAAATTAAAATATCTTATTTTGACAATTTATATTAAATAATTTATCAAATAAAATAAAAATAATTTACAAATTATAAGTTATTTTCTATAAATTATCTAAAAGTTACTCCTAACAGACTAAAAGACAACAAATGAGGAGTTTTGCGCATAGCTTATAAATATTAAAAAAGTATTCATTTGATGTTTCAGGGCAGTGTTTTATTTTATTAAATAAAATAAAACTTGATAAAAATATATTATTATTTCATAAATAATTAAAACATGAGCTTAATTTAAATTAACATTAAAAAATATGAGAATTAATAAAAAAGTACATATAAAACAATTAAAGAAAACAAAAAGTACTATTAATCAATAGTGATTTTGAGTTTAAGTTGCGTTAAAGTATATATATTTTTATATTGTTTTGAAATATTTTAAAATACAACTTAATAAATTTATGAATGATTTTATTTTATTTCATTTCATTTATATGTAGATATTTAAAATCAAATTGTAGGATTAAATATCAAACGTAAAAATTCAATTCCCAAATAACAAAATTTCTTCATTTAATAATTATTAATTATATATTTTTATTATTTTTATGAGGATAAATATTATTTTATTATATATTTTGGGTCAGGAATATTATGAGTTATTTCGCACCAAATGCATGGTGAGAACGGGCCATGACCCATTTTCATTATCGTGATTGGTTTGGGTTAAACAAAAAACTCAACATGGCCCAGTAAAAGAACAATAAAGGGCAAAAAAGGAGGGAGGAGAGAGAAATAGAGGTTTTCGCAAAATTAAGGGGACATAAAGAGGGGACAATTCATTTACTATAACCATTACCAAGGTAACAGCCTAGTCCTCCTGTCTCCTTCTCTCTCACTCCCTGCAAACTCAAATCCCTCCTTCCGTTTCTTTACATCACTCAATCGCAGGTACGCTCCATCACTTTGCTTCCCCTTTCCCTTATACTTCGTATCCATTGTTATATGCATGTGTCACTTGCTGTGCTCTACCGTGTTTCCTCAATTTTTCTCTAAACCTTCGCTTGCTGCCATTCTTGTTTCTTATTGGAACCTATTTTTCTTTAGCTGGGGTGAAAAAGATTCAATTTTGGGACTCTCTTGTCGATAGAGCTTATTCGTTGAGTCAATTTTGAACGGTTTTGAGTTACATTGTTTTGGTTTTCTGGCTCCCTGGGCTATATCCCCATACTTTGTTGTTTTTAATTTCAATCTCAATTTGGGGGCACCCACATATAGAATTTAATGTCAAGTCCTGCTTGTGATTAATGCCTCCAATTCTAGTGTCCTGGTTTGAAATAGAATTTACTGTTTTCCCCAGGGAATTATGTTCATAACTCGTGGCTATGTGGGTTTTAATTGATTACTGTTCATTTTTTCTTAGAGATGTTATATTGGGGCTGCTGAGTACTGATAGCTCTTTACTCTTCTGATTGCATTAGTTTGTGGAGGTTTCTCTGCTCAGATGTCCAATAATCCGCAATTTCCAGGCTTACAGGTAGGGTATCTAGAAGTATAAAATTTTGGTTTCTCCTGGCTCCTTATTTTAATTTATTTTGTTTTTGTTATGCTAGCCTCTTCGGCCCCCTATAGCCGGTTCAGTGGATCCTCCACGCAATTTTGGTCCACCGATGCCTGTTCAAGTAATGCATTTTTTTTTTGCTAACAGTTATTGTATTAGTTTCTGCATCTAATTATCATCTTTCTAAATGATTGTATTTGTTTCTGCAGTTCCGTCCTGTTGTTCCTACTCAGCAGGGACAGCAGTTTATTTCCATGCCTCCTCAACATTTCCAACCTCCACCTGTTGGTCCTGGTGTTCCCCTGATTGGTGTTGGAATGCCTCCCCAAAATCAACATTCCCAATTTTCTCAACCAATTCAACAGTTACCCCCAAGACCTACTCAGCAATTGCTGCCCCCATCACAGGCAATTCCTTTGCCAGTTGGTCGTCCTAACATGCACATCTCATCTGAATCAATGATGCCTCAGCCTGATTCCCAAGCTCCAAATGGCTACACGCCTGGTTTAGGTGGCCCAGGAATGCCACTCTCTTCATCATATACGGTAAAGTTCTGGCATGTGCATTGTATTTGTATCGGATACATTAAAGTTTCAATATGAAAATAGTGATTAAAGGATTCCATTTATGCAGTTTGCATCATCCACTTATGGTCCAGTGCAGACTAATTTCAATTCTACCAGCCAATTCCAACCTGTTCCTCAAATGCATCCTCTTACTGGTTCTTCGTCCCAGAGTATTACCTCTGGCACAACTCTTCAGAGCAATGGCGGACAACCTCCAGTTACAACTGTCATGCCTTCGGTATAAATCATACTTATTTTTTACTTAACATGGATTCTGTATTTTGCCTCTTATATCAGCAGAATATTTATGCAGTTTTAATTTATTTCTTTCAGGCTGCCATTGTCCAGCCACAGCTTGCTAAGAATGGCTCCACAGATTGGATAGAGCATACTTCTGCTACTGGAAGGAAGTAAGTGATTCAAATGTTTGCTTGTAATCCTTGGTTACTGTGCTGTTGATATTTGCACATTCTTTAAATAATTTATGAACATGATGATGTCATGCAATCCATATAGCAGTGATCTAGTGGGAGAAAATTTACTGTTAGCTTCAGTAAAGAAAGTTAATTATCAGTTAGGGAGGAAAGCTGAATGAAAAAAAAAATGTATTCTTTGGTATGCAGTATATTTTTTGATGTGGTATCCTTGGCTAGAAGTAATTAAGGGGTGAATAGGCGAGGATTTAAACACATGTTATTACTTCTATCCTCTCTAGGCACATATCCATGTGCTTGAAATATTTTTTTCGATTTTTATTCCCTGTTTTCACTCTGCCAGATTGAAACTTAGTCTTATATTATTGCCTTTTTCCACCTATAATAGGAGTATACTTTGGATGTTGTTGGTTTTGCCCTAATGTTATCAACTCAATCAAACAGTTGTAGAAAATGACAATACTTTCTGTAGATATGTTTAGTGCTTTATTTTCAGTTAAACTTTTGTTTAATTGCTTTGGCTGAAACTGGCTGTCCAACTTGTTTTGTAGTCAATAGATTCTTATTATGACATCAGTCATGCAACGAATCACTCTTGATTTGGTTCTAATAAGTGAAAAGTGAATTCAATGAACCATCTATAAAAGGGAAATTACCATTAATACATTTTATAAACTGATCCCCTTGCTTGGTTTTGCCATTAATTTTTAAATGCTCTGGATGTTCATTTGATGATTTAGGTAATCATAATAATCTCTACGAATAATGCATATTTGCTTGCCAGAAAAAGCATTTCTAGATATAATTGTAGCAAGTCTCAGTGTGTAAATTTTCACTTTATGTTGCAGGTTTTATTACAATAAGAAGACTAAAGTATCTAGCTGGGAGAAACCTTTTGAACTGATGACTCCTATTGAGGTGAGTCATGTAATTGATTTCACTTTCATGTTATATGATTTTTTAGTCATACTACTGGATCATTTTTTTTGGTTCTGCTGAAAGTTGGGACATATATATCTCTCTTGGTTTAGTACAATATTAGCTGAGTCAACATATTCAAGTTTAATTGTTATGGGCTTTTCTATTTGTCCAAGTGTGGTGAAAATAATCTGCTCCATTAGCTCACTCATTACTGAACGGATTTTCTCTCAGGCAGGCAACCATCAATCTTGACTTTTACGTCTTGTTGTAAGGTCAGTGTTGTGACAATTGCCGGTTGGACTGTCTGATATCAGCTTTGTTTGTTTTCCTTGGATGATGCTCTAGAAGAATTTTTTATTTCATTTTTTTCATATCTAGAATAAAAGTTCTAAAAATCAGAGTCAGTGATGGAATACAGTTGATGTTGTCCTAAGATTGTTTTCAGTTTCCATTCTTTAGTAAAATTTAGCTGTTTTATTTGTTGGGGTTTCTTTCTTTGTGGTTGGGGCTTAACAATTATTTGATGACTTTTAAATTATGGTTGCTTATTTATGTTATTGTGAGAGGTTATGCTTGTTTGTTTTGGTTTACTTCTGAAAAGGAACTTCTCTTTCTCTCTTTTCCCTTCATGTGTCACGTATTTTTATTTTTCTTTAATGTGATTTCTGCCGTAGATGATTACTACCTTCCATATTTCTTCATAGGCATTAATGAACAATGTATAATAGATTCTATTTTGACATTCAATGAAAAGAGTTGTAATGATAGACCACCTATTATATTTTTTTCTCTTTATGGTATATAAGTTTCAATCCAATACTAAAACGATTTTATATAACAGATATGTTCTCTAAGATAAGCATTCCAGTATATCCATTTTGAGCTGATTCCTTTATTGTAAATGCTATGAGGATATGATGGTTGTTTTTTGTCAGTATCACTCTAAACACTTTAAAGTTGGTGGTAATTTTAAGGAATTTAGGACTTCATATCTTTCAATTTTACCCCATTCAAATCTACACGTGTGACTCCCATAGCTTTAAGCTGCTTACAGGTACATGCTGTGCTACTCTATTGAGAGGTAGGATATGCTGTGGGTCTTTGCTGCTTGCTCTACCTACTATATTGCTTGAATGTTAGTAAATTTTATTATTGTATTACTGTCTTGATCATTAATTCCTTTGTCTTGATTTATCTCCTGATATATCAACAGGTGAAATAGCTAGTCATGTCCCTTGATAAAATGTGCATCACATGTTTCTAAATCTTTGCACATTTTTTGTACTTGTATCACATTATCAGTTTCAACTATCATGATTATTTACAATAGTTGAAGTGAATGTCTTTAAGGCAATTTTTTCATTCAAAAGAATACTTCTAATCTTCCTTTGTGTGGAAAAAAACGTATTACTGTAATATGGATGTTGATTTTTTCATTACTATGGCTCGCATCTTAGAGCTTGGGCTTCTGATATGGCAGCAATCAGTTAGGTTGCTTTGTATTAGTTCGATGAACAGTTTACTGGTGTCTGATTTTAGAATCTTGAAAAGATTATTGTAAATAGTATTTGTAAAAAAAGATTTACAGGTGCATTTGTTTATTGACTTTAGTATGAATGTAATGTGTAGTTTCATAATGAAGATTCAGATCATCATGTGCACTACCTATGACTCCTTTGGTACATTCGGGCTTGACATAGTTGCTTGTGAAGTGATTTGGTTCACTTGGATTTCTTGTTAACAATAATATTGTGCAAGTAAAATGATTAAAAATAAACAATGTGAAAGCTCACTTCAATCCACATATGTACTAAAAACTTAAAAGTTTCTCCCTCATGGAAACATTTACCATACAAGATTCATTTTACAGGCTACTATCCAAGTAACATAAGACTTCTGAAATTTCTGTATCTTCAGATGTCTATTTTCTGGACATATTCACTTAACTCCTATACATTGAAACACACAGGGTTTGAGCAATAGGAAGTACAAATTCATAAAATATCACTTAATTTTTTGTTCTTTTATTTCGATGAGAAAAATACAAGGAGAATTGATCATGTTAGTTTTCTTAGTGCTTGATGTGGGTTGGCTAGCTAGTAATTTATCCTTTACAGTGCCATTTATTTCCTGGATTTGATGTTCTTTCTTTCACATTCTTGCTTTATAAAATTTGAATTTCTAATTTCTATTATGAGAATATCATGAGATAGAGATCATTCTTCTTTTGGAAGGAAATCTCTTTATGAGAAATTATCCACTCATTGCATTCTTTCATTTTGTTAGAGGGTAGATGCATCAACAAACTGGAAGGAGTATACCAGTCCTGATGGAAGAAAGTGCGTCTTGGTTCCATTAATTGGACTTTTTTTCCTTCTGTTTTAATGTTCATTGCTGATATTTCCTCCCTTTCTTTAATGAATATTCTGTAGGTATTACTACAACAAGGTCACAAAGGAATCAAAGTGGTCAATTCCTGAAGAACTGAAGGTTTCCACCATTGAAAAGAATGCTGGTTACAAATTCTTCTATTTATTTTCTGCCTCTTATTTTTTAACATACTTTTCTTTCTTCAAATTATTTCCTTCAAGTTGGCCCGTGAGCAAGTTGAAAAGGCAATGGTCAGTGGAACACGTCCTGAAGCAATACTGAATTCTCATGCTCAACCTGCTGCAACCCCTTCTGTGATTGAAGCAACGCCTAGTGCCGATAATTCATCTTTAACGGGTCAAGGAGAGCCATCAAGTCCTGTTTCAGTTGCTCCAGTTGTTACTACATCTATAAGTAATCTACAATCTGAGATGCCTTCTGGATCATCTACTTCTCCTTCTGCAACCCCTATACCTGGAACAAAAGTGGATGAGCTTGAGGCACCTGTAAATATTGTCACACCATCAGATAATAGCGTGGGAAGCGATAGAGTTTTTGTTACTGATATTAATACTTCTAAAACACCAATGTATTTTCTATTTACTAGTTTCTTGTTCAGTCTTTAATTTCATTTTTTTTTCTGGTGACACTTTGATTTAATTTTTTAGTGGTAAAAATTGTAGGAATGACGCTACCAACATTCCAGCTCAAGATACTCTAGGGTCTCCTGATGGAGTTCCAGTAGAAGATAAAGAAGTATCCTTCTCTAATTGTAGTTTTGTTGTGTTTTGGATGGGTTTGCTACTGGTGCTTAGCAAGCTGACTGATCGTAAATTCTGTAGGATGGTAAGAATGATTTAATAGGGGAGAAAGGTATTGATGTGACTGCAGAAACAAAATCAGTTGAACCAGAACCCTTAGTTTATGCAAATAAGATGGTATGAGAATGAATATCAGTATTTTAATTAACTCTCTATGTTATGTTTCTGTTCATTAATCATTTGTTATATTTCTTTTTCAGGAGGCTAAAGATGCATTCAAAGCACTCTTGGAGTCTGTAAATGTTGGATCTGATTGGACTTGGGATCGGGTAGAGTGATTTCATTGATATATTTTAATGTCACTTGCCTTTATATACAATTTTCAATTTATTGAATATATCTGTTGTTTATATGATTTGCTTGATATAACATTTCTATGCTTCAGGCAATGCGATTAATAATTAATGACAAAAGGTATGGTGCCTTAAAAACACTTGGAGAAAGGAAGCAAGCTTTCAATGAGGTAATTCTTGTATAACCTTTGAATTCTTACCCTAAATTTTTTCCCCCTTGTTCTTGTTGCTTTAGCTTGCATGTTTCATCCTGTCAGGAGCAAGTCTCAATTGTTTGTTCAATTTATAATACCTGAGTGAGTGTCAATTGGCTTTCATATTTATTTATCAAGCATATAGATAATAGAAATGGAAAAGTTGTATGAAGATATTTGCTTTTTAGTCATTGTGTTCATTGCACCGGCGATTGTGGCTGTCACGGCTGCTATATTGAAATGGGTAAATATACATAGGTTGGTCACTCTGCTGCTTTGTCAGATTGATAACTATGGTCATGTCTGAGAGCAATGATTATATTAGTAGCGTCCATTATCTGTCAAGTTGTCTTGTAGGTGTGTAGTACATTCCTGTAGGGAAATTAGTATGCTACACATTTTTTATTTTACTTTATATGAAATATGAAACTATTTTTTTGAAGGTTTTGGGAATATTTGACTTGTCACGAACTTTTGAAAATACAAAAAGCATAAATCCTCTTCATAATATAAGGAAACTAAATAGGTATGTTCAGATGGGGGTCAAATTTCTTGTAAACTATTTTGATCTTTTCTGGGGACTTCCATATATTTCCTTGTGTTCCCCACCCATTATTTAGACTCAAATATTTCATTGCAGATGGTTCTCCTTTTGTTATGCCCACAACCCCCATTATTTCTTCTGACCAATCTCACACCTCTCATTTGTCCAAAATTTTTTTAAAATAGGAAAATTTATTTTAAATTTCTATTTTAACTAGCTAATGTAATAAGAATATATTTTTTGCAATGGTTGGTATTAAGAGAGGACATGCTGCTGGGGATGATCTCCTCCATGTTATCCATCCCTAAAATTGATCTCTACATTCCTTTTAATTGCATGAATAGCCTACATGTTGATAAAATGATAACATCACTATTTTTTCCCCAGTACTTAAATCAGAGGAAAAAACAGGAAGCAGAAGAAAAACGTATGAAACAGAAAAAAGCACGGGAGGATTTTAAAAAGATGTTAGAAGTACGTTTTATATGCTTCTATATTTCTTTCTAGCAGTGTGTTATGTTGCTTCCTTTGTCTATTCTTTTTACTAATATATTAAATTATGTTCCAGGAATCCACAGACTTGACTTCATCCACTAGATGGAGGTTTTTATTCATGATATTTATATTTTATTCTTTTCTTTTCGTGGCTTATGTTGCATCCAGTTGATATACTTTGTGGTGTTTATTCTTTTCAATTGAATATTTTTTTTTTATCATTACTCAGCAAAGCAGTGTCTATATTTGAAAATGATGAACGATTCAAGGCTGTAGAACGTGATAGAGATCGCAGGGATATGTTTGAAAGCTTCTTGGAAGAACTTATAAACAAGGTGGATGCTACTAACTCATAGTTCAGCCATTTATAACCTGTGTGCATTTTGTGTTATTTGACTGATTCCTATCCTATATAATAATCCTGGCAGACTTCACCCACATTAATACAAATTTCTGTTTATCACTCTCTTGTAAGATTTATATTGGATGTTTTCTGGATGATCAAAATTTGGTTATGGTGGGTCCAAAATGTTGCTATTGTTTTGTTTAGGAAAAGTTTCTTGGATAAAGCAGTGTAGCTAAATTATATTATGAAAAGGTGAAGTCTGTTATGATTGGATAATGAAGGAATTGAGATGAAGAGTTTAGAAAGATTGTCAAAGTTTCCTTTTTCTGGGGATATGGGACCATGAATGAAGTTTTTTGGCTGTGATTAATGCATTAAAGCTTACGAATCTTTTGAAATGCTTTTAGTGAATATCTACTTGTGTATTTTTTTATCAGGAGCGAGCTAGGGTGCAGGAGGAACGGAAGCGAAATATAATGGAATACAAGAAGTTTTTGGAGTCTTGCGACTTTATAAAGGTACATAGTTGTATTTTGGTCATTATATTTCTAAATATGTTCTATGATAGAAATTCTATTCATGCATCTATCACCTTCTACACAGGCTAGCACACAGTGGCGAAAAGTTCAAGACCGCTTAGAGGCTGACGAAAGATGTTCTCGTCTTGAAAAGATGGATCGCTTGGAAATATTTCAAGTAATTCTTTTATGCAACTTCTTGAGAATTGATATTGTCTGTCAATCTAATTCAACATCTTTATACTTAAAATTTTATTTCAATATAATTTATATTTTGCCTGGCAGGATTATTTACGTGATTTAGAAAAGGAAGAGGAAGAGCAGAAGAAGATACAAAAGGTGCTGTTGTATTTTTTCTCTACAAGGGGGTCTATAGGACTCCGACCCCTCCTTCTTCTATTTTATTGCATTATCTCATGATCTCTGTTCTCAAACAAAATAGGAAGAGTTGAGAAAGACAGAACGTAAAAATCGTGATGAATTCCGTAAATTGATGGAGGAACATATTGCTTCAGGCATTCTCACAGCGAAAACTCACTGGCGTGATTATTATTCGAAGGTTAACTGTCCATTTTACAGTGGTTTGTCTTTATTTTTTAGTTTTATGTTTTAAAATGCATATTTTGAACTTTCTACTAACTTCCTCATAATGTTACCTTGTTTCTATTTTCTGGTTTGTTGTCTATGTCTATATTAATGATATTGTTTTGGGTGATCTTGTAGGTGAAAGATTTACCTGCTTATCTAGCAGTGGCATCAAACACCTCAGGTTCAACACCAAAAGACTTGTTTGAAGATGTTGCTGAAGAGCTAGAGAAACAAGTAAGTGTGTTAAACTGTCTTTATAGTTGGGGGAGCTTCAATACCCATATCTTGGGGATATGAAAGTGAGGTTGTTCCTTGACTTAAGAGTGGGGGTGCTTCTGCTTTTATGCACTCTGAAAAAAAATTTACCTTTGGACAAATGTAGTTCTCATAAAATGTCAATCTTCTTTTTAATTTGTATGTTGCAGTATCATGAAGAAAAGAGTCGAATAAAAGATGCAGTGAAGTTGGCAAAGGTATGATGTATATCTTTTGTTGTTTCTGCTTAACAAATCTTTTCTGACAGATATGATGTTATCATGCTGCCTCAGATCACATTATTGTCAACCTGGACTTTTGAAGACTTCAAATCAGCTTTATCAAAAGACATTAGCTCTCCTCCAATATCTGATTTCAACTTAAAGGTAGGTAAATGGGTGTAATATATATTTTTATCTTCTGTTTTTATGCATTCCAGTATTGAATTTCTTTATATGTCCACACCTAATGGCAAGTTTGTTTATTACAATGAATGACGCCTCAAACTTATCATATGTTACTAGTTATGCTTTAGTTATGCTTTAGCTTGTTGCTTTTTCTTCACATGCTTTTATTAAGACATTTCTCTTTGTGTGTTTGTATACATTTATTCAAAAAGTTCAAAAATGAGTGTTCTCATTCTGTATGTACATTAATAGGAAAAAGTTGGAAAGCTTGTTATTATTGTAATTGGAAATTGTCTAAAGTTACACACTTACACTGTTTTGTCTCTTCTTCATATCAAAGTTTGACTTTTTTATGAATATAGTTTGATTATTATGGTGAATGACCATAAAAGGTATCCTATCACTTAAAAAAGGCTAAATTTCTTAAGTTTGATTCTGATAATTGTTGATTTGGAAAATATGCATTTGACATGTCTGGTCTGGTGCTGTGCTATCCTGCCAGCTAGTGTTTGATGAGCTACTAGAACGGGCAAGGGAGAAGGAGGAGAAGGAAGCTAAGAAACGTAAACGTCTTGCAGATGATTTCTTTCATTTGGTATATTCTATCAAGGTGCAGTATTGTGGACATCAACTATTAAAGAACTGTCATGTTGTAATGGTTGGGAAATAATGATTATTGTTTGTGCTTTTCTTTTGTATGCTTCCTTGCAGGACATTACTGCATCTTCAAAGTGGGAGGACTCCAGACCAATCATTGAAGATAGCCAAGAGTTCAGGTCTGGATCATGATAAATTTAAACACTGAACTCTTAAATGTTTTGGTTCCTCTTTTAATGTTTGCAAAATTGTAGTAGTCATTGAATTGTCAAAGGAAGAGGTTCAAGCAAGGTTCTGAGGTGCAACTGGGATTTAATCAGTGTTTTGTATATGCACATATATTTTTATAAATATACAACAATAACCATAAATGAATGTATGTGTGTGCGTGTGTTTGTGTTTCTATGTATGTATATATCTAATATCATCAAATTGCATCATGACACATTGCAAAAATAAAATAATTGAATCTTACTATAAATATCGCTACATACATACTATATATTTAATGAGGAAATATGTTGAAAATGTCTCAATATTAAAAAATAAAACAAATTGGGTAAGATTTTAAAAGCAATAAACTCAGTTGCATAGTGGCTAATCACCTATGCAATTATGATGGGAACAATGTTTGATCCTTGGTTTTTAAATTTTGTAATTTTTACATGATATTTTAACAGGTATTCAATACACACTCATATATGTATGTAAGTATGTATGATCATATCTGGCAAGAAACACCCTTGTCTAAATGATAGCTAGCGTTGTAAGTTGATATTTTAACAGTTCGTCTAGTTACATGGTGACTTTGCCCCTATTTTCTCAGTTGATGACAAGTTTGTTTGCTCAAATATTGGGTTTGCCCGTGAACAAATTCACATATCCACTTCAACCAGCTTATCTGGTTTGGTTTTGAAGCTATTTTCTCTAGTTACTGAATTTTCATAGAATTATGTCATATTTGATGCATGGAATGATTATTCCACAAAATAGGAATAAATGGGATGACCATTCTTAGTTCACAACTTGGTAGCTTCATAATGACACGTTGAATTGCATGATTCTACGACTTGGAGCACCTAGTGCATGTGGAATTGGAAAAATGTAAAATTGTGTGGGATTGCCATGTTGATTTGTAAAATCAGTAGGCATGGTTGATCCCACTGTGCCTCAAACCTATTTTTCAACCCTTACTTGCAGACCATTTGGTGACTTAATTGGTTTAAAACGCATTTTGACCATAAAATCTATTCTCAAAGCTCTGCTCTGCTTTGCTTTCCTCTGTTCCTTGACACCAACTACCTCCATTTCTCCTCTATGCTCAATTCTCTCGGTATTTGATCTGTTTGCTGCCCTTTGTTGCAGTGTTGTTAAATGGCGGCCATGGCGGCGCTATGGCGGAATTCGGTGGCGGTTTTTGACCCCGCTGTTACAGCGTTACTGTTTTCTGGCGTTTTTCAATGGCGGCCGTTACGCGCATGGCGGTAACGGCAGCCATGGCGGAAAATGTAAAAAAATGGCGTTTTTATGGGAAAAATTGAGTTGGGCCATTGATTGGACCTGCTCCAAAAAGATAATCCGTGAGCTCAAACCCTAAATCACATATTTTCTTCCTTTCTTCATTGCTGTTGTGCCAGTGTGGAGCGTTGGTTGGCTATTGTGCCGCTGCGGAGCGGCGGTCCGCCACCTGCTGCTGCTGTGAAGTATTTCTTCGCAAGGGTTAAGCCCTAGTTGTAGTGTCTTGGTGTGGGTGTTGAAGTGTAATAGAGAAAGAGAGCGAAATTTCAATCTTGCCCTTGTTTTATGTATTTTAGGGTTTTTTAAGGGCAAAATAGATAGCAAAATTCCAATCTTGCCCTTGCTTTATGTATTTTAGGATTTTTTAAGGGCAAAATAGACTTTTTTCACTTAAAATTTTTTAGGGTTTACCTTCTCTTCTCAAGCGGTAAATTTTCTGATGGGTAAAATATTTAGGGTTCTCTATACTGTTTTTCTTCCTTCTTCTCTAAAGCCAATTTCTCCTTCATCTCCTTCACCATTTTCGCCCGAGAAGACATTCTTTCCGGCTGTTTTCCGGCAACTGTGAGTGGAAGGCCCTGTTTTCCGAAGTCCATTTTCTATTTTGTGTCTCTGGGCTCTGCCCCTCTTTCTTAGTTTTTTTCTCCTATTTTTTTTTTTTCAGTTCTGTTTTTCCCTCTCCCACTCTGTTTTACTCTCCCATTTTTTTCGTTTTTCCTTATTATTTTGTTTTCTTGATTCTATTTTTCTGTTTTCACTTCCAAGTTTCCTTCTCCATATTTATTTTAATTCTCTACTTTCTTTTTATAACTTCAGTTTTTTTTCACTATTGTACAACCATTTTATTCTTTTTTTCTCAAAACCTTCTTTTTATATGTAGTTAGTTTTCTAATTTTATATCACATTTTGCAATATATATATATATATATATATATATAACCGCCATTATTCCGCCATAACTCGCCATGGCATCTGTCATAATTTTATGGCAGTTTTTTTTTTTTCTGCCATGACACGCCATCCGCCATTGATAACATTGCTCTGTTGCTACTTCTACTGTGAAAATAGCTTCAAGTGCTATTTTATATGCACACACATTTAAAGAAGGACATAGGATCTTACGATTGGTGTTATGCTTCCACGATATACAATCTTTAGTCCCCTTCTCAATCTTAAGTAGGATTTCAATTTTAAATTTTAAATAACTTCTTGTTTGGTATGTGAATCAATGTAGAATGACGTCAAATACTAAGAATTGGGAAAGACAATCAATTAATATGTGAAACAGCCAAAGACAATTAATTACAAATAATGATATTAATCTCTACAAACAGTTAATTGCATTAATTCCTTGAATGCCTCCTGAAACTCAAATGTGTTTAGATGGAGCTAACATGAGCTTAGATTCTAGAGTATGAAACCAATGGTCAAACTTTGCTTATTTCTAACTCATTTTCATAAAGAGGTTGGTGCAATGGTGGAGAAACTTAGGTGGTTTATAATTAACAAACCCAACATCACTTGTAGTGTAGGGACGTGAGAGAATCGTGGTCATCAATGGTAGCAACATGTGCCAAATTGGAAATTGACAAGGGATAATGAGCGAACGAGAATGATGAGTAGAGGAAGACAATTAAGAAACAGGAATGTAAGCACCTAGTAACATGAGACATGGTCAAACCATGGGAAGATAGGTTGACCCAAATCAAACCTATGGAAAGAATGGCGAGAGCAGAGCCAAAATGTAGAAAGATAGGCCAAAAACAACGCCAAAAGATAGGTTGGATGAGATCTAACGTGGTGCAAACTAAAAACTCTGAAAAAGATTGATTGCAAACTAAAACACAAAATATGGGTTTGGTGGTAATCAAGTTCCATATGAATTCAATCAAAAGAATAGAAAGGAGAAATCATGCTCAAGTTACACGTTGTGGCTCTAACATTATTAAAATATCCTACATCAATTAAGAATATGATTAAAACATTTCTTATAAGTCGTAGGCTCGTAGCCATTCCTTTTGTATCGAGCTAGTTTTTGAGATTGAGTTAGCCCAGATCCATTTTATGTGGAGTCAACGCCTATTTGATGTTAATGTTAGATTGACTACAGATAGCCAATTCTACAAATTTCATGTGCTAGATATATAGTCCTAGCCTTAAGTACGATGTGTTAAGATTTCCTTAATTGGCTTAGAATATGGCCAAAGTAGTCTTTGTCAGACTGTGAGAACCCTCTTTCCTTGAGATAGTTTTTGAAATTGAGTGAAGTTTATTCCATTTCTTATAAATCATGTTTAAATTGTATCAACTTAGATAAGGAAGGAACATATGGAATATTATTTGCAGTGTGTATAAAACACTAGGGACTATACTTATTTATGCTCCTAGTGTTGTACAAAACAATAATGATAGGGAAAGACAATTAATTACAAATGATGAATGGTGATTATTTAACTGTGTTACTTATGCTAACACATGGAATAAACCATGGAATTAATGCACCGTTTTGTGTACTGAACATAACTTAATGTCCTATTAGCAGTATGCAAATAATGGGACTTGACCATTAATTGTTTTCCGTTCATAATCAGGTTGACATTATGTCCATGGTGACATATCCTACTTTATGTATATATTCTTTCCTTTTGCAACACCTTTTCTTTAATATTAGGCAAAGGGAGGTTAGTGTATAATACAGTATGCCTTCTAAATGGGCTATAGATGGTGGATTTGGCTTTTCTAAAGTAAGGGAAACACTTCAGTGGATATAGTGTATATTTTAAAACTGTTGTTTTGAAAAATTAGTGGTTGATATTTGTGATAAAATACATGTGTATGTATAACAAACTATGTTAGAATCTCAGCTGTTGATTTGCCAATCAACCTTTATGGGTGTCAAATATGTGGATAAGGTAATTCTAACACTTTATTATTGCTGTTTGATATCCCATTTTTCACTAATAAACCTAGAATACTAAGTTTCATAAACTTGTGGCACCATAGTACTGTAACATGTAACATTGTATCACAGCCTTTGGTCTCTACAGGCTTGTCATATAAAATATTATCTGTCTTGTTGTGGCAGTGGATGGGATTGCTGCCAGGCTATGATACACTGATATGATACGAGTATCTCATATGATTTGTGCTTGATATGATCATGTCCGATACAATGGTACTTCTGTTCTTGAACAACATATGACACGTTCAAGATAAACTTGTGTGTGTGTGTTTATAATTGACAAAATATAATAAATAAATATTATAATTAAAAAAATTAAGAACATTTTTCTTAAACATTACTTTGTTAATGTTAGATCTGAGCTACAGTGTGGCTACTGGCTGAAGATTGAAGAGAGGGAGTTAGAGTTACTCGGTGTTGGTTATTGGGTGTGAGCTCCCAAAGTGTTGTGATCTTCTCTGTTTTGGTGGTGTGTTAAGAGTGTTTCCATTTCCTCTGATTTGAAGAGTCCTAGCAAGAATCCCAACTCCCAGCAATTATGGCTGTCTCACTCGTTTGTTACAATTAACAAGTGAGTTTAACGAAAGAGATGAAGAGTCATGTGATTGTGCATTACTTAAATGTATTGGACTTCAACAGTCAAGTATTGAGGAGTGTCAAAGATGTATCAAGATTTATTTCTTTTTCTAAAAATTCTTTCAATACTGCTTAGACATGTATCAATAGAGAATTGAAGTGTATCGGTATTGGATATATATCTGATACGGATATGAGATGAAAAATGTGTTTCATAGCTGCCAAGCAGTAGTGTCTATCACTGTCCTTAGGGATGAAATACCTGATGTTTGGTTAGCATTTCTCCTTTGTTATGGTTAAATCCTAGCAACCCAGTCTTTATCAGCCAAAACTGCCCTTTTCCCTTTTCTGCTAGGTCTGCTCTTTTACTGGTCAAGTCCTGCTGCGGATGTTTGTTGACATTGTTTTGATGACAACTTCAAGCCTACTTCCTTTAGCAGATCTGACCTGTGACTAGATCTTCACTTTTTCCCCCCAAAATTAAATTATGTTTCAGAATAAAGAGACATAGGTTGAATTTGGGCTTTAAGTTTAACTTAACTCATAAGGTGAGGCTTGTTTTAGCCTTTATAAGTTCTTATTTAATCATATAGTTCATTTGAGACTTCAACACACTCCATCACGCCCAAGATTCCAGGTAGGTAGCACTGGAAAAGTTGTGGGACCAGGTAACTTCAGGTTAATTGAACTAGGAAAATTTGTGTGGTTAGATTTTTTATTTTTTTTTTGGGTCAAGGGTGACCCAATATCGAATATACGGTAGGCTTTGATGCTATACTGAATTTGAGTTTTAAGCCCAATTTAACCCTAAAAGCTAGCTAACTTGGAAGGTAAGGATTATTTTAGTCTTTATAAGCTTTTATTTAGCCATATATGTCATCGACACTGAACTTCATCAACATCGATGTCCTTTTCTTTTGGTAACTGTCATCCACATTCGTGTTATTTTATTTTGATGTTGACTTTGACATTGTTGTCCTGCTTAGAAAAAATGATTTTTAGTTTGCTTATTTTGTTATGCTTTTAATACTTGTTATTAATATTAGTTATTTGAAGAATTCAAACACATTGACTTATATGATTTCTTTTTGGTAATTGCCATCCGCCTGGTGTTTTTTTTTTTATATTGACTTTGACATTGCTGTCTTACTTTAGTAATACGCGTTTTAATTTGCTTATTTGGTTATACTTTTAATAACTTTATTAGGAATTTGAGGAGTTCAAACACATTGACTATATGGTTTTTGTAATTGAGTTCTGAAACTTTATGGTAATCTATTAGGATTATTAATTTTGGATATTAATGATGAATGTCTTAAATCTAGAGTACTTTTTGGGATTTGAGCAATATTATATGTGTATTATAGTAAGTTTATATTGTATCAGCTATCTTAGGTATAGCCGTATAGCATGCACTCTATGATATGCTATAACATTTTTGGGGTAGTCTGCATTGCATTGCCCTTTGGGATTTCCTGCTATGAATTAACCTACATATCTCAAAACTATTTTCCTAACATAATAGCATTGGAGTTCCTGTTTTCACTTTTATTGGGGTGTATGTTTTTTTAGGTCTATTGGAGATGAGAGCATTTGCAAGGAAATATTTGAGGAGTACATTGTGCAACTGAAAGAAGAGGCAAAAGAGAGTGAACGGAAACGGAAAGACGAAAGGGTATAATTTCTGCTCATTGCATCTGCATTTGAGATTTATGCTTGTCATTCATTTTCTCACACATAAAATTAACAAACTATCTTTATATGAAGTGGAAATCCCCCTGACAATTGTAGAGGAGAAAAATGAAAAGGAGTGCAGATTTATTATGGATAATAGCTTGTTGATTGCTACCTAGTTCCAAGCACAACCAGTTATCATAATTGTCACTTGTGATATTATTTGCCATAAATAGTCTTTGCTAATTCCAATTTATGCATTTGTTGCTCTATCTGCACATCTTGCTAAATGTGTTATTGTCACAGAATAACAGATGCAAGCGTGTTTTCATGTTCAATTTTTGCTGTATATCTTTTTCTGTTAAGGTTAGGTAGAGTTTGTAATCATTAAGAGAGAATATGAGTGAATTTTCAGAGTTAATACAAAGTGCATATCCCAATAAAACAAATATATAAAAAACAATTTTCAAGCCATCAGAAGTAGTTTCGATTGGGAATCTTTTCTTATAGTCTGGCATGGACTAGTTTCGAAGCATTGAAAGTGACATGACTTCCTGTGTTTATATAGTCTGTATAGAGGAGTCTGAGTAGCTGATAATAATTTTTCTGCAGGCAAAGAAGGAGAAAGACAGGGAGGAAAGAGAAAGAAGGAAAGCCAAGCAGAGAAGGGAAAAAGAGGGAGGGCGTGAAAGAGGGAAAGAGGAGGCACACAAGAAGGATAAAGCAGACAGTGACAGTGTGGAGTTAACTGAGATCCAATCCTCCAAAGACAACAAAAGATCTGAAGATGATACTAGAAAGCAACGGAAACAGCGTGAAAGTCCGGAGCATGAAATGGATAAAGAGAGGACTAAGAAATCTCATGGTCATGGTAGTGACCGCAAGAAATCAAGACGTGTATGCATTGCTTTGCTATCTTACACATATTCATGGTTTTCTGCTATCATTGATTTTTCACTGATTATCTTTTTTTTTAATGGAGCAGCACTCATCTGGCCATGAATCAGATGAAGGACGGCACAAAAGACACAAAAGAGACCACCGCAGTGATTCTCATAGAGAAGGTGATCATCATGGGGAGCTTGAGGATGGGGAATTTGGTGATGATGTGAATAGGTGGTAGTCTTGTTATTTTATTCAAACTCCTATGATTACCTTTTTTTTATCTCAATATGTATTATTTTTTTAAAAAAATTATCAAAATATAATTTTTGAAGAGAACTTCCTTGTATCCTAATTTTTGCACTGATGAATTTGATACCGGAAGGAAAGGTTAAGTTCTCTCAAGCAGAGCCCAATTTGCTGTAACTTGCTTTGGTTGATAATGGATTTCCTTTTTATTAAATTTTAACATGATCAATGTCAAATCTAGTATCTATCTCTCTTTTGACAGACATTAAATATACGGGGCGTATTTAATGCCTATCAAGAAATTGATAGACCCAGGATTTAAATGACTTATTAAGTATATGTGAATATCCACTCTTATTAGTATCACTAATTCTTCGCTAGTATCTTTATTATAGTTGAACTGCACGCAATGTTTGCTCACGGCCATTGGTAAATAAGCTCCACTAGATATGTTAACTTCAATTAGCAGGGGTTATTTTAGGAAGGTGAAGTTGTGTTCATTATTGGTACTTGCTGCTCTTTGTTCGCTTTCATTTTGGTCCACTGGTCTGAATCAGATTGGGTTACTTCCAATGGTGAATGAGATGTTATCAATTTGATTTCTACAATCATTATTTTTACTCTTTCCTGGGTCAAACCTGATTTGTAACTACAATAGGCGCGTCCAAAACTCATTCATAATTATTAGGAGCTACAATCACATCACAGGAATTTGATTACAAGGCCTAAAATTACTACGAGGTTTTGTGCTAATGGTTTGCCACTAATTCTACTTTTAACCTATTATCATTTACAGTTGATCTGGCCTGAGATCGAAATACAGCACAATAGGGAATTGGGTAACACAGCGTGCTAGGAGAAATTCAGAAGTGATTGCTTTATCACTATTGAAGACATTAGAGAAATCAATTTCTAAATCAGGTAACAAGCACCATTTATTACTTGCGTTGTTTTATGTAATGTTAGTGGACATTAGACATAGCTACAACCCTTTCTGTGTGTTTTCCCCGCTACGTAATTGCCTTTGTCCAATTTACCATAATTGTTACTAAGGTAACTTTTCAATTAAAGATTATTTTGGGAAGGCAATTACTACTACTAGTAAATATAAATTATACATAGTGCCATACCTTCAAGCCTAGTGTCAGATAATAGTTTAACATGCTTCGTTCTTTGTCAGTGCCGAAAAATTCTACCATAAATTGCATCTAGCCCACCATTTTTTAATGATTTCAAACTGAAAAAATTGAAGAATAATGAAAATTTCCAAGTAATTTAGGCATGATCGGCCCAAATAATTGCTGCTTTTATTCCTCTACGCGCCTCTCTTCTTTCTTTCTTCCTTCCTTCCTTTCCCTTTCTTCCCCCTCACCCCCTTTCAACAAATATATTTAAAATACATGATTTAACTCCATGTAAGTACAGCTACTGAAAAAATGCCATTCCAATTTTTCCTTCTAATATGATCTCGTTGTGACAACTAAACGAATTGTTACCAATTTGGTGATGTATAACACCATCAAATTGTACGCAATCACTGAGTTACCAAATAGAGACCAGACGCTACGACAACGTGGTTCAATCTCATCCTTTTCTCTTCACTTATTCGAGGTTTATGGATGCAACATCATTAATTGTTAGCAGGTCACATACACTAAGTCAAAAGTGGCATGTATGCCTGTGCTTGTTGACAAGCGAAATCAATTCATTAATGTGGAAGACTTCTGCAGCATGCATTGCCATCCCTAGATGAGAAATTTTAGGCCAGCATTTTCTAAGTTTTAACCGTAGACACCACTAGCTTGTGAGTTCTGACATAGTCACCTTAATGGCATCATACGTGAAAATGTCTCAAAAGTACCATCATAGATTTTTTCTGTTGAAGGTTCATGCAAAAGCTCGGTTGGTTGGTTTATGTATCAACTAACATGAAACATCCTACATTGACTTAGTATATGAACAAATTATTTCTTATAATAACTTGGTATACGAGCAAAAGTATTTTCTTATTTTGACTTTTGCGATCATCTTCACCTAAGCTAGTTTCTGAAATTGAGTTCTTATGACTTTTGATTCTCAATCCTAATACAATTCTATTATTTGAACCACTAAAAATTGAAACCATACGTGACCCTGCATACCGTTGTCTCTATTCTTTTCCTTTTTATCTTTTCTGTATGCATACATTTCAAGCATAGACCCCAAGGAGACAACTAAAACTATCTACAGCTAATAGTACATGGAACACTTTCCATTCTAATATTGTATCAGGATTTTTTCTCGGCCCTGATGTTGGGCCTACTCACTAATGTCCAAAACCTTTGTAATTACCATCCATGCATCTTTTTAACAGAAAACAAACTCCAACTGCATTCATAAATAATAATGGCAATCCTGTTGATAAGAAACTCGTGAAGATAGAAAGATAGATGCTGAGCTAGATTGTCACTATAAATGCAAAAGCTGAATAATAAATGAAAAGCTTAATACCTTTCCAAATGTCATGTTTCCCATTCTTAACTTTTCTTTTGCCATGTTTATTACGTCATCCAGTCCCACCATTTGTGCCCTTAGCGTCCTATCATTGCTTGTAGCTGCTAATGTTCCCCTTTAGGCATGCCAAATATTATTTCATGAGCAATTTGAAAATTCATTGTAATCAATTTTGTATTGCACAGCCGTTTACGCATGTGGATGTTCTTCATGATTGTTTTGTCAAGATCATCAAGTTGAAGTCAAAGCCATTAAATATGCAAATCTTTATCTTCGAAGAAAAAAAAAGATTAATTAAAAAACACAGGAAGCTATGCATAACACGCATATAAAATGTCCATCACCTCAATTACTGGGACCATTTCCCAAATCACATTAGAGCCTTATCTCTGAACTTTGACCCGCTTTAGTTTGGTGTGAATATGTCAAAGAAAAAACTCATTAATTTATTTTATAAATATAAGTGTCAACCATTAGTTTTTCAAAAGGTTTTATTATCAAATTAATATTTTGAATATACAAATAATTGTCAAAATTTTCTTTTTATATTACCATTTTAATCTTATAAAAAAATTCATTAAATTAATTTGGAAATAGAAATATTTTAAATACTAATATGTGACATACTAATCTATAGACCAATTTAAGGATTGTCTCCGTATTATAATATCGTTGGAGAAAACAAACATTTCAATCATTGGTTTTATTTTTTTAACTCTTTAAAACCGAACTAGTACTTAAAATGAGCAAGTAAAATCTCTCTCTTGTTTCCTAATAAACTTTGGGGAGTTAAAATTATTACGTTTCAAATTTAAAAATCTAAAATAAATTTAGAAAAAACCATAATTATCATAAACTTTTAAAGTAAGTCGTATAACTTTCTCTAATGCTTATGGGCTTGAGCTAACGGTAGAACGTATTTTTTAGTTCTATTAATTATTAAGTATAACAATTAAATGACGATATACAGTACGCAGGTAACGCTTACAAACTTTTTAGATAAGAGTTAAGAGATGAAATTTCAGGGAAACGTTGAATTGATAAATTCTTAATTACAGATTTTGTCAAATGTATATTACACTATTAATGGGAGCGGCCAGTTTTCAAAATATTTATTTCTTTGTGGCAATGTTGATTACAACTATTGACTTTCATCAGAATCAAATGCACTAAGTTCAAATTAGATGTCCTATTTAGTATTAGGAGCAATTCTTACGATGAAGTGGCCAAATGTAATTAATCAATCACATGACTGCCATATCATACATGATACTTAAAATACAAAATACATTATACTTTTCAACAATAAATGCTTTTATATACTTTTTTTTTTCCTTATATTCATTTTACAATTACTCTTTTTTTAATCATATCATTTATTTTATGCTTCATTTTCCATCTTTTTTCGATATCCTTGTGACACCCATCTTTTTGTATCAATAAAATTATCTCATGAATTCGCAAATTTCGATTTTATGTCAATGAGAACTCTTCGATCGGAGACTGATTAAATGCGTTCTATTTTTTAAGATGTTTAGTTTATCTTATTAAATTTCGTTATCGGTCATAATATATGAAAAACAATTATATATTATGTGATATAAAATTATTTATACGACTTTATTTAATAACTTTAGTTATTAGGCAAGTTTATATATGATTCAAATTCAAAAAGGTTCAGTTGTGAAAAGACATTAAAAATATTATAAAATCAATAAGTAACTGGGGTGTTAAATATGTAAAAACTCAACCACGATAAGGTAGTGATTTTTTAACAGCCTTCTATACATTATTTTTTAGCAAGAATTTTATGCATACTTCATCTTCTCTTTTGAAAAGTTTGGGATGTATACGTGAAACACGGGACTCTACTATTGAGAATCCAAAGAGTGAAATTCCATTCCTACCCCTAATAAATTCCACACACCATCTTTATAAATCAATCCATGAGTCCTATATATTCTAGCTCTGTCACATATCATATTATATGTATAGTAATTGGCAGTTTTAGAAAGCAGAGAATGAAAATGTCGTCTAAGATCAGTGCCACTCTTTGCCTTGCTCTCTTCTTCCTCTTCTTTACCTTCACATATGCTGGAAGACCTGGCCCTTCTTCCCCTCTCATCATTTCAAGCAAAACTCAACATGGGGTGAGTTAATTAGTTTAATTAATATCATATCATATAGTATGATATCATATCATATCATATGATATTCTCTGCATAACCATGGCAATAACATCATATGCTTTTCTCTTTAGAATTATTCAATAATGAGTTTTCCTCTCTTATGTGCTTTAAGGTTTTGGAAGAGAAGGTAGACTTGGAAGAAACTTGTGATGGTATTGACAAAGAAGAATGCTTGATGAGAAGAACACTTGTGGCTCACACGGATTATATCTACACACAGAAGCACAAACCATGAGATCCATAGTTGTTTTACTCTTATCAACTTCACAGGCTATGCGCCACTCTTTTGCACTTGTAATTTATGTATAAGCTATAGTTTTCATACGCCACTTTTTACATTTGAAGAGTTAGTTCAGTCACTTGTTTTTCACTTCTAGCAGTTGCGGTTTGGAGTTTTTTTTTTCTAATCTGTATTAAATTATGCATATGTATTTCTCTGTTTCATATTGTAAACCAACGTATATATTGATTTTGATAGATATAAAATTTGGATATTATTTATATTTTTATCCATGGTTTCGGTAGAATAGATGTTCACAATTTGATTGGTCATATGGAATACAACGGAGCAAGCTTGGTGCTTGCATGATGATGCAAAGCATCAGCTGTAAAGATTCCAACTTGGGTCTGTATGGCATATAACCAACAAAAATGGACCGAAAGTCACTTTGGTTTTCAAAGTGAATAATAACTTTTGCGGGAGAGAGAGAGACAACAGAGAAAAAATTATAGATTCTTCACAATTAAATATTTGGGGTTTCTTAGTTTACAATCGATGTTAAAGATTGGGTATATATACATTTTTTTTCTTTATTACTGTTCAATGATAACGAAACTTGTCTGAGACAAAAGATATGCTGCCACCCAAATATTCTTAATATAAGTGTTCTAAATTGATGTTCAAATAAAATTATTTCTTTCTTTTTACTTTCTCTTTTTGTTTACTAATTTATTTCTACCTCATATACTCAAAAAATGAAGTGCAATGCAAACATTGTTCTTTTGCATCTAAAATGTCCTGTTTTCGGAACATGGGTAAAGAATCGCACTCTTATAAATTCACCCCGTACGTTGAGAATGGTAAATAAACTTAACCAATTTAATTAAACAATACCAAACCATAAGTTTGGTTTAGTTGGCTCACTGTTTTGTTTAGTTAGCACTGTAAAAATATTTGAAATATTTGGATCATGGTTCAAGGTTCGACAACCATTTAAACCAAGCTAGGCCATATAAATTTATTTCAAATGTAATTAATTACCTATGTTACGGCTACAAATTTGAGTTATGAGGTACCATTTGTCTTAGCAATGTTTTTTTTTAAGACTTGTTTAGAATTATATAATATGGATTAGCTACCAAGATTGTATTATGTATTAATCGTCATCGATTACTATTTATTCGTGTGTCTTGTGATAAATGATAATGTTTATTATCATTGAAACAATATAATTGCCTTAACAAATATAATCAGAATAAATTGAGAAAATCAATGAATTGTGGTTTAAGACCAAACTAAATCATGGTTGAGACCATGGTTTGGTCATTTCCACGAGTTTTCCTCTTGGGTTGTTTACTATAAATATGAACAAGAAGACATTCTTTCCTTTCGGTTCAAAATCTACCAGTAGAAAATTCGTTCGTGGGTTTTGGTGCCTGAAGCTTCATCTGGACAAGAAATTATACGTACAGAAGTCTCAATTCAATATCAATTAACTGTGTCTAGAAAAAGATTTTCAAAATTTCCTTTTTTATTAATCATATGTTAAATATTTTATTGAGAAGATCCAAAAACATTTCTTTTTTTTCATTTGTCTAGAAGCTTACATGACTTTTCCTTCCTCAAGTAAAGAGGAAATTCTCAAAATTCAAACCTTTGGCTCCCAATATAAAAGCTCCATCTTTCTCACCATTCTAGATCGCTGATGCATGTGATCTTATCAAGTGCTAGTAGCTATGCTCCATCTATTTTCAGCTTTTAATCTCAACCTCAATCCAATATATCCAATTTCACTCAACCTATTGTCAATTTTATAAGAAAAAAAATATATATTAAAGTTTGAAAAGTCTTTCCTGACCAAAAACATGCAACAAAGTGATAGTGGTACCCCCACTCCCTCAAAGAAGAAAAAAGAAAAGAAAAAGCAACCATTTCACACCTTACATCCCTTAACCATGAGAAGTCAACCCAAAATATATAAAACAACTTTACCATGAGAGGGTGTTAAGCTAGATGTATTGGTTTTATTATTTGAACATAAAAAAATTTGAGATTTCATGTATTATATAAAATTATTTTATTCCTTCCTCCCTCAATGAAATTAAAAATCACGCCTATCATTCTTAGGTAACATATATATATATATAAAAATAAGAGTTACAAGAGCGTTAAGTTAGAAGTACTACTTTCATTATTTGAATATTAAAAAATTAACATTTGTTGTCATATTTCGATGTTTTGAAAATATTTTCTCAAAAATATTATGCTGTACAAAACTGCCAAGTGCATTAGAATCAGTCATACCAAGCCACTGTGTTCGAGAATGGTCTAACATGGATGACTTTAATTATATCATGTTTCAAATAACATCTAGCAGTGGAGATTGCGGCTGTAGGCCCACAATACATGATTACTCAAAACCAAGAGGCAAGAATGTTACTACTATTATATGTCCATTTGTTGAGCTTTCTTTGTAGTGCTTCCAACTTTGGCTGCAGAGTTTTACATCCATAATTGTGTACAATTACTCGTGTTTCAAGTTATTTGTCAAAGTTTTTGTTTCAACAAAGGTTCATATGCGTATGAAATTGTTAAGAACAGCAACTTTTAGCTTTTGTTTTATTTACACAATTTAATTACTGTGTGGATTCATTATGGCCTGGTTAGTGCATTGTTGGCCAACAAGCATGATTTTGACATGCTATTGATGGCTGACTCTGAATCACTATGATCGAATTAAAGGAATATATATAGAGAGGGTGGATTAGTCGTATTGGAAATTTACATTTACAACCTACCAATAGAAGCTTCTTTGTGGATTTATATTTCCATTACATCTAGGCCCCTCTATGCCGTACGCTATTTGCTGCTCGATTTTAAAATAATAATAATTATTCCAATTACTACTAGCTTTGACTTAGAAACCTGGGATTACTTGTGCCAATTATCTCCATAAATTTAATGTTTACCTGAAAAGGGAGTCAAAGCCTAGAAAAATGAAGATAGCAGCGTCATGATAAACAAATATTGACTTATTTAAGAAACTAACCTTCAAATTTTATATTTAAAATGTTTGTATATCAAATTATTTTAAGCATTCCTCTACTGCACACTTATAAATTTATGCATCAAATTTCAATAAAGAAAATATCTATTTTTTTCTTTTTACATCCTAATTTCGTTTCCTATAAAATCTTATAAACTTTCTAAAGGCTTTAACATTTTTTTAAAATATTTGTATCTTAAATTTTTCATAAACCCTCAAATATTTAAATGAAAAACATAAGAATTTTAGGTTAAAGAAAATTGACAGAGGATCAAATTTGTTTAATTTGAAAATAAGAAGCTAATTAAATCAAAAAATTATCAATTAAAATGAAACATAGTTTAAATTGAAAAATAATAAAGTTATAGTTAATTCTTTTTTAACGTACTTTTTTTTAATAATCCGTTGAGATTTCCCTTTTTGTTTTGGGTTTATTCATTAATTAATCAGAAAAAAGCCCACTAAGCCTAATGCCCAAACACAACGGTGATGCCTAAACGCCATAGGGTTTAACACTGATTTGTAGACGAGAATTTATACATGGGCCTAAGCCATGGGCCATGATGGGGTTTTTTCCCGCTATAAATGAATAAACCTTCTTTCTCTCCCTGCAAATGCAACGCAACCGTTTCAAATGAAGACAGGAATTATCACAAACTGAAATTGACTTGGGGGTGTAAAGACAAAGAGAAATGTTGCAAACCCTAGGAGCTTCAAGCCCTCGCTTTGTGAATCGATCGTGGCTCCGAAGCCTCAACCTCCGTGCATTCTCTTTCTCCTCCGATTATGGGGACCAGTCACGTGGTGGCCTTCCCCGATTTTATTCCGAGACTCTTCCTCCTTTCAAGGCATTCTCTTCCACTCTCTCTCTCTTCGCTTCATTTTCAACTGTTTCATGATACCGGAATCATCTCCTAAGAACAATATTGAGCAATATGAATTCGACTAATGGATATGGCTTCAATTAGAAATGAATTCAGTTCATAACGTCCCGTTACAGACAGCACGTAGCTTCATGGAATAGGGATTAAGGGAATTTCTTAGTTTGTTTCTTGTAAAGTCAGCATTTTAACGGCTTGCTGAGATTTTATTTAATTATTTTACTTCTGAAAAACTATTGCAGTTAATGTGCTATTTGGTTTGGTTGAAGATAGTTATTTGAAAAATATATATTTTTTATACCCGGAATAATGCAGGGTAATGTTATACGCGTAAAAGGTGATGAATTCTGGCATATGACAAAGGTATTGAGGTTGAGCACCAATGATAGGTAATTTTGTTGATCATTGCTTGTGATTCAGAGATGAAACTTTATTTTTGACAATTTGTAGTGTCCTTGAAAGCCAAATTGAATAATCTTTTATTTGTTTAAAATTCTTTATGTTGATTACAAAAAAGTGTAAAGGCATCAGGGAATCACAGTAGAATTGAATGTAGAACATCTTGTGCTACAAATGTTTAGCCAGGGTTGTTTCTTCAAGCACAATTTTCTTTGTTAATTTCAATGAAAATTGAGAAAGAGATAGTCCTTTCACATCTTTTGTAGCCCGTGTTTTGGTATTTCTGTCTAGCACTACACTTATACTCTGATCTGAAGAAGATTTTGTCGATGATCCTAATCATGCTGTTCAAGGGTACAGCTATTCAATGGGAAAGGAGGTCTGGTAGAAGGATGCATACAAAACATCGACCGCACTGGACTTGATTTTGTTGCGTTGAATGATTTGATATCAATACCTCCACAAAATACACAATTACACGTTTTTGCTGGTTTTGGTAGGTTTTTGTAGTCTAACAGTAAAGTACAACTACTTATTAACCGTTGCATGTTTTGAAGAACACTTAAGTTTTCCTACCCAATTTTTAACTTGTTTGAACCATACCTGTCTAGGTACTCTGAAGGGTGGTCGTGCTGACTGGCTCCTAGAGAAGTGCACAGTATGTTTCAATAGCGTATTGAGATTTTATCTGGTTAGACGTACAGCTTCTATGCATTGTGGTTGTTTTTCTTTTATTCATGTTTAAATGTGATAGGAACTTGGAGCCAATAGTGTAACTCCTCTACTGACTGAACGTTCTCCAGCAATCTCAGAAAGTCGGGTGGACAGATTGGAACGTGTCATTTTAGCAGCATCCAAACAATGTAATTTTGTTTTTACTTGCATTTGAGGTTAAACATTTATTTAACTACTATCAAAATTTTCTTTGGGCTATTCAGACTGTAATGAATTTTAAACTTGGGTTGAAAATGAAGGTTAACCTATTTTGCTTTTGGTTAGTAAACCTTTGCATTGATGCCTCTTTTGTAGGCCAGCGACTGCATGAAATGGTTCTGAAACCTCCTGTAGAGATTGATGACCTATTACACCGGGTGAGTTCTCCATTACTTACTACCCAGCCAGAAATTTGGGCATGGATTTCTGTTGTCTCAGAAGAATTTTAACCAGTACATTGTGATAACCTTCATCTTATTAACCGCTGATATGTTTGTAATTCTAGATGTCTATACTGTTGTATATGCTTGCTTTCCTTTTTCTTTCTTGGGAATTCTTCAGAGTTAAACAAGGGATTTGATCCCAGTGTTGTTAGCAATTTAATTGACATGCATTGCTACACGATGGCATTGATGAATTTGTTATGCTGATATCATTCAACTCTTCTCTCTGTTCATAACCAGCTTGATCTATTTCTGTCCCTTAGATTTCACAATCAAAGCTATCTCTTGTTGCAACGGCGAGTGCAACTCCTGTTCTAAGTGCATTGATGACATTGGAAAAGGAAAATTGTGGCTTAATTATAATTGGACCAGAAGGCGGTTAGTATGTTTTTAGCTGTCCAATTTCCATTTCGTTACACCAAATGTCTGGAAATGAATGGGCATTACAATTGAATTGCTACGATAATGAGTTAAAGGTTAGATGTGAGGTTAAATATCCCTCTTATCAGGGTAAAATGAAAATGTGTTAACGATGTGAACGCCAAATAATTGTTATGTTTTTTGGAGGAAATAAATTATATATATTTTCTTCTTAAAGTAAAACTAACACTTGCTTATGTTGCCATGGAGTTTTCCAGACTTCACTGAGAAAGAAGTGAGTATGATGATAGAAGCTGGTGCTACAGCTGTTAGTCTTGGACCTCATCGTCTTCGGGTTGAAACTGCCTCCATAGCACTTTTAGCAACTGTCATGTTATGGTCTGACTCGCAACAAAGTTCAGTTGATTGATTCATCAGTGTAGGTAGGTCAGGCATGTTTATGTTCTAGAAACATAATATATTTTATTCTTCTTTACTTGTCTGTTAGATAAAAATTATGAATTTTGTAAACCTCAGCCTTTAAGAATGAGTTTAAGCATCTACAAATAAATTTTTTTTAGAAAAAGGTATACAATTATTGTATTGAATTATAAAATACAATAAACACTTTTTTTTTTAATAAAATTTTACTATTATTAACTGCTTATCTTCGGTACTAAGAGTTGAGATTAATAAAATCTATAAATTATTGTAACGGACATAAAGCATTGAAGGTTGTGTAGTTTTTTTGCCTTGTCTAATTGAAAGGATTCGTTGAGTCTATCAGTTGATAAATCCAGCTGTGGCGAGAGAATAATTTGAAGATTCGTCGGGTAAATATGTAATTTTCCTGCTCTATACTTGATAAGTCATGAATTTTAAAATAGAGATGCCCCTCAAAGTACGCCAGTCTTAACCTTTCATATTCATTAGATAATTCAATATAATTGCCTTTTGCTTGAGAATTTGACTGTTCTTACGTTCAAAGTATTCTTCATTTTAATTTTTTTCTTTTATTTGTCTAAAGTTGATTTTTAATTATTCATATAAATTTTTAAAGATTAATATGTAAAAGAAAAGTTGTGAATAGATTTGATTATTCATTTAAATATTTAAAAACAAGTATAAAACTATATATTAAAAACTATACCTTATTACCCATTCAAATGCTGGAAGATATAGTAAGAATAAAATTGTAAATATTTTCAACTCTAGCACAATTATCTTCAATTTTTTTTACTTAGTGAATAATAATATTATAATGATAAGGGGTTTTTTTTTTATTTAAATATTGTAATTTTAAAAATAAGTTCTTTATTTATTATTTTTTTCAAACCATTTCTTTGTCTGTTTGGGAGGAATATGACCACGTGATAAAAGTTTCGTTGATACAATGATTAAAGTATTGGATTTAAATTTTTTAAAAAATAAATTTTGCTACAACATCGACATATGTTTGTCAAAATTAGAAGTTTTGTCACGAGCTGAGCGAAATTTTTTTTATATTGAGTGTCATTACTGGAGTGAGTTTATTTTATGAAAATTAAACAGTTCATAGAAAATTGACACGTGGTACGAGTTTGACAGTATGGTAACATTTATTTATCTCTTAATTAATAATACAAATATTAACTTGATTAAACAAATATCTAACGTAATTATAAATTTAAATTTATATCATTATGATGTGATAATAATTTGTAGATAAAAATATAAACTGTTACAATGAAATATATATATATATATATATATATATATATATATATATATACATGTTAAAATATTTAAATAATAAACAAGTTTTACTATATTATGTGGGCATTATGTTAAATTCGTGCTATATATTAACTATTCACAAATTGTGTATTTTCATAACAAAACTAACCTTCAGACAGTGACCTAATATTAATATAAAATTTTTTTTACTCTATTCATGGCAAAATTTCTTTCTAACTTTGCCAAACATATGGAGAAATTACAAAATAGTGATAAAGGGGAACATCCTACTTATTTTGTGTTTTTAATGTTAAAATTTATTTTTAAAAAAAATTAAAATTCAATACTTTCGTCAAACATATTAACAAAACTTTTTTCACATGACCAAATTCACTCCAAACATAAAAATAATTTGAAAAAAAAGAATTTATTTTTAAATTACAATATTTAAATAAAAAAACCTAATTAACTTGCAGCAAATTCATTATATTTTAGTTTAAAAAATCCGAGTTGATAGTACACAATATTGGCCTTAAACTAATTATTTTACAGCTTGAAACTTGATGCAATGGAATTATTTATCTGCCGTAGATAAACACAAATTAGTTGAAAATAAGCTTATGAAAACGATGTATGTGAAAATCAAAATTATACCTTGTTAGCATATGACTTCAGGAACTTTATGAAAAAAATAAATAAACATATGTTAACCAACTCATTATATATATAATTGATGCAAGTGGGTGATGTTAGTGAACATCCATCAAATCCAAAATTTAAAACTTGAAAATCTCAACCCAAAGCTAATAATAAACTATATATTCATACTCAAAATTTTATGCCCTGACGCAAAATCAACAATAAACATAAATACAAGCAAAAAGAGAAATGGGAACCCAATGCAAACTTAGATAATGAAAATTCAACATGCAAATAACTCAACATAGAAATAGGAAATAATTAATACATATTTAAGTCAATTATTTTTAAAATACTCTCGTTAAGATTTTCTTAAAAACGTTTTTAAAATTATTCTTTTTAAATAATTGAAAAAAAATGTATGGGGACATAAAGAAGTCAAGTGTATAGAGCTATACATGCAAAACCCACTTAAATTTCTTTGAAAATAGCTAGAAGTTGAACATACTAAAGCTTCCCTTAACAAAATCATATTAGGTATACTAACTACGTTGGCTTTCCTAACATGAAAATTACCAGTAATACGTTTTTTTTAATACAAACTTTTATATATTCTTTATGCCTAGCATATTTTTAAAAAATTAAAAAGTTTGCTTTATAAAATAATCACTTTTCAAAGAATATTTTAAAAATTGACCAATAAAAAAAATATAATAACATATTACCAACATTCTTCTTAACATCATTTCGTTTGTACCTATATTGAACTGAAAAATAATAACAATACCAAATATCAGAACTCTCATCCACATCAACATCATTAATACAGTGATGTATTTTATATAAATAAAAATATTTAAAGTTTAAATAATAATAAAAAATCCATATAACAGTGCAGCTAACGTTTCGCACCAACATTGATCAGTCTTCATCAATATTGATTAATTTGGGTCTAAATAGACCAATTGATGGGAGGGGTCCCGTTGGAGAGAATCAGAATCGGAAGTTACAACTGTTATTTCGTTATAAGACAGAGCGGTGAATGGAGGGAAGTGAGAGTCTTACATAAAACAAAAAATGGGTAATGAATGCATTGACAAAATATTGTAATAATGGCGTCTCCTTTGGAAGACAAAGGTAGATCTAAATTAACATTGTACGTAACAAAGAACACAACACATAACTAAAGAGAGGAATGGTGCTTCAGAAGAAGGAGAGAACGTGGGTGATGATGAACTTAGAGGGGCAGAGAAAGGTGGTGGAGGCTCCCAAACACGTGATAATGCAGCGTACGGGTGTGTCTGGTCGGGACCTGCGAATACTTGACCCTTTGCTTTCATACCCTTCCACCATTGCTGGGCGTGGAAGAGCTATCATCGTCAACTTGGAACACATAAAGGCCATCATCACTGCTCAAGACCTTCTCTTCGTCAATTCCACCGACCCTTCTGCTTTCTCTTTTCTTGATGACCTTCACTCGCAGATTCTGTGCCACCACCGTGCCACCACTCAACCACAACCTCCGGTCTTTATTTTATTTCACTATTAGTCAGAGAAAGAAAACCATAATTCATTCTTGTTAAGTGCTGAATTCACCATTTACACGTCTGAATTAATACCAATACATTCTTTTAAACATTCTGATTCATCAATTTTTAAAATAATTCAACTAGTTATCTTGTGAATTAATGATCTTACCCTTTTTATTAATTCAAGATGGATTAAGTCAAATAGTACACTCATTTAGGAAACAATCTCAAGTAGATACATTTTTTATTTTTATTTCTTTAATCAGTACATTTAAAACACTGATTTATAAGATCTTATTTATAGTTATATTTTAAAAAAAATATTATAGAATAAACCTTTATATAATAGTATAAAAATATCAAGATAATTAATTAAGTTATAAAAGTCTGTCATGCTTACAATAACTAATTTTCAATTTTAAAGCATCAATTTTTAAAATTTTAAATTTATATTCTATGTTAATTTTGTATTAATTTTTATTTATTTTATTATAATCATGTTTTATCAAATGATTTTGAAAATTTGATGTATATGGTATTTATGCTTTCTAGTATTCTTTCAAGGGCGGATATCATGACATAAGCCTTGAAAGTGTTTTCAGTAGTTCTTCTTTGATTTTTCTTTTATTTATTATCAAATAAATCTACAGGAGGCTCAAGATGGGAAGAATGAATCTGAAACAAAGCAAGATGGCATGAAGATTCTTCCATTTGAGTGTTTAGCACTGGAGGCATGCCTTGAGGCTGCTTGTGGTGCTTTAGAAAATGAGGTATATGTATGTATATATTATTCCTCCATATATGGATCGTTTAATTGCTTTTCATGACTTCATGATTTTCTATAATCTGTTTTATTTCTCTTTCCCATGGTTTTGTAGGCAAAGATATTGGAGCAGGAGACTTATCCTGCCTTAGATAAATTGACCTCACAGATTAGTACTTCCAATTTGGAATGCATTCGTCTTGTTAAGAGCCGCTTAGTTGCCTTGGCTGCTCGTGTTCGAAGGGTTAAGCAGTGTTTCCAACATCTACCACTGCCTTGCTCTTTGAAATTTTTATTAATTGTTATGATACTAAATAAAACTTAGACATTGTTCTTTAAGTATATTTATTGTTATTTTTTAATTAAAATTGAAGTTTCATTTCAGTAACCAGCACAATAAAGGTTAATCTTATGTGTTGTTATTAATTTTTAAGATGAAACTATATTTTTTTTATTGAAAAAGGGTATAAAAATACTTAGGATACAATACCTAAGTCTTATCTTATGACATTTTCAATTATGGGACATTCCTTATTTCTTCATTACTTTGCTAGTACATGTAATGTGGGACGTTACTTCTCAATTTCTTGTTGACATCTTTTTAGGTAAGGGATGAATTAGAGCACTTGCTGGATGATAATGAACATTTGGCTGAGCTGTATCTGACAGACAAGTTGGTTCAACAGCAACTTGAAAATTCTACTGCCTCATTCATGAATGACATGGAGAATGAAGTTCTTCAACCAGATATAAGTGACAGGCATGTAATTTTATATATGATGAATATGATTATGTCCGTGATTCTTAAAATAACAACTATGTGCCTACGGTTATTTTTTTAGGATTCCTCCTGAAGTATCATTGGAACGTGGTGTAGATTCTGCTAGTGATCATGAAGATCATGAAAATTCTGCTGACTACTCAAAAGACCAAATGTTTGGAGCATCTAATGGAGTTGGTAGTGAAATGCATGAAGCCCAGGCTAGCACTACCTACGGTGCTGTAACCAGACACTCTTTTGATGTGGAGGAACTTGAGATGCTCTTGGGAGCTTACTTTGTGCAAATCGGTGGCACATCGAACAAGCTATCAAGGGTATGCAATTTTCTATATTTTAATTCGTTCTTTTATACTTTTGTGACCCTTTTCTTTGCCCCCCATAAGTAGCTGAAGGATCCAAAAAAAATTCAAAATCTTCATACTTTGATCAATTAGCCTAATGGAAGCTTATCCAAAGGTTATGGAAGTTACTAAACATATATTTAATTTGGAGGAGGGTCCACAAGATAAGCAGTGGTCTCCATAAATTCCATTCCTAAGAATTATTGAAGGAAATGCTAGTCTGCTACTGAAGTCATAGTATTACACGTGTTTAGTTGAAATTAATTTTGAGACAATTATAGTTTTTGTTTTTTCAAAAAATTTAAACAAATAAACTATCTTTAAAATAAGCTACAGTAAAGATAAATAAATTGACACATCTGTAAATGATCCATGAGGCAGGGAATATGGCTAATGAATAAAGAAAAAGGCTTTGGATATATAGAAGTTTGATATAGTTTTGCTTTATATTAGTCTGTCAAATCTTTTGTGATATGATCATGTTACCTTTTGTTGTTTACCTGAAGAATGAAATTGACTTCTTTGTTATCCCATTGAAGCTGAGGGAGTACGTGGATGACACAGAGGACTACATAAACATTACCTTGGATGACAAACAGAACCGTCTCCTCCAAATGGGAGTGAAGTTGGGCACAGCAAATATACTTTTGAATGCCTTCATATGTGTGACTGGTCTATTTAGCATGAATATTCATATCGATCTATATGATACTGGGATGCCACAGTTCCTCGGGACTATTTTTGGATGCACTGTTGCTTGCATATTCTTGTATGTGGTTGCCATCATTTGGTACAAGTGCAAGCGCTTGCTGGAATAGGTGCCCACCCATCTGTGTTACAGATTGAAATGTATTTTATTTGAATGTTAATTTCCTACATGTGCTAGACATTTTTTTTAACAAATACAGTAATCATTTGTACTCAATACCCTAATTCAACTTCTTTTTACTGCATTGGTTTGTTAATAAAAATAAAAACTGGGAGATTTTAATGCAAAAAAAAAAGGGATGATAAAGAACACTTTATTTGAAAACGAATATTTTTCATGTTGATCTTACTGTATAACAAATTTTGTATCTGTATATCCTTGCAAATATTTACAATTATTAACAAAGTTTCACTTATTTTATACCTAATGAAGATAGAGATAAATACAAAATTTCTTCATGACAATCCATTCTCCCTTATTTGGTATGTAAAGGGATGCACGAAAAATAAAATAATTTATTATTATAATTTTGTAATAGATAAATAAAACCATTAAAGTTAGTTTGGGATAACTGTTAAATAAACCAATAAAAGAAACGGGTTTGGATTTCATTCTTTAACTGACCACTTTAGCCTTCATCTTCATTATCCAGTCGCTCTAACGCTTGGTTGTAGTAAAACAAGATAGAGATAAGAGACTGATGAAAACTTCCGGATGAGTTCAGTAGGACAAAGCATATTGATGGCACTAACTGTTACCGTAAACAAGTATGCTTCATCAAATTTGCAAGCAGTTCACAGAACACAAGGAAAAGCAGCAAACCCAGCCACACCCACCTTAAACACCAACGTGGGACTTGGAAGGAGAGGAATCCTCTTATCTACTGTAATTGCCACCACCCAAGTACCTGACTCTAGGACTCAGCTTCTTAAAAGTATACACATCCCTCTCTTCACTTCTTCTTTTGTCCATAGTTTTAAATTAAGTAGTTTTAACGTAGCTGTTCTACCTCTTAACAAGTTGAAGTGATCTTTCTAACTTAAAAAATATTGTAATGAAATTATTATCAGAATATCAGAAGAAATCAGAGGAAAACAAGGAGAAAAATGACAAGGAGGTAATGATATTTAAATTCCGTTCTTGTTTGTTGGTGTGCATTTATATGTGAGAAGTACAATAATGTTTTCTAATGGAACAATATGAGTCACTGAACTAAATGATATTTTACCAACCGACCGATTATTTTCAAACCTTACCCCATTCAACATGTTGTCTTTAGTGTCTACGTGAATGAACTTAGATGGGCATTATGTTTTGTGCCATATTTAATTTTTAGTCACATTGTGAACCAGAGGCTGGAGAGTTATTACAAGCGTAACTACAAGGATTACTTTGACTATATTGAAGGGACGTTAAAGGCAAAGAATGGGGAGCTTTCAGATACAGAAAAGGGTATCCTTGATTGGCTTCGAAGTAACAAGTGAAATTGGTTCTGAATTGTTGTTAGTTACTTCTCAGTCGGTGCTTCTGTAGTCTGTACACTGACGGCATTGATTTTTCGCTTCTGTACACTGCAGCTCCACCCTTAGAACTATACTTTGTATCCACATAGGCACATTGAACATTAGATTGTGATTTCCTGTATCCTTGAAATCCTCCATGTACAAACATTGCAAGTGATTGAGTTTAATTTGACATTGTTGGCATCACATTCTTCAATAGTATATTGAACTTCATCTTTCTTTCTCTTTTTTATTTTTTATTTTTTCTCTTGGGATATTTGGATATGGCGGCAGTTTCTTTCTTGCAAGATTTGTTGCTGACATTTCCCTGCATTGGCATGACTTGTTCAAAGGAAAAGAAAGTATTATTGGCAGGCTAAGGCCGGAAAGTCACCCCTCAAAATATCAAAGATCTAAGGGACAGAACCACCGAATCATTTGGTAGTGAGGTCAAACGTTACTTTTAGGTTCACCAATCACTACATGCATTCTTAGCTCATAATTGTCATCCAAAGCCACGTCTTATCATCATTCTTATTTTTTAGCTTGCAAATCTATAGTAATATTACGGTCATTGACCCCATGTGACTTTCGGTTTGGATATCCTGCCCATGACTTTGGATCAGCTTGGTAGAGCCCATCTTGTGCCTTGCGGATCAAAGTTACTAAGTGAAGTGTGTTGTAAGATTAAATTTCCTTTATCAAAGTCAAATCTCTAGCAGTTTACTTCTCTAGGTGTATCGCCCTTCGAGATTTTGCTTGTATTCAAATTATGAACTATCAAATTTCATGACCAATCTCATAGTTGTCCAATGGTACAAGTTAGTTTTCTTAATGAGAAATTCTATTCTCACATGGGGTAGATCAGAGCAGAGTCCTGTGGCCTACACGTGAAGTCCAAGATTTAACAGTAGAAATTTAGTACAAGTTCCAAATAAGAGTCTAAACTAGAAAGAAAATAAAATTTCTGTGATTTGAAGTGTGGGTTTTGACTAGATTAAAGGAAGAATTATTCTGCCTGCGAAACTTTTCAGTGCCACTCTCCCATGGGCCAAAAAGTTGTTATTAGTTGGAACTGTCTTAAGTCTCTAGTGAAATTGCATTTATCCTATACTTAGGACATTTGATTTGCTACTGTATTAGACATTAGAACAGAAATTAAACACAATGCTTCGTAGCCCTTGACATGGAATTTTGCTGTGATGTAATGTACTACTAACTCACTGCCAATTATCATGTTATAGCGTGTAGTGTGTACCACATTCAATTCATGTCGTTGGCATAGAGCTTGCAACCCGCAGAAATGCAGAAAGAGTTGTCCCGAGAAAAGGGAACATCCAAACTAAATTGGCAATGGCCACATAAATAGGAGATGAGATAATAGACAAGTTATTGGAAGCAACAATGCTCCCTCCCTACCTTCTCTCTCTATATGTGACAAGGATAGAGGGGTTTGGTTTGGGCGGTGGTTGGAAGAGCAGAAATGTTTTTCCCACACCCTTTTAGATTCTTATCCAATTAGATGGAATGCAGTTGGGCAATGACTATCATCACTTTTAAATTATTTTCTCTCTCTAGAAGTTTGTGTGTTTGATTTGTCTGTATGCTAACTTTTTCAATTATTCTAGTCCTTTTTTTCATTACCAAGACTCTCATTGCCAAACTTTAAATTATATATGACAAAACATGTGGGATGAGATTAGAATTTTGTCATCCTAAATTCTCAATGCCCATATTTTCTTTAGCTTTTTCAACCTTTCTGGACTCGTACCTTATTATAACAGGAACTGACTAGGAATAAGTAAAGGAATAAAAAAACCAAAGGCACGATTGTGGATGACATCAAGTCCTATGACAGCTTCCAAGCAGGCAGAGTTGGAGGGAACAAAACTACATAAACAAACATCATATATCATATAGTAAAAGAGGATCCTTCCAAAAGAGATCAAGTTGACAAACTAAATAAAATGGGGCATGTTCCTTGGGTCAGGAAGATCTCAGGCAGGATCTCCAGAGCTTAAAAGAGATTTAAAGAGCTACATATGAAATATTCCAACATGAAGATTGCCATTTCCTCCTCATCTTTGTACAAACTCTTCATTGCCCATCCCTCATGACACTACTTATCATATTTGTTCTTTCTGGAAGCAGAAGCATTCATTTTTAACACCCAAATGTTTGTGTGGTTTAAAGTTAATAAAATTAATTCTAAACTATTAAATATGATTGAAATATATGTTTATATTAATTTGAATTATATATTTCTTTTAACAAAACATGTGTTTTTATTAAAAAAAATAAAATTAATTTTTTAATTATAAAACAATTTAAGGCTTAAACTTGTTTATTTTATTAATCTACAACCGTGCGTACTAGTACTAGCAATGTAAATATCCTAGATAATCAAATGTAAATGAAAAGTGATCCTACCTAATCAACTTCGGATCACATAGCCTTTATCTTAATTATCTTTCAATCGAGGATGGATATATTAAGTCGGCAGCGCTTAATCTTGCTTTGCTAAAAATATTGTTAATTTATGAATAAAAACATGACAGTTTATCCGATTCGATTGTCCAGCGCATAACTTAATTTAATCCAGACGCCTTTCTTGCTTAAAAAATTATATAAAGTAAATTTATTTTTGAAAATAAAATAAAAGCATATTTACTCTTGAATTTAAATAAAGTAGAACTATTTAACGCGAAAACAAACACAGCTTTTATAGTTTAAATCAAATTAAAGCTGAATTAAAAATTTATGAACACTTTGTTCGTTCACCTTATATAACTCTTATCCCTCAAATTCATATGCTTTTGGGGGCAATATGTGTATCGCTTAGGTATTATGGAAGTTATTGCAAATAGCAAGTTATAATGAATTTTCTGGGTTTTATAAATTAGGAGCCATAGATCCCTGCTGCTGTCTACCAGACGACAGTGTTGCTTGAAACTTACATCTATGAATTTGGTTTGCGTATATATGGCTTAAAATAATTACTTAACTGGGAACCTCTGAACTCCAAAGCTGTATCTTATTAAAAGGCTAATTTTATACCGCCAACAAAAAATAATGCTACATTGTTATATTTCATTTTTAAAGCGATGGATTAGCAATTAAGTGCATGCTTCGTTGAAATTTTTTTCATATTTAATGTTTAAAACATCCTAAAAGGTTAGAAAAATTAAATAAATATTTGTAATAAAATATTCAAGCAAGCACGTACTAAATATTTATTTAGTTTGCTTTTAATTTTAAGACTTGCTAGTACTGCATATTGCTTGTATTAATTGAGTGTGGGGCTTCATGGAAAACAAGAGGTGAGCAAGGTTGTACAGAGCCTGCCTAACTGATCTAGCTTGTGATAATCATTCAATAACAAGGAAATTAAATTTCTAAAACAAAATAAAAATCTAACTTGTCTTTTCAGGTTTTTCCCACTGCATTGACAGCTACAAGAGAAAAAGAAAGGTAAAGGGTCCCTATTGATATCAATTCCTTCTGCACCATGAATCTTCACCATATGGCAGAGGCAAATTAGTAAAACTGATATGTCTTTGCGTTATCTCCGTTCCTTTCCCTCCATCTGTTAAACAAGAAAAGCAAATAAATATGATCAAATCCAAAAATTAGAATTCTGTTTTGCTGCTACAAGTCATTGCACTACTATATCTAGTAAATTTTTCTTCCAATGCAAATAACATAAGAAGCTTACTTGTCCCCTTGAAGTTCATTTTCTGATAGAGATGATTGTAGGAAACCAAAGTGTTCTTCTTGGAATGAGGATCTTCCCTGCAAGAATACAAATGATTTTATACTTGACTATATGCCTTCTACAAAGGGCAAGACAGTCAAATCAAAGAAGAGAATCAAGCCAAGTACCTCAAAATAAGTAGCAGAGAAACCTTGTGAATAATCTAGCATACTCCCTATAGAAGTTTGTGGGTTTGACCCAGTAACATTATTCTGAAAAAAATTGTCAAGAATCTTGAGTAAAAAAAACACATGGAATATCATGTAAGTTCAAACTCTTGGCATTACACACCTCAAAACTTTCTGGGGAAAAGTTGAAGACATGAGAACTAGCAGTGTCATGAAGAAAAGAAGGAAGATGTTGATCTTCATTGTGAGGATTTACTTTAACTCTCTGCCTCTTTGTACCACTCTTGGGGAGCTTTACTGCCTTCGATGCTGAATAAAAGCAACCATTGACTTCTTCGTTGAAGTAAGGCTCATCATCTGGGAAATGTGGAGGACCAGAAGAAGCATCAGAAATCATGGACAAATCCTCCTCCCTGGAGTTCTCATCTTTGACTCTTTTGTCTTTGTGTTCCTCCTCATAAAACCCCTCAGTTCCACCTATGAATCTAGTATCTCTATGTGAAGCATTCTGGTTAAGGAAAGAGTGCTCAAGGTATAGAGTCCAACCAGACTCACACCCACTACTGCATTCTGAAGCAAATGCATTCATCTTCCTTTAGCTGTCTATTTGGTATATAGGAAGAGTAGTGGTGAAAGATTGAAAAGAATGGAACAATTTATCAAACTCTTAGTTCTACACACTCTCTATTAACGGTATGGCAATGTAGTTTTGGTTTTGGTGTGCAGTGTCCACTACTTACAAAGTTGGATAGAAATAAAAAGAGTGGATAGGAGGTGGGAAAGAGCAAGAAACTGAGACTGAAATCCTAGACTAGTTTTGTCCTCATTCTCCTCTCATTGGGTTTTCTATGCGAATGAATGAGAAGTGCCAGTTGGGTGGGTTATAGTGGGTGCATGTAAGAGAGAGAGAGAGAGAGAGCCACACCCCCTTCACATGCTAGACAGCGAGGCACTGTGTACCCTCTTAACAAAACAGGCTACACGTCTATTTCCCTTCCACAGTACTGTATGGGACACCTTCAGCAATCACCACTAATATAATGCCTCTCTTTCTCCATCTACCACCACTGTTATCACCCCAATTTAGAGGTAGAAATGAAGAATACAAGTATGTGGTTAGTAAAGGGTTTTGTTTCATTATTGGGGTAAAAGTGATTCCCCAAAAAATGGATCTCATTCGGTATATCATAAACCTGATTCGTGGTTCGAATGCCAAATACGAGTATGCTATTCCATACATAGACACTACATAACATCTATATGATTCGGTATCCTAGTGCCCTTATTTTCCTTTTATGTGTCCATTACGTGTGGTCATTATAAAATGCCCTACTAAACAGAATCTTCTTCAATAGCTTCTTTTTATCAATATCTTTTAGAAAAAGGATATGTCGCATTATATGGTCAGCCAAAAGGAAAATTAATTTAAATATAAGATTCTAAAATATTATGCGTGAAATTAAAAAAGCAAATATACATGTTTTATTTTCTAGATGGGTTATTATGAGATTATTCTTTTTGAATAAAAAATGATTTTGCATTAAAAAAAAGAAAATATTCATTTTCTCTTTTAAATTGAAGAACTATTTAATATCAGAAGTGTACAGTGCAGTTGACTATGAATCCACATGCAATCACATTCATAATTCTTTTCAAGAATTTACTCCGCCAGGATTGACACAGACATGTCACATGTGAGCGCACGTGTGCATAGAGTTCGGCTAAAATATGTTCTACCCCTGCTAATTTGGTTTGGTTTAAAATAAATAAATTTCAATTATATTTCAAAATACTTTTAATCTGGTTTGATATATTATCTTTTTTTAATAATATATTAAAAAAAATTATCTTTTTCAATAAAATTATATATACATTATGTATATTAATTAGTTTATATTTATTTAATTTTATAATTAACTATATAATACTGAAATTAAACAACTGCTATTGACACACTCTTAATAATTAGTTAAAATTTATTAATAAAATTTAGCCAATAACAATAAAAATATTAAAAATAATGTGTTTCTAATCTTTGTCATTAAAATTGCTACATTCTTTTAATAAATAAATCAAGTTAATTCAATTTTATCTCATATGTATTATTGGATTTTAATTAGATAGAGTTTGATTTTAAGTAATTAATTTTATTGAAACTTTGAGTTGAACATGAAAATATGTATTATCTAATTCTGTCAAATGAATAATTTGAAAAATATATATTTAAAGAAACTTGGAGTGATAACTAATATAATAAATAGAATATGATAATATACGTATATATTTATAATAAATTGTGAAGTTCTTAAAATTTTATGCCTTCAATTCTTTATTTTATAAAATAGCTTCCCTTTTATGTGATTAAAAATTTTTAATCTTAATTCTCAAGATTAAGTTTAAATAACTAATAATAATAATGTAGTAACACAAAATATTTATATTATTGTAGTTTTAATGTAACAAATATGTTTTCTTAATTAGAGTTTATTTATTTTATATATTTAAACTTAATTCTAAAAATTTAAGTTATATTTTGTTTTTAGAATAAAATAAATTATTCAAAACTAATAAATTTTTATGAAAAAAATACTTATTAGAGCATATATATATATATATATATATATATATATATATATATATAATGTTAAAAACATGAAATATATTTGATACTTTGTTATTTAATAATTAAGAAAAATAATAGCAAAAAAAATTTAGAAAATTTGAAAATTTGAAAATTTCATTTTTATTTTAATAAATATTTTGATTATGTTAAAACATTCAAATCCGTGTGCATGCTGTACGTATATGCGAAGTTTCACTCTCACAACACAAAGTCGTCAAACACATGATTGCACGTGCCATTCACTCCCGTTTATAAGACTCGGTTGTGAAACTGAAAATTCTTTTCTGAAAACCACAAATGAGTTAGATTTTTTTTATTACCATCATCATCATATAATAACGATAACAATAAAATGTCGATTAATAATCCTATACTAAAGAGAGGTAAAGCTTAAAACAATCGTATATTTTTTTTAAAATTATTTGATAATTTAATTGAACTATAAAAAATAGATTTTTTTAAGAAATTATGAGTAAAGTATAAATGAAAATGGAGAGTTAAATTGATAATAAAGTAAGTAACACATGTTAGTCAAGTGACGAAATATTTAATTTAATCAACACAACACATATTTCAGAATGTTTAAAAATCTCTTTCTTTCTTTTTTATAATTTTAAACTGTGACAAACAAATGAATGTCGATTATGAGCAGTGATTCTCATACATCTTTATCTCTTAAAAGGGTCAGCACGTGATGATGGTCAAATAAAAGCGGTACTACGACGTAGCCGTACTGATTCGCTCCAAGATCATTTAAATAGAGAAATACTATATTAATAAAATACATATAGAACACAAGGCAATAACCACTGGTAGAGAGTGTAATAGCTATACACACACTAATTCATGCGAATTAAAGTTTTTAATCAATTTACTTAAAAAATCTAACCATCCATCAACTATGTAAAATTTTAATTTTTTATTAGCTGTATATAGCTACGAATGAAGATAAGATCAAGTATCACAATCAAATGAAGACTTCATCTTGAGTGGTCTCTCCCAGTGTGCTACATCATATGCTTCGATTGTAAGTTTGATTGTTTTATTTTAATGCAAAGAAAATAAACTAAAGAATAGGAACCGCCCTAGTCATAAAAGTAGAGCCGGCCGTGAGTAATATAAAAATTTGATACGTGAACCAAATGGTCAATGTTTAGTTAAAAACAATGGTAATCAATGAAAGTGAAATTGTAAGTGGCAACATGAAAAGTAGAATTCAATTAACGAAGCTTCCTAGTGTTGATGAGGCTTTTTATTTTATTATTCCTTTTGGGTGGAGAGGGGTGGGGTTGGTGATTGATACTGATTACTGAAACACTAGGGAGCAATCCTAGGAGCCTAAAGCCAAGAAAAGGGGGCTAAAAGAATGCAAATGCCACAAGAATTACTATATGCATTTTGCAAAGGCTATATCACCTCGCATGGCTAGAGAGCACATGAAGGGCAATAATAATTATGCAAAATAAGGGAAAATAGAACTTTTAAAACCATGTGCAACTTTTTCCCCTTGGATCACTCATTATCAATGGCTACTGAGCAGTGCAACAATCTAACATCGAACCTGCTCAAAGTGGAACTTCCCAATATTGGGCATCATAAATGTCATCTTCCCCTTACCTTTATTTTTTACTATTTCTCCCTATTGTGGACATGTTTAACTGACCCCAGTTCAAATCCAGCTCACATGTGCCATAACTTTACCATTAGCTTATATATGAGGCGTCTCGACAGCTTTGGGTCCATTAATGTTTTGACCTAGTCCCCTTTCAATGTGTCAATTTCCATTAGCTGGTAATTGGTAATCAAAGATACATTATTTTTTATTTTGTAAAAATAAACCAATGGTTTGGTGGTGTCCTTTTCGTAATCTTCTCAAATAGTCACTATTCCCATGATATTCAACGTTAATGTTCTCAGAATTAGCAATCCCCGAACCCACATTAAAAGAATGTGGGCTACAATCTGTTTGGGACCGCTAGATGCCTACTCTTGGGCCTAAAAACAGCTGGTCAGTGATCGAATTCTTCCTTTAAAAATTGGACTAGGAAACATGCTTTAAAAATCAATACCATCTATTTCGGAAACATCATTTAAAAGGTTTGTTCAGTGAAGTTTTTACTGTTGAGCAAAAATATCTTTATTTTATGTCTGTGCAAAGCACGACTTGGTTTATATATATATATATATCCAAGTTTTTTGCTACTTTTATTAACTTGTCCCTAAACACACTTTTCATAAATTATGAAAATAAATGAGTGTTTCGATAAATAGTATTTTTAATTTATTTTCACATTATTGATACTTCAATTGTAAAAAAATGTTCTTACGTTGTGACCCAAATGGATTGATTGGACTTCATTTCTTTTAGTTTGTTTTATTAGCCACCCTCCAAATTCAAATTGAGCCCACAGCAGATGCATCCTACAATAGTTGAGGATTATTTCATGCATTACTTGTATGAGAAATGTCAGTGAAATATATTTTCAACACATTTTTTGTAATTAATTTAATTTTTTAAAAATTATTATGCATATTACAAAAAGTGTCTCGATCACATTTTCTTGCTTATGTTACTCTTGGCCATGGAGAAAATGGCCATCAATATGCAGAGCCAAATTTTTGCAACAAATATTTGCATAGTATTTATGTAAAAATCTTAAACATGCGTTTCACATATTGACAAAAAAAAAACATGTTTTTAATACAATTATTAGTTTAGAATTATGAAATAAATTCACACCTTTATGGGTATGTACCACAGAGATAGAGATAATTAGAAATAAATATATGCTGTGAAGAAAAAAAACTTTAAGAAGTGTTAGACATATATAAAATAAGAATATAAAATTTTAAGATCTTAAAATTAATATTCTTGGTCAAGATTATTAAGATTCGTAAAATTAATATGGATGCATTGATGCGAAAGTAGTCCAAAAAAATTATACAATTTAGATATCCGTTTGTTTAAAATTATTATTTTTTTCAAAATAAAACAGTATCTCTTAATTCTTTTAACTATCTGGTTTCAATTAGCAAAAATTAAAAGTTAAAAACAATATAATATCTATAATACCATACATGTTAAAAGAATTATGAAAAATACTAACGATTACTTTTCTATGAAACTCAATTTCTTAAGTATACTTTCTATATAATAAATAGTATTATATTTGGAAAATTTGAAATATTAACTAAATTGAAAACAATATTTTTATCATCACCTGTAATAGATCGTACATTGTGATACTGTACAAAATAAAAAAATAATAATTTGAAAATATACAAAAACTCTAGTTGGGCGTAAACTTTGTCGAAAATTTTACACAAAAAGAAGAAATTAACAGAGAGAAGGAATGTATGATAAGACAAGTAAAACAGTAAAGAAAAATTAACATTATAAAAGATGTTATAAAGAATAATAATATAAGTCTAACAGAAATGTGTAACACAATAGTTTGTTAAACTAAACGGTAAGGATTAAATTATGCAAATTTAAAATATTATTATGAATATAAAAGCTTTATTGATAAGTAATATATATAAATATTCTTGAGTCTTGAGCATTTGCTACTGCTAGTGAATCTTAAAAATTGAATTCACCAATTTTTTATTTTGTAAAAAGAAGGCGCATTGAACTGGAAGCTTTTCTTATATTAAAGGATAAGGTAGAAGAATTGAATGAACTTCGTACTATTACATTTCATAAGAGACAGTGTCTCGTTTCGAATAAATTTCTTTGGCATTCTATAGTGCTCACTAATCAATTCAGAACAATTACATAAATAACTCCAGCTGGCTCAACTGTTCCGATAGATGTTTGGTCAAACAATTGATCAAATTGTACTGTTTCCCATGCTCTCCACCAGTGTGTCTGTTAAGTCTGACCCTCGCCCAGTGACACGTTACCGACGTTGGAATATATGTCCAAAACTACAGCGCAAAAATTAAACACAAATAATCAACTCTCATCATGGTCTTAGAATCAGTGTATGTTTAGTCTTAACATTTATGTGCCATTGACACCACTTTTTGAGTCCTCCTAAGGGTAGTTTGGATAAATTTGGTTCTAAACTTGTAAGACAGGTTAGGATATTCGAAATTGGCACCATTTAAAATAGAGGACAATGGTACAGAAATTGGATGGAAAGGCAACGAATGAGGGGGAGGCAATTGGGCAATCATGTGAAAGGGTTTGGTTATATGTAGAAGCAGAGGGTGGGTCGTGCCTGTCAAAGGTTGTTAATGCTTATTTGTCTCTTACTTCGGCTGTTTCCCAAGGTCCGGTCCAAGACACCTCACATTTTTCTAACTCTCAGAAAAGGGTTTTACTACACTCCAGAGCACTGTTTTCTGGGCCCAAATTCCTCGGTGGACCCCCCCTTCTGTTATTCAGATATTAGTTTCACAAAATTACTGTTAGACCAAAAACATTACAAAATATTTTTTTAAAATAATCATACAGTGTTTTCTACTTGTTATTTATAAAATTCAATTTCTTGGATTTGAATCAATGATCATCCTTAATGTTATTTATAAAATAAAATTAAATAAAAAATTATATAAATTTAGAGGGGGAAAATGAGAGAGAGAAAGAATCGGACCCACCTCTATCCTTTAGAATGGATGATATATCCAGAGTTATTATAAAAATGACTCAGCACTTAAAAAGATTACCTGTGAAATTGTTTTACTTTTGTGGGTTAATATTCCACAATGGTTAGATTTCTACTTTCACTTTCTCCAACAAGCTTCTGTTATTTATTTATATTCCAGATTTCCAGGTGTAGAGTGATAACACTGTTGAAGGATTGCTGCTAAAGAGTTCAAGGTAGTCAAGCACAATGTCAATCAAATGTTCCATCATCGCCTTTTCAAATCCCGGACCAAATAGGAGCCGTACTTATTTTTTGATATTTTAAAGTAAATTTTGACTTTGATATATTTTTATAAAATTTTCATTTTCAGAATAAAAAATACAAGTTAATTATTTCAGTCTCTTATTTTATAATATTTTATTTTATTTTGAACTTTACATTATATTACTTATTTCATATTTTTTTATAAATGATGAACAAAAGGTAAATTAAATTAAATTAACGACCTTCTATGAAGTGAACAATTAAAGCAACTGATGTTCACGCCCTTACAGAATATAAGGGGGTTTACTAATATTTTAAGTATAATAACTAAATTAATTTTATTAAGAATATTTAGTCTCCTTGGGAAGATAAAATGTTTTTATTTTATTTTTATACATTTAGTGTATACAATTATTCACAATAAACTAATTTTAAGAAATGATTTGTGGAATATACATTTACGACAATATAAAAAATGAAATAACGTATGTAAGTGTTTTCCAGTGCAACAAAATACTCGAATACTCTTATTTTTCTTTTAAAAAAACATTTTCATCTTAAACAATCAATTCCTATGTTTTGATTTTAAGTTTTTTAAAAGAACGAATGACTTTTATTGTACTATTTTCCCACGTGACAATGAATTATGAAATATACACGCGTGAAAGTATGCAAAATGGAGTGACATAATGAAAATGCTTTTCCTGTGTACAAAATAGTTTACTACTCTTTTCTTATTTGAAAAAAAAATGCACTCATAATTAAAAACTAACGTTTTAATTAAGTATCAGAAAATAAATTACCAAAAAACGTTAAATTATTTTTTAAAATTTGTCTAACTATTTTTAATGTAAAAATATTTACCGAATCATCTTATTTTATGTCATGAATTTCTTTATTATTTAACACCTGGTCATTTTTTAATGTTTTTTCTAATTTTTTATTGTAGGATAATTTTTTGCCTCAAATTTTAACTTCAGATATTTATAATTAACGGATTTTGGGAAAAAAAATTTTAAAACTAAAAATATGAATGAGTTTTTTTATTTCTTTATAATTTTTTTAAAATACTAAAAAATATTGTTGACGAATTTTGATGATATTTACCCCAAAAAACGTTATTGATAATTTTTGAAAATTTTCTATATTATTATAAATTTTAAAAAATTATATATTTTGGTAATTAATATTTTCCATATTAAAAAGTGAAAAATATTGGGTATTTAAATCAAACAGCGGGGCATTTTCATTGAAAAATGTGATCTGGAGAAGTACAGAAGATATTGTGTGGTGCACACGCATGTTGTACACTACACTGCACAGACACTCCTACCCGAAGCCTCGTATCCCCACGTGGACGCTGTAAACCCAAAACTGAACAAGTGTACGGTTATGCTGACGCAGGTACCTAAACAAAAGTTAAGTTGCTATTCCGTATAATATTCAAGCCCAGCCACTCAAGTGCATTTCAATTTTCAAGACAAGTTTTCTGATTCCCTGTATTAAATACAATTTTCGTTTTCTTCAAAATTATTTTTTACTTTTTGTTTTATTCCTCTATTAAAATTTTCTTAACATATTTTATTATTTTTATATAATATTAATAAAATCAAATAATAAAAAGTTTTTTCGTTAAAGTATTTTTTAAATGTATACTAGATGTCATTTCAATTCTGATGTAATACATTTCGTGGCTGCTCAAAAATTGAAGTTAAAAATGCAATCCATCGAATAATCTACAGCCTATGTTTCTCAAACTACACGTAACATGCCCCTACTATTATTTATCTGAATTTAGCGTGGATCAATCATTATTTTACTGATGTTCACAAGCTTTTATGCAGAAATAGGAAGACATAAATTTGATTGTGGAAGCTAAGGAAAACCATTCCGTTCAACCTCGTGAATCGACTCATCTGTGCACTTGGCAAAATAACCCAACATTTACAAGCTTATCGCTCAATTAACTGTACTCACTAATCAACTGGATCGCCCGGCTTGCTGCTTCAAATCATATTATTGCATGGATTAGATATACGAATTGATATCAAAAACATATTAAACTTAGCATTTGGAACATAGATTCAAAGAGAATAAAATGTAAAGATAAAAAAATAGTAATTAAGGGCTAATAATGGGTTAAAAAGATAAAGGTCAACCATAACGAAAACCTTTGTCTTTACCCAGAATAGGAGTCACTCCCCGTCCCGTGGTGTGTATTTAGACATGTAATTATTATGAGGGTAACAACGCGGTCCAAAGAGCAAAGGGTCTCGTTATTCTCAACAGCACCTTTTGGTTCCTTGTTTGTTCCCTTACCTACAATTCTATTATGCCTACATAGACCATTGTTCTATTACTATCACTACGACGTGATTTGAATGATGTGATGTATGTGACCATCCAACCCCGTTCCTTCTTTCCCTTCCCATTCGTCAAATCATATCTCTCTTCCACCCCACCACCTCTCAACTCTCCACTCCACTCACATCTTTTTCCCTCCAAAATTTCTCTTTCCGTATGCATTACGTGGCGTTCACTCGTCATGCCCACGTCACCTTCTTCAATCTTAATTCCACGCCAATTTACAATTATATTCCTCCGAGATTCAAGATCCCGTTACGGGCCCACTTGTCGGATACGTGGCTCAGCTCCGCTGGCCTAACAGGCCCATAAATAGCAATTCCATTCTTAAATTACCACCACATCCTTTCAGGCCCAATCACTGCAAAATTACACCAACCACACCACCAGCATATTCATATTGGGCACAACCACATAATTTCGTCCTACTTTAGTTTTCTGAGCCATGCCGTACTTCGACGAGAACGAATGATATACATACGTTGTTTAACCAAACACAACTCATTCGATTCACAGTCATTACCAAGAGAGAATCATTCAACAATAATATTATATAGCAAGTTAAAGATTATGCAATAATAATAATAAATTCAAAATGTAGTAAACAGTTGATAAAGTTACCTTTAGATGAACCAAGACTCTACCAAATCTTGACCTTGGTCTTACAATCAAGATATAAATATAATATAAGATGATAAATAAAATTAAAAACCAAAAAGTAAGTAACCTCTTTCTCGCTGACAAAAGAAACCCAACAAATGGAGACATTTATATAATATATTATATTATTATACGAATATGAATAAATAATATACGATGCCGGGAATGAACTTCCGGTCTTATCTATTGCTGCGGTCCATCGGGAGCAGAGGATCGCAGCTGTTTGTTTGGCGGCTCGGCTTGTTCGCCGCTTGAGCCAAGGTAATTCCTCTCGGAACGTGTGTCGCAGCTCACACAGGTAGCGGCGTCCAGGACGCCGACGGGGCTGGAGGGGGGCGGCGGCTCGGCTCTCGTCTCTTTATTGCGAGATGCGGGACACGTGTCCACCACGTACTCCTCCATTAGTTGGTGACAGCATCTCACCATTTCCTGTCCCCGAAGAACAAAGATTCATTGCGAAAACAACAACAATAATAATAAACAAACCAACCAAAATCGAAATCAAAACTTGTCATCGCCCAACACTGTAACGCGCAGACACAGCTTTCCATGCCTTCTCAAAGCTTCTTATTGTTCCAATGATGATAATAATTCGAAATAAACCAAATTACTTTATAATTGAAAATGAACCAACCAAGCCCACTAAAATCGAATTTTAAATTACTTTGTTTACTCTGTCGTGAGAACACAGCAGCAATTGGCCGTTCGCGGAAACAATGTCACGGCCAGCCGAGCAGAGCACGGCGGCGGCTGCCACGGTGGACGGCGCAAACCGCAAGAAATCGATCACTGCCACAACATTCCAAACGACATCAGATAAACGGCGTTTCAACAAAATGAAGGAATAAACTAAGTCATGTCGTTTGGTGGTTACCGCGGGTGGTGCTGAGGATGAGGTCGGAGGCTGAAGAGAAGAACCGATTCACCGATTCGGAAGACAAGGAAGAAGAAGAAGGAAGCTTGGCTATGAAATAATGAAGGTAATCGAAGGGAGTAACGGAACGGAGTCTCCATTTGAGATTGGCCATGACCCAGAGCTCCATTCTCTGAACCGTTCTGGGCTCAAACACGAACCTGGGCTCAAACAATTGCAGGTCAAGCAAGAGCGGCACATTGGGCTCTTCCATTTTCGCCGCTAGAGACAAACAAGCCACTGATAACAGCTGAAACGGCCACCCATTCGGTCGCTGCTAATAATTTAAAAAGAAAATAACAATAATAATTTAAAAAAGGACGCATAAACAAACAAAAACTGTGTCTGACTTTTTGCCCTTTAAACGCGATATTTTCCCGGAAAAAAGAGTCCACTTTACCGGAAGAGAAGAGCACGACAAGAAACGGTCCAAGTAGTTGACGGAGAGAAACGCCGTTACTGGACTAAACCTGTAGAATGCGTGGACCTGCATTGCCTCCAACCACACAGTGAAACGCTGTTATTCATTCATGCAACCAAGGTGTTCATGTGTTATCGTTACTCAGAGCGTACCTTCAAGATCCAGTTGATGGCATCCAAGCGTGCCGTGATGTCGATAAAACGGTCGCGGCACCGCCGGAGATAATCATTTCCCGGCATGTGGTGACTCTCCGCGTCGATAAGCTCGGCGATCACTGCCTCGTCGGACTCAGGCGGGAGCGGCGACGGGTGGTCGGAGATTAAGCTGCCGCAGAAGTTAGCGGCGGCGGAAGGGTCTGGCGAGAGAGACATTGGAGCGGGGGTGGGGATTAGTAACGGCAGTCACGACATTGGTGACGGCGAAGTAACGGAAGGTGGTGAATGTGGTGTGGTGTTGTTGGGTCATGGCTGGGTCTTATGGATTTGTGTTTGACATGTTAAAGTGGTGTGCGTTCTCTCTCTTTCTTTCTGTCTCTGAAGTTTTCTTTTTTGTCTGTTTGTTTGGTTGCAATGCGTTGTTTCTTTTTTGCTTTGTGCGTGTGAATTTGCAGAGAGAGTGCGAAAGAGTCTCTTATTTGTTTGCGGTTTTTTCTAGTGCAGAAGCGAGGAGTTGTCAAGCATAGACAAGACCGAGGAGAGAGAGTAATGAAGAACGAGTGATTGGGGGGTGAGTGTGTGTATTAATGGCTTAATGGCAGTGACAAATAGGGTGGTGATTTCTCTGTCACTACTCACTGCCTTATTGAGCCAAATCACTTTTTTCAGAACTCTATTTCTTCATCTATCCTTTCACTTTTTACACTGTTCTTTCCAAATAAAAACAAAATGTAACTACGACTTCTTCCAAATCATTCATCTCCGTTTTCTGATTCTGCTGATTTAAATCTAAACAACATTTTAGAGTCGTATTTATTGTGATCATTTCGTTTAAAATAAACAATTCTATTTCAATAATTATTCATTTTCTCGTTTCAGTCAATAAAAATTATATTAATCTTAACTCTTCGAGATCAGTTAATATTGTTTATTGTAAATAAAAACTTATTTTTAATGTCCAGATTATACATTTTAATAGAAAAATGTGATATAAATAAATTTATACACATATATTAAGTTATATTTAATAATTCAAAATTTATCTTATTTTGACAAACCTACTAACAAATATACTTAGACAAAAGATAATCAGTATATTAAGAGTATTAGTAACTGAACAAAAACACGTTAAAAAGCACAGCGATGCATTTTTTTTTTATGCTTTTAAATGCAAATAAGCTATTCTGCACGAATTTCAACATCTTTTATTTACTATTTCAAAAGAGTAATAATTATATTCATTCAATATTTTAATTATTTTAAAGAATAATGTATTTTTTATATTTTATTTCGTTGGCTGTTAATTATAATTACACCCTTTATATTTCCTATTCAATCTAATAATTGTTATACGACTGTCTCTCTCTTTCTTGATAAACGTAAAGGTGAAGATATAACTGAAGGAAAAAATGAGTACAGATAAAATAAAAATTATTTGATATAAGAATGAATTTAAATAAAAAAAATGATGAGAAATATTTTAATTTATTTTAATGAATATGAAATAATTAAAACATGTCCAAAAATCATAAAAACTATTCAAAATTAAAAAAAAAACTTTATTTTTTATATTATTTTAATAAATAAACAATTTAATAACTCCTCTTACATATCTATCTTTTTTTCTCCTTTGTATCTCTCCAAAATAATTTTTTTTATTGAAATTTAATTATTATTTTAAAAATTACTTTATTAAATTATAAAAATTATAACTAAAATATAAAAAATAAATATTAAATTAGAAAAAATATTTAAAACTAAGGTAATATTAGAGTTTTTAATAAAATTTAATTAATAACTAAAATAATATTAAAAAGTGTACTGAAGTAAAAAATTGATATTTAATAAATGCACATATATATAGTAAATAGTAATACATTATAAAAAAACGTTTAGATTGAATTGAAGTAATTTAAAAACAAAAAGGCTTTATGTTGAGAGAAAAAAGAACTTTTTTAATGTAATATTGACTATGAAACTTTATTTTGCGATAAATCATTGCATAGACGGTCATTATAAATATCATGTTTCACATAAAAAATTTGATTTAACACACAAATAAGAAAACACATGTTTGCATAAAAAGGACAATAGACGTAAATCTTGTTTCATTTTCAACAATAACAAGTTCGTATTATGGTTATAAAGATGATTTGGTAAATGTTAGTAGATAAACCACGATAATACGAATGCTGACTACACGAGAATGTCTTACAAGGGATCTCATGAATAGGATTAAAGAGGATGTTTATTTGATAGCATACACGTGTATACTATGAAACTCTATTTTTAAAAAAATAGAGATTTGATTTGGATTATGCAATAGTGGTTGCAAGTCGTCCTTTAATCTGAGCATTAGAGCCTTATTTAGGATGTGCGCATAATTATACACTTTTTAGTCTCTGACACCCCTCTTTCCGAGCTATCTCTTTTATTGCTGTTTCATCTTTTTGGAATTTTTACTTTTTAAGTTGTCTCATTATAATTTCTTTAGTTATACAATTAAAATAGTTATTTTTTATAATTTTCTAAAGATTTACTGAAAGAAGTGACTGTTTTTTCAAAAAACAATATAACAAAAAACCAACTTTTTTTTCAGTGAATCTCTATAAATAAATTGCTTTTCATACATCTTTAAAATTACCTTTTTCAAAGTAGTATAAACGACATCACTTATGAAATTAATTGATAATTTAAATATTGACATAACTGAATGATCGACAACACAGTACAAAAACTCATTGACAAAATAATTTATAATATTACATGTATTTATCGTACACAATTAACTATGTGCTATATTGTTGAGAGTGACATTTTCAAAAAGTTGTCTTTTTTATCATCAACATAAAAAAAATGGATATTATATCAAAAACATTATTTATAATAGAGTGTTTCACAAACAATCTTAATATTTCGTATACTTAAAGACTTATTTAAGCCTTACTTTAATATCTACAAATATTTGGCATCGATTATTAGTGTCGTTTAATTTTATAAACAACATTAGTACCCTCTTTTACACATCAAAGTTTTTTTTATCTGATTCCCGGGTTGAACTCAGTATTTGCTCGACACAAAATAATTTCACATCATATATTAACTTTTTTTCATTTAGTGAAATTGACTAAATTATAATTTACAAGTGTCAAACCATATTTTTCACCAAAATTATGGTTGTTGTTGTTTCATGTGAGTGTATGACAGCACGTGAGCGTGATTCCCGCATGACAAGGGCTGCCATACGGGCCCGCTTAGTCTAGGCTATGCCCAAGTAAGCCTATTAGGCCATATATTTCAAGACCATTCCACCACACACATTTCAATGCTTTAATTTGCACCTACCTTTTTAGTCCTTTGATTTTATCATGTTCATCCATCCTTATCATCTCACTTTTTTTGTCCACCAATTCCAATGATTTCATTAATAATGAAAGAGAGCCCAACACGTTGATAAGGATCTAAAATAATCCTTATAATCTAACTTACTCACACAGGAAACAGCAATTCCCATGTGGGTGCTACTTTGAGCTTGGACTCAATTGCAGGCTTCAAGTTCCATACAGCCCAAGTAAGGTTGCTAAGCAAAACATGAAGCCCAATTGGAATAGTTGAGCAGATTCTTATTAAGACAAGAACATAATATGCTAGCTGGTATTGCTATATATTGCAACTCTTTTGCTTGAATATTATTTTATACATCTATTTGTGTAGATATGATATTAGACTCTTTAATTTGAAACAATAAATTGTCAACAGAATGATAGTTTTCTCTTGTTCGTTTTAAAATAGAAGAACATTCACAAAGATGGGAAAAATCTGTTTAGGTTTAAAGGAAGTGAATAGAACTCTTCACTTCTGGTATCTTGTTTGAAAATCATGAATTTTTCCCACCAGTGCCTTCCACTGTCTCGCCGGGTTGCACTGTGCCCACGACTGAGAGTAAAATCCAACAAGTAAGCAACTATAATTGCTACAGTTGCTGGGGATGAGAAAATCACTTGTACTACGTTGTTGAACTGGAAAACAAGAGTAACAATGAACCGTAAGAATCAAAGAAAATAATAAAACCATAAGAATCAAAACAACTTTTTTAGGTTGGATATACAAACCCCAATGGAGCCAGTATGAACAGGGCCATGTCCGGATATCAACAAATATTCATTGAAGTATTGTGGAACAGATAAACCCATGAAGAGAGAAAAGCCAAGGATGAACATTGACCTATAGCTGTTTAGATTGCAGAATTGAAGAAAACCAAGGCCAGCTGATGCTGTTCAGGATAGAAGAAACATTACAATCAAAGCAGAAATAACTCAGGAACAAAACATGAAATTAGCATCCAAATGGAAATATATTTTACATCACAAGTTTTATAGCAAATTGACATTACATTATTTTTAATGCAACTGACCACATAAGACATAAATCACACATACCTACATAGGCAAAGAGAACGCAGTAAAGAGCTGCCACAATCGGCAAAGGTATTGAAGCAAGAACTGCTCCAAATTTTCCTGCCAAAGAAGCAAAAACCTGAATGCTTAAGCAAAAAAATTAGGCAAAAATGCATGTAAAACTAGATAATTCTGTATTGATGAAGATGAACGAGATGAAGGAGAATGGAATGAAATTGCATTAGCTGTCATTGGAATAGAGGTAGAATGAAAAGGAATCTATGAAATATACTCCATCCCATTTTATCAAATACCTCCATTTTTCTTCCCCCTATTTGGGAGGTAAAGGAAGAAATTATTGTTTGTTACTATTTTTACCATTCTATTCACTTCTAAAATAATCAAAAGAAAATTGCTTTCCATTTCATCATAAAACATATAAACAATGTTATGATATCCATTTCATTTTATTCCAGTGGTTGTTATATATCCAAATAAAGTCTTAGAAATGAACAAATTGTCTAAATACAAACATAAAGTATGAGGCATGTTTCACTTTCACTAATATGACAGTTTTTAGAGATCAGCAGAAAGCGTTTCAACACCTAATATAGAGAAGAAAAGCATGAACACAGCTGATATTTGAATGACTCTCCGACTTCCTACTCGTGTTAAACCCAATAGTCCTGCATTTTCACTAAATGACAAGGAAATAAAAGAAAAGATAATTAGATGATGTCTTTAATGTAATGGTAATAGATAAAATTTCCAAGGCTCACACATTTAATAGAAGGAGATTAAGCAGCCATATTATTCATATATTGGGCTGAGCATCATTTTCAGACAGAAAGGTCCTACTTCAATCACTAGCCAGCAAGATGTCAGCCCTAAGCTTATTTTGACCTCTATGCAGTGTAAATTAGTTGCTTATTCAAAACCTCTAATATTTTCTTATGAGCTAACAGCCAAATATCACCAGAAAGTAATTTCACAGACTTCCATGTGACAATTGAAACAAGGAAATTAACATTTACTGATTGAATATTAGCAACTCATCTTATGCTTAGAGACAGGACAAACTTCCTTAGCCTAAGAATTATTTGACAATAGTCGGATGATTTCTAAAGGTAACAAAATGTACACTGATGCAGTGGATCCAGTTCCAGTGCCGAAAAAGCCATCCAAAAGGGTACCTATGCCCTGAAATAGTCAAACTTTAACATATAAGTCGAATTCTTTTAGAAGTAAATGCACATACAATTGTAATGTTAAAGAAACACAGTACCAGCCAGCCAACACCACGACTAAGCACAGAGGGTGGAACAGGGGTTGCACTGCCAAATCTTGATGCTGCAATGAATGTCCCTGTTGACTGTCCTCAAAGAATGAAAATAATGAAATCAAAGTATATCCAAATAGAAAGAGTTTTAATCACATACCTTTTATTTAGAAATTGTCAAATTGTAAGAAGAAAATATAAAAGAACAAGGGAAGTTCACAAAATTTCTGTAAACCAAATGCATCGTCCAGTCATATTGAAAATGGTAGATATTGTCATGGGCAAAATATTAGTAGCATTAGCATTTTTTATTATTTGTTATACAACAATATAACAGCCATCCTCACAAGTTTGTCTACATTTGAAAAAATATAAAGCAAACCTCTATAATTGCAACAAAAGCAGCAGCAATCATAGCAAAAGTATCACCAGCATTGAAAGAAGGGCGTCCCCATTGAAATGGATATGGAACTCTTATCCTGCATAAATATAGTGAAATCTGATTGAAGAATAGAGCTTCAGATGATCATCTAAATAAATGGATTTCAAATTAGTAAATTAATAAGCACCAATGCAGATATTTATTATAATTTTTGACTTTGAAAGCACTACATGATTCTTAATAAAAGCAAGCTACTGACCACGGAGCAGCACTAATTAACCCAGATCGATCAGTACGACAACTATATTGAGTTCTAGGCGATCTTTTATTATATGCACCAGCTGCAGTCAAAATTTCTGCAAATGCCCATGCAATTCCAATTGAGACTATGATTGCAAATCGATCAACTCCTCTTGATTTCATCTTTTGGGGAATGTACTGCAAGGAAGTTCGTTTAACATAAATAGAAATATCAATTTGAAATGTTGTGATATTTTGATTTATAATATACACAGATAATAAAGGTAAATAACCTCTTACATACGCTATTTTAATCTCCCACCTTAGACTTTATTCAAGACTCAATCAATTGAAATTATGCATATAGCAAAGTCAAGCAGAAACAGAACCGATATATATAATCAATAGCCAGGAATTTGGATAAGATATTAAAAAACGAGCTTCTGCTTTGTACCTTACTTAATGTTGCATATATACATTTCATAAGGATTAAACTGAAATTGATGAGAAAAACAATGGTAAGGAAACTAACATACCTGAGACAGAATGACCAGGATAACCAACGCAGGGAGACCAATTTCAACACAATCCGCCAACTACAAGAATCAAAGAAAAACCAAAGATTATTGCTAAACAACTAACAATCAGATGAAAGAGATTTATCACCAATATGCACACGAAAAGAACAATGCACGTACTCTTGGAAATCCTAATACAAAGAGTCCTAGGCCAGTGAGAGTGACAAGGGGAACTGCACTTAAGGGGCTGAGAAACCTGCGATATCAGTGGTTAGTATTAGTGAACTTCTCTATTCCAAAATATAGTTGATTTCGTCAAAGAAGCAAATTGCACCGTAATGATCAGAAGAGATTCTCAAGAAGGTAGTCTACCTGGCAAAAATCCTCCAGAATCCAAAAAAGCCAATAATGATTTGAAATAAGGATGCAACAATAAGTGCGCCTTGCACGGCTCTCATGGATTGCTTAAATCTCTGAAAGTTTCAGTCAAGAATCAAATGACATTACTCACATGCACTAACATTTATCTCCAAAATTGCTAATAAAAAGAAACCATCCATTTCCAATTGAATTCTTCTACTTCTTTCTCTTTTCCCATGAAAATGAAACAGCATATATATGCTATCCATTAGCTACTTTTGCCATGCAATAATTAGAGAGAGCTATAACACAACAAAATGGATAAGCTAACCTGATGTGGATCTACAAATATACTCATCCTGGATGAAAAAGCAACAGAGATAGAAGGAATGAGGAAAGCATAGGATGCCCCAACAACCACAGGAAGTCGTGTTCCGAACCACGTTTGCAGCAGTGTGTTAATGGCCGCAACAAAAAGTAGAGTCTGTATTGTTTCAGCCTTTTCCACCTATAATTTTTATTTGTTTTTTTGTGCAAAAGAAGAAATTGGGTTCAAATTGAATGCATAAACAAAAAACTATATGAGAAATCTCCAAAATTTTGATTACATTGCCACCACCCATCAAAGGAACAAGCATGGTAGAAACAATGACAATGGTTCCAAGCATAACCAGGTAGTGTTGAAACCCAAGAATAATCCCTTCAGCTGCAATCAAACGAAAGCAGAAAAAAGAGAAAAATTTAAGCTCAACCAAAAAGGGTATCAACAATTAAGGTTAAATAGAAAAAGGGGTTGGCAATTGGCACGTACGCCATGAAGGAGAGCTGGTAACACAGAAATCAACACCAGGAAGTTGATCCTTCACCGGATGAGGTTGGAACTCATCAATCTTTACTCCTCCTCCTGCTGCCATTTTTTCTCTGTCTCTGTTTTCAATGTTTCAGTTTCTTATAATGCAGAGGATGAAGGAAAGTGGTGTGTGTACTTTGTCTGTTACGAAATGGCGAGAGAGAGTAGAAATGATGAGTAGGCGAAGACGTTGTGACTAACAATGCTTTTACGAGTGGACTGGGCGCACTTTTCAACAACTGTGACCAGTGTCATTTTCTTGGGTGCAGTTATGGGTGAATTGAGCATTGTGAGGTTAAGAACAATAAGACCGGTTATTATAGATTTTCTATAATTTTTCAATGTAATTTATATAACGTGTAGAAATTTGCATTTGGTGCTTGGCTTAAAATCAGCAAGAAACCCGCACCTAACTCTTGCATGCATCTGCAACTCACACGCAACCATTCAATCTCTGGGCGTTTAGCATCCATCCTGTGTTTTCTCCTCATGAAACTTTTAATTTTTTAAAGCCTCGCCACATGTTTTTTCAATTTCAAAGTAACTTATATCTTAAATGAAAAGGGTAGGATGAAATGTCAAATTTAATAACACTTTTTTTATCAGTTTAATCATTAATTTTAGTAATGTTATCATGAAATTTGTGTGCATGTAATTTTATACAATCTATATATATAAATAGATAGTAGTTATTTATTTATTTATATTTTAAATAAAATTTTAAGTTAGAATACATTAAGACTATGAAATATTAATTAGTATTTAAGTTATATAAAATTTTTAAAATTATTTTATTTCATAAAAAATTCAAATTGAAATAAATATGATAATAAATAACATTGATAGATACCTTGAAAAAAATAATACTCGTTCTACGAATTTAAATAAATAATTGTAATATAAACATTGCTGTAGGTAATAAATATATATATATATATATATTATAAAAACTACTATATATATTATATTATAATTTATATTTATATTTTTTATATATGTATTATATGAAAATGATTTTTTTACATGGAAAATAAAAAATAATCATTAGGTTATAATAAATAATTGATAAAAATTCTCGTACTTTCTTTTTTCTATTCATTCTCCAAATATAAATATAACTTTTAATAAACATGCAATATTAAATATAATTTTTTTATCTTAAACTTAAAGAATAAATATAATAAATTATAATATTCACCTTTAATATTAATATATTACTATTCTTTATTTTTTACTTAATACTGTTTTTATTTTTCATCCTAAATTTATATTTTAAAGTTTTTAAAAAAATTAAATAAGTAGTATTACAATTTATAATATTGAATATTAATATTATATTTATGTTTTTAGATGATGGCTGCTTTCATCTATTTATTTTCATGATTAAACTGGCTAGCTTGTCCAATATTCATGAGTTTTCATCTTCATAGTCCGAAACAGCAATGTGATGGAATGGTGACAAGGCCTTGTGTTTTAGCTCAATTGCTCTTCTGCAATCTGCATGATAAATATTTTAAGCCGATCCATGTTAGGGAAACTGTGTTTGGAATGATTGAAGAGGCATTTTCTGAATTGCCAAGATAGTCAATTTCTTCTAAACAATTTCTTTAAACAGGCGCTAATTTTATATCTAATGGTCAAAATTAATTGGTTTGTTGTGGTTGGTAATGTTAGCTTAGCTTACTACTACCATTACTGCTTCATCTTTGGCTTTGCATCGTCGGTGTAATGTAAGTTTTGCTTTGTTTGTAGTTTGTCTTGCTAATTTGTACTACTATATTCGCAGAGGTCAAATGTTGGAATACCAAACAAAGAATATTGATATCTTCATGTCAACTCTTCACCACCTTCTCCTCGTGTCAGAATTTCCAGGTTGTAGCTATAAACTTTTAATTTAATATTTTATTTATCAAACATCATCATGCTCTCCTCATTTTCATTAATTGGTAGAGGTCACTGTGGAAGAATGTTCCATAGGAAATAAGGAAATTCAAATAGATTTCCCAGTTTGTATCTATGTTTGCTTTCAACTATGTGCTCATTTTTTATGATATTAGTTTTGATTACATTTATAGAGAGGCCAATTCCTCAGCTAATCATTTAGCAAAATATTCTCTCTCATGGATTCAATTGCATTTTGCTTTCCAGATTCGTTATATCCTCCACTTATAATATTAATATCGTGTAACATTAACCAAAATTATATGTGAAACTTGGAAGATTAGGATTCTACAAGTTTTTTTATCATTTTTGTCATGAATAGTAATTCAGTTTTTTCTACTTATTTTATCAATGTTTTAATTTTATTTTTATTTTTACAATGATTTTCATTTATTTATCTTTTAAATTCTAACAATCAACCTTGCTTGGAAACATCTGGGCCTTGTCGTTTACAATTTCAAAATCTAAACAGCTCGCAACCATGCTGGGCCTTTTTATTTTTACAAAAAACAACTTAATTCGATCACATTTTAAAAATACAAAAACTATTCATGGAAGTATATATAGTCAGAATATAAGTTTAGATATATTCTTATCAAATAAATTAATTTTATGTGATTTTATAAAAAAGGAAATTAATAGATGTTTTATTAAAATATGAATAAGTGTAAGAAGAATTATAAATCATGGTTACAAAAAATTGAGTATAATAAAATATATTTTAAATTATCTTTAATGATATGTCATTTAAATTTTGTTCTACTTGATATAAAAACTTATTAGCTAAAATTTTAAAATATTTTAATAATATTTTTTTTTACTAATCAAATACATTTGATTTGATAATTTAGAATTTATGTGTCCAAATACAACCTAAGAGCCTGTGTAGTTACCGCTGATAACGAAGTTAAAAACATCATTCTTGATTTATGAACAAAACGAAAATTTGAAGGCAAACAAAAAATAAAATGAAGGTTCCAACGTATAAATGAACAAGCTCTAAAACGTAGGGTGTACTGTAGAGGGAAAAGTGAAAAAACAATAAACAATGACTGAAAAAATAATGATTGAGATTTAAATAACTCTGTGATTTGTTAAATCATGTATTTTACTTTTACTCAATCTCTACCATTGACTGATTAATTAATAATCATTAGTATACTTTATGTTTTACAATATATTTCACATTTTAAAAAGGTCAAGTCTATGTTAATCAACTACGTCTTAAAAGTATTTTAAAATACAACAAAATATAATTTACTAATATATATTTAATTAATTTAAAAACTATACATGCATGTTTAAACGTGTGAATATGAACAGATAAATAGTTGCACCCTTTGAATTCTCACGTCAATGTCAACATCTCTGGTTCGGCCTTGAGGAAGGTTCCCACAAATTCGTGTGACTGCTTGTTTGGATCAGCGGATTTTCAAGTATTGGCAAAATTTGTTTTTCATTGTTATTTTAATCTTCTGAAAATTTTTGAACTAAATTAATCTTTTTAAAAAATTTATTTATGATCTCTTAAAAATAATTACTGCTTTAATCTTTTATAAATATTAATTTGATCAAATTTTAAATACATTTCCAACGATTTAATTTACCACGAAATTAAACCCTTAAAAATATATTTCTTACCACGTTATTTTTTTTATAATAATTAATATGGTGACATTTTAATTTTTTACGTCACAATGTTTTATTTTTTTTAGGATTAATTAAGTTAATTTTTTAAAAGATAAATTTAGTAATAAAGTATTTTAAAAACCAAATATAATAATAAATTATTTATTGAATAAAATAATTTATTATTTTTTATGTATAATATGTTTATTAATTTTAAAAAATTAATTTAATAACTTAATATATTCAACTCATAATTTTTAATATAAATGAAAATTTAAAAGTTTTAAATAAAAAAATAAAAACTTTAATTGTTATGATAAAAAAATAATAAATTTCAATATATATATATATATATTATTCTCATCTAATTTAATCTAAATTTCTGACTTGAGTTACTGGACATTATTTTATATATAAATCAAGATTTTACGTAAAATGATACTGAGCTGTTTACTATTTGAACTAATTTCAGTTAGTTTTTTTTTATCATTTAAAATTTTGTATAAAAATTAAATTAAATTTTTTATATAAAATATTATTATTAGTTTTTATCATATTCCTCATTTAATGTATTGTTTGAAAAATACATTTTTCTCAATTAAATATACGTTAATCAATAAAAGAATTAAAACAACAAAATGAAGTATTACTATTTGTATAATAATCATTAAAGTGTAAAACAACAAAAAGAAGTATTAAATAATCAAAATCACATTAATTATGATAAATAAACTATAAACACAATTAAACTTTTTTATATTGTCAGAATATTATTAAATTAATTTTTTAGATTGATAATTAATATATATCATACAACTATTTTTAAATTTAATATATATTTTTAAATGACTATAATTATTAATACCACATATCTTATTATATAAATAAAAATAAAATTTATATTAATATTAAACTAAATATATAATATAACAAAATATTTAACACACTAAAAAATAAAATTCTAAAAATGCTCATTTAAAAATATTTTTATCTCGTATAATAATTAGTATTTACAAATTATATATAAAAATCGATTAAATAAACCCAAAATCATAGGCATCTATGATGTCACGCCAAAATTTCGTATTTTCCAACTTAAAATAAACCTCCCTTACTCTTCTGCTTTGACGATGTTTCCCACAAGATGCTATGAAAGTGACATATGGCCAACACCAATAACTGCCGTTGTTGTGTGTGTAAATACATTTCAAAGACGCTGACCATTAATAATTACTCTAAATATAAATTAATTCGACTCAATTTATCTAGACGGTAAAATTTTATCTTTAAAACTTTAAACATTGAATTTTAATTTTGTTTTCATAACGGAATTTTTTTTATTGAAATAGATTTTAAATTAAGGATATCATCATATTCATAAAAATTATTTGCATTTATTTTTATAATTGTTAAGTAATATTTTAACATTTATTTTCTCATTCGTTAAATGCCTAAATTAAATTAGTTTGAAAAAAATGAATATTAATTTTATTTTACTTAATAATTTTTTACAAATATAATTTTCATAGTTACTACGTTTAATATTTGGTAGGATCTTGACGACATTTTTGTCATCAATTGCAAAGTTAGGCCGTGAAAGACTGTTCCATTGCTTCCGGGCTCTGCCACTGTTTGCCGAAACGGAGAAACGTAGTTTGGTAGACGCACACAGATTTGGGCTTGTTTATTTTACAATGCAGATTCTCACATTTAATAACATGCACCTTTTTTGTATTACATAACAATCAATTAAAAATATACCTACGATGTATTCTAATAAGATAAATAGATATTATCATAAAAGTTCTTACACTCATACTGTATCAACATTAAACTAATTAACTTATATACATATTTCGATTATATTTAATGGTTTAAAATTAATTTTATTTAACGTTTAACAAAACAGACAAGAAGATAAGAAGACAAACAAATAAAAAAAATATTAGAGAAGTAACCTTTCAAAGAAGTTAATGGTACAAGATGGATGCAGTGGAAGAGATATTTCAAGTATTATTTCATAAAATATATTAATATTTATATTTTTTTTAGAAAACAAATAAGTGTGCCAAGGACTGGACAAAAAAAGGTAAAAGGAAGGAATGCAAAATAAGTAAGAAAAAAAATAAAAAAAAGCCAAGACATTTTATATCATATGAGTGTTTTTTGTCAACTGTATTATAAGAAGAAATAAGACGAACGTTAACTTGAACATTGATATGAACGTTGTTTTTGTTTGGAGGAAAAAAGTGAACAGGGGAACAACAAGATCCCCATATTTGGAGATCAAATGTACAGGGATAAGAATCCTATTTTGATTGTTGTTTGGTCAGTTAGTAAGATAAAACAATTTTATTTTGTTTGACTTGTAGAGATAGAGAGTGACTGTAGAAAAGTGGGAGAAGAAAATTCAGATGATAAAGAGAAATATTTATAATGTGAAAAAAGAAAAGAAAAGAAATGTTGATTAGTTGTGCTTTTTAAGGATTAGGTCAATTGAGAGAGATAATTAATTAGACTTATTTTATGCAATGTTTCTGTTACATGTGTTGGTAAATTTGAATAAATATATTTAAATTAAATTAATTAATTGAGTTAAACATGATTTTAATATAATATATTAGGATGAAACGATTAGTTTTGAGAGAATAACATTTTGGAGATATGCACTGAATGGCATTCCTTAACAGTGAAGACTTGCACGCGCAGTTCACACGGCATATAAATGGCGAAAGAAAGAAAAAGAAAAAGAAAAAGAAAATGATAATGGGAAGGATGCGTAGACGAGAGTATGACGTGTAATGATGTGAAGCATTCTCCAATTATAATAATGAAGAAAATACTAAGAAAGAAACAAAGTAAGGGAAAAAGGTGTCCTCGGTTATAACCTCCGAGGCCCCATAAAACTCACGCACAATTCCAATAAATACCTTCCTCTCTGCATCCTCGCTTTCACAGAACAAAGCTAATTCACCCTTTCTCCTCTCTTCCATCATGAGTTACTACAATCAGCAGCAACCCCCCGTCGGTGTTCCTCCCACTCAAGGTCAATAATTCTTTTTTTTTTCTTTTTGGTTTCTTTGATTTAGTTTTTGTGGATTTAAACCGTTGCATGTTGGTTTATGTTGCTGATTTTTAAAGGGGTTTTCTTTGATTAAGGTTATCCGCCCCCGGGGGAGACTTATGGAAAGGACGCGTACCCGCCGCCGGGATATCCGCCGCAAGGATACCCACCGCCGGCGTATCCGGCACAGGGGTACCCTCCACCCTACGCACCTCCTCAGTACTCTCAGCCTCCGCCTCCTCAACAGAGTTCTGCCGGCGCTGGTTGCTTAGAAGGCTGGTGCGTCTCTCTCTCTCCCTGATCTTTCTCTCTGATGATGGTGGTTGTGGCCGCTGAGATCGGGGTTGACTCGATTTCAGATGCGGGCCAATGTCTATGCTGCGTCAGCGGTTATTTTTTACTTCTTTTTTTTTACAAAAAATTAATATATTAAATTTCATTAAAAACTATATATATATATAAATTATTTATTATATAAAATAAATACATTCATTATTTAGTATTAATTATTAAAATAAAATTATTAAAAGGATTAGTTATTTATTTATTTTATAAAATAATGATAATAACTAAAAAGTAAATGAACAAAATTATTAAAATGCTGAAGAAAAAAAAGAATCGAAAGGTTGTTAGTTGCTTTTTCTGCTGTCATCTATCTCACGCACGCTACTCGAAGCGGATGCCCATCTCTTTTGGTGGCCCACTTACGGGTTTGCAAAATAACCTAACCCATGACATCTAAACTTTCCTCGATTCAAATGTTTGATAATTTTATAACTTCATATTTATTTTAATAATTAATGCTTGTATAAAACCCTAAATTATTATTTTTATGTCCTTAAATTCAACACCCATTGATTAATAATCCCAATATTGCTCTGTTTTAAAAAAATGAATGATCGTTTATTTTTTATGTGAATTAAAATTATTAAATATAACAAATGTTTTAAAAGAGTATAATCAGATTTGATTAAATCATTCTTTTATTTCGGAAATGGTTACTTTTTTAAACAAGAATGAGACTTGAAAGCAACTATTATCTCTCTAATTATTATAAAAACAAATAACTTAGAACTTTAAATTATGGCAATCAATTTTGAATAGAAAGAGTAGTCATCTTTGACTTTTCAGTCGCATTTCTGTTTTTCACGATAAAGCAGAACTTTATGAAATTAATAATACATTGTGTTATCTGCACCAATTGTACTATTCTCATTTGTTTGAATTTGTAATTTTTTGCAGCTTGGCTGCTCTCTGTTGCTGCTGCCTGTTGGATGCGTGCTTCTAGGAAGGCGTTACTTTGGTCAAATTGGATTTGCAATTGTATTTTGACTTTGAACATAAAGAATATTGTTCTTAATTAGTTTCTTTATTTTCTTTAATTTTCCCGTTTTATTGTTTACTTTTATGGATATGAACTCTTACCTCCAAAGATGATACTGCGTCATTAACAAAATTGGTGGGTTTCTGTTTTTCTCGTGTTTTGTTTGATGCCTTTATTTATATTTGCATTGATAGATAATTCGATGCAACATCCTCTAATAGCGTAGAAGTTAGCATAATAAATATTTCATTTGTTGCAAGCATTTGAATTTGACATTTGGATTTTGGTGAATTTGTTGTGTGTTCTGGCGCACGGAAATAAATCATCCTTACAATAACTCCATTAATTGATTTGAGGTATCAAATCGAAGCATAAACAATTAGCGATTGAGACGAAACGAATAATTGGCTCTTCTGCAAATTCAAACAAATCTTCGTAGCACGGAAGAGTTTGCTTGGCTTCTGTCTTTTTTCTTTTTTGGTATCTTTGTGACGCGAATTGCACTATAACTTTTGCCTTTTGCATATGGCTTAGCGTGCTTTTGCAGCTTATTTCGTAATAAAATGTCTCTAGTGGATTCCCCAAAAACAGTTGATTCCACCATTGAATATATACACGTTTTCTTCTCCAAATGCCATGCTTCAATGATGCAAAACAACTATTGTTGGATTCTTGACAATAGTTGTTAATCAAATATCCTTATCTTGCCCATGACATTTGTACAGCATAATAATGTGGTTAATTGCGATTGATTTAGTGTTCCTAACGCATTGAAATGCGATTTTTTAGGCAATGAGATAATGGTGCAACAGCTTGCGATAAGTGTGTTAAACTTAATTGATCTGGACGTGATACTGGTTCTCTGTACAGGTCGAGGTGGGATAGGACCTAAAACCTTATCAGAAGATGATTCAACAAATAAACATTCAAAGACTTGGGGGATCCTTTCGCATGTGGAAACTGAGAATTGAGTATTTGGGTGACAAATCTTCATTAGTTAACATATTGGGTGGATATATACAGAGATTAAGAATATGTGAAGATTTTAAAAAATAAAAAAAATAAACAAGACTTTTAATTTATTAAAGGTTGGGTAAGTAAAGTCATTTAGATAGCCAAGTGAGGGAGAGAATAAGGAGAAAGATGATAGAATGAAAAAAATGGGTGTAGCATTGTCATGTGTGCTGTCTTTGATTATATGGGATTATTTCTTCTCTCTTTGTATTGCCGTGTGCATAGGAGCGCCCCCAATTCCGAATTTTGCGGTACAGTTGCCAATACTTATTTACTACATTTTGTTTTTAAATTATAATATTCTTTTTAACTTTATAAACTCTTTATATAGGCATTTATTACCTTCAAGTGTGTTTTAATAAAATGTTTAGCCTTAAGAGCTTCTTTTATAAAAAATAAAAATTTAACTAATTTAGTTAAGAATATTAAATCTATCAATAATTAATATTATTTTTCAATTTTTAAAAATTATAATATATTTTCTTATTCTCTTTTTTATTTAATTAAGTACCTTGTCTTTATTAATGATATTTTTATTAAAATATTAATACAAAAAATAATTTACAAAGAGTCTGAAGTAATAATAAACTTCTCAAAAACATCTTATATTTAAGAGCAAAAAGGCGCAGAACAAGTCTTTTAAAAGATAATGACTTAAAAGATTGTTTTTTTTTTACTTTTATATATTTATCGTCACTTTTATTTAAATATTTTTCATATATGATATATTTGTTGTTCTATATCAATCAATTTAATAATTTATAAAATGATTAATTAAATAAAATTGGCAATATAAATACTTAAATAACAACAAAGATATAGTTGGTTCTTTCTTGTGAAAAAAACTTAGTAAACTTCTAGAAAAAAATTTATAGGAGAAAAAACGAAGTATAAATAAATAAATTTTTTCTTATAAATTATAATTGTCGTGTTTTTTTTCTTTTTGAAATTTTCTTATATGCTTTTCTAAAAATGCAATGATTATTTAAAGAAAATTACTGTAACAAATATACTAACGCATTTTTTTTAAATGTGTACATAATTAATGACTAAAATTTATTGATAGTTATAAAAGTATAATTGACTAATAAAATAGAATGTGAAAATAACATAATTTTATAATTTTTTTTAAATTTAAATAAAATAATAATCAATTCTCTTGAAAAATATATTCAAATAATATGTTATTAGTATTTTTTATTTTAAATTATTAGATCTAATTTTATTTTTTATTTTAAAAATCATATTAAAACAATATTAATTAAATTTTTTATCAATTATATTTGTAACTTCAAATAAACAATAATTAATTAACAAGAGAGATAAAATAATATTATAAAGATTTAAATGATATTTTTTATAAAAATATTAAATATATTACGCATGTTAAACTCTTAAAGTAGAAAGTTAAAAGAAAAATAGGAAAAGTATAAGATTATAGTTCAATTTAGATAAATTTCTACGTAAGTATTTAGAAGAATAAAAAAAAGTAAGTAATACTATAAATTTAACTTTTTATAAGTTAAAATTAACTTGTATTTTTATTTAAATTTCAAAAAAATAACTTAATTTTAATTTATAAATAAATTATTTATTTTTTATTATTTATTTTAAATTTATTTACAAGCTCACTCAAATTAGACTTTATATAACTAAATGATTGAGAGAAATATTACAATGATGAACTTTAGCTAAGCTAACCGGTAAGGATGATGGGAGAGTTTGAGACAACAATTATAAGTTAAATTTTGTAAATTAAAAAAAGATAAATAGTAATAAATGTAAATAATGATTATATTTAAAATATTTTTTTTAACAAGATATATTAATATTTTTAATTAATTATTATATTTAATTTTTTAATTATAAATACAAAATGTTTTTTTAAGAGTTTGTCATTACCGTTTTATATAAGAAGACATTTTACAAGTCATTTTTTATTAATTAATTTTTTTAAAAATATCTTTAATGGATACAAAATAATTAATTAGATGAAAAAAGATAACGAGTTTCAATAATTTTATAAAAAAAATTTAAATTATTGATAAATTTAATGTCATTAATGAAGTTAATCACATCTCTTAATTCCTATAAAATAGTTAGAAGGCTCTTATATTTAGAACAAGATTTCTACTGTCAACAAAACTCAAAGAAAAATACACAAATATAATTATATATTAAAAATTATTAAAAATGTGTACAGTAGCTATCATGAACGAAAAAAGAGTTATACTTTGACTTAAATTTATCACATTTCCCCTTTTACTTAAAAATACCACATTCGAGTTTCATAAGTTTGAAAATAAACATTGAGAAAGTTCTTCATTCTTTAAGAGGTTAAATTTAATTAAACTGCGTTAATTGTGTATTTTGTAAATTATCAATTGAATATAATATGTCATCTTGACGATAATTGTTAGCTTTTGTAATGAATAATTTAAAATTTAACTAATATTTTAATCATCTGACAGCATAATTTTTTTATTGGTAATATTTCAAAATTAAACTTTAAACTAGTTTATTGTGACTTAAATCAGCTGAAGTCTAAAATTACTTTTTAGTTCTAAGAATTTTATATATATTTAAAAAAAGAGGGCATCCTTGTAAGTTGGCCTTTAAGAAATCATAGAGTTAATATACTAACTTAAATTAATTTAAAGACAAAATTGAGAGCTATAAAAAGTCACTAAAAGACAAAAGTAAGATTTTTCTAAAATAATGATATTTTAAAAATAAAATTACTTAAATATAGTGAAAATTATGTTAAAAAATACATTAAAAAGGATATAGAGTAACGATTATAAAAGTTTTACATATCCTGAAAAAATATAATTTGATATCTGAAAACGAATATAATGAAATGTAGTATAAAAATTAAAAAGCGTTATAAATATCATTTAAAAATAATGCAAAATTAAGTTATATAATTATTTTTTAAATATAAATTGATTTGATTTGTATTATTTTAAATATTTTAACTTTAACTTTTTTTAAATTACAAATTAAAATATCCGCTAAATATTTATTTGTCAACTGAAAAAGGCCATCGTTTGGATAAAGCTGCTGAAAGCAATCTCAAGCTGTATACGTAGTCTCATAAAACCATGTATTTTACAAGGAGAGCACCATTATGAAGTGCACAAATTGGACCATCCATGGTACAAACACTGCCAACTATTTTTCGTATACATTTGACAACTCTAAGCAGCGATTTCCGTGGTAGCAACTTGATCATTCTCAAGCTGACTGTAATTCCCTTTCTCTTTGAAGAGTTGAATGTGATGGTGTTTGCAATAGAGCTTCCCCTCGTGTGTAACAAAGTTTGATGAGCTTATTGTGCAACCTCCATAGGTACATTTGAAGCAGCTCTTGTGGTAGGGAGTCCCATTAATCGTAACCTTTAATAGCACAATTAGGATCGATAATTAGAAATAAGAGGACTAGTGGCATTTTTGGTACAATTTAGATTAAGAGAAACAATTAATATCCCATTTTTCAAAAATAAGAAAAACCAAACATGCAATAAATTATTGGTTACCCTCTCAGTGGGATAGACTGTCTTCTTGCAACCCACACATTTGTCTCTGGTTCCCAAGAACACGTTTGCGAGAACCTTAGTATTCTGCTTATTAAAAATATTATTTCCAGTTAGATATCAGTATGATATTTTCGGTTTAAATAATACTAAAATCAGTGAAAATTAATGCATGCATACTTCCTACATAACAGACAAAATATTGTAATATTTTAACGAGTAAAGAAGTAGAATGTAGAATTTTTTTTACTTAATACGATACATGAGAAGACAAGGTACGGAATGATCACCTCACTATCAGCGATCGGTTTTTCTGGTTTCTGAATTTTGGGTGTTCCTGTGATGAAGAGAATGAGGGGCAACAAAAACAAAGAGTTTTAGTGTACTAATATTTTCACATGGGATTATTTATGTTTCAATTTTACCTTCGAAGCTTTTGTCCAGGCTGCCAGTTCGCTTGAAGATTTGATCATAGTGAGGTCTGCAGTAGAGCACCCCCTCAAAAGAACAGTAGTTGCCAAGCTGCGAATAAAAATATCATTTGGTCAACTTTTGGAGGCTTGATTTTATTTAAAAATGTAATATTTTTATAAATTTGAACTTAATTTGGTCACATTCACAAAACTGTGTTTGTTAATCAGTTAAATGCATGTGACATGATTTATGATATAGAATTATTGACAAAACTTTGTCTGACATTGAGTACGAAACATGTTAAATGGAATATGCTTTTTTTTCGCTTTCAGAAAACACCGTTCTCACTACATGAAACAATCAGGCCATTAGTTAACATTGGACAAAATTAATACAACAAACTTTTGAGAACGGTTGTTTAGTGAATTCTTCAATAGAAACATCTGTTTGGGCCTTGGAATTGAGGGAAAATGTTTCACCTGAGACACGTTTTTTCAGATGCAATATCATATAAAATAAACATAATGCATGATCACACGTAAATCCAAGCTTAGTTTTAGAAGTAGTATGAGTGGAGAAACCAAAAGAAAGAAAATGACAGGCATATATATAACTATATGCAATGCATTCATAATCATCATTAAAGGATAAAAACCATTTCGCATAAATGATTTCACAATACCTCTCCTCATCACTGGTTATATGTAAACCCTTCATATATATCCTCCATTTGATAATTATATATGTGCAGACTGCACTATGCTAAACATAGTGCCCATTTTACAATTTAATTTTTTAAAAGAAAATTAAAATTTGATCAAATGGGAAAATGTGTATTTATTTATATATATATATAATAAATTGGTATATACTATACCTTAAGGGTATTCCGGCAATGGTGGCATCGGAAGCAGGCCTTGTGATAGATACGGCCATCTACTGCTAGCTTATCAACAAGGTACACCGTTTTCTCACAAGCCATGCACTTCTGTGTGGTTCCTGCAAAAGTTGCCATGGCTTCCTAGATCCACAAACCACCAAACCCTGATCAAAAGAGCAAGCACAACAAAGAGAGAAAGAGGGAGGGAGGAAAGTTGGACACTTTGGGAAGGATTTCCTTTGCCAAAGTTTCCCTTACCCCCTGTGCTTCTCTAATCTCTTTCCGCTTCCTACAAGAAAATGAGTATGAGAAGAGGAGATAAAAGAAGCCAAAGAAACCGAAAATAGAAAAAGAGAATTGTGGACAGCGAATTGCGCATGGTCTTGAAAGAGATTATTTATGCGAATGTTGCGATGAGTTGTTTGTAAACTGTGGATGAGATTAACAAGATTTATTTAGAATGTAGATCCAGTGTAGTTGGCTACCCCGACAATCATATTGTCCGAATTCAAAGGAATATGATTATCTCATACCTCTTTAAGTTGTTTTTCTTTCTTTTGTAAAAACAAAAAAAAAAACCCTCTAGGTAAAGGGTGTATCAGGCTTTGAATATTATTACGTCTAAGTTATATCAACAAATACTCTAAATTTAGATAAAGTTGAATGCATACCTATACATTTTATTGGCAAACTCATTTTAGAAAAGTCTTTACCATAATTTTAATATCTATCTTTCTTGTAAGCAAGTACTAATAAAAAAGAAATATGTTTGCATTTGCAATATTTTATTGTCGAATTCAGTTTTTTTAATGTAGGAAAAGCAGTGTGAAGACAATAAAAACAGTGAAGTTACTGAAGCTAACTGCCTGCTAAGTTTCCTTCTATCATAATTAAACAGATGCTCTAGTTTTAGTAATTCAACAATAAGAATGGGTGCATTAGGTAGAGATCTAAGTGAAGCCTCAATCTCACCATTGTAGGGGCATGCATTACTTTATAAAAGTGTGTTGTGATTTATAGTTTGATGAACTATGATATCCAAGGTTGACAAGATTCTAATGTGAATGTCCTTTTTTGGTTCCGTCCTGATCAGAAAATTCATCCAATAAGATCCTATTTGATATGACTATTAGAAACACTGTCATTTGTTCGTTTACAGTTTTTGGCAAGGATTTGATGGTCACATAAAATGTTTTTGCCACAAAGTATGTTTAGAAACTAAAAAGATAACACAAAAGGGCATTTGGTCTAGTGGTATGATTCTCGCTTTGGGTGCGAGAGGTCCCGAGTTCGATTCTCGGAATGCCCCTTGATTGTTTTTCCTAGTTTATGGAGCTTGACTTGTTATTAACTGATGTTAAACTACATCAACAATCATCATTTTTTATTTTTAAATTTCAGCTTTTTTATGTTCTCAGAGCTGACAAGCTTGACTTGTTAACTGGTTTAGTAAAATAACAATGACCATCAAGGGCTGCGTGTGAATGCCTTGGGGTGAATGATGTGATACATGAACAGTTAAAGATGGAAGTTTCCTAGTACCAGTGACAGCTTGCCGCTGAAAATGTAGTAGAACACTCTGTTGTGAATCATACTTGATCTTAAAATATAAAAAGTAAAACCATGGTAAATAAGTGAACTAACTCTCTTTTGATACCTTCACTAGAAGAACACTTAAGCTTCATAAAGTGGTCCCATTTCCATAAAAGTAGCATTGGTTGCACTGTTGGCAACATTAAAGAAAGGCTGATAGTTGTGCGTTCAGTAAGTAGATCTAGTCAACTGTAGAAATCTTGCTAAAAAATAAAACTGCAAACCACGTAAGATGCATGAAGATTTTAACATTGAAAAGACATCAAGCTGACATATAACATTATGGACATTTGGTCTAGTGGTATGATTCTGGCTTTGGGTGCGAGAGGTCTCGAGTTCGATTCTCGGAATGCCCCTGTTTTTATTACAGCAAAGTCAGCGCAATTCTTATTCTTAAATGTGTTTTGCCATTTACTAGGCCAAGGACCTGCTCTGCATTGTCAGCCAGAAAGGAATACACGCAGTCGCATTTTTTCTGCCAAAGAAAAGAAGTGAATCAAAGTACAGTATTAGATCCTTGCCTGCACATAGCAGTTGCTATGATTTCCACACATCTCCACAAGTTTGCAAGCATCAGTCACAACACAAATCTCATGTCTCGATTACAACAATTAAGTAATAGGAGAAAACTTATAGTTATTTCGATACTGTTAGTGCTGTATACTAATTAAAAGTAGAGTTTTACTTATAACAAAATATTTATATTTAATGTTATGACAAATTACTAAAATACAACTTTGATTTTATTGTGTAAAAACACTAATAACACATAAAGAACAACACCTAAGTTTTTTCCATAGTAATATTACTACATCTACAGTATTACTCCAAATTGAAATAGGAAGGAGGTCATGAATTGTTGTCAATCATGCCTGGTGATAAAAATATCAATCTTCAAAATAAATGTACGAACACAATTATTTACTGGAGTCCATTTTACTGTAGCATTAGCAAAGTATCTTACATTATAATTTACAACGCTCATGTAATACGTGGTACGGTGGTAGTCTACATAAATATATATCAGATTACATGTCTGATTTGATGTGAGCCAGTCAAAAATGAAGAAGAAAAACTCGTATGGCACTAACAGAAGTCACTTCAATCAGCTTGGTTTAGTCTGTAATACAACATTCAAATAGATCCATGTTACAGAACTTGAGCTTCAGATCTTTGATTTAAAATGTTTCAAATCCAATCAACAGCTGTTGTATATTGGTGGGGCTTTTCCAAGAGAGCATGAAGCACAAACATTTTTATCATTGATGAATTTCAGCACCCTGCTCATATGAAACAACATTAAAAGCACAAGTAATGTTTCAACTTATGGTAAAACACGTGGTAAAATCAGATGTACAAGTTAGAAGCAATGTTATAACTTTAGAATGCTCCCTAAATAATTTCACCAGGACTGTTTAATATAAGTAGAAACAGGGCATTTGGTCTGGTGGTATGATTCTCGCTTAGGGTGCGAGAGGTCCCGAGTTCAATTCTCGGAATGCCCCTGCTATTTTGATGATCTAGAAGCTGAAGCTTGTTTGACTTGTGTTAATTGGTAGGCAGCCTCACATGACTTGTTAATTGGTGAAAGTTAAATACCAATAAGCATCAGGTTTTATTTTTAAATTCTGCCTTCTGAAGCTTTGGAAGCTGACAAGCTTCACCTACTAATTTGTTAAACAATAAGCATCAGAGGCTGCATGTGAATGCATTGGGATGAATGGTGTGATATATTAACAATATTGGCTGGAGGTTTTTCAGTAGCAAGTGACAGCTTGCAATTGAAAATGTAATAGAATAATGTGCTGTAAGTCATTTGATCTCAAAATATAAAATAAAAAATTGAAACCAGCGACAAATAAGTAAACCCTCTTTGATACCTTGACTAGAAAAACATGTTACTTCGACTAACAATTGCCCATCCAGGTAAGCAACCCGTATGCAATCTTGCAATAAATTGCAGTGTGTGTCATGCATAAACAAATTTAAAAGGAAACTAGATATAGTTTAGACTTACCTCTCACCACCTCAATGTGGGCATTTGGTCTAGTGGTATGATTCTCGCTTTGGGTGCGAGAGGTCCCGAGTTCGATTCTCGGAATGCCCCTATTTTTGTCACATACCTGTCAGTGCATTTCTTATTCTTAAATGTGCTTTGCCATGACCTGCTTTGAATTATCAGCAAGAAAGGAAAACTTGCAGGTTGCATTTTTTCTGCCAAGGAAAAAGAGAAGCAGTGAATCACAGGCAGTATTGTATTAGAACCTTGCCACACGGCATTTAGCAGTTGCTTTGATTTCCATATATCTCCACAAGTTTGCAAGCATCAGTCACAACACAGATCTTGAGTCACAAGTATAAAATTTGAACTCTACAATAAGTAATAGGACAAAATGTGTTATTCTTTGTATTGTTGGTGCAATCTATCGCTTAAAACTAAATTTTCACTTCAATAAAATATTTGAATTGAATGTTATTTCAGAGTACCTAGATAAAACTCTAATTTTGATTGATAATCAACACCTAAGTTCTGACCTAAGTAATATTATTAAATCTACTCTAATTACTTCAAATTGAAAAAGGAAGGAGGTGGTGAATTGTTGTCAATGAGTCCTGGCGTCCAAAAATATCAATCTTAAAACAAATGTACGAATACAATTATTTACTGTGGTCCATTACACTAGTAGCATTAGCAAGTATCTTACATTATATTTTTCAACACTCAGATGTAAAAGGTGATAACCTACATATGCACATATCAGATCACATGCTGTCTGATTTGATGTGATTCAGTCAAAAATGAAAAAGAAAAAACTAGAATGAAACCAACAGAAATCACTTCAATCAGCTTGGTTTAGTCCGTAATTCAACATACAAATACATGTTGCAGAACTTGAGCTTCAGATCTTTGATTTAAAATGTTTCATAATCCAATAAATAGCTGTTTTTATGTTGCGGGGGGGGGGGGTGTTTGTTTCCAAGAGATCATGAAGCAACAAACTTCTTCATCGTTGATGGATTTCAGCACCCTGCACATATGAAATAACATTAAAAACACATGTTTAAACTTATGGTATAAACATGTGGTAAAATCAGATGTATAAGTTAGAAGCAATGTTATAACATTAGAATGCTCGCTAAAATAATTTTGCCAAATCAATTTATGAATTTTTAATATAATTACAAAGACTTGGGCATTTGGTCTAGTGGTATGATTCTCGCTTTGGGTGCGAGAGGTCCCGAGTTCGATTCTCGGAATGCCCCTGCTGTTTTGATGATCTAAAAGCTGACAAGCTTACCTGATTTGTTAATTGTTTTGCAGCCTGACATGATTTGTCAATTGGTGTAGTTTAAATACCAACAAGCATCAAGTTTTATTTTTAAATTCTGCCTGCTGAGCTGACAAGCTTGACCTGTTAATTAGTTAAACAACAAGCATCAGAGGCTGCATGTGAATGTGTTGGGTTGAATGATGTGATACATTAACAATTTTGGCTGGAAGTTTTTCAGTACCAAGTGACAGATTGCCACTGAAAAAATAATACAATAATGTGTTGTAACTTGTAAGTCATATTTGAAGCTCTCTTTGATACCTTGACTAGAAAAACATGATACTTTGACTAACAATTGCCTATCCAGGTACGCAACGCTGGTTGTTTGTATGCAATCTTGCTATAGAATTGCAGACACTGTGGCATGCATAAACAAAGTTAACAAGAAACTAGACATAGATTTGACTTACCTCTAACCACTCCAATGTGGGCATTTGGTCTAGTGGTATGATTCTCGCTTTGGGTGCGAGAGGTCCCGAGTTCGATTCTCCGAATGCCCCTATTTTTATCACATACCTGTCAGTGCATTTCTTATTCTTAAATGTACTTTGCCATTGACTCGGCACAAGGATCTGCTTTGCATTATCATCCAGAAATAAATGCTAGTTGCATTTTTTCTGCCAAGGAAAAGGAGAAGTGAATGGCAGTTGCTTTGATTTCCATATATCTGCACAAGTTCGCAAATCAGTCACAAGACTCACAACACAGATCTTAGGTCTCAAGTACAACATTTGAACTCTATATTTTACAATAAGTAATAGGACAAAATTTATGTGTTATTCTTTAAGTATTGTTGGTTCAATCTATCACTTAAAATTAAATTTTCACTTCAATAAAATATTTATATTTAATGTTATTGCCGATTACCAAGATAAAACTCTAGTTTTGATTGATAAAAAACACTTCAGTTTTGTCCTAACTCCTAAGTAATATTACTACATCTACTGTATTACTTCAAATTGAAAAAGGAAGGATGTCATGAATTGTTGTAAATGAGGCCTGTGTCCAAAAACATCAATCTTAAAACAAATGTATGAACATAATTATTTCCTGGAGTCCACTACACTCACCTACATAAGCACATATCAGATCACATGCTGTCTGATGGGATGCAAGTCAGTCAAAAAGGAAAAAGAAAAACTCATGACACCAACAGAAGTCACTTCAATCAGCTTGCTTTAGTCTGTAATTCACATACAAATAAATACATTTTGCTTCAGATCTTTGATTTAAAATGTTTCATAAACCAATCAATAGCTGTTGTATGTTGCTGGCAGGGTTTTCTAAGAGATCATGAAGCAATAAACTTCTTCCTCGCTGATGGATTTCAGCACCCTGCACATATGAAACAACATTTAAAGCACACAAGTAATGTTTCAACTTATGGTATAAACATGTGGTGAAATCAGATGTGTAAATTAGAAGCTATGTTATAACTTTAGAATAATGCCTAATTTAATTTCACCTAATGAATCTATAAAGTTATTAAAAGAAACATTTTGATTAATCAGATTTTTGAAAACTTGGTTTTTGACCAAGTTCAATAATGTCATGCAATCCATTTATCTGACCTCACCTAATGGGATGAGACTTGATTAATGTTGTTAAATTTATGAATTTTTAATATAATTAGAAAGAATAAAACTTCCATATCTGGGCATTTGGTCTAGTGGTATGATTCTCGCTTTGGGTGCGAGAGGTCCCGAGTTCGATTCTCGGAATGCCCCTCATATTTGATGATCTAGAAGCTGACAAGCTTACCAGACTCGTAGTTTGCAGCCTGACATGACTTGTCAATTAGTGTAGTTAAATGTCAACAAGCATCAAGTTTTATTTTTAAATTCTGCCTTCTGAAGCTGACAAGCTTGACCTGTTAATTAGTTAAACAATAAGCATCAGAGGCAGCATGTGAGTGTGTTGGGATGAATGATGTGATACATTGACAATTTTGGCTGGAAGTTTTTCAGTACCAAGGGGCAGATTGCCACTGAAAATGTAATACAATAATGTGTTGTAACTTGTAAGTCATATTTGATCTGAAAATATAAAATAAAAAAAATGGAAAAAGAGTGACAAATAAGTAAAATCTCTTTGATATCTTGACTAGAAAAACATGTTACATTGACTAACAATCGCCTATCCAGGTAAGCAAATCTGGTTTTTTGTTTACAGTTTTGCTACAAAAGTACAGAACTGCAGACAGTGTGGCATGCATAAACAAATTTAACAGGAAAGTAGACATAGACTTGACTTACTTCTCACCATTTCAATGTGGGCATTTGGTCTAGTGGTATGATTCTCGCTTTGGGTGCGAGAGGTCCCGAGTTCGATTCTCGGAATGCCCCTATTTTTACATATTTATCTGCACATTTATTATTCACAAGTGTGTTTTGTCAATGACTAGCCACAAAGACATGCACAGCATTTTAAATCAGAAAAGAATACTTGCAATGTAAACCACAGGCTTAACAGCTTGCCTGTATTAGCCTTTACAGTTGAGCAGCAAGCATCAGTCACAACACCAAGAATATGGTGAGTGATCTCAAGTCTAACCACAACATTTGAACTCTACATTATAAACTGAAGTAATATTGCTAAATCAACTACATGATTTAAAATTGAATAAGGAAGGAGGCAGTGAATTGTTGTCCATGATGCCTAGGGCCCAAAAATATGAATCTTTAAAAAAATTGATGAAGACAAATATTTATTCAAATTCATTATACATGTAGCATTAGCAATTGTCTTACATTAAATTTACAACACTTGAGATGTATTTCATAATAACCTACATATCAAATCACATGTTGTTTGATGTGATGAAAAAATAGAAAATAGAAACTAGTATCATACAAACAGAAGTCGCTTCAATAAGCTCAATGCGTCTATAATACAACATGCAAATAGATTTATAGGAAGAACTTAAGCTTCAGTTCTTTGATTTAGAATGTTTTACAAGCCAATCAACGACTGTATCAATATTGGTGGAGTTTTTACAAGAGACCATGAAGCAACAAACTTCTCTATCATTGATGGATTTGAGACCCCTGCACATATGAAACAATATTAGAAGTCAAGTACATTCTGAAAGCTAAATTGTTTAAATAAAATTACTGGGTGCAGACAAAATAATGAACATTACTTAGTGGGGTATTCTTAAGGTAGCAAAAGTAAAGATGATAATAAATTAGCAGCTAAAGTCATTTGAAATGGCGTGATTTGACTAGTAATTTGTACTTTATCATAATAGAAATGTTTAAGCAAACTTTTGCTTTAGTCAATATCATACTCAACTTGGCTAGGTACATCTGACCATATTATACATCTGGACACAATACTTACATTTGCTCTGTTAGGTCTTGCTTAGACAAAGCCTCTGGTTTGTCAATCTTGTTACCCAAAATCAGCACAGGAATCCCATTTAAAGAAGGTTTATTCAACAAGTCATGAAGTTCACTTTTAGAGTCAGGTAAGTTGTCGTGATCAGCTGCATCAACAACATAACTGCAGCTCCCACCATAAAAAATTGATGATATTCATACTCTATAAGATTTTGATCATATAGATAAAAACTAAAATGAAAATTATACAACAATACAGGAAAACACAAAGTATAAAGTTGAAATCTGTGATGCCTTGGATGGAAACAATAAAGACTCAATTACACTTTAAGCAATCTTAGTTTCACTAAAATTCAATTTTGGTACTCCTTTCAATTGTAATCATATTATCCTAATAGTTTTCATTTTTCACATTGATGCAATTAATTCCTTCTGCGATGGTGATGTGGTCTATGATCAAGTGACGTGTCACTCTATTTTATATACTCTGCTGGCTGGAAAATAACATGGTGCAATGCCACATGGCAGAGAGCGGGAGTTCATGCTGATCTCAATAAATCTCTGAGACATAGAGCTGCAAGGTGAGGTTTGCAGCCAGATTGTTCATGGGAACTTATTTAGAAGGTTAAATTGAACGATCATTCATAGATTTCAGTATGGGAAAAATATATACTAACTTCATGTTAAACAAAGTATCATACTTCATCCTTTTCTAATTACAAATTTTTTTGGGATTACTTTTTCAGTTGTCAAATTTGAAGTTTCTCATTCTTATTTCTTTAAAAGTGAAAAAAAAAAATATTATAGCAGAAAATATTGAACCAAATGAGACAAAAGGCAGTGTTTTGACATATTTTGGTAAGAAGGGCATATGAAATTTTTTTGTAGTTAAGAAAGGACAGTAATTCAGTCACTGATGCAATGATTGAGTGTTTCACAGTGTTAGAGGTAATACACAATAGCTGAAACAGCACGGCAGTATCTCTCCCACATACTGCGAAACCTTGGTTGACCTCCAAGGTCCCATAACTTTATAGTCACGTTCCCTTTGGTTACCTTTTTCATATTAAATCCTACCTGTAGACAACAACTTCAGCAATTAACTTAGCAGAGAAATAATTAAGCAAAAATTTGTGGGAATAGAACAAAACATCTAGGATGCAGCACGACATGCCCCAGTTGAACAGTTACAGTGATTAAAGAAAGATAGTGTACCGTGGGAATCATGTCCTCACTATATCCACCAGTCTTCAGCAAAAGGAACCAAACATAAACCAGGCATCAGCAAGGTAGGAAAGGAAGAAATAAAATGGAAAATTAATCATGTAGGTCTAGTTACATACTGCAATAACATTTACAAGTGATGTTTTCCCAGCATTCTGAAGACCAATCAAAGACAACTCCATTTCATGCTTGAAAAAGAGACTACCGTTCGGCAAGAGAAAGAAACAAATTAAATAATAATGATGATAATAATAATAATAATAATAAGCACACCATAAAGGTCACTCGATCCTGTTGAATGAAATATTACAGAAACAAAAGGAGCATTTCAGTTAATCATCACATCACCAATCTCTCAGAAACACTAAGAAAGGTAAGGACTTGGCCCCAATTAAACCCTTCACAAGTAATGAAATAATTGGAAATAAAAGAATTCCACAGTATCGGTATGCAATGCATGGAGCTCAAAACTCAAAAGGACCCTCTCGTACTCGATTAGTGCTTTTTCACTTATGCACTTACTTAAAACTACTCATGGACTAACACAATCCACACTACATGGTCTTTTTTTTACCTTAAGTTTCATGTGATTGATCATTCGTGAAAACAAGCAAAGCAATACAAGTTTTAAAAATTATGTAAAAACGAGAAAGAAAAGAAAGAGAGAAGAAGGTAAACCTTCGCAACCAATTCACGAAGGCTTCCCACAACCACAACCCCATTGATCAGACGTAAATGTCTTCCTTTCGATTTCAATTCTCAGCACTTCTCTATATGTTAGCCCCTCACCTTCCTCTCTTTCAAAAAGTACGACTAGAAAACTCCGTCTTACGTGTACGCATAATAAAAAAAACGTTTGATATATTGAAAATTATTTTTCTAGATTTAAAGCGGGGTATTTTTTTTACTTCTTTTTTATTTTAGATTTTTTTTTTTAGATATTTATACGTAAAAAATTTATTAAACACCAAATAACGATAAATTTAATTAGATCCAATACAACATTGCAAAAAACCAAACACGGAGTATTATTTTTTGTAAGAAAAATATTATTTCCTAAACATATGTAAAATAATAAGATAATTAATAATTTTAAATTTCTCAAAAAGAAAACTAAATTGAAAACATTCCCTGTAAAACGGAATGTATATTAGACACGTGGAATACATTTTCCAATAAAAAAGCACACTACACAAAGGTACCAAACAAAAGTTGCTCTTTTTTTTTTTAAGTAAATTTTGGATATATTGGAGAGGGGACTATGAGTGGACGGTGCCGACCGCTGAACTAAGCTCCCAAACAACAGTTTCAGATAAGTTGTCAACTACTCAACTCAACAATTAAGAATATGCTTTTGTCGGCATTTTCCATCACTTTTTAATAAGAAAAATACATTGAGAACCACGGTCTTTAAGATATTAATTTAAAATTATAAAAAAAATATTCATCTCATATTTAAATATTAATCAGTATTTATAACATACTGATTAGAAAAAAATTACTACTTGAAAATTATAATTTTAAAATTTGAAAAATAATATTTTTTCATTTTTCATAAAGTTGAAAAACTGTTATATTTTTAAATTAAATATATTTGTTATATATTAATAGTAAGAAAAATATTAATAATACAATTTTTTTAACATACTCTTAACTGTTGATTAAAATTATAAAAAGTTATTAAAAATAAGAAAATATAAATATAAATGAGAAGTATGAGGCACACATAATTTTTAATAAATTAATTCTTCATTTTTTTGGTCAACCTATTTATTGGACTGAAACCAGTATTTGGAGTTTTGTTGTTTTAGTCGAGTGGAGCTTTTAGGTTTTGGTGATTCAATAACCAGCAAAAAGGCCCATCGGGCTCACTGGGAACAAGCCCAACGCAAAGCTAAGTAGAAGGGATAGGAACGGAAGAAAATTTGAGATCGCAGACAGAGGAATAGTTGCTGTTCCCACTCAACCGTTTGAGAAGAAACCTTTTTGGTACGGTTCATAAATTCCCCGTTTGTGATAATGCTTGATCCATGTTTGGTTAATTAATCGTTATTTTTATCCATTCTAGCTTTTGAAAAATAAGCAATTATCTGCTAGAAAGTTTAATTCTCTTGCCTCTTCCTTACTTGTTACTGTCTTCCTCATTAATTCTCTTGGCATAAGAGTAGGTCATGTATGTAATTAATAATGTCGCTATGAATAGGGAATGAGGGTTTTGCGAAGCCTTGAAGTCTGGAAACTGGGAGTTGTCAACTATTTGGATGCATTGAAACTGCAGGAAAAACTGGTCTTGGATAGAAAATCTCATAGGATATGTGATACTCTTCTGTCTTTGCAACACCCACCTACATACACTGTTGGCAAAAGACAAACTGTTCACAATTTATTAATCCCCCAATCAGATTTGGAACAAATTGGAGCTGAACTTCACCACACACAAAGGGGAGGAGATATTACATTTCATGGTCCACACCAAGCCATTCTATACCCTATCATATCACTTCGCGAAATGGGAATTGGTGCTAGAAGTTTTGTAGAAAAAATTGAGTTAACCATGATTGAACTTGCTGCCCTTTATGGTGTAAAAGCTAGTCCTGGACAGTCTGGTGAGACTGGGGTGTGGGTAGGAGAAAGGAAGATTGGTGCAATAGGTGTTCGCATATCGAATGGAATCACTTCCCATGGGATGGCTTTTAACATTGATCCTGATTTGAGATACTTCAGTCATATTGTTCCCTGTGGAATTACTGATAAAGAAGTGACATCTTTGAGAAGGGAGACAGATCTTGTCCTTCCTGGAGAGGAAATAATACAGGAGCAGTTAATTTCATCTTTTGCTAGAATATTTGGTTATAATAACCTGGTATGGAAGGAGGATGCTTCTATATTTTTTGATAAAAACAAAACTGAATGAGATGTAACTGTAACAGATAGTTGTGTAACTTTTGTTTTATCTTACACAATCATTCTTACACGGTTGTTTATATGAGACGTAAATTGGTCAAATCATGTACATTCTTCTGCATTTTTTTCCCCTGAATTTTTGTGATTGATTAGTAGCTGATAATGATCAACCTAATTCAATTGTTTGATCCCAAGATTTAGATAATATATTGTGAGTTAAATGATAGAAACACGTATATTAAAGATCAGGTGAGGAAAATCAAATCAGATATTAAGATTATGCTCAATATGTTGCGGGATTGTTATGATGTTGAACCTATTTGGTTGGCTGTTGATGCTACAAACATCAATTAAACTTCTCTTCCGATCAGAACGAGTTTTCTTCTGTCACGTGACCAAACAAATAGTAAAGCAAAGAGCAAAATAACCATAAGAAGAGTGTCTCGGTTTCAGATTACAGTATTTTTTGTTACTGCTCTGATCCAGATTACTATTGCTGAACCAATTTGATTGAACTAACCAATTAATCTTTAATTAAAATATTTTGTTACGGTTAGTTGTACAAATTCTATTTTATTCTTGCTGACATAGACCATATGTTTTTCTCAGCAGAAAGAATATTGAAGCTATGCAGTCTCACATGCAAATTTGATTCTAATCAAGTGAGAGACACTTGATAACAAAGCTTCCATTATTAAAAACAACATTCAGGAGCCACTTGATTACATTATCTATTTGAGACCAAATAAAAAGACCACATCCTCTATTAGAAAATCTACGTAAGACCTCAAAACTACATAAAAAAAAAGGGTACATACTTTAATGGAGCAAATGCCGTTATTTATAGGATTTTTACCTCTACGAGTTCCCGAAAAAGTTGCAGTAAGATATAGAGCATCGTGTATACATACAATAATATCTGGATTCACATGAAAATAATAGCTGTTCCTCACATAATATAAATATGTCTTATTTTCATAAACATTATGCATAAGCAATTATATGTTTAATTCGTTAATTGAGTTCTATATATTGCAAGTAGTAACTAGCAAGAACTCTAGGAATATAATGAACTCGCTACAGTGTCAATGCTGCATATGGAGCAATAAAGTACGCTTCCCATAGGAAGAAGAAGCTTCACGTACCTGGAAAGTAATTTTACCCAGCTAAGTTTAGCTGTGCCTGTCAAACTAACCAGAAATACAAACAATCATAAGTAATATTTTATGGTCAAGAATATCAGCAAAATGAGGCAACCCATTTTATATCATGTGATTAGTCACATGATATATATTGACATGTGATGGAAAGATTGTAGAAATGTCAGAGAAGTATGGGATTTGATTAAGGATCACATGATAAGCTCCTTCCGTTCCATGTTCTACCCCACAACACTACAAAGACGTGGCAGGTCAAATAATCCATGTTTCTTCCTTTCTTTCCTCTTCCTAAATCTGAATCTTTCATACTGCTTTGAGTACTGATTGGCAAAAGAAATCTCAAATACGTTCATTTCATCCTTTTAAAGTAGTGCAAGCCAACGCTCTCTATATGCATTACTCTAGTAAATTGAGTGCTTGATCAGAGTCCAAGATCAAAACTTCTTTGTTCTCCATTGCCCATTATAGTCTTCACTCTTCAACCACCAACATATTGCTAATAAAAAAGATTGCTTTACTTTGAGACACACCTGTTAATTCCCATCTATCTTAGACACAAACAAGTGTTGCAACGTTTCTATGGGGATAGTTTCAACTTCCAAGCACCGGAATTTGCTTCTTTCAACTATCTTCAATTAATGTTTCAGTCAGACCCTGCTATGAAAACCACTCAACGTGCTTTGTTGGGTCTCTTTGTTATTATTCTCACTCATTTCATCATTTGTTCTATAGTTTCAATCAATGGAGAGAGTAGAACTAATCTCATAGGTAGGTGCCCACCACGGAAGGTGCTAGCTCCCGTCTCTTCGTTCTCTTCAAGTTTAGATAAATTGAAAATATCTCATGAAGCCCCTCAGAAATCAGTAACCACAAGTTTAAGGCAGGCTCCCCCAAGCAATTCAAACCCAACCCAAAACAAGTGACTTTGATCTATTTCTACATTTTTGCACATTTTTGCAGTTTGTCCAGCTAAATGTTGAACAGGTAGGAAAGCTGGTTTTGAAATCAAGATCAATTTTTGTAGTTAGCTGTTAGGAATTTGTTTAATTTTATTTTTGTTTTGGATCACAAAAGAGTTCTCAGTTGATGTAATAGGAGCCTATTATAGGAGGAACTCTATCTATAATATTCTGAGAATTTTATGCAGCATTATTTTGTACTTCGATTTATTAGATTAGATCACTGGTTGGTAGCAGATTTCTAACAAGAGTTCATTTTTAGTTTGGAAATTACTAAAAAAATCTTGTTCATTAGTTTCTTTATGACAATATTAGAATCTTTACTTTTCTTGATTGAGTTCTGATCCTGAAGAATCAACCTTTTGCTATTTGATCTTGTAAATGTTCCACGGCCTACTCACTAGCTTTTTGAGAATTTTCTCACTTGGATCTACCTTTGTCCTTGGCTGCACTAATATAATCATCAGAACCCAGAAATCGTATTTCCTTGATGTGATGGGAAAAAAATTATGTTTTCTGATAATGAAGAATAGCCTTTCTTTCTTTTTTTCTTTCTTTTTAAATCTTTTTCACATGATAATTAGACTATAATGGAGGGATCTCCATTAACTGATTGTACACATCTTTGCACCACATACACAAACACACACAAATAAGAACCTAAATTGCACAAGTGCATAAGGCACATTACAATTGGCTGAATTTCCAGATTGGGAAAGAACGAGGAAGTGACAAGATTTTGTCATAACTTCCTTCAAAATGGTGATGATAGGCTTCAGGGTCCAATCTTTCCTGGTCTCTTCGAGATATAATAAATGAAAGTCTTAAGTGTTCTTTTCAAGTTACAGGTTTTGGTACAACATCCCTTTCACTAAAATTCGTGCAATTGAAGATTGGTTCTTTGGAGTTTGGTATAAATTACACTCGCTTAAGATGAAACCGAGCTTTAATTCATTTCAATATATTAAAGAATGTTTTAATTTCTTGATTTTTTTTAGTAAATTACATTTTATTATTCTTGGGGTTGTATGATGTCAATTTTTACACTTGACTGAAAATTACAAATTATTTATTTTCTTTGACTAAGTATTTCTTTAATACCATTAACTATTTTAAAAGTATTCCTTCATATTTTTATTGAAATGCTTAACCATTTGTCTCAATTAAAGAAAACATGAATTAAGTATATATTTATAAAGTGTAAGTATTAATTCAAACTGTAAACAGAAACATACTTACTTAAACCCCATTATGTTTTACATAAAAAAATATTTTTCATATAATTTATTAAAAATGTTTAGTAAAAAGGATAAATTATCTTTAAAAATAATATTTCTTTATACACACGCACACAATATTGATAAAATAATCTTTAAATAATAAACAAAATTGCGAGGAGATTCCCCTGTCCATGAATCCTTAATTTTAAATTATAATTTTTTTATATACATATATATATATATATATATATTTAAGTTTAGTGTAAATTATATTTTGATTCTTAAAAAATAAACTCATTATAAATTGTGTCATTTTAAATTTTTATCTAAATTTAAAAATATTAGCATCATGTTTTGAAGATTTGATATGACAGTAATTGAGTAATTTTTTTTTGAGAATGCTACTTATACAAAAATTTTGACCAACGAATTTTATAATTTAAGGTGTTAGAAATTTTTATTAAAATTTATTTATGGGTTACAATCAATTGTGATTTTTATTTTATTAAAAACAGGCTAATATTGTGATCCATTTCTATGATGTTTAAGCCTATTAATAATGTGATTAATTACTTATGAGCTTTGGACACTTAATACTGATCTATGTGGAATATAGTGTGGGCCTAACCTCTAGGTTTATGATGGGAAGTGCCTAGGATTAATAAATACAATGACTAAGTCCCCTTTGCCGTCAAGGAAACACATTCCACTGCTCTTTAGGTTTGCCCCATTGAGAACCTAAGATTAGAAGAGAGTGATAAAACAAAGGAAGATCTTGACTTTTCACTCACAAAAGAATTCGCACGTGTAGATCATTTACGATATAATTTACAATGTCTACAACAAGTAAGTGATTTTATCATTACTTCACAATTGATATTCTAGATTCATATAATTAGATTCAACTCAATTTATTCCTACATAAGGGAGATAAAAAAGAAAGATAACTAATGCAATAAAGAAAGAAATTATAAAAGATGTTGCAAAAACTGAAATGTATCATAATTACTTGTATATGGTTTATGTTGAAGTGGAGGAAGAGCACTAATGATGGATCGATTTGGTAAGCATGAATAATGATCAAGCATGATGCTGCATGCCATTTTATTATAATATTTCGAAATGTACACATGCAATGACTGCATGGTTCAAAAGTAATAGAAGGCAATAGTTCATTACCCATGCATTTTCACGTGGATGGTTTCCAGTGAAAAATCTTTCCTTACACTTAGTTTCAGTGTTTCAGAAGTGTGGGTTAGAGGATGTGTAACAGTTACATCATAATCTCCATGATGCAATGAAACATCTACAAATCCTCTGCTATCTGCTGTGGCAAAATGAGGCCTTATTATTCCCCACTCAGCAATCAACTTGTCCACAACATCTCCAGCTGCAGTGCTTTTGAAATTTTCATCTGCTAGGGGAGTGTTGTTGAAACCAGCTTGTGATGGACCAGCAAACATTATAATCCCATTAACAGAAGGATGAGAGTAACCCTCCCTTAGTATCTCTTCGAAGTACTCTGCCTTCTCAACAAACAAGAATAACAAAATTGTGAAGGTATTGCAATCACTTGGTATATTGATTTTTTGTTTTACTGTTTCTTTCTTTTTTCTTTTTCCTAATATAAAAAAAGAAGATGAAATGATTTTTTTTTAATATTAAAGAATCGTTTAAAACAACTAATACAAACTTTAAATGCATATTTAGATTTTCTTTTTTTAGAGAAATAATTGTTTATTTTTCAAAAGCTCTCTCACAAAAATAAAAAATAAAAAGAGATTATTTTCTCAAAACAAGTTAAACTAAACATGCATTAAATTTATTAAAAAAAACTTATATATATTAATTTATGTCAATAAACTGATCAAAATAAAATGCATATTTTTAAAATAAACTTGTTTTAATATGTCTTTTTAATAGAGTTTGTTAATAAATTTTATAGACAAATATACAATAATAAACTCTGGTATAGTAAAATTTGTTAAGCAAAATATTTACGTTGTTTGTTTAGTCAAATGCTTTAGATTGTAACATGCAGAAGTTTCTGTTAAGTTGAGAAAATTACCGCATTTGGGTCTGAATCCACGCTAGCTTCTGTGAGCCATATTGGAACTTGAGCTGAAGCAAGAAGATCTAGGCCTGATCTCATGTAAGCAATATTTGGCTGACCAGGGGTAAAGTGGCCTTGCAACCCTATTGCTACTGGTATTTCTCTATTTCCAGGATAGTTCATAATACTCCTGAGTTTCGACAGAACATTGTGTGGGCTGGCAATCTCATCTCTACTATATTCAATGGTGTTATACTCATTCAAGAATAAGTTTGGTTCTGGATCAAGTTGGTAAGTTGCTGCAAAAGCCTCTGCAGAGGCATTTTCACCGAGTTTGTCCTCATAAAAGCAGAAGTGGAGATTCTCATTCATCACATCCCATGCAATGAGTTCTCCTTTGTATCTTGAAACCACTGATTTTAATCTTTTTGATGCTGCTTCGCTTAGTTCCTCAGGTGATAGGGTCTTAACCCATTCAGGTTGAAATTTTTCATTGTCCCAGAAAATGTTGTGACCTCTGACTGAAATGCCATTATCTTTGGCGAATTTCAGCATTGCATCTGCTATGGTGTAGTTTTCCTGGCCTTCAATAATCTCTGTGCTATACCACTTCATCTCATTGGTGAAAGTTGTGAATTTGAATCTTGACACAAACCAATTCTGGTATTCTTTGTTTGTGAGGATATTATGGTTCATTCCACATCCAAATGGGAAGTTCATCTTAAGTGGTTGGGCCTCCACTTTTGCTCCTTCCAATGCTGTTTCATTTATATGAGTTATCTTGAATCTCACCCTTCTCTTACGTACCTGCAGGTTAATTATATGTCAAGACTCATTATTTTCTTTCTTCTTTTACAGTTTACTACTGATTTTGTCTCTGCAATTTGCTTTGCTATTGTTTTCACGAAAATACTAGCAAATCATTATTTAACACTTTTAAGCACACTCTTTTATCACACGCTAAAATTTATTAGAAATAAAAAATTTACGTGAGTCTTGTTCTTAATCTGATATTTTTTACTTATATTTTTTTTAGTTTTTAATAAATTTAAGCTTACAGCAAAGATTGTGTTAAAATATTGTACTTCAGACCTCCTCTTGTTTTCAGTCCTCTTAGTCACACATGCATGACAAACAATTGGTGCGTTTCATTTTAGTAATAGTAAAAAAAATAAAAGAAATGATGTTTCCTCTGATGTAAAGAACTTGGATCTATGTGAAAGTATAAAAGAAGAACCGGTTTTCAATGTAAATTCCAATATCTATGAAAAAAAAGAAAAGAGGTTGATATTCGTGGTAGCTTACCCTTTCAATGCTGGCGTCTTGATGTGATCTCCATTGCTCTTTAGTGAATGGCTGTAAGGAGACATTGTCAGCCCATATTTCCACAGTGGAATTCTTGCTCTGCATTTTTCAAGAAATTTCAGTTAACAAAACTTAACAGGTATTTATAAGAACATAAAAACGGCCCCTTTGACCATTTTCTTTTTCTCTCTTGATTATGGATCTCATGCAACTTCCAAGCATCTATGATTCCTTTGATTCTACAATTTACATGCATTTTATACCCAAGAATAAAAAATTACAAATTCTTAAAATAAATAATTGAATATAAACTCATATAATTATCATTCCTCTGCATTTGCACATAGGAGCAGCTGGTTAGTTAGATTTTTGTCTCTTGGGCATGTTATTTCATCCTTAACAGAACAATTAGGGGAGAAGAGTGATAAGTGATGATCACAGAGGCCCTATAAAAATATTAGATAATTTTTTTCTTGTTTCTGAAATTATTGACTAGCAATCCAGATTCGAGAATGTTCTTCACCTCAAAAAAAATCTCAGCAGGACTTGAAAAGTTTGCAACAATGCCTCCTTTAAGGAGACTCCAGCATCCATGCTTTGCTACCACATGGCCACCTCGTACCACTTCACTTCCATTCGTTTTAAATAAAACTGTCACAGTGTCACTTCCTTCACTGACCTGAAACCATGCTGAATGTGGAGAGGGGAAGAAAAATAATCATTCATAAAATTTCAAAAAGAAAAATACTTCTTCCGATTCATGTTATATGCCGCTCTAGACTTTTTAGTTTATATCAAAATATTGGTCAATTTATAAAATTATTTATCTCATGTTATATGTTATTAAAGAAGCTTTTTTTTTTTTCAATGCTATCTTGATTTATTGATATTTTGTCTAAATACTTAAATATATTCTTATTATATTCTACCTCTTTAAATAAGCATTTTTATGTCAAAGAGTCATTTTGTTAGTGAAATTGATATTTTTTAAAACAAATATATTATTTTAAAAGACAAATAATATTAAACGAAGGGAGTAATGGCCAAGATGGTAACATTCATAAAATGAACTTGTTATACTAATTTTTTGTTACATAAATAAATTTGTCTTTATTAAAATATTGACCTTCTGTTTTTATTGAATATGGTTTTATAACGTTTTCAAAGTTTACAAAAGAGGAAAACAAGTTACCAGAAAAGATGTAAAGCATTCCTTTCTTAAGTTGAACCTGCTGTGAGAAACTATCAATTGGTTGTGTTCTCTTGCGGGCAACAATGAATCTATTGCCTTCATTAGATATTCGTTCCTCAATTGCTCCATTTCCAAACACAGTCCAACCCTCTATGTTGTGATCAAATCCTGGATTTACTATAATCCCTCCTTCATACTGTGCTCTCTCAGGTTCAACCAAACACTGCTTCATTGACAACACAAGTAGGTCTGTGTTACAATTGCTGACAGAAACTAATACAAAATTATATTTATTATGGCTTATCTTGTAAAATAAAATTATTCTGTATTCTAGAATGGTGGAACCTAAGAAGAAAACGGTACATATGGAAAACATTTTGCAACTTAGAAAACAATATTTTAGTTTCCTGGTTAGTGTATGAAATTATTTATGAGGAAGTGTTATTGCCTCTGTAGGAGCAGAATAATCATAATACATGGAATAGACGCCATGCCCTGCACATTTTAAGAAGATATATTAGAATGTGTAAACATTTAGCCCCAGAAAGAAAGCTAGGGAGGGACAGAGACAGATGGAAACCTGAGATCAGTAAAAGGCAAGAGGTGATGAACAACAAATTGCAACATACTGCACCAACCTTCATCTTTTCACTAATCAAAGAAGCCTTAACTATATTTTTAAGTTAGTATCAAAGGGTATATATTGACATTGGAATTCATCAAATACTAAAAACTTCCCCTAGTGTACCAAAGAAACCTTCCTTTACACAACGCACTCATAGGGGTTATAATAATTAACTAGATTTAAGTGCAATACGTGTGAGCCTGAAAATCGCGTTGAAATCTTTTTTTTTTTTTTATAAGAAAAGTCAATAATAGTTACAGATATTTAAAAAATAAGAAAACACATGAAAATACACACACACTTAAGAGTTATATCTATGATGTATTTGAATTTGTTTTGATGTTATTTAAAAATGAATAATATATGTGCAATTAATACCATCGAAAAAACTGATCTCATTGTAAAATCTAAATGTATTTAAAGGAGAGTTTTGTAATGTTGGTATAGATTTGTAGTAATGGTTCCAAAGTGATAAATGGAGCTGAAAAGATGAGGAATTGAATCTCAGTGACAATTAGAGAATGAAGATGCATGGTACCAAATATATGGAAAGAGATTTATTTGGTTTACTGATAACTCAAGTAAGATAGATGTAAACATTAAAAATTAAGTTAATTGGATAATTCAGATGTTCACTAGCCAGTACCTACATTTCAGATTTTAAAATAATACTTATATATATATATATATAAACTTGTCCAGACAGGACCTGTGTAGCAATGTCAGATAATTCGAATTATGGTCATCGATGACGTCCCGTGAATCACCTCCCGCTTAATACAGTGTTACAACTCAAAAAGCATATATAAAGTATTTTGGAACTTTTTTTTCTCAAATAAAGTTAGTTCAGTAATTGTAATTTTCGTATTTAAATAATAATTTTATTACTAGTAATTTTTTTGTAATTAACATTCATAGCATTATTTTTTTTTTTGCTAATACATTCATAGCATTATTATTGTAATTAATATTGCTTATGTAAATAGTTTTATTATAACTTGATTGAATACATAATTCAATGTTATGTTTAAAGAAATTTATTTTATTATACTTTATTATATTTCTTTTTCCAATACCACATCAGTTATCTGGACTCTGATTAATATGAAAATTATTCATTATTTATTGATCATATCATTAATTTTTAAAAATAATTGAATAATGACTATAAATAGATAGCGATTAATAATTATACTATAAAATATGTGAGAGAGATTCTAATATTTTTCGTTTATGAAATTATTTTAAAAATACTAATATATCATTTATCTATGTAAATTTATAAATAAACAAATAAAATAATTAAATACAAATAAAAAGGTTTTTTTAATAATATTTTATGCATTTTATTTTATTTTTTATTTAAATATTTTCTGTTATTTATTTATATAAATTAATAAGATATCATACTCCCATTATATTTTATTAATTATTGAATAAATTTTTAAAGTATAAATTTTAATTTAAATATTTAAAAAATAGAAAGATTAAATATGAACAATTAAAATTAAGAAGACTAAAATTATATAATATATATTAAGGTATAGAATTAAAATTGCAAACAAGTCAAAATATTAATAAATAACAAATAGTCACATGCAAGATTAGATGATACATATATTACAATATTTTATAACCTTTTCTTACCTCACTTTGATGTTAAAAAATAATTTTCACATATATACTCTAGGCATATATCGTTTTAATATTTCATATGATTACTTAAATAAATATATCAGACACCCACTGTTTGTTAATTCAATTAATACTGATCAAGTGCCATCCGAAGAGGAATGCATCTACATGATTAAATAAATGACTCTAGAGGTTACGTAAACAAAATTTATAAATTGTTGTAGATAAAACGCAAATAGTGAGCTTTATCAACCACATATAACCATTGTTTAGTGAGTGAGTTACAACTCATATTTGACACCAAAATCAAATATTTAAGTGGTGTTTTACAGCTCAAATAGTGAAGTACATGGGTGACGTTCATTAATGGAGTTTACACCATATATAGGTTGCATTTAGCCAAACGCATGCAGATTACAATATCTCAAGGCTCAAAGTGCATCGAGTATAATAAGTGGGTTGAGTATGCAGATTACTAAAGAGATGGAAAACCACTCACTGAATGCATGATTATGCGATAGCTTTAATTTCCCGAATAAGGTTGGCTAGTAGTAAGAAAGAGTTACAAATTCACTCTTCTAGTAAATCTTTCAATGAGACATTAGATGCCATTTGTTTTTATTATTTAAATTTTTGCATAGTCACTTGCAATTTTAAAAGCACGTTTTGTTTTATTCATTGATTGGCATGACCACCATGTAAGTAGAGGTGTCTGTGGTTCTATTTTAATTTAATTTTTCATTCAAAAAAGTGTCCAAAAAGAATATAAAAATGGATCGATTTAAACGTAAGTGGTGCCTCTGGCTCCTAATATCTTCGAATCAAGCTATATATTGGAGCAGCATGTCTAAATTCTACAACATCCTCTGTGAGCAAATTGCTAAAATTGTTAAAAGAAGAACGCATCCTCTAATTAACATGGCGTAGGTGTCCACGTTTTCCTCTGGTCTAAATATAAATAATTAAGAAATTACCTATTTGGAAAATTTTGGAATTCTTTAACATATATAAATACTTTAGTAAACATCTAATTAATTTTCACTGAATGATACAAAACAAGTGAATGTTTCAAAACGTTAAGTGTCTTCAATGAAAGAGGAAAATTATCGCATCGCCAGGTAAAAATATGATAAATGTGCTCAATCTAAAACAAATTTAAAATTAATATTTGCACACTTGCTTCAATTATTCTTTAAATAAATTGTAAATTGTGTTTGTTCATTCAGTATTAAAGATTTTAATCTACCTCTACGTATCCAAGGTTAGTGATTATTTTAAGCAATAACATTTCTAGAAACTATTTTATTTTTTCAACATTATATTTTCTTTCTCATTTTGTTATATGACTTTGAATAATATTTCTAATTCAATTTATATTTAATTATAAAAAATATATCTCTTTAATTTAGTTTTACTCAGTGTAATAAAATATTTAATAATGATATTTTATATTTTATTAATTTTTTAAAATAATTATATAATATATCACCCTTTTTTTTATTATTTATGTACAGAGAGGGAAAAGTATTGTTATTTATTTATTAATATAAACATTTAAAACAATATTAAGTAGTCTAAAGATTAAAAAATAATTAATAATAATAAATAAATAAATAAACTATTATAAATATATATATATATATAACAAAATTAAAAAATAATTTGTATATTTTTAAAAACAAATAAAAAAAAGTTAGCAAAAAATAAAAATAAAAATACATTTTTAAAATTTTATTTAATTTAATAATGTTTACGCAGTATATAAACATTAAATAATTATTAAAAACAAATTAAAGAATTAAATGATGATTAACAAAAAAAAAAAAGAGAATTAAATGATGACCTTGTGTTGTGGGATGGATCTCGAGAGAAAGAGCAATGGTGACACGTAGAAATTGAATAGTAGAACAGAACAAAGTTTAGCCCTACTCTAATCGGATTGAGATTTCAATTTTGAACAGAAAAACCTAATGTTTCATGGATTCAATGCGTCGCCATTCTGATAAGTTGGATCGAGAACGAAGGTGCTCTCTCTTCTCACTCCTTATGTTTTCAACTCCATCAATCGCATAGCATGGTTTTCAATAAATACACACATTCTAGTTCTTGTAAATTACTGAGATTTTTCATTATTGGGATGTTGCCTGTAGTCCCAAGAGATATAGAAGGGATGTTAAGGAAGAAAATAGAGGAGGAGGTGGCCACCATAATCATATGAATCATCATGAGCCTCGCAAACATTCTTCTCAACCACCAAGATCTCGTTCTTATTATCAGGTCATACCAATTTTATTTTATTTTTCAATTGAATGCATCTTGTTTGCCTGTGAACCTAGTTCTGCCCCTAATCGTATTCAAATTTGCATATTCACTTGTATTAGATTTGGTTGTTGTTTAACCCTTTTTTGGTTCCTAGTGACTGCCTAACCAAAGGGATTTTTCTTTTGTTTTAAGATCCATGATTTCTATATTCTTAAAGAGGAGTGTTACATGTGTACTGTACACTATCCACTGGCTAATTCATTCCCCAACATAAAGTAGTGAACTTTAGCTCAAGGTTATTGTATATCCTTGGGTTGCATATAATCGGTCGTATTGTGGCTAGTATACAATGGTTTAGATGTACTTCTTTGGTGCCATTGTCTATCGGGTACAAGTGGTAATTATTCAAGATTGTCGATTCAAGATTGCTATATAGTGTTGTTATACCAGGTGAAATATAAGCTTGAAATGCCATGAAAAGACAACAACTGGCATTTGCTTCGAGGGCTAAATATTGTATGAACAGTTCAAATCTGCGTAGTTGATTGTGCAAAACGTATAATATGAAATCCTTGGCAAGCATTGTTGACAATAGTTCTTATTTTTACTTCCCTTGACAATATTTATCATCACTTACCTTTCTGTACGCAATATTGAAAATAACATTTCTTAATTATCATTTACGAGATGACTTGGTGATTCATTTAAAATCCCTTTTATATGGTTGATTTTCAATGTATAACCATCTTAGGCTTGCCTATGCATGTTTTATACAGCATGATGAACAAGGAATTACTGGGCAGCTTGATCAAAGCAGGGGTCGAAGGGATGTTGGCGGTGAGCTTCCTTATTTTTATTTTGGATACACACACACACATATGTTCCTTCGGTTTATTGTGCATGGATGATTTGTAGATTGACTCCATACACTGAAGCACAATTTTTCCATTTAACGAAGGAAAAGTCTTCACTCAGAGTAAAGAGAATAATGAAAGGGTGGAAAAAAGTCAAAGTAGAGAGCAAAGAGACGAGAAATCACAGGGAAAACTGGATGATAATTTCCGGAGAAGAAATGGTTTTACTGAAAGAAAAGATGATCCACCTCCTACAGTGAGGAAAAGGCCGGCATTTAGGGAGAAGAAAATTCCAATGGATTCAGGAGATGCTAATCCAGCTCCAACAGTGGCAGTAAAGTCAAGCCATACTGACTACCCTCAAGAAAGAAATGAAAGCAAGGAGGAAAGGAGCAGCAATCCTCATCATCTGGATAAACCTGAGGGGCAAAATGCAGATGACAGAGCACTGAACAAGAGTGAAGTTAGGAGGGATGGCTTTTCATCAAGAGCGATAAGGCATGGGGGCAGTGGAGCCAATAACAATTACAGGGGAAGAGATAAATTTAATAGGAGACAAGGTTATCGTCCTATTACAACACGAACAGAGAAGTGGAAACATGATTTGTATCAAGAGGTTAACAAAGATCCTATTTCAAAGAATGAGGATGAGCAGATTGCAAAGTTAGAAGCACTCTTGGCTTCATAGTATAAAACAGAAGCCAGTATTTGCTTTTTTTTTTTAATTTGATTTTTTTTTTTTCAACTTGTGGCTTGTCGTACAATTCCCAGAGATGATTTGCTTCACTTACCAGTTTCATGATTTCTGTCTCTCTCTGCTTTACGTGTTACCCTCGTATTGCCGAATCTGTTCTATATGATATCAAGTAGTTACTGACTTCACTCTGCTACGATTGCCAGTTTCTGCAAATGTTAACGACAGGGTCGAATCCTAATGACAGTGGAGGTATATATTTTGAAAGTGGAGTAACTTGGTTAAGTTGGTTTCATTGGGGGTCAGAGCAATATGCACCTACAAGCTTATATTACCTGTGAGAACGTGCCAGCACAACATAAAAAGTAAAATTATTTTATACATCGACAGAGAAAGGGTAATTCGCACATTATTTTGGTTTAAATATAATGGATTTAATTTTATATACATAACGCCATTAGATAAATATTTTGTACTGATTTGGCTGTAACAGAATAAAAGAAAATTGTTTCTGTTCAAAATCAAAATCTCTTAACATTCATTGAAGCAGTCATTACAATTGATCCCCTAGAAATTAGGTTACAAGATCAGGAGTATACACAATTATATTACAAATGATAGTCACCCATCATCTTAAACAAATGAATCAAACCGTAAAAGAAACACATAATATCTTAAAGTCCCAGAAGACTATAAATAATTGAAGATTGAACAATCCTATGATGTTATCACTTGCGATTGCGAATGTTGTTGAAATTATTAGTGGGTTGGGCAGCATAAGAAGCAGTAACATTGGCAGTGGGTGGAGCAACAGTAACAGGGCCTCTGGGGCTAACCAAAAACCCATCAACACCATGTCTATGCTCTAAGAATTCAGTTGTGGGTGGCTGGAAATCAGACCTGGTTCTTCTGTGAGATGATCCTGTGAATGAGTCAGATCCCAATAGCAAATGGTAGCTACGGTTTGAGCTCTCAGAATGAGAGAAGCTCCTGAAGCTATGGTGATGAGGCTTTTGCTTCTTCATCACATGAATAAGATATGGAATCAAACCTTCCATTGCTGCTTAATTTGCTCTTCCTTTCACAAATTTTGCCACCTTTGACTATGAATATTGAAAGCCTTGAAGTGAAGCTTGGGTTTTTTTTGCATAGCAGGTTACGAAGGATCACATATTTATATTGCTGGAGCCTGCAATCAGAGATTTTGCAGGACTAAATTGTCAACGCCAAATAATATTCCATTCATATCCTTCTACGAGTACTAGATGTAAAGATAACTTCAAACACTTCTTCCTAGGTAATATATAAAATAATGACCAAGTGCATTATAATAATAATCATAAGGAAAGTTGTTTAACAGATAAATCTCAAATATTATTACTTTTATCAGTTAAAATATGTAAAATGGTTTTGACTTTTGAGGGGTGTTTGAATATTTTCACTCGGTAATTGGCTTTCCGGTTGCAATTGTTGTCAGGTGACAAGTCTGACTACGACTTTTGCTAGATATATGTTCCGTGATATTTGATAGCACCATGTTTTAGTCATATCTTTCAACGAATAATAAGTAACCCGTTGAAGGTTTGACCATATGATTTTCCTTTGGCTGCAATGCCCCATGACATTGCGCGTAGCAAAAGATAGAGCTAAACAGCTCAGCGCCACTTTCTTAAAATGATTGTTTTTGAAAATGATGAGATTGGAATAAAGTTTAGTTTGAGTATAAAAAAATAATAATTTTTTTAATAGTTAAAAATAATTTATGCTTTTTATTTTTTGAGAAGTTTCGTATTAAAATGTTGTTATCATTCTATTATTTATATATATTTTCTTATCTTCTTGTCATCGAAACTAGTTTTGGATAGTCTTTTAATTAATTTTTTATTTTCTCATGTTGACTTATCTTTTTTCTACTAAATTAGAGTTTATATATACAAAGAGTCTGTGTAGGTGCGCACACGTGTATGTGTTTTTTTTTTTTTTTGTCTAATTATAAAAGGCTCGCATAATAGTTTTTAATTGGGTTAAATGCACTGTTTAAGATGAACTCCTTAACCAATAACTAGAGGCTGTTATCTGAATTTGATTTTAACTTTTTTGTTAGGTTGAGTTTAAGTATCTATAAATAAAAAAATTTAAAAATATATATATAGTTATTGTATTGAAATTATAAAAATATAGAATCATTTAAATGTGAGTTTTTTAGCCCAATCTATTTAACTGCATTGAACCTATGGTTAACGAGATAGCATGTGGATATTTTTTTAAAAACAAAAACAAATTTTAAGTTACAAAGTTAGTAAAAATTTAATAAGATTTGAAGGATTTTAAATAATGGGATATTCAAGTTTGAAAAAGGAGTTTAAATTCATAAAATGAAGGCTGAAAAAAAGTGCATAAGCTAGAGAGCTTTAATCTAAAATCGTTTATGCCAACCTTTTATGCTAATAAGTTTATCTTATCAAAGCACCACACAAGCTGGAGTAGCTCAGTTGGTTAGAGCGTGTGACTGTTAACCACAAGGTCTAAGGTTCAAGCCCTTCCTCTAGCGTTTGTTCATTTATTTATTTATTTTCGCTGTTTTGCCAATTTCTAAGCATCAACTGTAAACAGTATTACCTACTCAAAGTAAAACTTTCTTCTAATACTTTTGCATCACTTTATATATATATATAGTATCAGATACATTATACGTAGGACTCTTCCACTTCTATCAAACTCATCACTTGCAGAAACACTGTTATTTACCTACTACATATGAAGTGAGTATAGTAACTAGCTGGCAGATAATATTGCTATGGCTTGTAGCTGCTAGCATAGTTTTCTTTTTGGTTTCATTCATACATGAATTCTTTTCCATTCACACTCCCTGAAAGTCTGATATCAATGTGGTGTCTAACTTGTGTTTCACTAGAGGAGCCAACCAAAATGGTGTGCTGTCCAATGACCAACTTTCTTTTGCCATCACTATCCACATTACTTAGCAATTGACATATATCAATTTTCACCGTTACAAACTCTGTCATCCCCACCACAACTTGTACTCTTTCAAATCCTATCAATTGTTTGATTGGAGCCCCAGTCACCATCTCTGAAGTTGCTGGCTCCCAGAACACTAACACCACATGAGATCCATTAAAGGGTCCATTGTTCTTCACACCAATGACAAGTAAAAATGTCAAATCTTGACAATTTATGGTGGAAACATCAATTGCTTGACCATCAGAGAGAGACTCAAGTTGGGTGGCAGAGTTGGAAGAGAAGATATTATGTGGTTCAGAAATGGATGTGTTCTGAATCATTATGGTGGAGGGAGCAGATGCAATGTATATGGAAAATGTGGAGTAGCTTAATCCATAACCAAATTCATAGAGGGAATTCCCATTATAAAACCTATAGGTTCTTCCATGGAAATTTCTACTGCTGTTGGCTCTCATGTTCATGTCTGTCATGGGCACTTGATCAGCATAAGATTGTGGATACCATGTAAAAGGGGACCTACCACCTAAAAATTAGTACACCACTGTTAGTGTCTAAAGACTTGTTTTGTAGACATCATCTGGTAACAAAGTACTAAAAAATAAATATAGGCATTGTAATACAAAAACTGTACCTGGATTGTAGTCTCCAAATATCGTTTGAGCTATGGCATCCCCCCCTGCTTGACCTGGATACCCCACCCACAATATCCCGCCTATGTTACTAACACTTTTACAGAAAGAAATGTCAATTGGACCTGCTGCCATGATGGCCAAAATAACTGTTCCTTTGGTAGCAGCGGCCACATCTCTCACAAGTTTCTCTTGAAATCCAGGTAATGTCAAGTTCTCTCGGTCAAGGCCCTCAGCTTCAATAGATTGGTCTAATCCCACAACCACCACCACTGCATCAGCAGAGGCTGCTGCCTTAGCTGCTGCTGCAATGAGGTTCTGATCACCACATTTAACATTGCTACAACCAGGTGCATAAGTCACAGAAGAAATGTACTTCTGTAGCCCTTGTAAAGGGCTAGTGTAGCGGCAAGGTATGCCTGCATAGTTGCTAATCATAACTGTGGTGGCATTAGCATTTGGTCCAATCACAGCCAATTTTTTAATGTTAGTTTGGGATAAGGGAAGAGCCCCATTATTCTCCAACAAAACTATTCCTTGCTTTGCAGCATCTAAGGCCAATTGTTGATTGTCTTTAGTACATACATCGGATGGCCCAAGGTTTGCAAATGGCAGCGACTTGGGATCATCAAAGAAGCCCAATCTCATTAGAACTATGTAGTTGTATACTAAGGCCTGGTCTACAGTAGCTACATCTACCTTTTTCAAGTTCACTGCATTTACAGTGTAATTTTTTAGAAAGTTGCCACAGTTCATGTTTAAACCTGCATGATAAGATACCAAATAATTATCCAAAACCAAATCATAAAATTGTAGAATTTGTGCAGCTGCAACTTCAGTTCTACCTGCTTTCAATGCAAGAGCCACTGCATCTTCTGGAGTTGCAGTGTAATGTATTGCATCATAATAGACTTCCACTGAATCACAGTCTGAAACAATGTACCTGTACGGAAATTTTTATGTAACGTTTTTATGTTAGGCTGGGATATGTTATGAATAAATCAAATGACTCGTTGAGGGTGGAAGACAAACCCATCTAGACCCCACTGGCCTCTGATTACCCCTTTGAGAAGGTCTGGATCAGCACATGTAGGAATCCCATTCACTCTATTATAAGAACACATGACACTGCTAACATGCCCCTCCTCCACACACCTCTTAAACGGAGGCTGATACGTGTCCTCCAAGTCTTGCTTTGTCACCTGCAACAACCCCAATTATGCAACAATTATTAATGTATAAGTCATTATGTATATCTTAGTTATACTAACGATGTCTTAAGTCAGAGACATCATTGAAAAAAATTAATCATCTAAATTGATTGACCTCTTTTAGAAAGAATCCCATGTGAATAAAATAAATAATGCATTTTTGGGCATATTACATAACTTGTTCTAGTTTTTATCTTTACCTTTGCATCAAAATGGAAGCGATCAACGCCTTTCCAATTGTCAAGATCATAAGCAGTATAATGCTTACAACAACTTGAAACCTTAAGCCTATCAGCTTTAGCACTTGCTTCATCATCCACTTCTTGTAGGCCACGAACATACTTAACAGCATATGTAGACACCACCAAAGGGTCCTCACCTGGAGTTTCCTGGCCACGTCCCCACCTTGGGTCACGGAACACATTCACGTTAGGACTCCAAAATGTCAAACCAGCCAAATCCACGTTGTACATGGCTCTAGCTTCAGTTGACACAACCTGCCCCATATTGTACCACAAACTTGCATTAAAGCTTGCAGCTGATAATATCACAGCTGGGAAGCTAGTGGCACCTGGCACCCTCTTGTCAAAATGTGTTCCTGGTCCTAAATTGGACACCCCATGAAGTGCTTCTGACCACCATTCATAAGCAGGCACACCAAGCCTAGAAATACCCGCAGAAGGGTTTACTAATTGTTTTGCCTTTTCTTCAAGTGTTAGGCGTGACACCAAGTCCTTGGCCCTTGCCTCGTACGACAGGGAAGTGTTGCAAAATGGGAAGTTGCTAGTTTTAGTTGACCCCTTGTCACATGCATGTTTTTGGCTACCAGTTGGGAGTACCACAAATGAAAGAAAAATGGGTAAGAACAAAAGTTGATTTCTCATGGTATGGTTTACAAAAACTTCATAAAATTATGTAGTTTTTATGTTATGGAGCGTAGCAACCTCTCCTCTTGATTTATATACTACTACAAGATTGTGTGCTTTTTCCTTCTTCATGCTAAAAGTTGGTTGCTTGTGAGTTGGGATATGATCTAGAAGGTACAGTGTATTGTTTCACTGTTTGGTTACTACTTTGGCGGTGATGTAATGCATGTATAATGATTCTACGATGCTTAAACAAAACAAAAGCATCTCTGGTTCTTCCGTGGCATCACTAGTGTAGGGTTCTACATGGTCCAACACATCCCATATCTTGTCCGAAAAATTAGAGAATGGTAACAGTAATTGCGTGGTCACTATAATAATTAATGTGGGTTGATATTATTCGTTATACAAATGGTTTGTCATTGTAATTATGAAAATGGTGGTTCACGTAGGAATGGGATAGGATTGTTAATATGACGTTGCTCAATGAGAGTAGCTTATAACGAAGTTAATGTCAATGTAACTAAGTAATGATGTATATATTTCTTGGGAAATAAGATACTAGTACCTAAGAATATATTTAGGATTAGATAAAAGGGACCAAAGGAAGTGAAAGGGGTACTCATGGTAGGGTGCCTTTGAAGACAAAGCAGATGAAGTGCACGCCCTCTATATGTTCTTTGTCATACAAAGCTTTAACTCTTGATTAATCAACCATTGATATTTGGGCCTGACCCAACTAGTTAAGGACTCCAGTTTTTACAATAATGGTTAATGTTTACTAATTAGTTAGTAGTACAATTTATTAAATGCTAATGGTGAAATTACGTGAAGTTTTTTCTTACAATTTTTTGAATATTTTTATTTTTATAATATTTTTATATATCAAGTCAATCTACCAAGTTGATAGGTTAAATGGAATTAAATTTTTTCTTGACTTATCATAAAAGTGAATCAAGTTTAATTAATTTACTTTTAATTTAACGTATTATGAGACATTTACATGATTCGTTTTCACAGCTTAAGATAATAAAAAAAATTAAGCTATTTACAGTTAATTTTATATAAAAGTATTAAATAAATATTTAATTAAGCTATTTACTAAACCTAATCTTTTCGAATGAAACACCATTTGGAAATACGAGAGGATACAAATTTAAAAAAATTGATAAAAGTATTTATTGCGTGCATTTAAAAGAAAAATATTATTCACCTAGGGATGTATGTGAGATATATTTTTGTTTGCTCTGCAAATTTTCTGCAATAAATGTTCGATTTCTTTGTCTTAACGCTCTGTCACCGCGCGTGGTCATGCAAGGGCTATTCAATTGTGCTTATAAATGGACTGTACCGGTGATGTGATATATGTGAAACAAGCCAAATTTACCAGTTTTATAAAATATATTTTTATATTCTATTTTTATTTCATTTTTATTTTTTAAAATTTATAAAAAGGTATTGAAAACGTATTTTATATTTTATTGTTTTCTACACAAATCTTTAAAAAAATAAAAATAAATAACATTTTTATTATTAAAAATAAAAACAAAAAAATTAAAAACCAAACAGACTAACTTTCCTCATCAGGTTTCACCTACAACCTGACAAACCGTCTTTTAAAGAACTTTCTTTATTATTATTGTTTTCACATTTAAGACTTTAAAAATGTTTTTATAAAATAATAAATAATTGAATAAATGTTTTATTATATTTTTTATTTTTATAAATAACAAATATTTAATGAAAGTTTATATATGTATTATAAATTTACATTATATTGTTAAAATGTATAAGATTATTATAAAAATGAAAAAAAATCATTAACATCTCATTTTTTTTATTATTTTTATCAAATAAAATCAATATTAAAGATAAACTTATAAACGAGTTAACTATTTTTTTATTTTAGAAAACTAAAATAAAATTATTAAAGCATTAAGAAAAAGGAAAAAGTACTACTGTACAGTTGAATTTGAGTTCCACCAATGAGCGATGGCTGTGTAGATAAAAGCCATACGATGACTGTCAGGCAAAAATAATATGAATGATTCTAGATCCTTTTATCTTATATATTTATATTTTAAATTATTTAATAAAAAAATATATTAAATTTTTAAATAAAAAAAATATTTAATATTTATTTCATAAATATTATATTATTTAACAATATTTAATATTAATTTATGTTATGTGTTAATAACAAATTATTATTTTTAACTATATTTGTTATTTACAATAATTTTTCTCTTATAAAAAAATTTCTAAAAGTTTATCAAAATGGGCATATAAATATCATAAGATAAGAATCTAAAATTAAAATCCTTGTATGATAAAAATATTTATTTTATATTATATTATTTTTCTTTTTAATAAATGATTATTGTTGAATAAATATTGTATAACGCTTGTTATATAACTTGAGACACTTTTTTCCCCTATTTGAGCAGCCTTTTATTTAATGAGATTAATATAACATTTATTTAAAAAATTATTAATTAATAAAATTTCTTGTGCTCTTAATCTTCACACGATTGAAATATAAGGGTGCGCCTACGGGATTGTCCACGTGTCATTGAAGAACACTTGTCACTATGGTTATTGGCTGGAACGCGTCATGTGCTTTCTCATTGCTCATTTCTCATATTATAATGAGAAACGTTTTCCGCGTGGACCTACTTTTATATCCAAGTTTAAATAAGTGTTCTTCATTTGCTATTATAGTAAAACTATAATTACTCCATATTAAGAAATAAATTTTATTAATTTCAAATTTTAAAATTAAATTTAAACATTCATAAATAATTTTTTTTATAAAAAAACATATAATTATTATATTGAAATTATAAAAATACATTAAATATTTTTTTAAAAAAATTATTATTATTAACTATTTATCTTTAATTTTAAAATATATTAGATGTCTTAAAATTTAGTATACATATGATTAAAAATTTAATATAATATTTATTTATTTAATTTCTATTGCATTTCAATTAAATTTAAGCTGAAGTGGATGTGTGCCTTTTCATAACTTGATCCAAAAATCTAACATGATAAATTTATTAGCTTTTAAATATAAATCAAACACGTTGTCGTACGAAGTGCACAATCACGCAAAACGACAGCATATGGTGGTCATGGACGGGGACTATAGCAAATACTGACTCTTATGACTTTTAGTTTTTTCATTGTTGTATTTATTTATCAATTTCAAATGTTCAACGAAATTGAAAATTTCATTAGTATTTTAAAATTAAAACATAATAATTTGTAGGCAATAATTCTAATAATAACGAAAGCATTAATTTAAATTTCTATGTTAAAATCTTAAAGTGACATATAATAACTGAAGTAATTAGAACAAGTTAATAACGGTGCTGTTGTTACTTTATGACTATACTGATACTGTATTCTCATTATTACATACTTCATTGTCTCATAATTTTATTAATTGAACTGATTTAAAGGGCAATGTTTATTATTTAGTGACAAAGTATGGTTCTGATTGTGAGTAAATTGAATTTGCATGAAGCCAAGTTGACGATGAACATAAATATTTAAGTAAAGTACTCGTTTAAGTTGCCTCAACTTCACTATAATTCATTCATTCATTGCATTTCGTACTCATTATTATGCTATTTGACTTCATCAGGTAACCTTATTTAGTTACGTGGCTTTCAAATTTTGAGAAAACGAACAAAGAACACAATTAATATGAATTCACAAGTCCTTTTCTAATCTTGACATTATTTTTATGAGAAAAATATGTTATTTTATTGAGTTTGATCATGGGATCATGTATGCTCCGATTCATTAAATAAAGGGTAGGTAGGATGAATTTAGAGGTATACACTACCCTTTTTCAAACCTGAACCCGTCCTGTTATAAATTACAAACTTTTAAGAATATCATAAATTTTAATTAAATGGTTTAAATATGATAAAACATGATATATTAATGATATTAAATATTAAAATTTATTATTTATCAATTTCATAATGCATATTTTGAATACACGTTAAAAAAACTGCAGTTGATATATATAAAATCAAATTTTATTTATTGAAATTATTCAAATTTATATGTAATGAATTATGAAATTCTTTAAATTGGTTATATTATTGGTTAATCAAAATATACACTTTATATTTTACTTTTTAAAGTACATTTTATAAAACAAAAAACATTGAAAATTTTGTCAAGGGAAGGAGAGCGAGAGTGACTATATCTTTCATTGACTAATTGCATGTGTATATGGGTTATTTCTCAGAAAAATAATCATTTTTAAAAAATCCATAAAACTAATAAATAAATAAATCTATATATATAAAAAATTAACCAAACATATTCGAAATGTTAACAGAAAAAAAAAGACTATTATTCTTAAATAAAACACAGCGAATCATGGGTGGTGACTAAAGACAGAGAAAAAATGAAGCGTGTTGGGTGACAAATTTGTTTATAAAGTATTATATTATTCCTCTTTTGAGTAATGATACATTTATACTGTATAATTTTTTTAATTAAAAAATTCTTTTTTTTTTTTTTTTTAATTACACTGTCCATCTTATTCATTACTCATTTTCATTAAGTAATGTCTCTCCAGTTAAGCAATCTTACCCCCAGTTAACGTATATCACTAAAATGTCTTAAATGTAACATCGTTAAATATATTTACTATTTTGTATTTGCAGTTTTTATTATTTAATTATTCTTAAATTTACTGACCCTCCAGCATATAGGTTAATACTCTATCGATAGAGGGTTTTTGTGATTAATTAGCCATTCCGATTTTAAGATCTGAAAACATATTTGTATTGAAAGCTTCATAAAGAAAAGATTTTCACACTCAATTGTTGTAGCTAGGTTCATTGCAAATAAGATGGTACAAACCTAATATTTAACTTTCTACTTAATTTTAAAGATATTAAATTTCATTAATTTAACTGTTAAAATAGTCATTTTTATAATAAAATTAAATTTATACTTTTGTATAAATTAAATTTTTGCAATACTTATTTATTTTATATCTTTTAAATCATATTAAACTATAAATTTATTTTTTATTTTCCAAAACCTGTCTAATCATGATTAAAATTTTAAACTTATCTTTGCTTTTATTTTAAAATTTTCTGAAAAAAACAAGCACAAACAATTATTGTCTCCGTTGAGATATGGTGATGTCGATCCAGCAGCACACTGCACACGATGTGTTTGGTTTTATAGGATTGGTAGTGATATAATATATACGATATGCTGATAAGAAGAAAATATATTAAATAAAAAATGGATAAATATATATATATATATATAAAAAAACCAATCAACTAAATCTTGATCAACAATAAAATCAAAGAATTTAATTAATCAACTAAACATGTTTATGAATGCATTATATGCTTAATGGTTAAGAATAGCAATTTCAGTTTGTGTCTCCGTGGAATCAACAGAGAAAAAGATCTTTGCGTTTCCGAGTCTCCAAGTTTCTGTAGACTGCGTGAGACTCGTTGTTGTGAGCAAACATAAAAACGCAACTCAAGTTCCTTACTTTGTTTTGTTTCCTCTCAAACAACAAAAAAAATCCCACTTTCTTTATTTTACTTTTAATAAGAGTGTGTGAGTAACGGAGCAAATTTTATCCCTTTTTCTTCACAGAAGCGTTCTCTGAAGCAGACCCATTTTGGAGTTTGGAAAACCCTACGGGTGTTCCAAAATGAAGCTTCGGAGATCTTCTTTGGGTGTGTTTCTAGGGTTTCTGTTGTTGTCGTTTTCGCCGGCGTCAATGGCGAAATTCGTGGTGGAGAAGAACAGCTTGACGGTGACGTCGCCGGATGACATCAAGGGCACGCACGATAGCGCGATTGGGAACTTTGGGATACCCCAATATGGAGGAAGCATGGCTGGGAACGTGTTGTACCCAAAGGACAACAAAAAGGGATGCAAGGAGTTCGATGAGTATGGGATTTCCTTCAAATCCAAGCCCGGTGCTCTTCCCACTATCGTTTTGCTCGATCGAGGAAGTATGGTTCTTTTACCTGCATATTTGATTTTGAGGTTTGGGGTAACTTTTTCATATTTTTGTTTCTGTGGTTTTGTAGCTGGTTTTGCTTTGTTACTAAAGCGATTTTGTCACTTTGTTGATTGTTTTGCTTGTTGCTGAGCTAAAGTTGTTTGCTTTTGTCAGTTTAATTGCACTGCCATGCTCTTTGGTTCGTGGAAATTTGCTTTTGCATGTTTTTATGTCTGCTTGAAATTTGGATTAATGGTTTTGTTTTTTCCATTGGAGAAAAATATTTTTGCTCCATTAGTTCGTTTTGGGTTAGTTGATAGTTAAAGATGGGTGTTTAGGTTTTATTTGATGATTGAATAATTTATGAATTCAAATTTGTGGTTTGCTTTTACAGTTTTACACTGGTGCTGAGAAAGTGAGAGTTGAGTGGGGGCTATAAGTATGACTATGTCTTGAAATGTTCTCTTGGGTTTACACTTAGTGCTTTTCTTTTGTTCCTTGTAGATTGCTTCTTTGCTTTGAAGGTCTGGAATGCCCAGAAGGCTGGAGCTTCTGCTGTTCTTGTTGCGGATGATATTGAGGAAAAATTGATAACCATGGACACACCTGAAGAGGATGGGTCATCTGCAAAATATATAGAAAACATAACAATACCATCAGCTCTCATTGAGAAAAGTTTTGGTGAAAAATTAAAGAATGCCATAAATAATGGGGAGATGGTCAACGTCAATCTTGATTGGAGAGAGGCTGTCCCCCACCCAGATGATCGTGTAGAGTATGAATTGTGGACCAACAGCAATGATGAGTGTGGAGTTAAATGTGATATGTTGATGGAATTTGTGAAGGATTTCAAGGGTGCAGCGCAGATATTAGAGAAGGGTGGTTATACTCAATTTACGCCCCATTATATAACTTGGTACTGTCCTCAGGCATTCACATTAAGCAAACAGTGCAAGTCCCAGTGCATAAATCATGGAAGATATTGTGCTCCAGATCCCGAGCAGGATTTCAGCACTGGTTATGACGGGAAAGATGTGGTTGTTGAAAATTTAAGGCAGCTATGTGTTTTCAAGGTGGCAAATGAAACCAAAAAGCCTTGGGTGTGGTGGGATTATGTCACTGATTTTCAAATTAGATGCCCAATGAAGGAGAAAAAATACAACAAGAAATGTGCTGATGCTGTCATTGAATCACTTGGCAAGTGCATCATTATTGTTTATTATGTTTTTCATCAGTGATTGATGGTGACTTCTCAAATATGATTATTTCAATATCTGCAGGCCTTGATATTAAAAAAATTGAAAAGTGCATGGGAGATCCAGAGGCTGATTCTGAAAATCCTGTTTTGAAAGAAGAGCAAGATGCCCAAGTATTCCTTTATAACATTGATTAGTTTTTTAGTTTGTCATCATTTAATTGGTTGTTATGTATAGATATTTAATGAACTAGTGTTTTTCAGGTAGGGAAAGGGTCGCGAGGTGATGTTACCATATTGCCTACTCTTGTTGTCAACAATAGACAGTATCGAGGTTTGTATTGTATGCTTCTCTGATAGATATTGACTGGCATTTTTTATTCTTATGTATTTTTTTAATGCTTTTTCAGGAAAATTGGAGAAAGGCGCTGTTATGAAAGCTATTTGTGCAGGTTTTGAAGAAACAACTGAACCAGCTGTTTGCTTGAGCAGTGGTAAATGTTGACTTCAGTGTGGGGTTAGGGGAACTATTTTTGTTTACTTTTTAGTTTTGAAGCTGAGTTGATATGGGTGGCAAACTTTTATTGGCAGATGTGGAGACAAATGAGTGCTTGGAGAACAATGGTGGTTGTTGGCTGGATAAAACAGCTAACATCACTGCATGCAAGGTATTTGTACTTTAGTGAAAATAACTATCTAACTAGAGATCAATTCTGGTTCCAGTTCTCTGTATTCATGATTATATCTGTGAATATTTTCTCAGGATACATTCCGTGGGAGAGTATGTGAATGCCCCTTAGTGGATGGTGTGCAGTTCAAAGGAGATGGTTATACAACCTGTGAAGGTTAAAATATAAACTTATCTATTTGCATAAACTTCATCCAATTCTGTGCATGTTACTTGTATTTGAAGAAAAATAAAAGGATGAAATTAGAAGGATGCGAATATAGCATTGTGAACAATGATCTATGATTGTCCCATGCATAAAAGTCACTTTCATCATTCCTCAAATTTTTTTTGTGAAGATGTTACACTTAAATGAAGTACAGTGGTTCAAGGGGTAATTGTTTACTAATTGCGGTCAATTTGGTGCACTGGTTAATATGGTCAGATGATCCTTTTACAAAATCTATTTTTTTTAAGGTTAAATTACTTTATATGTCATTGTAGTTTTACTGAATTTTTAATTAGTGTCCTAAACTAAGTTTCTAATGCTATAGAAATTATTTAATTGATCCCTACTGATTGACAGCTGTTAAACTCCATTAATGGATGTTTAAAGTCATTTGCATGTCATTTTGTGCTTACTATGACTTGTTTTGAGGACCTAATTTTAAAACTTCCTGATCATTAGGAACCTAATTAAAATCTTAGTTAAAATGTGTGGACCTATTGAACAGGGATACTGTTGAAAGCTTTTAACCCTAAATTATAAAAATTCAATAAAATTATTGGAACCTAAAATATATATTGAGTATTTTAACCATTTTTAAAATGTGTATTCATAGTTTCATTCAACAAGTTTCTTCTGGGTTTGCAGCTAGTGGACCTGGGCGGTGCAAGATAAACAATGGAGGTTGTTGGCATGAAGCTCGGAATGGACATGCATATTCTGCTTGTTCGGTTAGTAATTTATAAGTTTCTCAACAATTGAAACTCCACTCAGCCTGTATTTGTCTTCACCAAATCTTTAACATTTGAAATTATATTGGTTTGTACATACATAATGGAAACTGAATTATGACATAAATTGTCGTTTGCTTCATGAACAGGATAATGGAGGGGTTAAATGCCAGTGTCCTGCTGGCTTTAGAGGTGATGGTGTCAAAAGTTGTGAAGGTGAGAAATATTGATATTGTTTTTTATTCATTTCTTTTCCTGGAGTGAGCCCTTGTGCAATATTCAGATTATCTAGAGCAGTAAGACATACACCTGGAATAGAATCTGGATCCTATTTTTAATGTTGTTCTGGTATATGTGGATATTCTTGTCGTTTCATGAATGTGGATTTATTTAGAGGATCCATGTTTTAGTGTATATGTGGATTATTGTTGCAAAGCATGGTTTGAGACCTAACCGAAAATCAATTTTTTCCTTTCTACTCAAACCAATGCTTGAAGATCCAAAATTCTGTCTTAACCCAAATCAACTGAATTTTACCAAACATGTTTTGATAATGAAAATCTGTTTGCACTTTCTAAAACGTTGGCTTGTCTACTCTAGGAGAAATAATAAAATGACAGGCCAGAGTTAATGATAAAGTAGTTATATGACAGGGCAGTTATGTAACAATTATTTATTTGTGTGATTAGACAGATGTAACAGTTATTGGTGCTGCAGCAATTATTTAATTGTAATAGGGAAGTAATGTAACAGTTATTTCGTTTTATGATGTGTAGTTATCAGAAGGTTAAGGGGGAGTTTGCTGCTGTATGATGTATTTTCACATAAAAAGTAAAGTCACATGATCGATTTAAAAAGTCATGTGATCAATTTTTAAAGACGTGTGACTTTTATGTTTTATCCTAACCATTCATGGTAGGATTTTTATTCTTATTCTCGCATAAAAAGAGCTTTCTGTAACACACAAAATATTTTGAACTAAACCAATTGAGACCTTAGGACAAATAAAAATGACTAAAAATAGGAAGATGTATTGCTGTCTCAGTAAGTAAAATTGGCTTTTATGTAATTTATACTTGGATAAACCATATCTTAAGTTCATCGTACCAATAAATTAGTTGTGTATTTTTGGTAATCATTTAACTTGACATTGTTAATTGATGATACCTGGGAATGTTTTCATCCTAACTAAAATCAGAATATCTGAAGCTGAATCCTTCTGTTTCATCGATTCAGACATTGATGAATGCAAAGAGAAGAAAGCTTGTCAGTGCCCTGAATGTAGCTGCAAGAATACTTGGGGCAGCTATGACTGCAGTTGCAGTGGGAATCTCCTGTATATCAGAGATCATGATGCCTGCATAAGTGAGTTAAATACACTTGTTCTTTTTGTTGCATGAACATTTGAATTGCTTGGTTTTATGTATCCGATTGGGGGTATTCTGCAGGTAAAACTGCCAGTCAAGAAGGAAAATCTGCTTGGGCTGCTTTTTGGGTCATTCTAGTTGGCTTAGTTGTGGCTGCTGCCGGGGCATACCTTGTGTACAAATATAGAATAAGGGTGAGCTTACATTATCACAGTTTGGTGACAATATTCAATGCCTTTTTTTATTTGACTCTAAATATTTATTGTTGTGGCATGCTATGAGATTCGTTAAATTCCATAAATAGCTGAGGTTTAATAGAAACTCAAATATTAGAACATGCATGTGTAGCATAAAAATTTGCAGTCTCTTGTGCATCTGCATTTCTTTATTCATTATTTTCTGCTTCTGTAAAGAAGCAAAAGACGTTTCCTTTGTAATTTACAAATATTTTTTCTTGGTGTTTTGCAGTCTTACATGGATTCTGAAATTAGAGCCATCATGGCACAATATATGCCCTTGGACAGCCAAGGAGAAGTTGTAAACCATGTGAACGAAGATAGAGCTTGAAAGGAAACACTTATCAACCTCTAGGGATATCATGTGTGAAGCCTGGGCGTGGCTTAACCTGTGTACCTTGTTGAGTTGTTCAGAATTCTGAATATTTGAATTTAATAGACTGTATCCTATGGACAATAAAAAATTCAGAATTAGATAGTTGTCCTACGTTTTTAATGGTAATGTAGTAAGTTGTATACTTGAAAAGGATGAATTTAGGGCAGATTTTAAATTATTTCATTTCACAAGATTCTAGTATTTCTGTTTGTGACATGTTTTGTTTCCACACTTTTGATTGTAACCTATGTGTTGACCAAAAAGAGATTGTAACCTATTTTGTTTTTTAGTACAGGCTTAAGTGAACAACACTACTCAATAGATGTAGAACCACCCGTTGCGCTGCTATGTTAATTTTTCAAAAAAATTTAGTAATAATCAGAGATATTAAGAATGTAAGAATACATGGATGTAAATATTTTTTATATTGAAATTAAAATAGTATTTAGATGTTATACATACGAAAATTATGTTGAACAAGTTAGTCAATAGCTTAAAATATTGAGAAGTAATAAAAATTTATTGGGAAAGAAAATATTTATTTTATAAAATTCTATTGTATTGAGATACTTCAAGTTAATCTTAAAAGTTGGTGTTATCATTTTCTTTATTAAGAATGTATTGTGTGTGTGTGTGTGTGTGTATATATATGCCATGAGCATTACATGCTAATATCAATTTAAAGAAGTGAAGTTTTCTTCTGTGATGGCTGCATGAAATAACATTCCACTTGTGAGAATGGTGATGCATTTTATAATTAATGATTTCATTTCTGATCTACAAATGAATGCACATCAGCTCTGCGACAGAATTTAGACATAGTAGGCATGAATCATATTTATGTAGTAAATAATAAATATATCAGATTAATCCAATTAGTATTTAGTAGAAAATACACTTTGTATTTGGTATAAATTAGCACGTTTTCCCTTATTCGTAGTTTTCAATTAATGATTATATGTAATTAGTTCAAGCATGTAAGAGATGGAAAATTTTCATGTCCTGTGTTTGGCACATGAAATAATTTATAATAGTCGAACTACAAAACATTGAGATAATTGCCTCCTTTTCTCTCTGTATTTTAAATAACTTATAATTAAAATTTTTGTAAGGTTTTTTTAAATTATTATTTTCTTTATTTTTCTGAAGAAGAAAACAAATTCTTGGAACAGCTTGGCCTCACAGATGCTCTGCATTGGAGTCCGATTAACCGCCTATTTGCTTTAACGTTGCATTGCCATCAATCGATTCTCAATTCAAAATAAACGATGAAGAGATGTTTAACACGAAATTCAAAGTATGTTAAACGGCAATAACTATTTTCTACTTACGAAGATATTGATTCCAAACTTCATACAATCAGACTCTAATTCATTTAAGAGAAAATTACTATTTAAATCTTTAAAAGATGCACGATTTTTTCAATGTTTTCTAAAAATTTAAGTAATGGAGTCATTAAAAGTTTAAATCTATTCTAATCCAGTCTTATGCAACCTTATTGAGTATGACATGACCAAACTCAGATGAAATTAAATATTTAATTAATCAATCTATAAAGTTTGCCTTTCATTCATTTTTCAGGTCAATTTTGCTGAAATATAACTGTGACCGTTGCTTATAATTACAAACAATCTTGTAATCTTCATTACAATTATATACAAGGCAAGATGCAAATAACTCGAGGGCTAGTAAAATGTTGAAACCAAACTTGGATTATCCCAAAAAACATGGATAGAGTAAAAAAAATCAACTCAAAATGTTGTCTCATGGTTAAAAGAATACACAAGGCTCGCTTGATTAATTAATTTCAAACATCCTCGGATTAAATGCCAATTAATAAACGCTTATGAACCAATCAGAAACATCACAAAATGCCAAAATGGCACCCTCAGCACTCAATTGCGCATCCCTTTGCTATGCTATATATTTATGGATGTTTGGTTGGTGTAATATTGAGGTCTAGTCCAATGTTCATTCCATTGTAAGCAATTGGAGCGTACATCCAGAGATCATCAGAGCTCAGAAGCTGTTAAATTGAAATCAGAATACATGGAAATATGAATGAGTCCCTATATTTCCTGAAAATATACTATGGATTGCACTGAACTAAAATTTGAATGCAGATTAGGACTAAGGAGATGTTACCTTAATTTGGAGCTGTAAAAACTTCACATATTGGACAGCTTCCTCAAGCATGGTGCTGATATCCACCTGCAATTAGCAAACATGAAAATTTCATAATCTAAACCAATTGTTTTACCATAGTAATATTGCAATTGAAAAAACTACCTTTGTTCCATTAGGGACTAGATTTTGTAGGATTCTCAACCTTTCATTTATTCTTTCTCTTCTTCTCTGCGTTATACAAAAGGAAAATCTCTTGAAATCTAATCCTTCACACTTCACAATACATATACAACAGTACAAAATCATAAATTATTAGCATGGTTTAATGAAATGCACTTGACAAAGGACATACTCTTGCATAAACACTTTGTGGATCAGTGGCAGAACCTCTATTAGATGTTGATTTTTTTCCTTTTAAATTCAGAGCTGTAGAATCCTCTGGGCTAAAACTTGAAGATCCTCCTCCATTTAGCTCCTGAGAAGCATTGGAATCATCATCCTCTGAGCAGCAACTGCTCAAGCTTTGACCCTGAAGATCACCATTTCTACCCTCTTCAGTGTTGCTTATAGAAGCCAGTTTTGATTTCTTCATCGATTTAACATTTCTCTTACCCTTTCGGACCTATGAAATTATTAAAATCAAAATTATCAAATCTTGATTAGAACCTCTCAGAATCAAATACCATAAATTCTTCAGGAAAAGCAAATGCTTATATAATTATATTACAAGGACTAGGAAACAACATTTGTGATTTATTTATTGAAAAATGTGTTATTATACCTGCATTGAGCTCCTAGATCTTTTCTCTGACTTCTCAAGATTGTTGTTTATACCCTCTTCTGCTGGTTCAGAAACCAGTACTTCACATTCCTTGTGATCCTGCATATTCTTGTCAGCAACAACCTCCAGACCTAACTCTTCATCAGTGTTTTCATTTATCTGTTGGCTGTCATTCCCTTGAGTGCTATCTCCTAAGGAAAAACCTGAGTTCATGTAGCCAATGTTGGCTACTGAATTATTCAAGCAGCAGTTACCACCACTTGTAGTAGGAAATGTATTGCTACTCTCAGAAGTGTAGCTACTTCCTTGTAAGAAACAAAAATAATTAGCATTACTATTATCAACATTTGCAGGAAAATCTGAACTTTTATTGATGCTTGTCACGCTCACTATTGTTGATTCATGACCAGGCCATATTGCAGATGGAATTCCCAAATTAAAATTTCCATACAAATGCTGAGGGACTGAGCAGTCACCAAGCAGCTGGCTCATAAAGTCAGCTTCCTCAGCTGTGTACAACCCACTAAGAGAACTCCATTCTTCAGAAATTTGCTCAGCAGGATCCATTTTCTTTCTTTGGTATGCCTCTTTTTTTTTCTTTTGATATTGTAGAAAAGGCTACACTTGATTCAATGCTCGAATGAGATCAGTACTCTATTTATACCCAACAAGTAGAAATAATATACCACTACGGATTGACTTCATCCATATAAAAATATCCCAGTTCATATTGCCAATAATTGGCATCTGACAAAGTCCTATACCCTTAATTCAATATGCATATGTGTCCTTGATGGGACCACTGATATAACTAACTCGAGGACCCAGTTCCAAGTATTTGGTTTACATAAGAATGTCATAATTAAACCCTATACGGATTTCCTAGACTTGAAAATTCCTCCCAAGGATGAGAGAGAAGCACAATATTTAAGTATTTGTTAATGTCTGAATGAGAATGGGATTTGAAAAGGAGATAGAGAAAACGAATTACACCTGTTAATTGTGAGACCGACGTGGGGTTGGCTCTTTTTTAAGGTCTAAACTATAGTTATCTTCCACAAGAAATAATCTTACCCGAGTCAGAAATATCTATATTATGATGAGGCTAACTCTCCAAGCGAGAATTTTTTATATATATATCAAATTTGAACCCAAAATCGGCCTTGAATATATTATAAGAATTCTGTATTAGAAAAATAAAAATGACGCATGCAAGAGGGACGGCTTGAGATCGTGGAGATGAGTCTGACATGGTTTGAAACCTAGACAGGATTATCTGCTAACTGTGTTTTTGTCCCCTCCAGAGCTGTTAAAACCTACCACATTCTCTTCATAATTTCAACTCAGTTCAGTTATAGATTTTGCTGACATTACGTGGGTGGATATAATACGAGATTCTGCTGCCGAGTATGTTAATGCTGAGTTGGTATTCTGGGCAAGCAATAATCCAGATATGCATTAGGCTAGAGAACATAGGCAAAATTAATGATTTATATATGAAGATTGGTTCTTGCTTTGATCTATTCTCAATTGTATTTTATGTTTATGATATTGGAATATGTGGACAACAATATATTCTTTCTGATATATCGATTAATAAGATTTCTTGTTTTTTATATCCTCAGTGAGTACGTGAATGCCCGTTTGATAAGATGAAAGATTCTACCTGGCATAAGATTCCTCTTACACTCAAATTCAAGAATGTTTTGCACAAGATTAGTCATGCTACATGCCTTAGCCAAGAATTAGAGTCTTACCTCAACGAAACTCTAACAAGAATCCAACATAAATACTTTACTGTTCCATATTATCAGTTGAGCCAACAAACATTGTCACAAAGAGCACTTGATTATCTCTATTCTTTGTTATTAGAGAGGATGGATTTTCTTTGGCATTGTGGTCCTTTTCACAGATACATTTTTGTTGCCCATCAGGGTGATTGACAATAGTTGATACGCCATCATCATCATGTTCTTGGAGGAGATATTAATCAGTCTTGAATCTTATTGGAGCTGCAATGATTTTCAAGGTGGCAAAATATGCCCGCAAATGTTGAAATTATTAGGATATGTTCGCGTCTGATATTAGTCGGTTTAAGATTTGATTAGATTTTTTTGGTGATGGCTAAGTTGTCTTGGACCTCTTGGTCTTGGAGGTAAATAAAGGCAAGAGATGTTCACTGTAGCATGTTTCGGTAAATATAGGCGTATCTTTCTCTAGTCAATGGTTAAAAATTAATCCTTTTTTAGACATAAATATCTTCAAAGTGAACTTTTTTTCTTTTCATTAATAAAGTCTTTTTTATATACACAACTAAAAATTAAGCCCAAATCAACATAATTTTAGTATTTTAGATATCTATCAACTAGGTCTAATTGTTTTCGTGATAAATTTTAGTAGTTTAGATAGCCTTAGACATAATTATAAATGGGTATATTATAGGCTATAGCCCATATGCCACACAAAGTAAATGAATAAATAATTCATATACGAACAATATTGTCTCGATCTCCATCATCGAATAAAATAGGCACAATTTGCCAAATCTAAATTAAAATGAAAAAAAAAATTAATTACTTCATGTTTCAGCATGCTAGCTGCTCCAAGATTATATTCATTGTCTATACCCAGTTAACTCCAATAATAGATTTGTCTAAATTTTCTCGTCAATGTTGCAGAAACTTTAATTAAGAATTTCTCTTTGAAAAGCAAATAATTTGTAGCATCGCTAATGTATAATATATAGTGGAAGAGATAGAGAAACTTAGAGCAATAAAGTCGAGTGGTGACGAGACAGATGAATAATGTTAATTAGGATTTAATATTTAATATGTAATTAATATGGGGAAAATCATATTAAAATGAAATATTTTTTTAAGAAAAATAATTTATTATTTTTAATAGAATAATATTGCTTTTCAAATAATTTTTACTTTCGTTTACCTTTCCAAATTATTTGTAAATACAAATATACACTCTGCCAAATTGTTTGCATAAGGAATCACAAAGTTAAATTGATGTCTCGTTACTCAGAAGTAAGACAGTGCTTGTTTGATTAATTAATCTCGACCACGGTTTCTAGGATTCACCGCCATCAATACATGTGAACTAAGAAAAATTATAAAAAGGCAATATAAGCTAATTAAATACTATATACTCTAATTTTTATGCTATGATATTCATCTTCCTTTGGTTGGGGAAATACTGAGGTCTAATCCAATGTTTATTCCATTGTAAGCAATTGGAGCATACATCCACAGATCGTCAGAGCTCAGAAGCTGTTTCATCCAAATCAAAAAATTGGAAAACAAAAATGAATTAATCACTATCACTTGCAAGTAAAAAAAATGCATTGCAAGGAAGGTTTTCAAGTTGTTACCTTAATTTGTAGCTGTAAAAACTTCACGTATTGGAAAGCTTCCTCAAGCATGGTGCTTATATCAACCTACAATTCACCAAGAAAGAAAGCTTGAGAGATTGATCACCTTGACCAATTGTTGAGTGATAGTTCAATAGCAATTGAGAAAGCTACCTTGGTTCCATTAGGGACAAGCTTTTGCAATATTCTCAATCTCTTATTTATTCTTTCTCTTCTCTTCTGCACAACACAAGATTTGGACAAAATGAAAGATATTTAGCTGAGAGAAAAGACAAGACTTTTAATACAGTAATAATAAGGACGTGTGCAAAATTATCATAATATTGTTAAAGAAACGCCCTTCAAAGAGAACTTACTCTTGCATAAAGGCTCTGTGCATCAGTGGCAGCACTGCTGGTTGCTCTTGATTTTCTATATAAATTGGGAGCTGCAAGGTCTTTTGATACCCTTCCACTGGGCTCCAGAGAAACATTAGAGTCATCCTTTATGCTGGAGCCATGCCTTTGGAGGCTCAAGCTGCTAGCATCTTCATCATTGCTAATAGAAGTAGACATTGGATTTTTCATCAATTTAACATTCTTCAATGTGCTTGAGACCTACATAATAAAACCATGATCAGAACCACACACAAGTAAACAGCATAACTCAAATGTTCTGAAAGAAAAAATAGAAATAGTGAAATACACATAGCACTAGCTAGCAAGTGCCAGATTTTTAACTAGGTATTATTATTCTACCTCTATTGAGCTCCTAAATCTTTTTGCTGGGTTCTTTCTATCCTCTTCTACAGGTTCAGAAACCATCATTTCATTATCTCTCCTAGTTTTCATTTTGTCACCAAGAACCTGTTTCATTGGATCTAGACTCCACTCTTCATCAGTGCTTTCATTTATCAGTTGGCTCAAGTTGGCATCTTCCAAGCAAAAAACCATGGACAAAGAGTCAAAGTTTGTTGCTGGATCACAGGAGTAGGTTCCACTACTTGTAGTGGAAAATATGCTTTTACCACTATCAGTGTTGGAGATACTCCTTTGGGAGAAGCATAGAAGATTAGTATTTGTAACATTTGAAGGAAAGTATGAGTTGAAATTGGTATTTGCATTGTGCTTCTCTGAGGCAGAATAGTTGCCACCAACATCAAGCAACTGAGCCATAAAGTCTGCTTCCTCAGCTGTATGCAGTCCACTAAGAGAACTCCATTCTTCAGATATCAGTTGAGCAGGTTCCATTTTTATTTTGGTGCTCTTGTTTTAGTGTGATAGTATGTAATAGAACTGAAGAAGTTCGATTATTTTTCAGTGTTCTAATGATAGAAAAAGTGAGAGAAATACTAGTACATTTATATCCAACAACTTAAGGTAATGCCAAAAAGGGATTGGATTCATCTATAGAAAAAGATACCAATAATAATTGGCAAGAATTAAGCGCTGACAAAGTACAAATACCCTGAAATTAATTTCCACTAGTTGTCCTTGATGGGAATGGGACCACTAACACTAATAACTTAAGAGGACCCATCTCAAAATTTTGATATGTATAAAATAAAATAGTGAATGGGACTTCAAATTCCCCTCTCAGGTGAGAAAGAAGCACAATGATCAAATAGACCGGTGTGATACTTGGTACATTCGAGACAAGGAAGGAGAATGAAAAATGTCAATTTTGAGACATGGGGTTGGCCCTGAATATGATATTAATATAACAAGAATAATTTGTGTTATAGACAGAACGAAGGAAAATGACATTTTGACATGGCAATGGAAGAGCTTGAGCTTTAGTTTAGGGGTGGTGGTGTCTAATGTTTGTCAAACATTATAAATATATACCTTTTTTAATTTTGAATCTGACAGTGACAGTGTTGTCTGCCAACTGGATTCATGTACCCTCCGAAGCAGTCTAAAATCCATCCAGCTTCCTCAACTCAACTCAAGATTCTGTTTTGTTATTTTTGAACCTTTGTTTAACCACGATGATGTGTGTTTAGTCATTTTTATTGGTTTCCATAACACCCTAATAAACCTCTATGTAAATACAATTTTTTATCTTTTTCTATTAGGTTTTCGTTATTATACTTTAAAAAAATTACATTTAAATTGTTGTACAAATATTTTTGTTATATTGTAAAATTAAATATATAATTTAACCTTTAATGTATCACTTATCTTATCTTACAATTTTGTTTTCTTTATACTTCTCCTTGTCACCAAATGTGCTGTGAAAATATACTGTTTGAGATAATCTTGTTCTATGTGAATAGCTATAGAAGAAAAACAGGTGGAATTTCAATGGGTAGATTTGCTGTAATGAGAGGTTTTTCCGAATACTGAAGCGTTTTGAGTTTCCAACATTGGTTACATGATAAATTTACTCCAAATGTGCTAATATTTTAAAGGATTTTATTAACTTCAATTTTAAGCGTTGAGTTTAAGTATCTATTAAATAAAAAAATTTATAGTTATTATATTGAAGTTATAAAAATTTAATAAATATTTCTCTTTTAATAAAATTTTATTTTAAATGATAAACGATAAAATAAATAAGATAAGAATAATTTAAGAAAAAAAGAAGAAAGATATGATTAGCAAATGGAATGAATTACAAAATATTTGTCATTATCCCACCAATCACCGTTGTTCCCGGCGGTTTCTCCGCTTGAGTTTACGCGTAAATTATCTTCTTCAAACTTGATGCACAGCTGAAAGTGTGACATTGTCCCAAACAAGATTATTGTTTTGACTCACTCAGCACTCCAACAATTTTGTTGTCCAAACAAAGATATTATTCTTTCTATATTCATAGAAATTATCTCTGAATCGGTTCTTATTCTTGTCATTTAAGTGGCACATAGTGAAATTCTTGTCTTATTTATTTACAAACATTGGAACCTGAAAGCCCTTTTAAAAAAATATGATATTGATTCTGGCATTGCATGCATCTATATTCTATAATATGTATGCACTCCTATAATTGATCTTCTGGGTTTATATAAACATAGCCTTAGTTTGTAAACCGGCAGGCACGACTTTATAAAAGGCCTTTTTTGTGTGTATTTATTTGTTGGCATCTAATATTATGAAACAGCTGGCATTTGGTTAGCTATTTATGGGCACTACTATTTTTTTTTATCATATATATAAGATTTGTTAAATTTTAGATTTATCAATTAATATTTTTATTAAACGTGTAACTTTTCATATTAATAGAATTTATACACATAAATATATAACGAATGGTACATATGAAAAATTAAAAATCTAAAATTAGCAAAAATAGTTATAGATGAATTATATTGAATGAAAGCCGAAAGCGTGTGGAAACTTGGATAAATGTGGGAACGTGCTGTCCACTGTTGAAGTTTGCAGGTGCACGGAGACGAGAATCACGTGTCCATATAAAATGGGTTAAAGATTCTTTTATTGAAATTTTTGGGGTTGACAATACATTTATCATAAACATTCTTATTTAAACTTAATTCACATTACTGAGCTGTTAAATATTTATTGAATATTGATTTATCAAAAATTACCAAATTATATACAACTTCTTTTCAAAGATCTTTTCAATACATGCAATTTAGAATTAAATTCCAATCAACCAGACTTAATTACTTATCAATTATTAAAATAAACTAGTTCGTCCATCGTAAGTAATACAGAGTGATAAATTATTATGTTAAAATAAATATTATCTCTAAGACTTTTTCTCTATTAATTTTGTGAAAGAAATACTATTATTTTTTACAGTACTGCTCTACTGTTGTTGCACATTGGCACCCTTATTTTTCAAAAGTTTAAATATATTTTTAGTTTTATGATTTTAGTGGTTTTGGCCTTGTTTTTTTTTTACCATCAACAATATGCTAAAACACGCATTCCTTAAAGTATAATCATTTGGACTAAAGTCTAATAAATTAAAAGGACCAAAGTTAAATAGAATAAAACTATAAGGATAAAACCCTACTATAAATATTCAAAAAATAGAACCAAAACCAAAATCATGATAAATTACAGATACAAAAAAAATTTAAACTTTTTAAAAAATGATATAGTCTCTTCATGTTATACCCAAATACATGTGTAAACCAATCTCAATGCAATCTGAACACTTCCTCTGATGCCTTATATTGTGTCTTCTGAATTCATGGGTTGAGGGTGGTTGGTGCATAAAATGAACCAAGAAGAGCCCCTAACCGAAGGCCATGCATGCAAGTCAATGAAGGCAGAAATTGTATTAATTTTTATCTAGGCATAATGTTTGACTTCAATAGCTTGAAACAGTGAAACTCTTCTTTAATTATTTTTATTTTTGTAGAGTTGACTTTGGATTGGTCAACCATTTAACCCTAGATAATTGGATCATTTCAACTAATATAATGAATAGTATGTCAAAAAAAGAAGTGTAGCCCGAATGTTCAATTTTATATAAGATTGAATTTGATGAGCTCTTTCGCTCCTTGCTTTCTTTGAATTTGACTTATAGAATATAAAATAAGAAGTATCAAAATATGACTTGCGAACTTTTGTTCGAATTTTTTAAAGGTAGTTGAATTACAAAGTAAAGTAATACAATTCACTGTTTGCTTTGACTTTTTAAATTAAATTCGTTTATTTGTTCACATATTTGACAAATTATATCTTAGAAGGTATTATGTGTGAAATTAAAAGATTATACCAACGGTCAGAGCAACAACGATATCTTTCAGTTAAAAGTGTATCAATTTTGAGTTTTTTTTATAGAATTTATTATAATTTGACTCCTGAAGAGGTCAAAAGGTTGTATAAGCGTGAGCCAATACATTACCTTAGTTTTATTATTATCTTAGAAGAAAAAATATCACTAACAATATTCCTTTTAAGCCTTTTATTGTTGTGAATCGAGAAGTAGAAAACTTAAAGTGCAATGTTTAATGCATTAGTAACTTAAAAAGCTTTATTTTGGACTAAAATATTTCATTTTTCATTCAGTAACCGTTAAACACCGACTTTTTCATAACTGTTTTATTATTAGTACTCGACATGATGCTCTTTCATAGTTGTTATAACGAACAACGCTAGCAACGCATTTATGTTTAAAATCAACATTAAAGATTGAAGTTAATAAATTGATTTATTAAAAAGTTAAAATGCTTATCTTATAATTTTTAAAAAAAAGAGACGAATAAAAAATAATATATATATATATATATATATATATATATACTATATTTGTATATTTTCACAATAATAATTTTTTTAAAATAAAAAGTAGCACTTTTAGTTATTTAAAATTAACGTTAACATTTTCCTTAAAAAATAAACCAAACAGTACATTAGAGAAAACATATTGCTAATATTTCTCACGTTATAATTTTAGTGTAATAACTGTACATCGTTCATTGTTAGCGTCTCTACGATAATTTTACCCAAACTAATTAACACATCATTAATTATATATAAAAAGAATATGTGTGATATTTGAATGACGAAACAAGATTCTAAGCCAGCTTTTGAACGTGTGGGCTATCATTGTAATATTAGTCGTAGCAAAATAATACTAAAGAACGAATATTTAAGTTTTGATGATCAAGAAATGCTAATACATATTACTAAATACACTCTAAATACATTGTTTTTTATTAATTTATTTTTCAAATAATTAAACATTTGTCTCATAAATTACTTTTAAAAATTACTTTAACCCTTTTAAAAAATAAATCAATCACAAAAAAGCATGTTTAAAAGAATGCTTTGCTACATTCATCCTTATTGAGTTTGCAGCATTCTTGTTTGTATTATTTTATCTCAATGCTCTAAACATGTTCAAGTTGCAGGGTTTTAGAGTTCCTTTACAATTTTTAAATGGAACTGAAATATCGCTCCAAGCCCTGGCCTTGACCAAACGGCTAAGAGTGGTCGTGTTTTCAGATTACATCTCTCTATCAAAAGATGTGTTATCAATGCATAACTTTGTATGAGCTTGTTTGGTATAAAACAACCGCAGATAAACGGGGCTGGCTAAAGAACGTCCGAATTATATTTGAAATGGCGGATAAAACTTAATCCAATTAAGAGAACAACACTTAAATCTGAATTTGCAATTACATTCCAAATGGATACCAAAACTGAGGGCATAGAGCAACGATGGCTTACAAGGATTCTATGTAACACGTCACTGTCATAGGCATTCAAATGAAAATTATCAACAAGCCACTTGTATGTTTGCCGAAAACAGCGACCGATCCAAATAAAAAACAGATAAGCAGCAGAAGCAACAGTAACCAGCAATATCGAAAATGGGAGCCACTGAACATCTCTGGACTTCAGGAGCACTGTATGGAAAATTTATTCATCATTGAGAAGCTCTTCCCCTGGACCCCGTTGCACTAGTCTGTAATACAATATACCCATAGTTGCCATGCAAGCCCTGCAAATGGATCATAATAACTTCATCAGTTTAAGGAATTATAGCATATAGGTATTTATGCTAATGAAACTTTATTTTTCTTCTGAGGGCAATGAGATAATGGTTGACAAATATAAGATAGATAATGTAGCGTGAAGTTACTTAAAAACAAACGACAGGTCAATATACTTTAAACGTGGCGTATATGTTCCAATAAAATCCCAGCTCACCAACCCAGTTGTTCCCCATTTACGCTAAACACAACTCCTCATTAGGAATCACCTGTGACTCAAACATAACTTCAATTGCACAAACTTTTGATCCTAGATTTTCATCTTTTCTTCCCTACTGCCTTCCTACTTTGGATTATTATATATTATAAATGAAGAGAAGCAAGAGCTATACATAATTGCAATCAGGAGAAGGATTTTTCTGGGGTCCATCCTTGATGATCTTTGATGTCGAGTACGGCCTTCTGAGGCTTCAGTTGCATTTGATGCATCTTTCCTTGGAGGTGCGGTCACTGGTAGAGTAGGTAAAGCGCTAGACCAGAAAGGAAGTAAAGCTCTAAGAAACTTGTGGTGGAACGGACCTACACTTTCAAAGATGAAAGTTTGAATTAATATATTGAACTAGACAAGAGTCTGAGGGTAAGAGCAGAGGAAGCCTAAACAAAGGGAGGAAGACATGTCAAATACTAATTGCAAACTTTTAAAATATTAAAAATTCATTCAAAAAGATAATATCACCTCGTTTTGTATACTTTTTACGATTCCCGTCTTCATCATCAGCATAGTAAGAGATTTCAGAATTCTGTCGCTCAACATGGAGTGAGGCCTTCCTTGTCGTGGCACCAGGCTAAATTATTTGCAATAAGAACAAAATTATCTAAGATAAATTCCAAACACAAAAGACGATACAACTCACATCGGAATAAAACTAGAAATTCAGGCCTACTTATTAAAGTATAAGAGGACAAATAAATGCAAACGGTCAAACACAATAAGTGCACTGAAGAAATCCTCTTACACCAACAGGACTTGAGCTTTTCATGAAATTTCCTGCTGAACTGGCACCATCTATCTCCACTATATCTGTCTCTGAAAGCTTAGGTAGTTCTGACCCAGTTGCAGCTGAGTATCCATCAACTGAATCTGAGTTTCCATGATTTTCCCTACCAACCAATGGATCTGAAGCAAAAGCAGGTGGAGGACTTCGTGATTCTGTAACTGACATCGAAACTGGATGATTCCCAAAGATATTCTTTTCCATACCAGACTGCACAAAAACAGATAAAAACTAATGAAAAATTTATTTATAACAGACAAGGAAAATAACTCTGGGGTCCAAGAAAAGTATCACCCAAAAATAATGGAAACATGCATTTATTACGAAAGGCAATTTTTCAGCAGCAAATGGCAATAATCAACAATTTACCACCACAATTATAGATCAGTCCTGTCCGTTTAATAAACAATCAGACAAGATGCCTCAAATGAGTTTTCAAGATGGCGTATCATAACCGTTAACATCATCTCTTCCATGCTGACCATGAAGTTGCTGAACAAAAATGAGATGGGCATGAAAGAAAAACTAGTAATATTTTAGTATATGAATGGTCATTTGCAAGTAACATAAATTATAGTGATTGCTTGATTGGTTCAATTAGTATTGACACCAAAGAATGTTGACATTCCATATAATACTACTTCATCGTCCTCAGCTAAGAAGAAAGAAGAATAACAAGACCCAAGACAATTGGGATTGTCTACCAATATAATTGTCAGGCCCCAATTTATTCATAATCTATAATTCCATATGCCTTAAAATAATTCATAAGCTTTGGGTATGGATATTTTATTCTGAAAAAAATGGCAGTAAAAGACACCTGTTTATGACTACAAGTTTGTCTGGTTTTCATTTGTCAATAAATACACCTAGTATAATATCATAACTAGTAAAAAAGGGACCCCACCATATACTACTCATTTCATAATCACCTGCATGATAGCTTCCTTCAACTTGGAATGAAGACAAGATCCCGAATCTTTCACACTTTTGGGAGGCCATATCTGTATGATTTATTCCACCAAAATGAGACATCAAAAGAAGAACTTTTGGCATACAGGTGCCTGAAGGTAAGTTCTAAAAGCTGAAAACATAATTACAATATTAGCAACAAGACATACACACTTATCTAATAGAGTATCTATTTCCAAAACATGACATGTCATTTTCTTTCCCTGTTTGTACATGTTGCTCTAGGCACCTAGAACACCATGATATTATACTAAGGAGAACCTTGATTTTTCACATAGCTAGGCAAAATCAACAGGCTAGCTTCAGGTTAAGAATAATTTCAATACAAGCATAATATGAGTAAATGACAATATTCCGTATGACAAACCATTAGTTTAAGGTTTGAAGGAGACACTAGTAATTGCCTTCTCAAGTTTCTATCTGCTCTCAATGATTAAGAAAACAAATAACAGAAGAAAAAACCTACAGCATGTTTGTCCCTGTTTGTGCATAATGCTCAACAAAACCAAAACACCATGAATCATACTTTGAAGTTAGCTAGACATAAACCGCATACTGGCTTTCAGTTAAAAACATCTACTTTAATACACTATTTTCAACCAAAAATCTTTCTAACTGAAGAAGAAGAAAATCATTTGAAGGTAAATCTTACCGAAGTAGAACATGAAGGACACACGTATCCTGCTGGGGCAGTATGTGGAGGAAAACTCTTGATATGGGAGACCAAGCAATTTGTGTGGATAACATCTATAAACAAAATTTAAGCTTACAATATGCAATCAGTGCAAGCTCAACTGGATTTATTTTCAAATGTACACATGAAAAAAATCACATACGCAAGCAACCCAGTCGAGTTGTTTGAGATCCATCCCCCTCTTCCAAAACAGCTTGGCATTGACAGCATTTGGGGGGCCAATCATACTCCCCATCTATAACCCATTCTGAATAAGTCCGGACCTATGAAACATGACAAAACAGATGAAGCATAACAGAAATCTACAGATTGATAAAAAAATCTTTGGACAAAACACAAACCTTATTATTTTTTTAAGAAGAAATAAAGAAAAAAAAAACGAACGTTATTTATATATCAATATAATATCAAATCAAGATTCATAGCAAATTATCTTTCTGACTTTTATATATTCCCAAAACACCAACTAAGAGTTACCTCTACAGCATCATCTCCCACAACACTCAACCAAAACTAGAATCAAATTAAAATTTAAAACCAAAAAAGGTCGCAAGGTTTAATATATTAAATGAAAACAAAAATCATCACACTGAAAAGTAGAAATGAAGAAGGTAAGGACAAGGGAACAAGGCCAGGTTTGCAATTGCATAAATTGAAAGTGGAAAATAATAGAAGTTACAAATTGAAAAAAGAAAAATTACCACGCAGATTTGGTGCTCCGGGAAGCAGATACATTCTCCGCAGACAGGAACTTTGTGCACGAAGCAATATAACTTAGTAGCCTAAAACACCATAGGAAACCCGCTACAAAGCATTAGCTCTAATTCGAATGCAAGGAAATAGGAAACAAGTATCATGGCTCCCAAGATAATCAGAAACGGAATTCACATGCCAAGACATTCACTTATATCAGTTATTCACAATTGCATTAACACGATGGCTACACGGTTCAAGCACTTGTTTTCATCACGCATTTGCATAAAAATAAAAAATGAAATCACGCAAAATGCAAGAGCACGTAGATCACCCATGATTGATCTGAGTTGACAATACCAATCGGATCTGCCTACCCAGCTAACAAATCAAGCATGATTGAGCAAACCGAAATCAGGGCTTTGAAAAGAGAAAGACAAAGGCACAAAGTGTAAGAGGGTAAGAGAAAAGAGCGAAACCTTGCGACATTTGCAGACCACCATTGCATTGAGGGATTATAGTCCAATTGAACACAGAAATTTTCAGATGGATTTGAAAAGGGAAATTAAAGCGAAGAGCATGATGAAATAATCGCCAATCACGATCACAGAGACAATTTCACTGAGATTGATGTTTGTGTTGATAATAGCCTCAGCCTCAGCTCACTGCAAAACAAAACCCCCCCTCCTACGTTTGCCACCGAGATCCGTTTGAGTTTTCATTTTCATTTTTTTATTTATTTTTTCTTCTCCTAATTAATTATTTCCAGAGCAGCTACAAAAAATTATTAAAAACAAAAAACACACTTGACGGGCCGGGTTAAGAAATGGGCCACGATTTCTCAACATCTTTTATGATCAAATGGACCATAACTCCGCCCAATCAAATGGGCCATAACTTGACGTGACAGTGACTTCACCACCCAACCTTTTGAAATTTTGAAAAAAGAGGGGCTTTAATTCTATTCTATTTTACATTTTCAAATCTCGGAGATGGCATCTGCGGTGCCGGCGACGGCGACGGCGACGGCGGGGCAAGAGTTGTCGAACCCTCCTTCGGACGGCATCTCGAACCTCCGGTTTTCGAACCACAGCGATCACCTGCTGGTGTCTTCGTGGGATAAGAGCGTGCGGTTGTATGATGCGAGCGCCAATGTGCTGAGAGGAGAGTTCATGCACTCTGGCCCCGTCCTCGATTGCTGCTTCCACGACGATTCCTCCGGCTTCAGTGTCGCCGCCGACAATACTGTTAGACGGTTAGTCATTTAGTTGTTACTTACTCTCCCAATTCAATGTCAATGTCGATATCACTTCATTTTTTGAATTACGATTATCGGTTTAGGGACTTCAGAAAACAAAGCCAAGATTGTGAATTAAGCTCCAAAGCCAATATAATGTGTATATAAATTTATCTTCTAAAGTCCAAAATTTGATGATACAATGCTCAAAACCAATCGTCAGTGGCGCTATGATTTACTGCAAGAAAGAAAAAGAATTCCCTTTTGGATAGGCTCGATTATAGTTGGGCTGATTACCTCTTAAAGGATAGGTTACATTTAGATTGGACTAAGAGGGAATTCATTTCACCTTTTTGAGAGGGAAGAAGGTGAGAGAGAAAGTGTAATTTAAGCATCTCTGAGTGGAGGAAAGGGCATTCATCTATAAGTGGAGGGAGAGTAATTTACTTTTTAATATCATCATGCTCCAGGCTTGTATTCAGCTCCAATAAAGAGGATATTCTGGGAAGGCATGATGCACCTGTTCGTTGTGTTGAGTATTCCTATGCCGCAGGTCTCTTCCCTCTCTCTATAATGCTCACACGTGTTACTTAATTCCTTAGCTAAAGGAATTCCTATTATAAGGATATTGAATTCTATCTTGTCTGTGTCTGTGACTATAGGGCAGCTGATCACTGGTAGCTGGGACAAAACCCTGAAATGTTGGGACCCTAGAGGTGCAAGTGGCCAAGAGCGCACGCTAGTTGGGACATATCCACAACCTGAGCGTGTTTACTCTCTCTCACTGGTTGGACATCGTCTGGTTGTAGCGACGGCTGGAAGACATGTTAATATTTATGATTTGAGGAACATGTCTCAACCTGAGCAACGTAGAGAATCTTCACTAAAATATCAAACCAGATGCGTGCGCTGTTACCCTAATGGAACAGGTGAACTTCAACTAATGGTTATTACTCAACCATTGATTTTCAAAAAGATGACAAACTGATTTCTGTCTTGCTTCATAGCCAAGATATTTGTTTCCCCTTCATACTTGTATAGCTACTTTATGCAGGATATGCACTTAGTTCTGTTGAAGGCCGGATTGCAATGGAATTCTTTGACCTGTCTGAGGCTAGCCAAGCAAAAAAGTAAACACTTCTTTGTGTATAGTGTATTTCCCCTTCCTAATGGTAATACTACTGTGATATGAAGATTTTGAACTTTTTTTGTCCATACGTATCGATTGTGTTTCAGTCCATATGAAAAATACCATATGTTCATCACCGTTTACCCGTGATGACTTCTGATCATTGTGCAGATATGCTTTTAAGTGTCACAGAAAATCAGAAGCTGGTAGGGACATCGTCTATCCTGTAAATGCAATTGCATTCCACCCCATGTAAGTGCCTAAAATCTAAGAAGATTTTGAATTGCTTGCTTTATTGTTTCTCTACAATGTACAGTGTCAATAGCTGAGTTGTGACTTGTATCATTCAAGGATCCTGCTGAGAAATATAAATTGTTATTAAGAAAAATTTCTTGGTTAAGTACACATTGTTCATCAAAAGTAGAGGGTATAAATGCTTTTACACAGTCTGAGTTTGAGTACAAATATCTGAAGTTGGTAGATGAGGCTTGTGTTTGACAAATATCCAGAACCGTTATTAAACTAACTTTCGTCTTTTGCCTCTCTTTTCCCCCTTCCCTCTCAACCCTTAAATTTCAAGAGATCTAAACATGAAATACAGTGATAACCCTTTAAATGAAATTTGGAATTACACGGTGTTGTGCATGTTAGAATTACCAACACTTAATAATCTTGATTAACGAAATGCTTTATAAAAAAACTGTCTGCAGATATGGTACATTTGCCACGGGAGGTTGTGATGGCTATGCTAATGTATGGGACGGAAACAATAAGAAGAGGCTATACCAGGTTTTTATTTCCTTCTAACATTGAGTGATTGAGTGACCAAAATTTTCGTATGGCAATAAATTCAATTGCGTAATTGCTGTTTTGTCTTCCAGTACTCAAAATATCCTACAAGCATTGCAGCACTTTCGTTTAGCAGAGATGAACGCCTCTTGGCTGTTGCATCAAGTTACACATTCGAAGAGGGGCCTAAACCGTACGCTCGCTCTCACACACAATATTCACCTTTGTCATCTACATGATAGATTTAAGTAACTTGCTCATTTCTTTTACAGCCACGACGAACAAGATGCTATTTTTGTTCGCAGTGTAAACGAGATTGAGGTCAAGCCAAAGCCAAAAGTCTATCCCAATCCTCCAGCGTGATTCGTGAAGGCCATTTTGAAAATGGAAGTTTTTTTTTTTTTTCTACTGTTTCAGTTCCCTCTTGTGAAAACAAAAAAACTGCATGTCGTAAACTGGTGAAGCACTAGCTTATTTGTAGATACAAGCTGCGGTCAGAAGTATCTTCCGTATGCGTGTCCAATCCCCTTCAAACTGTGCACTCGTGCAGTCAAATATGTTGTAAAGTAAATTGAAACTGATAAGCCAAGGATAACCACTAGCGCTGTGCCTTCCTCAATTTTCAAATCATTGAAAAATAAACTTGTCTCGTCAATGGCCAATGTATGTGAAATAGATGCATCCCATGTAACTCTAGCAGGATTGACTATGGATTCCTGAGCATCCAATAGCTGAGAGATGTCATGGGCAAAAAATTGCAAGGACAACTATCCACGGTTTTGGAAACATTTACTGATCTTACAAGTCACATTAACATTCAATGTCAACCACTATTGTCCGAATATGATGACCTTTCTTTACATAAGCTTATTCGAGAGACTGTTCAATATCGGGTTTCGATCAGACTTAGAAAATGCGGAAAAACCTTATCAATAGCATATTAAAACAAAATAGACTTATAATTTTTTTTAACTAATTTAAAAAAGTTTCTTTCAACTTATTATAATTATATTGATTGTATAAGTTCTCGTAAAAAATTTATTAAATAAGTGTTGAATTTAGAGGGGTACTTATCATTCAAATGAAATGAACAACGCAAAGTGCTTATCGACAACAGATAAAGGAGAAAATAAAACCCACCATAAAAGAGAAACAGAAACAGTATAGTATAGAATGCAGCCATGAAATCAAGTCTATCACATTGGTAATGGTTCCATATTTACAACTTATGAAACCTGGTCATTTTCTTTAGTTGCTGAAGCTATGCATAGGTAATTCAAGTAACGTAAGTATTTAACACATCACCCAAGAGCCAAGATACAGACTCCATACACTATCCAGAGAAAATTTCCACTTGGCCTCGATATAAGATAGCTGCTTGATCTTTATACTAAGTGTCAATTTAACTTTAACCCACCTTTTAAGTGACCTCATGGGTTGTTTGATTACCTAAATCTAGAAGGAAGCACTTGAGGATTCTCACCATCTTGTCCCCTCATAGCTCTTGATTGAGCAAGCATTGCCTCGTAATCCTGATCCAGAAAGTAATCATAAATATATTATGCATCATGATACGTTTACAGAGATGAACACTAATGGCAATAAAAAAACTACCCGCTTCTCATATGCTTGATCCTGCTTATCAATTACTTTGTCAGCAAGTCCGTAGTCTACGGCTTCCTGTCCTTGTAGATATTTAGGCCTCTGAATTTCTTTAGCAATTTCTTCCTCAGATTTCCCTGTTGACTTTGCCAACATCTCAATATAATACTGGGTATGTGCCTCTAGTTCTTTTGCCTGTATGCATGTGTGTCAATAAAGTTGAGATAAATGTAATGTGTAAAAGAATAATAAACAGACAAAAGAAATAAGTAGACCATACCTTAATCCACATGTCTATAACAGCACCACTTGATCTGTTTACTTTTGGGAGATATAATTTTGCTGCAATAAAAAATAGTTTAGAATCCACAGTAAGTGAATGCAATGCTCAAAAGTTAAGCATCCCTATATTCCATATGATCTATACAAAACATACAATCACTTATTTTCTACCTAGTCAATGCTGCCCAATAATAGCAACTGACAAAGAAAACATATCCCTAACCGTGTAGAATTTCGGGCCTCAATAATATTATCACCGGCACGAGAGGGGAAAAAACACTGTATTGCCAGTAAAGCAAGCTTTGTATGCAATCCAATCAACGCATATTTCAAATTGTTTTCCTAAATTACCACTATTTGTTCTGTCAAGATGGAACAACAAATAACTTAGATGTGCCACATGCACCAAAAACTGAATTAAATAAGTTTTAATTTGCTCTGGAAATAAATATTATGAAACCCACACAAACAGGAAAAACCATAACTAAAACGGGTCCATGTAGCAGGCCTTTCATGCCACGGTCATGTAGGCAATGACCTTTTATCAATCCTAAGGCAACACACAAGTCTCAATATACAACATCAGCATTTAAATTCAGACTGTAACTCTACCCTCCTTGTTCTAGGGCTCCAGAAGAGTTAGAATTTCATAAACTGATCTTCCAGAATATACTTCTTAACAGGCATATTAGTAGTCAGTTGATCAAAAGATGTACAATGTGATGACAACAAAGATTATTGTGAAATTACAAATGAGCTGTCCATTCTTCAAATATACTTGTGAATCAGATTCAAAGTATAGGCTCAAGTATGCATTTGCCAGAAGTTTCACAAAGTCACAATAAACAAGTAAAAGTAATCATGCAAAAATTTTCCAAGGTTTACATAGAAATGATTCGTACTAGATGAATTTGGCTGTACAGCACGATGACCCTTTGCTCCAACAGACAGAATCATTGCTGCTTGACCAAATGCCATGCCGCAATTCACAGTATAGACATCTGATTTGAGATACTTCACGCAGAAAGAAAAAGATTAATTGATGACACGAGTTAAAAGTATGAGTTAGAAAAGATAAACCAAATCACAGCCTTGGGGTGTCGGAATAGAAGAGGAAAACAATTCATGATAACAACTTACAGACATCATATCAGCAATGGCATATGCATCAGTTTCTGATCCCACAGACTCATTCTTCTCATTCTAAACAAAAAAGAAAAGTAATTATATAAATCAGCACCTTATACATCATAAGGGAAAATTTTAGAACAGTGACTATAACACTTACCTGAGTTCCAGATGAATTAATATATAAGTAAATAGGTTTAGAAGGGTCCTCATAATCCAACCACATAAATTGAGCAACAATAAGTTCCGCCACAGCTGGAACAATCTGTACAAATCATAGAGGAACATCAAGAACATTAGGATAACAGATAAAAAGTATATATCCGTATACAGAAGCTAGTGAAACAAAAAAAAAAAAACAATCACCAGCACCTGGCTGGGGATCAAAATAAAACACATGACGAAGCTTACCGGCATACCCAGATAGACTATTCGAGCATCCAAGAGCAAAGAAGGCAGATCAGGTGGAGCTGTATCTGGCCTTTCAGATATCCTACCTCCTCCGCGATACATACTAACACTCATGCTGTATTTTGAAGGGTCATTGTTGCCCATGCTAGAGAGACTCCACATTCCACCATGATCCAAATAATTTTTGGCAGATGAGATGCTTTCCTGTCACATTGATAAAATTCAGAGCATTTCCAAGCAGTCAACTGTGCAGTGATCAAACTTGGGTGCTTTGCAAAATCAAATCACATGTTAACAATTAAATTATTGATAAGAAATTAGATATTATAACATCACAATCACTTAGACAGTATCAAGAGGATAAATATGGTGAGAACCTCTGTTACTCCTTCAGATTGCCGGCGGACAGGATTGTCTTCGGTCATGAACATGTCAATTTGTGAAGGAGTGAGGCCATAGAGATATTTAGAGGCATTTTTGTAGTTTTCCATCACTGCACATAATAAAGAAGATAAAAATCAAGGCTGGGGCTTCGGCACCCAATCTTCAAACTTTCCAACCAAACTCAGAAGAATTGAAGAATCTCTTTCAAGTTTTCTTTATTATTATTTGGGTAAATTATATTCAACCTCCATAAAAGTTTCGTCCAAATTAATTTTAGTGCACCAATTTGAAGCCTTACATTGACCAAGTCCCCCAACCCACACGTCATGAACAAACTTACTCCCATGTTTGTCTAGACGATTTATAAATGGAGAGTGTAAATAAATTAGTAGAAACTGATAATGAAAATGCCTGATGTTATTTTTTTAACCAAAATTTCACTTGGCCTTGCCCAATGCTGCGTATTCTAGTGTATACAGCCAGAATTCAGAGTGCCTCGTTGTTTTTCGTTCCTACAATTTACGCATATAACTCGAAATCTCCCTTAGTCATACTTCTCAAAAAGACAAATCTAGTAAAATTCCTTTCATTTAGGAGAAAAAATTATCACAAACATTGTTACTTCAAATCAAAGGAGCTGTGACATAAACTTCTGCAGTATGCCATAGTTGCTCTAGACAAAACCTGAAGTGTGATTTAATTTAACTACTTAATCTTTCCAAGGATGCAAATAACCAAGCATATAGACTCTAGTTCGCTAAAAAATTAACGAAAGCAAACCAACTCCAAAATAAAATTTATGGAATAAAAGTAAACACTAAACAGTAAAAACCACTATTTTTCATGCCCTTCTGCTATTTCCCTTTCAAACACATGACAAAATAATTAGACAGTACAGTCCTCAATCACATAAAAAGCACTAAAATAATCCAGACCCAGATTAAAAATTCCATCTTTTTTCACTTCATGCTCGAAATTTTCTCAAAAACCACGTACTTAGTTCTTTTCTTTTTTCACCGAAACAGAACAAATTAACATATAAAAGAGAAGGAAGGGAAAAACTAACATCCATCCTTGAGATTTTCCTGCCTGAATTGTTTGGGGACGTGGTCGAGGGAGCATTTAACCGAGGAAGAATTGAAGCATCGTGGTGGCACTCTGTGTCTGTGAGGATAAGGAAAGAGCGTTGTTCCATGGAGGAATGAAAGGTGGCGTGCAGAGAGTGATAATGAGACAGAAGAGGCCATGTGTTCACACAATTTGAAACAAAATTACAAGATTTCGTGTAAAGGGTACGAAGAATGTGGTTTTGGTTGCAACGGCGAGGAACGAAGATAGATAGGTGCCAGAAGCTGCTATCCAGTTGTTCTTGTGGTAATCGGGTTCGGGTTAAATTCCAGTTTTTTTTTATTATTATTATTCTTTTATGTCTTTGATGTTTTCATATTTGATAATGAATTATTATTTTAATCATTAATAAGAAAATCAAAAGTTAATTTATATTTGGGTTTTCAACCTCAATCCCGTTGAATACTGAAAAAAAAAATAGATTTGTTATTTTATTTTTTTTAATCATTATCTTCTTGTATGGGCCGCATACAAGTTTCTTAATCATAAAAATGTAGTTATGTATTAACTTTTTATTTTTCGCATTTTTTATAGTAAGAAATATAATAAAACTTTAACATAAAACGGAACATAGTGAAATAATCTAAAAGTTTTCATTTAAGTTACAATAATCAAACAAATCTTCAAATTTTGTTTTGCTTATCATTTCTTGCTTTGACTGTTGCAAGTTTAAACAATTCCTCAGCTAGAAAAATTGAAACGGACTTGCAACAACATTGCAATACAGTCATGGAGATAAAAATGTTCGACAATAACAGTGAAGGGATACGATTTTCACTTTTAATATTAAGAAAATTAAGTCATTAAAATTAGATTTGTGAATTATAGCCGTGAGGTCACAGAAATGTGAGCGTGATATTGCATATATTGGGATGAGTGATATTTTCTGAGCAATATTTAAACTCTGCACTTTAAATTCATAAAAAAATTTATGAGAATCAACTCTCTTTCTTTTTTTTTTCAACATTGACCAAAAAATTAGTTTTTGTTTATGTTGGTCAGCACTGGTCCAGGTTGCTCTTCGCTGGCTTATTGGGCCTTTTGTTTTCGGCCGTTGGGCTTTTCGCCTTGTATCAACAACGACCAAAAAAAAACAATAAATGTATTTTAAAGAGATAAAAATAGAGTTATAGTTGCTAATCAATAGTTGAAATAAAATTAAAAAAAAACTATATATAAGCCTGTAATAGATTATAAAATTGTTTAAAATTTAACTTATTAATTACATTCAATGAAACAATTTATTTTGTACTCTTATATATACTTCTTATTAAAGAATTAAACTTTGCAGGTATAATATTGATATTTATTTGGCACATAGAGATATGCACTCAATATATATTTAATCAGAGATTTTCACACATTAATTGAGATGATAAGATATAAAACATTAAAACAAAAAGATTATAAATGCTCCACGGGTGTGTGTAGAAGTGAGTTTGCTCGTGAATAGAAGCGTTTGGTGTCATGCTAGACATGCTACTGCCAATTCATATTCATTCCACCTGTAATCGGTTCATATGTGGGGTTTGGAAGAGCTTTCAGCAGCCTTGACACTGAAAGATGCCAAGTGTAAAACAATAGCAGTGTCATACACATGCACCCAAGGAAAATGCATTATCATCTTAAAATAAAAGAGAGAATGGCTATTTTGAATAAAATGCCAAATCTGTAGAGAGAAAAATGATGAAGATTGTCGGTTATCGAAAACACGTGGAAGTAGGCGATTGAGAGTTGAAGTGCAACGTGTCACCAATTAGAACAACTTATCTGCGTTGCGTGTGAGTACGGCCAACACTTTTTTCTTCTTCTTTTATATTGCGTCGGTGAAGCAACTACTTTCTCTACCACTGCCACACTCTTCTTCAGTCTTCACTCACTATCTCACTCATCACTTAACACGTTTCATTTTCTTTCTTTTTTTTTAGATTATAAATTAATCATACACGCCTTTCCATATTTTTCCCCATTACCGTAGTTCTAGAACTCGCTATACAAACCACACAATTACTTTTTTAAGTGTACGCAAATTTTAATCATGCTAAATAACTGATTGCTTATCATGTCATATTTTCCTTTTTTTATGTCATAATATTGGCTTCATCTTGGTTAATTAAAATAGTCATTAGTTTGTTAATCTTTCAAATATATTAAGTCATGGATGCAATTTTGGTAAGCCATTAAACTATCGATCTGTTTTAAATATTAGTATAAAATAACTTTTGTTTTTTAATTTTCATTGTTTATTACTATTGTCTCAGTTTAAAATCACACAATTACTTTAATATATATATATATATATATATATATATATATATATATATAATCTTATAGTTAATATTTGTTTATTCTCAGCTTTGAGGCGATGACGGAAATAAAAATAGTTGAAATACTGGAAAGTTATAAATACAGGTGGCGCGTGGGGAGGTTTCTTGCAAACAATAGCTTGGCTGTTGTGTGCCAACAAACAAACGAATAAACGATCCCTGATAGCAGTGGAAGTGGTTGCCCAAACCACGAAATCCAAGAGAGATTCACGACCTGAAATCTTATCAAAGCCATGACGCCAAGCCACACTTCGCTTTTTTGCCACGAGGCGTCTATATCTACTTCGCATTTTCAATTTTGCTTTTCAAATATCAAACAGTCAAATATATATATATTTTTTTTCTAAAGAAATCTGAATACAGTCAAACATGTTATTGCCCTATTGGCATGGTTCCTTCGGAATCACATTCCATTGCTCTTATCTGTATTTTGTTCTCCACCAACATCAACCGTCATAGGCAAGTAAAAAAGAGAAATGTTACACCATTTTAATAAATATTTTAAACGTGGTCTTAGTCATTCAGGACAAGTACTGTACCAAGAGATGCTCAATATATATATCAAAATTTAAATATAAATAAATGTGGTAGGGAAAATCTTAAATCATTAACAAATCAGTATTATAAATAAAACAGCTATTGTCTCAAAATACTTTGATCGAACAAGATTAAATATAAACACATTAATGTTTATCTACAAATAATAATGTTAAAAGAAGCAAATACTAAATTATTAGATAGAAGTAATCTTGGGGAACAAGTGAGGATATACTTTTCGTTGGCATTTAAAAGACGGAGGTGGCAACGTAATCCAGGACAAATTTTAAAAAAGGAAAACACTAATTTGAATGTAAAAAGGGTAAAAGAGCACACGTTTTATAATCCAAAGGGAGGAAGGAAAGTTGAAAAATCAAGTGTAACAGCGTATATAACAAAATAAAAATGAAAATCGTGTTTTACACGCACCGAGAAAATTCTGTGTCACACACACACCCACGAAGATTCCCTCAAATTCAGAATTCATAATCACAACCATTGCCTTTATGGGGGGTTAATGCAGATAGAGATACACACAAAAAAAGGGTGTAAAGATAGCGCAGACGTATAACGTAACATAGTTTTGACTTAGAAAAAGTCGTATTAAAAGCTTTCGTAAGGAGTGAGTCCCCTCTTGCCTTTAGTTGACCGACTTCACTCTTTCTTTTCATCGTCTCACAATAACCTTAAAACATTCACTCATTTTACACCATCCCTATATAAACCCACACACACACACCCCCACTTCCTCATTCATATCCACTTAACTCAATTTTCTATTTCATCACTTGCTTAATTAGCTTGCTAACTAAGCTCAAATCATCGTTTTTATTTAGCTTAATGGCGTTAGAGGCTTTGAATTCTCCAACAGCACCCACCGCTTCGTTCCACCACTACCAAGAGGAAGAGGAGGAGGAGGAGGACGTTGACCATCACTTCCGTGAGCCTTGGGCTAAGAGAAAACGCTCCAAACGTCCGCGTTTCGAAAACCCACCCACTGAGGAAGAGTATCTCGCTCTATGCCTCATCATGCTCGCACAAAGCGGCAACAACGACCACACCAATAATAACAATAACGTCTCTCGCCGCCAAACTGAATCATCATCTTCGCAGTCACAGTCACGACAAGAAGCGTCACCGCCGGTGAAGTTAACTCACCGGTGCACCGTCTGCAACAAAGCTTTTCCTTCTTATCAAGCACTCGGTGGTCACAAGGCAAGCCACCGCAAGTCCTCATCGGAAGCCACCACCGCCTCCGCCGTTGCTTCAGTCAACGACAATGTTCCCGCCTCCGCCGGAAGGATGCACGAGTGTTCCATCTGTCACAAGACTTTCCCTACGGGGCAAGCCTTGGGTGGCCACAAGCGCTGCCACTACGACGGCGGTAACAACCACAGTAACGGCACCGTTAACGCGAATAACAGCAGCGGTGTCACTTCCTCTGACGGCGGTGGCGGTGCTGCCTCTTCTCACACCCTCCGTGGGTTTGACCTGAACCTGCCGGCACCGTTGACGGAGTTCTGGGCTCCGTTGGGGTTCGATTCGAAGAAGAAGAAGGATGAGATCATAGGTGGAGGCGGTGAGCAAGAGGTGGAAAGCCCGTTGCCAGTAGCCGCCAAGAGGCCACGTTTGTTTTTGGGCGGTGATGATGGTGAAACGGCGTAGCTTTGTTCACAGAACGTTTATTATTTATTTTAATTTCATTGAATTTGTTGCTATCGTGGTGCAGTGAATATGAATTGCACGCACTTATTTTAGTTTCCATTTATTTTTATTTTTATTTTTTTGGGGTTAGTGGGAGTTGGGATTAGGTTTTGTTTCTGTTGAATTTACTGGTCATCTGTACAGACAAAATTTGTTCATTGCTTTTGGACTCTTCTTTGTCATCCATTCAATCTAACATTTCAGTATTTATGCCAAAGACATACATATGTCAGTTCATATACTTTTACTTCTTCCCTTCTTCAGTGGTTATGTGAGTGAATTTAATTTGAGTACCATTATTCATTAGAGATACATTTACTGATTTAATTAATGTTTTTGTGTGTATGTAAGAAAGTATACATGGAATTAATATCATTGATTTCTTGTATTAATCACACAGCCAGAACAAAATTAATAATTACTGATAATAATTTCATTACGTTGAGTAGTAAAAAATAATAATAAGATTAAGATTATTCAGTAATTTGATTTCACTATTTTTCAAGACATATAAATTGCAAAATACATGTTCTTGGAAATCAAGTATATGGAAAAAGAGAAAACTGAATTAAGATTGGGTTAAATGTGGAAATTTATAAATTTTGACATTTTCTACGTAATTGAACGTAGGGACGTTTTTTCGTTTTTCCAATATTGAATGGATGGTGATTATTTACACCCTATAATAAACATAACAAAAATGGGTGATGTCCATTAGTGACCCAAATGAATTGACGAGGGAAGAATGGATTGAGTCAAGGTCTTCTCCAATAAAATAATGAAAATAGTTGGGTTTTACTTGGGTCCAAAAACATCCACTGCATGCCGCGTGAACAACGCAGGGACAGCAGGAAGGAAATTTGCTTGTTTAATACTAGTTATTGCTAAGTCATTTTGACAGGTTAAATGCACTGTACTCATTAATGAAACTTGAGCTTAATATTTGAAAGACTCACTAACTGTTATTCTTTTCCCTCTCCTTAAAAAATTTAGAGAGGAGAAAAAGGCGAGTGCTAATGAAAGGGTACACTTAATTGGTTGTGCAATGTCGTGTTAGGGGCAATGGGTAAGGTGGGTTGAACCGAAAACCCTCCCCATGTGGTTCCTGCCTTTAATGCACATGTTGGTATCATTATACCGAATTTACAACCGCTTTATCTTGTGGCTAAGGACACTTGTTATTGGGTTGGCAAATCTATCCACCCACTAATTAATAACAAGTCTCTGTACGTTTCCACTGTCCAGAATCTTGTATTAGACAAGAGATGTAGATAAAGCACCCCCTAAACTATACTTTCCATGTTTGAGAATCCAAGTTAGGGTGGATCCAAATACACGATCCAAAAAGTCAACAAAAAATCCCTCAATTAATCGCTTCTTATTCTATACACATTGGTAATTTTTTACTTTAATTTTTAAATCTAACTCATTATTGTATTTGACCTAAAAGTAATCATAATGTTAAACCAATCATAGCCAGGTGGGCAGGTACGCTATTAGGACATTATGAAGGAACGACCAAAATAGTTAAGCTCTCTTCTAAGTAGTTATCTCATGACCGAGTTCTCTCTGGCAAGACGTGTGGGGAATGCTTCAACGTGTGGTACAGTGTACTAATAATGCATTCAACTAAGCTACGTTAATTGAGTTGTGAGCAACTTTAATTTTCCGAGTTTTGGGATGCAAAAGTAGCATTATACGCGTTATGTGGCCATATTATAAGCCAAGTGATGGGCTTCGATTTACAAGTTGTGACTTGAAGGAGTGTGAATCCAATTCCTATGCTATGCGTGTCGTGTTGTCAAAGTCGGTTCCTCCAAACGCGGTCTTCACTAACATATTTTATACTGTATATATCTATATATATATATATATATGCATGCTAGTCCAAATACATACGTTATTGCTCCTTCCTTAAATGACTTTGCATGCAAATTAATTGCAGTGGAATGTCCTTAATCGTTTCTTCGGAAGAAGTTGGAGTGCAAATTAGCGTTGCTTTTCACAGTCAATATATTTATTTTATTTGATTTTGTGAAAACTTTTGAACAAAGGGAAAGGGGATTCAGAGAGCTACTCTTCCCATTTGCTCCAATCCATTTTTAAGATGCGCAAATGAATTCTCTTCCTCTTATTTCAAAGTTAAAATTAATTTAGAAGAAAATATTATAAAATTAAATATTTACCAAATTTGTTACATTAAGTTAATTTGTAGGTTTATGTATTATTTCTATTTCTTAAAATAAATGTTTATGCTTTAAAAAACTTATAAGCATGTTATTGAATTTTAATTAAAACTTTGTTACACTTTTTAAGATTTTGCTATTAGATACATAAACTTAATAAAAGAATATATAAAAACTTTATAATAAATTAATAATTGTTTTGGTCTAATTTAAATTAACAATTTAGTAACGAATGAATAAACTAAGTATGTGGTTGTTTCAATGTAAATTAGACTTTAAAAAAATGGTCCCTTAAATTTTTTAATTAAGTTCCTGTGTTTAACAAAATCTGCAACAATCTACATCAAAAATAATTTGAAATTTTAGGGACATATTCTCACATTTTTTATGTATAACAACCCTTTTGAAAAATTCTAAATAATTTAGAGATTTATAGATTAATTTAACATATATATATATATATATATATATATATATAGAGAGAGAGAGAGAGAGAGAGAGAGAGTATGCATGTTTAAAGATATACAAATATAATTTGATAATTTTTAATTTAATATAAACACTTTCTCTTTATTTATACGTTCAATTCGAGTGGGTGAAGACTTTCAGAGGGTTGACCGTAACCCTTCCAACCTAAATAAAATCTCATACAAATTAACGTAACATTTGAAAATTGATATGTATAAAACAAAGTCAAGAAAATGAAGCTATATTTTTGTGAAGAAATTTTATTTTGCATCCTCTTTTTTCTTTTAATTTCTTTTGTTTGTTAAAAGTGAAAAAAAAAACAAACAACAACATGGGTTCCATTATGAATGTGAGTACGTTACGAATGTATTTAAAGGAAGAAAGTTTCAGAATCAAATTTATAATATTATTTGTCGTCGATGTGGATATACGGAAGGATATATATTAACGTGACAAAGCTTCTACGATAATCTTGTTGAAATGATTAGCACAGGACTGTATTTATAAAAAAAATGTTTAATATTTATAAATATAGTTATATATTTAATATTTTTAAACTTTTTTCAACTTTAAAAATTTAAAATAATTTTTATTATCCTTTATTGATGATGAAATATGTATTAAATACGCCACGTCACTTGATATCTTATTTATCTTATAATATAATTACCAATATGACATAACTAAAAATGTGTCCCATAAAAACTATTTTAAAAATATAAAATTTACAAAAATTAAATTTATTGGATTAACATAAATGTAATTTTAGTGACAAATTAATTATTTTATAAAATTAAAGTTAAAATATATTTATAATAAATGTCAAATTTAAATACTTATGTTATTTAATAATTTTTATATGATACAAAATTAATTAATTTGAAGATTAAAGTTAACATAATTTAAATTATTATAAATATATTATCTAAAATTGTATATTTTTAATATTTTAAAAATATATTACATGTTAAAATAAAATAAAATAATAAATTATTTATTTATATTTTGTTGAATTTAAATTAGAAGAATTATTTTCACTAATTAGAGGTTAGTTCGAGTGGTAAACGAATTTTAAATTTAAATATTTGTGTATGTAAAATTACTCACTACATTAAAAAAAAAAAAAAAACTAAAAATGCTTTTGTTCAACTTAACCATTCTATTGAAAGCATTAAACACAAAATTTTCTATGGATAATTCTTTATTATAGATAAAATTCATGTGACATAAACTCGGGTTCATTATCTGTTCTGACTATCTTAACTTTCAAATTGAACTGTGTTTTAACCATGCATATAAAATTACGCACATGCATGTTAACTTCAGATTTGGATTTTACCTAAACAATAATCCAAAGGTATTGACTATAATCGCCAATAAGAAAATATCCGTGACAATGAATCGAAGGCGTTAAAAAAAGACCCACATACATCAAAATGTAATAACCCAAATGATTGTAGAAGTTAATGGCAAATGTCAGGTACAGAGTTGTTATTTACAACAACATCAAAGCAATGTCTAAAATCGTATGGTGTTGCCGAGTATTGTTGTTGGTAGAAATGATTCTTCACTTGAGTTGTTTGTTGGAAGTTAATTGATTATCATGGGTGGTTTCCAAAGCTACAAAGTGATTGTATATGACTTGAGTAAGATTATTAAAAAAAAGATATTTATGGTTTTAAAAAACTATTAATTGATGTTGTAACGTGAAAATGAATAGTATAATCACACTTTTTGGCTGATAATAAATTAAAATGTATAAAAAATATATACGTTCATCTCTTTGTTTTATATATTTTTATTTGTCCAAATATATAGATGAAGTTTGAATTTCACTCTGTGTTAAAAAAAAAAACAGTTTTCTGTTGTTAAAAAGTGAAATATAATACAAATGTTTTATACCTTTTTATTTTACACAACCTTTGTTTTTAAAAATGTCATTTAATGTTAAGATTAGTGTATGGTTAGATTTTCTTTTGAGCGATCCTTAGTGTATGGTTATACAAATTTGAGAGTCTCATCTACGTCCTTTGCGTGCATAAATATGCAGCAAGTTGCTGCAAGTGTTTTGCTGCCTTATTAGAAATGCAGCAGTTATCAGCTTCTTCAATGTATCACCAGTACCTTCCCCAGATACACACAAAATCATCCTTAATTACAATTAATCTCCAAAAGATAACTCATGGGAAATGACGTTGAAGAAACGCATGAGAAACGTGAAAGAAACAGCATTTACTTTTTGTTAGTCCACTTCTTTCTCTGTCATGGGCAGCTGCATTTTTCATTCATTCTTATACAGTAAACTCATTAAAAAAAGAGAAACAAAATATAACAGAAAGAACACTTCATTGATATTAAGCCCAGTGAAAGCATATATAATTAACTCATAGCAGTGACATAATCTTTAACTTTCTTTTTGAAGGTTGCCGTTTGCGATGGGCGTGCTTCACGTGGAAGCCTCAGTGGATTAGATAATAAGACAAGATTGAACGCAAAAATAATTAAACTATGGTGACTTATCGGAAGTAAACATTACGTTTATTTCATTGTATGTAAATAATTTCTTTTTCTATACACTCAACGAATCAACAGTGATAAAGTGACAGCATCTCTCAAGCAATTTTTTCATTAC